TGATCTATCATATTCCAGCCAAAGCATGTGAATCCAGCGGTAATGTTATTTTGTCAAGTTTGATGGAAAAGCTTGAGTCCGTTCAGTACTCAGCTGCTCTAGCCATCACAGGAGCATGGAGGGGGACATCGCGAACGAAGATATACGCCGAGCTTGGTTGGGAATCGTTAAGTTCCCGACGCCGGAGTAGACGCCTTACGTTGTTTTACAAAATGATGAATAATCAAACACCTGCATATCTAATGGATCCAATTCCAATACTTCAACAGTCGCATTACCCACTTCGCAATCGTGACGTCATTGGACGAATAAGAGCAAGAACAGAAAAGTTCAAGTCTAGTTTCTATCCCGATTGCCTGGCTGAATGGAATGAACTAGATCAGGAGATTAGACTTGCACCATCGGCTACTTCCTTTAAAAAAAAGTTGATCTCCAAAATCCGTCCTTCTGCTAGCTCTGTTTTTGGGATTCATGACCCAATAGGTTTATCCTATCTCACTCAAATTAGAGTGGGTCTTAGCAAAATAAGCTTTCATAAATTCAAGCACAATTTTAGGGATTCCATAAACCCAATGTGCCCTAACAACGATGGTATCGAGACTACGGAACACTTTTTGTTGCTCTGCCCCGCCTTTGAAATTGAACGACGAAATCTTCTCGCTAGAGTCTTTGAATTAGTACAATCATTAGGATATAACGATCTTTCAAATGAGGTTTTGATAGAACTTTTATTATATGGCGATAAAGACCTCCCAAACAACCTCAACAGAAATATAATCGAATTAACTCTCCAATATATTCACACAACTGGTAGATTCGAATAAGGTCACTGTTACCTTGCCACCAAGTCTCTTTTCATATAGTTTTGTATGCCTACTTATGCAGTATTTCCCGTTTATGTATATGTTGTATTTTACCATGTATGTATTATTATAATCTAGTTTATATATATGTAGTATTATTAGTTATATTCATATACATGTCATATCCCAGGGGGCAGTCATGTTATATTGCTCCTCCTGGGTTCTGTCCTTGTAATGTAGTTTAGTAGTTTGTACGTACTGTTTTAGGTAATTTGTTGTGTAAGTTTTTATACCGAATATATATATAAAAAAAAAAAAAAAAAAAAAAAAACCTCAGAAGGTAGAAAATAATTGATCCTTCACAGCGACTGAAAGCTATTGTATCTGCTTTTATATTTTTGTTTTATTGTTTCTCAATAAGAGGCTCCTTGGATTTTGTTTACTCTATTTTCCAGCACAACTTTCAGCAGTAGAGCCGTCTCCTCATCATTCAAACCTTTATCAACTTCTTTGTTCATTTTGAAAAAGCAGACATTTTTATAAATAGATTTGATAGCTGAGGTTAAGGCTGCGTTAACCGTAAAACTTTTGATCCGGATAGAAAGTTATATGGTTAGGCTTTCCGTTTACCCGAGTACTGGGCTATTTGTATCAAACTTGATTCGGTTAGCCGCACAACTTTTGATCCTTTGTTTACCGATTCAACTTTTGATCCTTGATTCGGTTTGCCGATTCAGTTATATTATTTGAAGTGTAAGAAACATGGTAAGAAAGCAACTTATTCTTATTGAGTCATGCAGCCTACAAGCCTACATGCAATCCCTGAAATTGCGCTACCTCATTTGTTTAAGTACAGACCACTGTTATTGAGGTCATCTACAGTTATATTACTGTTATCAATAAAGTGAAAGTTGTTTTTTTCATAACTGTCATACAAGATACTATTCAGCTGTTGGGCATTGATATCAGAATTGCTATACTTAGCTTCACGCGTGATTCCCGAAAACCCTATTATTGCTAATCTAAACATTAACAGTATCACAAAAACAAGTTTTGCAAACTGAAAGATTTGATTGCGACTAGTTCATATGACTGCGTGATCATTAGTGAAACCAAAATTGATGATTCTTTTTCAACTGAACAATTTTTTATTTCTGGATATAGAATTCCATATCGTGCTGATAAAAATATATCGTCACTGCATATAATCCACCTAATGCTAATAACGAAAATTTCAAAAATACAATAATTAGAATAGTTGATAAAATCTCTTCGCATTATGACAATTTTATCATCATTGGTGATCTTAATTTAACCCCAATTAATTCACACCTCAAAACAATATGCTCTTCCTTTGGACTCACTAACCTTATAAAAGAACCAACCTGCTACAAACCAAACTGTAATCCATCATCAATTGATGTAGTTTTAACAAATCGTAAAAATCATTTTAAAAATAGCATAGCAATTGAATCTAGTTTAAGTGATTTCCACAAATTCATTCTAACTAAATTGAAATCATCTCTACCTTAACTCCACCCTAAAATTCAACATTACCGAGATTTAAGTAAATTCACAGAGGAAGGTTTCTGCCAAGATTTGCTGGCAGCTCCTTTTAATCTTTAGTGAATATCAACAAGATGGTAATCAAGCATTAAATAGTTTTCAAGATATTTTTAGTAGCATTGTTAGCAAACACGCCTCTCTTAAAACCAAAATAGTTCGAGCAAACAATAAGCCTCTTACCAAAATTCATCGAAAAGCAATTATGTTACGCACAAAACTGAAAAATATTTATAATAAATATAGAACTAAAAACAATGTTCAAAAGTATAAAGAACAACGAAATCATTGTGCAAATCTTCGTCAACATGTTACGTCTAATTACTTTACAAAAATCTGTCAAGAAGGCATGCTAAATTCAAAAACATTTTGGAAAAAATTAAAACCATATTTTTTCACTAAAGGTCAAGGCGATTCAGAAATCACAATTTCTGAGAATGATTGTCTTATTAGTGATCCACAGTGAGTTGCTGAGATTCTGAATACCCATTTCGGTAGCATTGGTTAAACCACAAATTCAATCCATAAAGGACGGACTGAGAATTCAACAATAACTGAAATCATAGGATACTGAGACAAGTAATTGTGAAGCTAATCACAAAAAGGCACACGGGCACGAAATAATCATGCTCAGTTGATAGCATCCTACAGCCCCTCTTGAACATAATGATTAAATGCATTATTCAAGGATTTTTTTCAAATTTTTAAAAAAAACGCTTTAGTGTCACCTGTCTATAAGAAAAGATATTCTTTCAATAAGGAAAATTATAGACCAATAAGTCTACTAACGACACTTTCAAAGGTATTTTAAAAAGTAATAGAGCTTCAACTTTCTCCATTTCTTGAAGAAAAATTTTCGAAATTCCTATGCGCATATAGAAAACAGTTTTCTTCCCAGCACACTCGCTTTAGACTTATTGAAGACTGGAAAATAGAACTGGAAAGGAACAAACATATTGGCGATGTCCTTATGGATTTGTCAAAAGCCTTTGACTGTCTACCAAAAAACCTACTTTTAGCAAAACTATATGCCTATGGTGTAGATAGAAATTCTCTTTTATTTATACAATACTACCTGTCTAATAGAAAGCAAAGAGTCAAAGTGAAGATCATTACAGCTCCTGGGGTAAACTTGGACAAGGAGTGCCACAGGGACCAATACTTGGACTTCTACTTTTCAATATTTTCCTAAATGATATTCTTTACAGCCTTACTGAAGGGTCTTTATGTAATTTTACTGAAAGTCGAAAGATTCGAAACAATACATTTCTTGTCTTTTTGGCGCCAAGTCTAGGAATGCAATATGCGAAGTAGCTCGAAATGGACATCTTTCATCGTATAGGTCCGTAGCCAAGGGGTGGCATGGGGTGGCAATGCCACTCCTGGAGCATGAGAATAACGGCTGTATGCGACCCTGAGACTTTTGTTCCTAATCTTTTGAATAGGTTTTCCCGTCGTTTTCATTGGAGCGGAGGGAAAATTGTTTATTGGGGTCTCTCATTACCAACCTAGGACTTAAGATGGATACATATACTGCTGAAGTGTAACAACTTCACTTCAATTACCACATACACACTGCAAATAACTTAATTCTAAACTTCGCCTGAATTGGACATAGGAAATTTGCCACCTCTACTCCACTGGCCTGGCTGCACGCAAGTTACCTTATTTTGGATCCGATCCCAGCCGTTACACGGGACCTTTATGAGATCGGATCCAAACGGGACCATCTTCAAAACCAATCCCAAACGGGCACGGATAGCAGATCCAAATGGAATGGGGTCCGCCAGGTCCCTTGTAAACGCAAAGCCTATCCGTACCTAGCTTGCGTGCAGGCTCTGTTGACAAAATTGAAATATGAGAAAAAGTAGAGTCTGCGAAGCCGAGCCAATTTTCTTGTTTACAGATTCCTCAAAATCAAGGAACCGAATTTGATTGGTTGGGGGAATTTCAATTGCTTTTTCAGTTTTCAAAGTGGCGCCTTCGAGCAGAAGTATAAATGAATGGTATCAGGATAATAGAATAGGTCTGAACAACTAAAATTGCAGAAAAACATTGCACGCTAATGGAGTTGTTGTTCTAGTGCTTAGAATAAAATGTTGATGTCAGCGAACAAGAAAAGCGGCCCTGTTGCGCAGACTCTACTTTCTCTCCTCTTTTAAATTTCGGAGTCTGCACCCCGGGGGGGGGGGGGGTACTTAGTATATTTTGCTGACGGGATGTGCACGTCTTTCCGGGTATCATTTTCAGCAATTTATTCTAAGGCCGGGTATCTGTTCAAAGGATATAATCTTAAGCCGGTTGCCTGATTTTTGTTTTTTTCTATTCAAAAATAAAAGCAAAGAAGCTGCCCGCCCATTGTTTTTGTTGTGTTCTGATGACCATAACTGGCACCAAAGCTTTTGTTTTCCTTTGTTTCCAGAAATTCCAAAGCCGGGTGTCATTTTTAGCTTTCTTTTTCTAAAGCCGGTTCACCAAAACAATCTTAGGAGTGCACATCCCCGTTGTTTTGGTATCCAAGTACCCCCCCCCCTCCCCCCGGGGTCTGCACGCATCCGTTCCGTTCCGTACGGATCCGTTCGGATTCGATCCCGTGTAAACAGGCCCTTCATTTTATTGCAAAGTTTGAATAGAATGTATTGTTTGGACTGCCTTTTTGGAACAAAAGCAGATCAGTTCGTCAACTTGCGTAATTATCTTTGCGAAACAAATGGGCGATTAATGCTCAATTGTTTCGGGACGAGATGCACTGGCCTTTGGGAAGTCAAAAAAGAATCAAATTTTAGGACGGGAGAAGCGCATGGATTTATGAAATCTCCTGTCTCGAAGGTAAGCAACATTTTTGGAAATTTTCTTCGATGAAACTTGAAAGTAAACTTTAGCGAAAACTAATTTGCCCTTGTACTTCGAAAGATTCTGTTGACTTTTATTGACTGGATAGACATCACAGACACCTAGCCTAGTAAAAACTCTAAACACAAACTTCATTACTCGTGGCAGCCTAAAGATTCAGTGATTTGCGAAAAGACTCTAGTACTCGCACTATGTGCAAGCTATCTCTTGTACTTTGCAGGATCTGCCCAATGTTGTCCACTCTCATTTTAGGCCCCGAGTACACTTCTTCCTGTTCAGTGAGCGAAAATTCCGCTTTCCAGCTCCTTAAATGCTTTCAGTTATATTTAGAGTTGCGTAGAAATTAACTTTTGTTTTTGTTGAATATACTTGCTTGCAGGGGCGTCGTGACTAAGGGGCAGGGGGAAATGTGCCCCCTAGCATTGACCATTCTGAAATTTTTCGAAGTTCGGCTAAGGAATATATTTCATTCACAGAAAACTAAAAACGTTTAATCAGTATAAAGAAGGAGATTGCAAAAAAAGATATATATATATGACGTCATCAAAACCTATTTCAGAATTTCTTAATTTTGACCACAAAATCTGAAAGAACGGCATTGAAAACTTTTTAATATGCAAAATCAGTTAGATATATTCAAAATTGGGCGAGATATGGCCAATGAGATATGGCTAACGGACTTCTGTTATTCTAACGGAAGACATTTGATGGGGTTCGTACAGTGGTTTAATGGGGCAAGAGCTTGTGCTCATGTGGCCGTATCTCCTCCAATTTGTAACTCTCTCTCTCTCTCTCTCTCTCTCTCTCTCTCTCTCTCTCTCTCTCTCTCTCTCTCTCTCTCTCTCTCTCTCTCTCTCTCTCTCTCTCTCTCTCTCTCTCTGGTGATATCTTTGTTTAATGCATACATTTGGTATGGCAGCACTGTCATTTTTGCGTGTTGGGGATTTCCAATTTCCTCCCATGCCTAACAATTTATTTTTGGTATTTTGTTTTCGTTGTTTTAGTTGGTATTGACGCAAATGCCTCACTTTGGTAGTGAGGCGCATTAGCTGACTCATATACATTTATAGTTGTAGTTTTATCATTGGTTAACAGTTTTTCCAGGAAAACATATATGCCCCAATTGATCTAATGGGTTTTTATACCCTGATACTGACCTCGTGGTTTTTCTACCCTGATACTGAAACAATTGGTTGTGCCGTGTAATAAATTCAAATCTAACATGGCTTTTCGTAGGCTATTTGCCGCAACACCATTACACTTGGCATTTTTTTAGAATACTTTAAAATTTGTCAAGCCTCGATATTTTTGAAAACGTTTTATTGTGAGTCTTAACTACTTCTTGAAGAAAGCCCTTTTTCCCTTAACCTTAGCACAAAAGGGACAGAGCAATAGCAGCTACGGTCCTAGATTGCTTCAAGTCTCCGTTCTGAACTTCGTTCAAGAACTGCACTTTCCCTGCTGTGAAGAATAGAGAACGAAAAGGAGCCAAAGAGAGAATAATTCCAAAGTCAATGTATTTGATTTTCTTTGATTTCCATTAAAAAAATTACGATTGTATTTGATTGCTTCTTTCCTCTTATTTTCCAGAGTCCAACCGAACATTTAAGGGTAATAAAAGAACGTTTCAGAATCACTGATACGCAGTAGGCATTAACAGATTTATTGCCGACAAAGATGAACATCATCATCATCATCAAATTAAAATTATAATAATCATCACCATTCCCAGGACGATGGTGCCTGGCTGAGGAACCAATCATTGGTCTGGGAAAGCCTCATTAGTGCCCCAACTTTTTCCAAGCAACAATTTTCCCTTTTGGCCAAAAGTACTTTGAAAAGTTCCACTTTTGCATGTCCCTATCATACAACGAAATGTTCCATTTACGTGGTGCCTACTTTTTTCAGCACGTCCCATTTCCCATTGACAGAAATAGGACAAATGGCGTTTCAAATGGATGAGGCAAAAGGGTTTCTCTCTTTACTCCTTGTATCCAAACTTTTTAGAGTATATGTTTGACAGAGGTACAGCTGGTGCATTAGCTTTCTTGTACCTTTAACCTTACTTTTAATCTTGTACGTTCAACATTTTAGGTAGTTGAAGATGCCAGCATATACGTTCATTTCTTTGGCATTCATTATATTACAACTCTGTCAAGCATGGAAAGAAGGTACTGAATAGTCTACTCCATCTTGTTTGTTATTCAAACTGTAGCAGATTCTTTGGATTTTCAAGATCCTCGCCCCACTACAAGTTATAACGACAGGGACTGGGGGAGGTATCCTCAACTCTTTTCCAACACAAAGGACGTACTCACTAGAAAAATGTTTTTCATAGTATCAAGCTATTGGCAGAAAATGCAAGCAGGTCATTGAAAAGTAATGATATCAACTACTGCTACTACATTCAGATATTTTTCTGAAAAACTTCTTGCTTATGGCCGGAGAAATGATAAACAGGTTTTATAGACTCTACAAATAAATTCTAGTCTTAGATGTAAAAAATAGCCATTTTTGAATTTATTTACAGAACTGGCACCGGAGAGCAAGTTCCATTCAGCACTGCAATACCCACACATAAGCTTCCGTGGAGGCTTTAAGGCGAATGTGGCAACAGCCAATAACCTTCCAGCTAACTTTGATAACGAGAATTTCTTCGATCATGACCAACTCAGCAACAAATATGGCGGAAATGGCCAATGGAACCCTCAAGGAACCAATGATTTCATTTTGATCGATTGTCACGTCACAGGCGCCTGCCCTGCCATTGGAGAATGTACGGAGTCTTCACAGAAAGACACAGTTTGTGGCACGCCTGTAACAGGTAGATAAAAACATGCTTAGTATTTGTAGATGCACGATGTGTGTGTGCTGATTTACTGCTTGCTAACTTTATGCCCTTATCTTTTGTTTACTGCCAGCTCTTTAAACAGAGGCTGTATAACAGGACCGTAGGAAGGTTAGGATCGTTGGAAAGACACAATTGTCTTAGAGCAATAGGAAAGTATTTTAATTTCGTTGTGTTTTTTGTGCCACTTAAATCGCTACCCAGAGGCATATTGGATGTTATCTAACTATAATTTTTATTATTATTATCCTTATTATAGAGTTTTTTGTCGTGTTTTGCCTGTAAATGTCTTACCGTTACAGTAACTGCCTTTGACCAAATGACCAAATGTTACCGAGTTTTCAGAAACATAAAAACGTAGAAATATAGGATACCATGAAATTAGATGGTCTCCTTGTTATTTATCCATGTAAATGAAACAGGAAAAAACGTGCCCGATCTTGAAAAAGATACATTTCTAACCAGTCTTCAAAAGAAGGAATTTTGGAGCAGTTGCTCAGGTCTAAGGTGAACAGTGAAATGGTTTTTTAATTTTTTGGTCATCTTAATGCTCGTTTTCTTATTGACATTTTCTTATTGACGATCTTGAATCATTGTTTATGTGGAAAAGCATATTTTGCGCTGTTAGCCACCTCAGGACAAAAATGCTAGGCAGGACATCCCTCGTTTATCCCATTTTTGAGGTACTCATAACAATTTATATTTCGCATAACTGAATTGTTTTTCCATTTTGATTTGTAGATGGAGGTTTTCGTACATTTGCAAAGATGGTCGATTTAGATCCAGCACATCAAATTGTGCCCGAAATCTGGGGCATGAAGATGCTATTACCAGGGTTTTTTGAAGGAGAACTTGAAGCTACTCCTTTAACAGATAATTGGATGCGTGGGGTTGGCATTGGTGACGGCAAAATGGGTGGAGCCTACCGTTCGTATTTGAAAGACGTTATTTGGCATTCAAATGCTGAGTCTTCAACTACTGTAAATCAAATGAAGAAAATGTTCCATGAACTTGGAAGTCATCGGTTGTCTGTACTATTTTATTTGGATAGGTACATACTTAGTTTTCAGGAGAGTGAAAAGGGGTTTGCTTTGGGACGAATCATTGGTACGATTGGGGTTTTGGGGCCTTTAAGTCCACCAAGAAGTTTATGGAGTCGATCCTTGGCAGCGATCCACAGAAAACCTTACGAAGAAGACTTTCAACTCGACAATACGAGCTCCATTTTTTATACCAATGATGCTTCATTTGTTGTGGACAAAAAGCAGAAAAAATTATTCATCAACTTTGAAAACAGCTTGATGACTGATCAGAATGGAGACCCTAAATCTTTTCCACATAATACAAAAATTGGATATTTTAAACAGACGTATGGACTGAATACTACAAAAAAGTCAAATTGCAGCCATTCAACTATCATTCTTGACGACACCTCTAAACTTAATTTTACAAACCTCTTCTTGAACTTTGGTGGAATTTTAAGCTTGGCTTTGTCTGATAAGCAGACAGAAGATTTAGACAGTATTCCTTTATCTGTATTTCAGGTAAGCAAAAACAAATTTTTGGTTTTGTATGTAAAATGTAATGCAAATAAATTATTCATTTAATGAACGAATTATTGAATAAATGAATTAATAAAAATGAATGAATGAATGAATGAATTAATTAATTAATTAATTAAAGAAGGTATTTTTGACATTCAGTTTATGAATCATTTTCCAATGCTACTTCAAACTGGTCCTTCGTATAGAACGTTTGAGTAGCTGTAATCTGTGTTTTTGAAGTGTTTACTCTACTACTGTATAAAGTGTCGCGTTCTTTTAATTCAGGTGAATGACTCACAATGTCGGCTGATAATGCAAGAGTACAGCGATGGGATTCTCGTTAAAGCATACAACAAATGGGTATTTCGATTAGAAGCAAAAGAAACAATCACAAGTGACGTATTTGTAACCAAATTCGGAAAGCCCCTTCCGAACACTGCTGTTGCAGTTTCGCCATATAATAGCCTTTTCGACAGTGTACCTGGTTCTGGGAAATTTGAAAATGCCAAATTTAGTAAGAAAGTGTTTTATACCAATATTACAGGAATCGCAACGCTAAGAATACCAACTATTAGCTCTAATTTCAGGAGGAAAAGTTTAGATGGGAATTTAGAAGGCTATTACTTCTACGTCCCTTCAAGTAAAATGCATGCTGCTAAGGTGCATAAAAGATTTTCCATGATTGTTGCCCGTGTATACTCACAATTTTCATATCCCGAAGACATCACATGGTCTGACCACATAAGGCCAATTTTCCAAACATACGCGAATTTGTTTCCTGTAATGAATAGCAGAAGTCTTGACCTCGGCAACTACTTCGACGTTGTTGAGCACAAATCCATCATAAGCACATCAATGTCACTACCAATGTCACATCCAAGTTTTATGCCAGCAACTAGAGACCTGAGCAAAAAAAAGAGGAGAATGATTTTGAAGTGGCTTGCTCAAGAGAGACCCAAATTGGGCAACGTGTCAGTTCTATTTACAAAGCATTATCTGCTACAGCTTCTTCAAACAGCGTTAGAAGTTACCCATGCCAGCTTACCCCCATTCTTAAACGCACTTTGGTCCATCAAGGGTAAATACAACAGAAAGGTTGCATCAGTCATTAATAAAGTCATTAAGCATGAAGTAAATAAGATTGGCATCATAGCCTCTTTAATGTCGACATTAGGTGGAAGAGCCAAATTTGTCCACAAAGATTTTCTTCCCTTTTACCCCGGTCGGTTTCCGGGTGGAATACAAAGTGAGGTGCTTCTCTCAGTTGAAAAGCTATCTACAAAGCCTTTTCGCACTAGTTTGTTGAAAGCAAAACGTCCTGAGATAAACCACCTAAGCTTATGGTTCAGGAATGCAGTCTTCCAACATTCTTTCTTTAAAAAATATAAAAGATGCGTTGGAATGTATGCTCGTCAAAATCCAAGTTGCAGGCACAAAAGGCTCTTAAGAACGAGACATTACTCAAATATTCTTGCAGGGAAGATGAAGAGAAAGTGTAACTTTGCTACAAAAACTTTCTTGGCTGAATACTTAGAGAAGCTTAAGATGGAGAAACCAAGAAGTTCCTTTTTAGATCCTCAAGATCGAACAGTATTCCAATATCATTCATCAATCAACAAGCTCTTTGATCATATTCTATTTGTTCTATCATACATAACAGGGTGTGGATCGAATGACACTTTATTTCGTGCGCCAAAGAAATGGCCATTGAAAATACCTCGCAGATCAATTTTCGGTTCCATTCCAGTCATAAGCGATTATTCTTCAGCTGTCGATGCGATTAGACGTCTTATGAGAATAACAAATAGTTTTGATACAGGAGTTGAATCACAGTATAAATTGTTGCTTTCAATCGTGCAAGAATCGTCTTCCTTGCCGGTTTTCAAGCCCTCAAAGAAGTTTCCAAGATCTGCACTTTATGCAGCAAATGCCTTGGCAGAGGTTAGTTGAGACATACTAAGTTAATCTCAAATTTTACTTCCCTATATTAACTATTATAATAAAAAGTCCATCCAATAAAGTAGCTGCAATCAAATTTTGTAAACAGATGCTTCAAAATTCTCATATTCATTTATATAACACATCGGATCGAAGAAAAATAAGATAAAGCAAACACAATATTGGAGTTTTCTCTAACAGCGCAGCGGCGTTTCATACATTTCAGGTGCAACACTTATTGAAGGGCCTTGTTGAGGTGGGGGTGGGGGTTACGGTATTACGGTATAAGACTGGGGTAAACTGGTAGATCCAGTTTTGGGTGCTTTTAACCAAAGTCAAAGAACTTAAGATTCCTAAAACCAACACGTGCATTTCTAATAAGAAACTAAACTTATGATTAGCTCTTAGTTTGTTAACTATGATATAATCATGTTATTTCGAATTAAAAAAGGGTAGATACAGTAAGAGCTGCAGTGCATTTGATTCAAAGTTGGTTGAAAACTTTGGTTTGGGAAAATGCCCATATTTGGTAAACGCAGCAGGTTTTTGCCGTTTACCAAAAAATTTTTCATTTTCAGAGGGTAAAGGTAGGTAAATATCATGATGGCAAAAAGTTCGGAGAGATGTTACCCTTGCCGTAATATATACGCCTTGTCTTATACACATGACACATAACACATAACACATAAAACATACCCTTTTTATTCGAATATAAGCCGTGGATTATAATTATTTGTCGGCACATTTCGCTGTGGTTTATACTCAAGGACAACTTACATTGTGTCTTACATAATGAGGGCGTCTTGAATTGTTTTACCCAGATCCTGCCAAGCTACGTAACATAACATGACATAACTTGACATGACATCACATCACATCACATCACATCACATCACATCACATCACATCACATAACACAACATAACATAACATAACATAACATAACATAACATAACATAACATGACATGACATGACATGACATGACATGACATGACATGACATGACATGACATGACATGACATGACATGACATGACATGACATAACATAACATAACATGACCTGACATGACATGACATGACATGACATGACATGACATGACATGACATGACATGACATGACATGACATGACATGACATGACATGACATGACATGACATGACATGACATAACATAACATAACGAAACATAACGAAACAAAACGAAACAAAACGAAACATAACGAAACATAACAAAACATAATAAAACATAAACAGATATCCCCACAATCTTTCAAGTGACTCCAGTTTGAATAGAAATTGTTCCTTCTTGAAGATAACAACTTTTCTCTAATGGTATGCCTGGGTTCTTTAGGTATGTTTGCTTTTGGGTTGAGAAACTTGTGTGCAAGTTTGTTTCATTGATTCTGACGCAGCTAGTGAAATTTTCTTTGCAGATTGCAGGTTTCTTTGCTGTGTTCTGCTGTCTGCTGTTGCAAGTTTGATATCTGCTCGTTGGGATTTTCAACTGATCTGCTGACTCTGTTTCTCTTTCAAATTTTAGAAATCAAAGCACAAAAGTCAAATAGATGTACCTATCGCAATGGGCATTGCAGAGCATGGCGTCTGGCCTATAGCCTCCAATCCAAAGATGCACCATTTCCCCAACGGTACTCTCCGCAATACGGCGATTGCTTTTAACGATATTTACACAAGTTTTTTAGTCTACTGTGAACTGTTGTTCAAAACTTCAAATGACACTTTAAGATGGAAATATCTTGAATCTGTTGATAAACTGGCAACTGCAATGCGAGTTTTGGGGAAGAAGCTTGTCCAGACACCAATTCATAAGAGAGGAAATAGATATGTTGGCCCAAACGGTGCACCAACGTTTGAAATCGATTTCCAATTTGGATTTTTTTTAACTGTATTGCATTTTGACACGCTAAGACAGTTGGAAAAGGCTAAATGGAAAGTAAACGTGTACGCGAAAGAGAGAGAGAAATTTATGAAAAAAGGTATAAACTCGAATATTCTATTAATGGAATCCAAATCGAATAAAGATTATGTTCCAGGAAGCAAAGAAACTTTTGCAGAAAAAAATGATGTTTTTAGGCCTTTGGCTAAAAATCCTTTAGTAGACGTTACTGTAGCTTACAAAAGTCTCTGAAATTATATGCTTTGCGACAAGCAATTTCTGTATGTATCAGATTTGTTTTTTTGTGTTTTATTTCATGATAACAAGAATATTAAGAAAAAGTTTTATGTGAAGCGCCTACCCAATTTTGTGTACTCTACCTTTAAGTCAAATTGGCATGCCAAGGAACAATTCTCAAGTGTCTGCTCCAAGGATGTACCTATCGGGGGGGGTGGGGTTTCACACCCTAATAGGAAATTTTAGGTAAAATCCGCTCGGTTGAAGAATCGCATTTGATATTTCAAGAATCTTCATGTCATAAATTCAATTCAAGATCAAGCAAAGGTCCGTTGGTTAAATATGATGTTCTTTGATATGAATAAAGGTAAACAAACTAATGATTTGTAGCTTTGAAGATTTCTTGTTGGCAAAATTGAAATTTATTACTTGGATGAAGAGAGCGAAGGAACAAAAAGTGAAGATGAGCTGGAGATATTTTGCTGATGATAAAGGAGAAGCAGAATCTGAAAATTGCCACTGATGCAAATTGCATGTAGTGATGCATAGTCAATGTTTGCCGCGGCATTTATTACAAAATCCAAATTTTGGATACGGCGTTTAATAACGGGTGGCGTTTTTCAAAGGGCGACGTTCAATACAAAATGAAAAATTTGTCAAATAAAAAATGACAAGAAAAGTAAGATAAAGATAAAGATAAAAGATTTAAAAGATAAAAACAGACTTTAAAGAATGTTCTCTTTTCCCAAAAACACCCCACTCCCTGTCTTCATCAGAGCCCTCGTCTCTCTGACAGGTACCCTGGGTACCAGACTCACGGTACCCAGGGTATATGACAGGAAAACTTCAATATCTATCAAGAAAACCAATAGTATTTCAATAGGAAATTTCAGGTAAAATCCGCTCGGTGGAAGAAACGTTTTAGGTGTTTCAGAGACCATTATGTCTTAAAATCAATAAAGAATCAAGCAAAGGTAGTTGCTCCGTTGGTTAAATAAGATAATCCTTGATAAGGTAAACACACTAATGGTTTCAAGATCTGAAGATTTGTTGCTGGCACTAAATCTAAAAATCCAGGCCCTCTTTAGGTAAAATCTTGTGTTCATTTCCCCTAAAGTTTTTCGGTAGAAGCGTCAACTGCAATTCACTATAGGCTGCAGATTTTTTTTAACAGTGCTGCTTGTTATCAAGCTTGAGAAGTAACTGACGACATGGTATTTTTCAAGACCACGGCGAAATTGTACCAGTTGTTTTTATCTGCTGTTCAATTTATTTGCAAAATAAAAAGAATTTTGACTAGGATTAGGAGGATTGCTCTAGTGAAATTTGCTTAAAAATGCATTTTCCAGGGAACTGAAGCATTCCAGGCCTTCAGCGGCAACCAAATAACAACGGTGCCGTCTCGGGTAATAACTGTATTCTTTGCCCGTCCCAATCTACAGATTTAACAAAACTATTAGGAAAGTCCGTTATTATCATTTAAAAATGAATGTTGCGAATTATATGTCAAAGAGTTAGATAGACCAAATGCATTGCAGAGGTTTGTGAAAGCAACTTAAGAATTTCAGGTAATTACTGGAAAGGCCACGCAGGCTTTTTGCTTAGCCCTAACATGGAAAAGAAAGAAGAGGCTTGATTTTACTTCTAGAGAGTAGACTGCAAGTGCCTTCGAAACAAGAAAATATCAAAGCATTAAAAAGTTAAATTTTGTTGAGAAAAGGTTTCAGACTGAAATTCACACTATTGAAAGGGTCATATTTATTTACATCATTCCGATGCATTTTATTAATATGTGCTATCCTGAACATCAAAATCATTCGTTCATCTCAAATACGTCCTAACATAAAGACGCTCATTTCAAGAAGTTCCTCGATATCGAAAAGCTGATTCACATTGATAAAGTGAATTTGGTAGGGAGGCTCCGGCAATCAAAGGAATATGATTGGTTGCTTCAGAAAGGCAATTCAAAGAAATAATTCAGTATAATGTCTTTTTTTATGCCGAAAAGCCATTATTGAAGCTATTGTATGAGAACAATTCGTTCAATGCAGATTGTAATCAACGCGTTGGTGTACAGATGTGATATACTCGACAGTTTGGGTATTGCGGAATTCAAGGAAGTCGCTAGCTACGTACAGAAGATTTGCGGATGGTTTCAGGTGATTTTAGGTGATTTCAGGTAGTTTCAGGTGATTTCAGGTAGTTTCAGGTGATTTCAGGTAGTTTCAAGTGGTTTCAGGTGATTTCTTGCGATTTTAGATGATTTCAAGTGGTTTCAGGTGGTTTTAGGTGATTTCAGGTAGTTTCAGGTAGTTTCAGGTGGTTTTAGGTGATTTCAGGTAGTTTTAGGTGATTTCAGGTGGTTTCAGGGTGGTTTCAGGCAATTTCAGGTGATCTAAACTTTTATAACATACGAAGTCCTAACAAGGGAAAGGAGGAAGGGGTTTGGAAGAGAGGGAGGAATGACCAAGCTTGTTAGTTTTAATTTTGAATAAAGACAAGTGAAAAGAGTATGGGAAGCAGGAAGAGGGTAAAGCGTTCCAAATTTTACAAGGTCTACGGAGGAAGGGTCGGTTTTAAGACAGAGGTCGTGAATTTGTCAAGAAACATGGCAAAGATGAGTTGTGGGGCAGTGTTCGAGAGGTTTGATTTTTGTCTCTGTATGGAAAAGATAATGGGAATTTTAGCTTGTATGGAAATGATGGTGGCGCACAGAATTAAGAATTGAAGAAAGTTTTTGGATTTTAGAGGATATTGCAAAGGGTTTAGAAGTTGCCACATTAGCAGCTGTAGTTTATTGATTGATGGTTAAAGCATCAAAAATTTCAACTAGTGAATTTTGTACTCAAAAAGTTTTTATTAGAAAGTTGCTTTATGAATCGAGTACTCGACTTTCAGAAAAGAAATACTACAAAAGTTGAAGCAAGAAAATGAAGAAGCAACTAGACTCCGTTGGCTTGGCTGATTCAACGCCAAAATCGTTCCGCTACAGAGGAGCTCATTTATTGCAATGAGGTGAATATAATACATTGTTTATACCTTTTTTAAACAAAAGCAGATTTTTACCTCAACTTGCGTTTTTAATTGTTGCTTAACAAATGGGTAATAAGTCAAATGTATCGTTGCATAACAAATGCTTGTTCTTTCGCGATGTTATGAACACGCCCGTGTGAAGTAAAAAGATGAAATTTTAAAGTCTCGAAGGTAAGCAGTATTTATAGAAATTTGATTCAATTAAACCATGATAAAATAAGAGAACTTGAACGTAAACTTTAGCGATACTTGTTTGCTCCTGTATCATTAGACCCTTGTATTTCAAAAGATTATGTTGCCATTTATAGACTGATGGATGAACATCACAACTCCAAACCCTTACTTCATTATTTGTATTATCCTGAAGAGCCATTGATTTGCGAAAAGACTCTAGTACTCACACTATGTGTAAGCTCTCTCCTTTTAGTTTGCAGGATTTGCCCAACGTTGTCCACGCTCATTTTAGGCCCCAAGAGCATTTCTTCCTGTTCAGAGAGATATTTGATTTCTTCCTTACTACTCTAAAGAGAATTGTTCGTGTCTCCCCTCCCAATTTTACTTTCTTTCCTCTTTATTTTACACCCCATTTCTCATCTTGCTTTTTCGTAATTTTTAACTTCATTATTATGCAATTGTTCTGTTACTGTTCTAAATATAAAATTCGAATTCATGTTATCTTGTTATGTTGAAATACCTAGATTGTTATTATTATAAACCTTTTTACTGTTACTAAAATCATATTACTGTTTTGACTGAAATTTAGGGGGTTGAGCTCGAAAACCGTTTCGGCTCCTCCCAACATCCTAGGCAACGTTAAGATATTAAGATACTAATTATTGTTAAAATGCTAATTGTCTTTATCGACACTTTATTGACTTGTAATATTAATAGGAGTACCCCCTGGGGCCATGCCCCATATCATTCTGTAAGTAACTGTGCTTAGTAATCCCTTTGATATGTCCTTACCTTTAGTTTAATTGCTATGTCTTTACCAAAGAAGACATGTATACAAAAGATTGTGAATTTAATCAAAGCAATCGGTCATTTTCCAAGCTGTACAACGAGCAACAGCTTGGCTTAGGGAATAGATCGAGGAACCTGATCCAGAATAATTTAATGCCAGCACAAATTTATTTATTTTGCCGCCGAAGTCAACAATCGAATTAAAAATTAAGAGATAAAATGGAGAAGAAGGCCGATAAAAACTTCCCTTGGACGAACGATAAGGTGGCTTTAATTTTCAGTGTTATTTTAGACTACAAAACTGCAAAGTCCAAGCAAGGCTTGGACTGGGAAACAATACAAGCCTTTTCTGTGGTCGTCTTTTCTTCAGAATTTCCTTTTCTTCAGAATTTGACAACGTAGTTACGCCACAATCAAAGCCTCGATTACCTGAAACAGCCATACGAAAGACCTCTTTGTGAATCCGTGAGAAAATCGTCTCGGATAGGTAAACACGTTCTAAAACGGAACCGTGACGGTACAAAATTCGTTCGCTTTCAAAGCAGGGTCAAAACTGTTCCGGATAGCAGAGCAAAATCGTGACGGTTCCACACACGATGCAGAGGTTATAGTCAACGTTACCGAAATTAACAATAAATTATACAGGCAATTGAATGCCTGCTTGTATGGACAATTTTCTAATAGAAACTCTAAAGCCGTTTTGCACGTATCGCCAACAAGCTTCTTTACCAATGGAATCTCATAAACCAATCAATCATAACATAATTGATACCCTATGTTATTTCCTTTAATGCTTGGTATTCTAAAAAGCTTTCACATGTGGGTGAAAGTGCCGAGATTTCTCGCAAGATTTCTTTTGCATCACAGGAAAGTCTTCTATCTAGCTCTGATAGCATACAATCCAGGATTGGAAGAAAGATATCAGCGTGGAACGGTTTCTCGGGACTTACAGTTGCTGACTTCCCAATGGCATCGGATACTGCAAAATCACTAAGAGCCTCTTTCTCTCCAGGATGCATTTCCTTTTACAGCAAAATGAAGCATTCATGGACAACAGAATTGCTAACTAAAATTTATAACTGTTCAAGAAGGGAAAAGAAATCGTCAGCTTGTGTGGTACAACCTTGACTGTTTCAACGAGTACAAGATTTAGTCTTTGTCCATAGCAGTGCAAATAATAAGCCATTGGTGCCTTATCGATTATGTATCTTTGGACCCCACCTAGCCTCCCACTCGTAACACTCGCTCCATCAAATCCCATACCTATCAGGCATCCTTTGTAATCCAAGCCCATCTGCTCAAGTTTGCTGAAAAAAGCTTCATTCATTGATTGAGCATCTAATTCCTTCATTGCCATGAAGATTATAAAACATTACTGGATGCTTTTTGCATTCCTGGGAAGCCTAGAAGAATGGCGTTCAAGGTCGGCCATGCCGTTTGCTGCTCTTACAAAATTTACTTGATACTCAGTGTACTTGTGCATCCTGTTAAAAAAGCAGTTTTGGATAACATCAAGATCCACTGCAGTGATGTTTCTCGAGGAGAGAATTTGTTTTTAAATTATGATGGCTGTGATATTGTTGGATCTCAGAATGTGGTATGCACTTCTACTTGCCTTATCGGCCATCTTGCCTTATCGGCCAAGGAAACAAAGGTTTTCAAGAGCAGAATTAGCCGTTATGGTAGCTGGGATAGTTGCATCACTTTTCAATTACTTATGGATGTTTATTTAATGCGAATTATGCTTAGCGGTGATGAAACTTAGGCCGTGATTGTGCTGTTCCAACGAGGTCAAAGTCCATCACAGGTCAAAGTACAAATGTGGGCACAAATGTCATCCCAGTAAAAGTAACTTCAAGGAATAATACGTGGTCAAGAAAGTTATGTACTACTCAACAAAGGTACCCATGAAACTTAGCTAAACTTACATTTGAAAAGTCTCATAACATTCTTCCTTTTCGATTCACACAATAAATGCAAGATCATTAAAGAATAAAGTGATAGAATTACGTAATTATACAAGTGACAATCTTATAGACATATTGATCGTAACAGAGTCTTGGCTGTCGTCAAATGATAACGTTGTGATAAACAGACTTGTCCCAGATGGCTGAAATTTCATGCAGCAACCACGTGAAAACAGAAGGGGTGGGGGTATAGCAATTCTTTTTAGGAATGGAAAAGATTTTAAAATGAAAAGTCAGAGATTTGGTCATTAAAAGAGCTTGTGAGCAATGTAACAGTGGAGCAGAAAATTTCTGGCCACTTTGCAATTGAATTTCAACTAGCCCTCGATAAGCCAAGCATTGAAAAGAAGGAAGTTACTTTCAGAAGGTTGAATCAGATAGAATTTGAAAAATTCAATTTAGACCTCCATGAAAAGTTTATAGATTTTGACAAGTTATGTGATATAAATGACCTCACTGCTTCATACAACAGAACATTGCGTGAAGTTCTTGATAAACATGCGCCTGAGCAAACAAAATTTATCACTTTGCGCAACAAGAATCAAGGTTTTTCACTTGACATCAGAAATGAAAAGAAAAAAAGGAGGCAGCTTGAGAGGCGCTGGAGAAGAAGTAGATCTGCAATAAATAGAGAGCTGTTTGTGCAGCAAAAGGAAAAGGTGAAGCAAATGTAGGAAGATTCAGATACAGAGTTTTACTCAAATTTGGTCATGGGGAATTCAGGTAATTCAAAAGATTTTTCAACACTCTCAACAAATTAATATAAAGGAAAACTGAATCCCAACTGCCAAAGCATGACTCAGCTTTACAGCTGGCTGGCGAATTTATGGAATATTTTTCAGCAAAGGTAGAGAAAATTCAAGTATTCATTGAGCAATCTGTGACTAATAGTGATACTGATTATGGTTATGAACCTTTTGAAAAATTGGAACATATGATATCTATGACAGCCTTTAGAAGTCTCCCTGAGGCAGATGTCAAAGATCTCATAATGAAGTCACCAGCAACTTTTTGTGATTTAGATCCAGTTCCAACATGGATTCTTGGTCGTTGCCAAGAAGTTGTTGTAAAAATTATGACTCAAATCATAAATAAATCACTTCAATCAGCAGCTATGCCTGAAGATTTGAAATTGGCATTACTTATTCCATTATTGAAAAAGAATGGACTTGAAATCGAGAAGCCTAATTTTCAACCAGTCTGAAACTTGCCTTATGCTTCAAAAATGATTGAAAGGGCAGTTGCTAACCAAATGGTGGAGCATATGAAGCAGAATAACTAATTTGAACCGTTACAATCAGCATACAGGGATGGCCATTGCATTGAGACTGCTCTGTTGAAAGTTCAAAATGATTTGCTTGTGGCTATGGACAATCAAAGGGTTTCAATTCTTGTATTCCTTGACCTTTCAGCTGCTTTTGATCCTGTAAATCATCGCTTGCTCCTGAAACGACTAAATAAAAGATGCGACGTAATGGGAGATGCGTTGAAATGATTTGAATCTAGGTGATCGTTGGCAAAAGGTTAATGTGAAAAATGTCACTTCAAAGAAATGAGCCTGTCACGTGGTGTTCCTCAAGGTTCAGTATTAGGACCATTGCTGTTCTTGGTCTATACATTGCCACTAGAAGATATTATGCGGAAGAAAGGACTAGAATTTCACATCGATGCTGATGATACTCAAACTTACATGTCGTTTACACCAAATGATGCAACATCCACCTCATTGTCAAGAATGGATGAGTGTATCGAAGAAATCGAATCATGGATACTGATAAACAGGCTTAAACTTAATGGTGACAAAACTGAACTGTTAGTTATTGGTACCAAGCAACGATGCAAGAAAATCCCAGACATATCCCTCAATGTTGGTGGCAGTGTCATTAAAGCCAATGAAAGCAAGAAATCTTGGTGTTGTTTTTTGATAGAAATTACAAGTGAACGCGCTGTGCAAATCAGCTAGATATCATTTACACAACATAACCCTTGCCTTACCATTCAGGCTTTGTTTTTATTTTTATTTTTTTGCCTCAATTTTGTTTTTCAATTTAGAGAAGCCATAGCCCCTTGAGTTGTTGCTGACCAATCTTGTTCGTCTTTAGTTTTGAAAAGACCCCTCAGCACTGGCAGCTTCAGCAACTATTTTTGATCGGCTCTATACAGATTAGAACCTTAAACAGTCTGGTTTCATGCATTCCCTTTTCTCGTTGTTTTTGGAAGCTTTTCAACAGAAGGCTTCTAAATACTAGACCGAGTTAAGGCATTTTGCGTTAAAATCTGGATTCTCTGACAATATATTTGACCTATCCTCCATATCAATTCTACTTTTTTTCTGTGGAAAAGAGTGCTGTTGAAAACAAGGCCTAAACGATTGAAGTATAAATGTTAGACATTTTTTTGAGAATGACAAAAAAGCAAATACCCTATATAGCGAATGGTAATTTTGCCGACTTTTGGACTCCAGGGGGGGGGCAACTGTCCCCTCGCCCCTTCCCCTTTTAACCGCCACTGGATCTTTTGACAGCTTTGACTTTCTCGTAATCACTCCAGGACATTATTGAAGCTTTGTGGCAACCAGAATTGATGTGCTTCGTTATTGCAACCTCTTTTCCTTGTGCTTTTTTCCATTGACGAAATCTAGTCTCGGTAAATGCCTCTTCAGTGTTACCATAACCAGGAGGACAGAAATGCGACAGGGAAAGCAAAACATGGCATCAAATTCTTGTGAATACTCGGCCCAACTGTAGCGCTCATACCAACTTGCTACGAATGATCTGCCTTGAGATGCCCTTTCACTGTGCTTTGGATTGGTCTTTAGCAGTGGCCTAGAGTATTAATCTCCAGGCTGTTGAGACATGTCATTTGGCGCCTCTTTCACTCCTGTATCTTCTTTTCCAGCCTTTTCAGCTTGTAGCTCCTTATAACTTGAGTAATCCTTGCGCTTTCTGAAACTTAAAAACCTATCCATAATTAAAAAACAAAACCCTTGAGGGAAAAAATTTCGATGAATAGCAGTAGTTTTCGCCAGAAGAACACCAGTCGTGAAGAAATCAGCATCGTCAGCATTCATAGCCTCATCATTACTGTTCATCTCATGTCTAAAATACCTTACTTTCCAGAGTTCTTCTTCAAAATATATGTTAACCAATACACCACTGAGCGCATCGCCTTATGGTTAGCATATATTGCTACTGAATGGCTCTGTCTCGGCGTTGTTTATTCTTACATCTAGAGCTGTATTTCTTTAATAAAACCTGAATCATTCTTACTTCGTTTTCGTCGAGAAACTTCTTTACAATGCCAATGAGCTGTTCACGTCAGATTGTGTCAAAAACGCAACTCATATTTGTGCCAGTGGTGTAAACTTTAATTTGTGATATTTATGTCTTTGCAATACTCCATTGGTATGCCCACATTATATCTGATGTACTACTACTCAGTGGAAATTCTGCTTGTAAATCTGTTAAGTGGTGTTCTACCTTAGGTTGAATGCGATGTAGAACTAACTATATTTGAGAAGATCTTTCTCAGTATTGGGAGTAAGTTGGTAACAGGGCTGTTGGTATTACCAGGCCCCGGCAAAGACACAATTATGCGGTCGTCCAATTCTAGTTCAATTTCTTTTTCAAAAGCTTCATTGAGGGAATTTTTAAGGCTTGGACAGGGTCAAGGGGCCATATTTTAACATTTCGACAGATATATTATCAATTCTTGAGGTTTTGTTATTTTAAGTTTATTAATACCGGCTTTTACTTGTTCTTTTGATATTTCTTTATTCGATTTTCTTGGCTGACCATCGAATGGATTCATACTACTAACATCGTCGTCGTTGAAATGTTTTTCGAAATGACCTCTGACTACTTTGTAGATCTCAGATGGCTTTGTTATTGTTCACACCGTAAACATAAGATTTGTGAAGGACTTTTGCTGCAAAATTTTAACTCACTTATATACCTTAGAAGCATCTTCTACATGATTGAGCTGACTAACTTTCTGATAAAGTTCTTGCTCCTTCTTTTGCTCGAGTCTATGCTTGATTTCATGAATCACTGATGCGCAGTAGGCATTAACAGATTTATTGCCGACAAAGATGAACATCATCATCATCATCAATAAATTAAAATGATAATAATCATCACCATTCCCAGGACGATGGTGCCTGGCTGAGGAACCAATCATTGGTCTGGGAAAGCCTCATTAGTGCCCTAACTTTTTCCAAGCAACAATTTTCCCTTTTGGCCAAAAGTACTTTGAAAAGTGCCACTTTTGCATGTCCCTATCATACAACGAAATGTTCCATTTACGTGGTGCCTACTTTTTTCAGCACGTCCCATTTCCCATTGACAGAAATAGGACAAATGGCGTTTCAAATGGATGAGGCAAAAGGGTTTCTCTCTTTACTCCTTGTATCCAAACTTTTTAGAGTATATGTTTGACAGAGGTACAGCTGGTGCATTAGCTTTCTTGTACCTTTAACCTTACTTTTAATCTTGTACGTTCAACATTTTAGGTAGTTGAAGATGCCAGCATATACGTTCATTTCTTTGGCATTCATTATATTACAACTCTGTCAAGCATGGAAAGAAGGTACTGAATAGTCTACTCCATCTTGTTTGTTATTCAAACTGTAGCAGATTCTTTGGATTTTCAAGATCCTCGCCCCACTACAAGTTATAACGACAGGGACTGGGGGAGGTATCCTCAACTCTTTTCCAAGACAAAGGACGTACTCACTAGAAAAATGTTTTTCATAGTATCAAGCTATTGGCAGAAAATGCAAGCAGGTCATTGAAAAGTAATGATATCAACTACTGCTACTACATTCAGATATTTTTCTGAAAAACTTCTTGCTTATGGCCGGAGGAATGATAAACAGGTTTTCTAGACTCTGCAAATAATTTCTAGTCTTAGATGTAAAAAATAGCCATTTTTGAATTTATTTACAGAACTGGCACCGGAGAGCAAGTTCCATTCAGCACTGCAATACCCACACATAAGCTTCCGTGGAGGCTTTAAGGCGAATGTGGCAACAGCCAATAACGTTCCAGCTAACTTTGATAACGAGAACTTCTTTGGCTATGACCAATTCAGCAACAATTATGGCGGAAAAGGCCAATGGAACCCTCAAGGAACCAATGATTTAATTTTGATCGATTGTCACGTCACAGGCGCCTGCCCTGCCATTGGAGAATGTACGGAGTCTTCACAGAAAGACACAGTTTGTGGCACGCCTGTAACAGGTAGATAAAAACATGCTTAGTATTTGTAGATGCACGATGTGTGTGTGCTGATTTACTGCTTGCTAACTTTATGCCCTTATCTTTTGTTTACTGCCAGCTCTTTAAACAGAGGCTGTATAATAGGACCGTAGGAAGGATGGGATCGTTGGAGAGGCACAATTGTTTCAGTGCAATAGGAATAAAATGGGTTTGTCAACTGGAAATAATGGAAACAACAGCTCGAAACATCTGACTGATTTGATTATTGTGCTATATTCACAAAATGGTCTGGTGATAATTACACGAATGGGGGGATGAAGGGTTTGGGAAGGTAAGGCGGACAATTTTTTATGTTTTCTGTCTTTATTTTGAAGCAAGATCTTTCTTATCAAAGAAACAAGGTTTGTCGTTTATGCTGAAAATTATTTCCATTTTGTTGTGTAAATGTTTTGTAATAGTTTTTTGTGCCACTTAATCACTACCCACAAGCATATTATGTTATTATTATTATTATTTCTTGAATTAGTCATTTATACAATTTTGCTCAAGGTACAACAAAAGTAAAAGAATATCGTATAATAGGCCTTGATTGTCTCTCCACCTATCCCCTTTTGTTAGAAGCCGTACGATGGAAACCTCTTCAAGTTCGGTAGTAGGAGTGAGATAACAGTTCAGGTTTAGGCAGGAATGAAATGGAATAAGATTTTGTTCCTATAAGCTAGTGTTGGATGAAATTCAGATAAGGGTTAGGGGAAAGGGGACAGGGAGAGGCTTAACTAACAAAATTTGCTAGTTAACCAACGACACTTTATATCAACAGCCCTGATATGTTTTTCTGATAGTTGATTTCCCATAGCACTGTCTTTACATTTCGTTTATAGAATGGTTTTGAAAAAAACAAACATTTCACAACATTCTACTTAAAGCTTTGTCGTCTGACACTCCTCAGAGTATAAACTGTCAGAATAAGGGTCCGAAAGAACACGATGGAAACTATATACCCAGTTGTGGATCAAAATAGGCCAATCAGAAAAACGCAGGCACATGACCGGCAAAGTTGGCCAATCAGTTCTGCGTGGCTATAGAAAACTACCACTGGAGTTCGAGAGAGAGAACAAACTAGTTTGTATGTAGATCGACTCCAAACCTGCTAGATGAAAAGACGACCGGGCTCTTCCAAGTTCCAATTATCTGAAACATGTTATTATAGAGTTTGAATAATCTGCGTTTTCTAAAAGGTGCTGTCGGATGGCATAGTCACTAGTTTTTATTGTGTTTTTAGACGTAAAAGATCAAGGGGGTTGTTTTCTTTTCAAGGGCCAGTTTTTTTCTTATTATTATGAAATGCTATTGTCGTGTTTTGGTTGTAAATGTCTTACCGTCACAGTAACTGCTGTTGACCAAATGACCAAATGTTGCCGAGTTTTCAGAAACATAAAAACGTAGAAACATAGGATACCATGAAATTAGATGGTCTTCTTGTTATTTATCCATGTAAATGAAACAGGAAAAAACGTGCCCGATCTTGAAAAAGATACATTTCTAACCAGTCTTCAAAAGAAGGAATTTGGAGCAGTTGCTCAGGTCTAAGGTGAACTGTGAAATGGTTTTTTAATTTTTTGGTCATCTTAATGCTCGTTTTCTTATCGACATTTTCTTGCTTTCTTATATAATTGAATGAATTTTTTGGTTAGATTTAATTCAAGGGTAGCCGATTAAACGGATTCTTAAAAGCATCTCATCGTTTATATCCTATATAAAATTGCTTATAAGATAGGGTTTATCTCCTAGCCGATCTTGAATCATTGTTTATGTGGAGAAGCATATTTTGCGCTGTTAGCCACCTCAGGAAAAAAATGCTAGGCAGGACATCCCTCGTTTATCCCATTTTTGAGGTACTCATAACAATATATATTTCGCATAACTGAATTGTTTTTCCATTTTGATTTGTAGATGGAGGTTTTCGTACATTTGCAAAGATGGTCGATTTAGATCCAGCATATCAAATTGTGCCCGAAATCTGGGGCATGAAGATGCTATTACCAGGGTTTTTTGAAGGAGAACTTGAAGCTACTCCTTTAACAGATTATTGGCTGCGTGGTGTTGGCCATGGTGACAACAGAATGGGTGGAGCCTACCGTTCGTATTTGAAAGACGTTATTTGGCATTCAAATGCTGAGTCTTCAACTACTGTAAGTCAAATGAAGAAAATGTTCCATGAACTTGGAAGTCATCGGTTGTCTGTACTATTTTATTTGGATAGCTACAAAATTAGTTTTCTGCACAGTGAAAAGGGGTTTGCTTTGGGACGAATCATTGGTACGATTGGGGTTTTGGGGCCTTTAAGTCCATCAAGAAGTTTATGGAGTCGATCCTTGGCAGCGATCCACAGAATACCTGACGATGGAGACTTTCAACTTGACAATACGAGCTCCGTTTTTTATACCAATGATGCTTCATTTGTTGTGGACAAAAAGCAGAAAAAATTATTCATCAACTTTGAAAACAGCTTGATGACTGATCAGAATGGAGACCCTAAATCTTTTCCACATAATACAAAAATTGGATATTTTAAACAGACGTATGGACTGAATACTACAAAAAAGTCAAATTGCAGCCATTCAACTATCATTCTTGACGACACCTCTAAACTTAATTTTACAAACCTCTTCTTGAACTTTGGTGGAATTTTAAGCTTGGCTTTGTCTGATAAGCAGACAGAAGATTTAGACAGTGTTCCTTTATCTGTATTTCAGGTAAGCAAAAACAAATTTTTGGTTTTGTATTTAAAATGTAATGCAAATAAATTATTCATTTAATGAATGAATTATTGAATAAATGAATTAATAAAAATGAATGAATGAATGAATGAATGAATGAATGAATGAATGAATGAATGAATGAATTAATTAATTAATTAATTAATGAATGAATGAATGAATGAATGAATGAATGAATGAATGAATGAATGAATGAATGAATGAATGAATTAATGAATTAATGAATGAATGAATGAATGAATGAATGAATGAATTAATGAATTAATGAATTAATGAATTAATGAATCAATGAATGAAGGAATGAATGAAAATTCCTCCTGTTGTCAGATCTGTTATAAAACGATAAGAAAAATCCACTATTTAGGCCTATAGAGAGGGAAACCCAGCCCTTCTTAAAGGGCATCTCCAGCCAAAATTTGCAATTGCATTTTATTGGCTAATCTAAAGGAAGTGAACCTGCTGATCACGAATTCGTTCTTCGTTTTTCGATATTTTGTACAGTTTGTGAGATATAAGCTCTTGCATTTCGATAATTGAATTGAATTAACCGACAAAATATTTTCGGTTTGGTGACACTGTGACGCAATTTTGACGTCACAGTGTATTTCGTTAGTCTCGCCTCAAACCGAATCGAACGTCGGCGATTCGCAAATTGAACACTGCAATTGTTGTTGCTCTCAGTTCTGTTCCACCGGCTTTTAGTTTGAGCATTTCAGTTGAACATTTCAGATATCAATTCTGAAGCCTTTAGTTGTTCATCGTTTCTGGAAAACAACTTGAAGTGTCAATTTCGATTAATTATACGCGAGGGAAGAGCTGGAACAGGAAGCCGTAGCTTTGTAGGCCTACACAGGTGATCAAAACAAAGTCGTCACACAGCATGGACACATTCCGACCCGCAAACTTAGAATAATTGTAAACATTTAATATTTTTCGATCCTAAAAAGCACCTGCTGTAGATTTAGATGCAGTTATCAACGCGTGACCATGACTCCTTCACGATTCGGTGGAAGATATAAGAAATTCATGACGAACGAGAGCCGCACACTGTGACGTCAGAATGTCACAAAACTGATTCGGCTTTTGTCGTTTTTTTCTCGGAAAGGTGCAACTTTAAAGCCTTATAACTTCTAAACTAATTGAAACTTTGCAAAAACGACAACTTTGCCATAATACACCCACCAGATGCTAACTTTTTAGTCAATAAAAAAAATTTTTTTTTTAGCTGGAGAGGCCCTTTAACAGCAGAGTACGTGCTTGGTTCGATGAATCCTGAGTAAGAAAACTCCATTTGGGAAACCCTTTATTATGCTATTATATTCTCACTGTGTAGAATTGCCAGAGGTGTGCCATGGGCGTGGTGGCAGTGTACTTGATGTCATCGGTTTGTTACTTGATGCTTTGCCTGTTGCTTGACATGGGAGGCAATGTTCCATTTGCTCTTAAGTGAATTTGTCAATGAATGGGAAATATATTTTCTCTCTAATTAACATCTTTGTTTTGGTAATGCCCATGTGTTCTTGGTGTGCTCAGTCTATGGCTTTCTTGCGCAATGTTCCCGGAATAATTATTTGGTTGTTTGTGACGTTATTAGCCTCGTATTTATGTTATGTTGGGCATGCGCCCGTTTTGTTATGTTTTGTTATGCGTGAGAATACAAAATGGAGTATTGAAGTTCGAGTTCGGGTGTTCTTTCGTTGTTATATACCGGATAATCTTACATGGTGTCAGGTGAAACACCCATCTTTGATGTCTAGGAGGTAAATGAGTACTTTGCTGGTTCTTGTTTCGCGATGACAGATCCGGACCCAATCGTGCCTGGGCCTAGTGTTCCTCTGAAGGAAATAGCGGAACATCGGCGTTCATATCTAACGTTCCATTACCCCTACGATTTAGCTTAGAAGGGAATTTGGCAGAGAATTGGAAGCAATGGAAGCAAATTTATGATGCGTACGAAACTGTTACGAATTTGAAGTCTAAACCAGACAATTTTCGAGTGGCTGCTTTCATCACTTGCATAGGACCGGAAGCTCTTCGAATACACAATTCACTTCCGTACCAGGAGGAGGGTGAACGTCAAAACATTGAGCAAATCTTCGAATTATGGAATACTTACTGTATTGGAGAAACAAATGTAATTTACGAACGGTATAAATCTAATAATTGTACACAGGGACCTACAGAGTCAATTGAAACTTATGCGGCTTCTTTGCGTGCCCTCGCAGCCACATGTGCATTTGGGCCACTTAATGATGAGTTGATACGTGACCGAATTGTTTGTGGCATTCACAAAAATGCTGTGCGACGTAAGCTACTGCAAGAACCAAAACACTCATTATCTAAATGCATTGACTTATGCAGGGCCACAGAAACAACTACTGCTCAAGCAAAAATAATGGCTGGCCAAAATGATAATCGTGACCTCATGGCCCATTATGTTGGAAAGCAAAGCAGCCCAAGGTTTTATTTAAGCTGGAGACACAAGAGGTTTTATTTCCGACTGCAAATTTTGTGGGTGTAGCCATAAAAGAAACAAAGAGAGTTGCCCAGCCTTTGGCAGATATTGTTCCGGTTGTGGTAAGAGAAACCATTTTGTTGAGAAGTGCAGCTTGAAGAAATCACCAGGTATGAGAGATACATTTTCTAAAGCCAAAATACATGCAGTGAAGGAAGAAAACACTTCAAGTGATGATGAAATTCTCATTGTTGAAATTTCACCCAAAAATAATTTGGCATCAATGCTGTGTCCCAGTCCCCTCCTAAGAACAAAATTTTTGCCTCCATGATTATAAAAGGCAGTCAAATTAGTTCTCAACTTGACTCAGGTGCTACCTGTAATGTCCTTCCAGAACACTTCGTTCCTCCAGGTACAAAAGTTGAAAAATCGGATCACTCTTTGCGCCTGTACAGCCAAGCCTTATTACCGATAAATGGTATTTGTAAACTTAATTTAGTAAACCCAAAGAACCAGACTGAGTACACTGTCAGATTTGTTGTTGTAAAAGATGACTATGTACCATTATTAGGAGCTAATGCAGCAGAAAAGATGGGACTACTGACTGTTAATTATGCTAATATCTTTAACGCAAATGTAGATAATGTTAGCTCTAACAGTATTGCTTCAAACAGCACACATCAAGTGGCACAACCAACGGTTGTCATGGAAACAGTTTTATCGACTACTGCAGAGGCTCCTCAGGGTGCCATTTGGAATTAAACCAGCTTCAGAACATTTTCAACACAAATTTGATCAGTGCATTGAAGGCCTATCTGGGGTGTATGCAGTCGCTGACGATGCTCTTGTTACCGGAAGAGGAGAAACTTACGAAGAAGCTGTCAAAAATCATGACATGAACATGCTGGCACTTTTGAACGTTGTCAACAAAAAAACATCAAGCTGAACAAGGACAAATTCAAGTTAAAGTGCGATGAAGTTTCCTTCATTGGTCATACCCTAACACAGAATGGTCTTAAAATAGACCCGCAAAAGTTGAAGCCATCACAAAGATGAGCAAGTCGAAAGATGTCGCTGGTGTACAAAGGTTCATTGGCATGGTAAAATACCTGGCCAGGTTTCTTCCCAGACTATCTGAAGTATGCGAACCTCTGAGAAATTTGACCCACAAAGATGCACCATGGGTATGGAGAAAATATCATGACAAGACTTTTGCTGACATACAAAAATCAATTTGCGAGGCACCAGTTCTAAAGTATTTTGACCATAAGGCAGCAACAGAAGGCCAGGCTGATGCGTCATCAAAGGGGCTTGGTTTCGTGCTCATGCAAGAGGGACGTCCAGTGTCATATGCAAGCAGAGCCCTCACCCCTGCAGAGCAAAATTACAGCCAAATAGAGAAGGAGCTGCTTGCACATGTATTTGGAGTGGAACATCACCATACCTATGTCTATGGCTGTGAGATTACACTTTGGACGGATCACAAACCACTTGTCTCAATCGTCAGCAAACCGCTCGCCTCTGCTCCAAAGAGACTGCAAAGGTTGCTACTAAGATTGCAATCATACGATGTTAAAATCTGCTATAAACCTGGCAAAGAAATTGTTCTAGCAGACACACTCTCTCGTGCATACCTGCAGACAAGTGAGAGACAAAAGTCCGCAACTGAAAAAGAAGTTGAAACTATCCACATGTCAAATTATCTCCCCATCTCTGAGCCACAGCTGAAGGAAATACAGCGAGAAAACCAAATGTGACAGAACTTTACAAGCACTGAAAGAAATAATTTTGAATGGGTGGCCAGAAAGAAAAGAGACCCTTCCTTGATGTATTCATCCATACTTCTCAATTAGAGACGAGCTAGCAACAGAGGATGACGTAATATTCAAGGGTCAGAGAGCAGTTGTTCCAGAAACACTGCGCAAAAAGATCCGGGATGAACTGCATGTAACACACACAGGAATACAGAGCTGCCTCAGAAGAGCCAGAGAAGCAGTCTATTGGCCTGACATGAACAAAGATCTTATCGACTTCATCTCGACATGTGAAACCTGTAACACATTCCAGAACTACCAGGCCAGAGAGCCCCTTATACCTCGTGAAATCCTAGGCCGCCCCTGGCAAATAATTGCTGCTGACATTTTCACTGTCAACAACAAAGACTTTCTCTGTACCGTGGATTGCTACTCCAATTACTTTGAGATAGGTCTATTTTACAAAACTGCTGGGGAATTTGAGAAGAAGCTCAAGCGACACTTCTCTACTCATGGCATACCAGGTGAGCTCATGAGTGACAACGTACCTTTCTTCTCTAAAGAATTTCAGGATTTTGCCAAGGAATATGAATTTACCACCGAGCTAAGCTCGCCAGAGTACGCACAAAGTAATGGCAAAGCAGAAAATGCCGTCAAACCTGCAAAGATGCTAATGTAAAAAGGGACTGAATCTGGCAATGACTTCTATCTCGTGCTACTAGAATGGCGAAACACGCCGTCTGAGGGGATGGAAAGCTCTCCTTCCCAGCGTATATTTAGCAGACGAGCTAAAACACTGCTTCCCATATCGAAGAAGCTCCTTAAACCAAAGGTTGTCACTGGTGTCCAAAAAAAACTTCGAAATAGGAAAGAGATACAATCAAAGTATTATAACAGAGGCACAAGTGAGCTAAGTGCATTAAAGAAAGATGATTTAGTCCGGATAAAGCCAAGAAATTCTGACAGAACAGGCCGCTGGACCAAAGGATGTGTCATAGAGCAAGTTGGTGTAAGATCTTAAAATGTAAAAACCGAAGATGGAAGGATCTTCAGACAAAATCGAAAGTTTCTACGTCAAACCAAAGAGCCATTCTTTGCAGATGAAGAAGATTCAATCATTTTCCCCAGAAAGGAACGAGAAGAAGTAGCTCGACCTTATGAAGATCACCAATCTGAAATGGAGCAACTTGATCCGCAAGATGCACCTCACGCACGACCTGATGCTACTGAAGAAGAGACAGCAGCCGCCAGAGCTGCTGAGACCAGATTTGATCACGACAAGGAGTGGCAGGATAGTAATTCGGCCTGACTACCTCGCTGGCCACAACTTCTGATTAGCAAACTTTAAAGACAATTATTTTTATTATGTTACTGTTCTGTTTATTATTTGTTGGAGGAGAGGTGTGACGTTATTAGACTCGTATTTATGTTATGTTGGGCATGCGCCCGGTTTGTTATGTTATGCTTGAGAATACAAGATGGAGTTTTGAAGTTCGAGTTCGGGTGTTCTTTCGTTGTTATATACCGGATAATCTTACATTGTTTTTCAATAAAAGGTTTCCTTTCACTGTCAAAGTTTGCTTCATGGAATAGAAGATTTTCCCGGAGTTTGCATCCCGGAGTCTCCTAAACCTCTCGGCGGCCAACCAGTTGATTTACTACAATGAAAATATCGATTGGAAAGGTTTTTTATTTGCTATGGTAGAAGCCTGCCCTTAAAGCGTGAATAATGTTAAAAAAAATTTATGATGATTTGTGGAGCTGGAAATTTTCCTTAGGACAAGCTCTGGCCCATCCCCCCAATAATTTTTAAATTGTGCTTAAAACCATTTACAAAAATTCGTCCTGTTCTTGGTTTTAGCATGCTTAGCCTCTCAAAAAATATTTAACCTCGGAATCCATAATTTGCTCTGCAGTCCTCGATCCTAATTCTCAGCCATTGCTAGGCAAAACCCCATTCCGATTAAGTTTTTCAAACAACCTGCTCAATGTGGTCATAAATTTTCAAACGCTCAATGTATTGTTCATCCCAGTCCCAAAATGAAATCACCGAATGACAGAAAGTGGTTTAAAAATTTAATCTGTAATGAAATACTCATGTGATTTTAGCATTTTCAATAAAATGCCAGAAAGAAGGTATTTTTGACATTCAGTAATAAATCACTTTCCACTGCTACTTCAAACTGGTCCTTCGTATAGAACGTTTGAGTAGCTGTAACTTGTGTATTTGAAATCTTTATTCTACTAGAAAGTGTCATATTCTTTTAATTCAGGTGAAGGGCACACGATGTCGGCTGATAATGCAAGAGTACAGCGATGGGATTCTCGTTAAAGCATACAACAAATGGGTATTTCGATTAGAAGCAAAAGAAACAATCACAAGTGATGTATTTGTAACCAAATTCGGAAAGCCCCTTCCGAACACTGCTGTTGCAGTTTCGCCATATAATAGCCTTTTCGACAGTGTACCTGGTTCTGGGAAATTTGAAAATGCCAAATTTAGTAAGAAAGTGTTTTATACCAATATTACAGGAATCGCAACGCTAAGAATACCAACTATTAGCTCTAATTTCAGGAGGAAAAGTTTAGATGGGAATTTAGAAGGCTACTACTTCTACGTCCCTTCAAGTAAAATGCATGCTGCTAAGGTGCATAAAAGATTTTCCATGATTGTTGCCCGTGTATACTCGCAATTTTCATATCCCGAAGACATCACATGGTCTGACCACATAAGGCCAATTTTCCAAACATACGCGAATTTGTTTCCTGTAATGAATAGCAGAAGTCTTGACCTCGGCAACTACTTCGACGTTGTTGAGCACAAATCCATCATAAGCACATCAATGTCACTACCAATGTCACATCCAAGTTTTATGCCAGCAACTAGAGACCTGAGCAAAAAAAAGAGGAGAATGATTTTGAAGTGGCTTGCTCAAGAGAGACCCAAATTGGGCAACGTGTCAGTTCTATTTACAAAGCATTATCTGCTACAGCTTCTTCAAACAGCGTTAGAAGTTACCCATGCCAGCTTACCCCCATTCTTAAACGCACTTTGGTCCATCAAGGGTAAATACAACAGAAAGGTTGCATCAGTCATTAATAAAGTCATTAATCATGAAGTAAATAAGATTGGCATCATAGCCTCTTTAATGTCGACATTAGGTGGAAGAGCCAAATTTGTCCACAAAGATTTTCTTCCCTTTTACCCCGGTCGGTTTCCGGGTGGAATACAAAGTGAGGTGCTTCTCTCAGTTGAAAAGCTATCTGCAAAGCTTTTTCGCAGTAGTTTGATGAAAGCAAAGCGTCCTGAGATAAACTACCTAAGCTTATGGTTCAGGAATGCAGTCTTTCAACTTTCTTTCTTTAAAAAATATAAAAGATGCGTTGGAATGTATGCTCGTCAAAATCCAAGTTGCAGGCACAAAAGGCTCTTAAGAACGAGACATTACTCAAATATTCTTGCAGGGAAGATGAAGAGAAAGTGTAACTTTGCTACAAAAACTTTCTTGGCTGAATACTTAGAGAAGCTTAAGATGGAGAAACCAAGAAGTTCCTTTTTAGATCCTCAAGATCGAACACTATTCCAATATCATTCATCAATTAACAAGCTCTTTGATCATATTCTATTTGTTCTATCATACATAACAGGGTGTGGATCGAATGACACTTTATTTCGTGCGCCAAAGAAATGGCCATTGAAAATACCACGCAGATCAATTTTCGGTTCCATTCCAGTCATAAGCGATTATTCTTCAGCTGTCGATGCGATTAGACGTCTTATGAGAATAACAAATAGTTTTGATACAGGAGTTGAATCACAGTATAAATTGTTGCTTTCAATTGTGCAAGAATCGTCTTCCTTGCCGGTTTTCAAGCCCTCAAAGAAGTTTCCAAGATCTGCATTTTATGCAGCAAATGCCTTGGCAGAGGTTAGTTGAGACATACTAAGTTAATCTCAAATTTTACTTCCCTATATTAACTATTATAATAAAAAGTCCATCCAATAAAGTAGCTGCAATCAAATTTTATAAACAGATGCTTCAAAACTCTTATATTTATTTATATAACACATCGGATCAAAGAAAAATAAGATAAAACAAACACAGTATCTGAGTTTTCACAAACTCATAAAATAACTCATAACATAACATACCATAACGAAGATTATTTGCACCACAACTGCCTCATCGACTGTACAAGGGTTCAAAAGTCTTTATATTTTGTGACATCAGAGAGATGAAACTTAAAGCCATCAACGTGAGATTCAATGAAAAATTTGACTAATCATAGCAGGAGCACGTGCATCCCACCTATCTTTCAAGTGACTTTAATTTGAATCGAAATTTTTACTCTCTGAAGATTCTAACAATGGATTTTTTTTCTTATCGTAAGGCTGGGTTTTTCCGTATGTTTGCTTTTGGGGTCAGTTATTTGTGTGTAAGATTGCTTCAGTGATTCTGACAAAGCTAATGAAATTTTTTTGCAGATTGCAGGTTTCTTTGTTGTGTTCTTCTGTAGCAAGTTTGATATCTGTTCGATGGGATTTTCAAGTGATCCGCTGACTCTGTTTCTCTTTCAAATTTTAGAAATCAAAGCACAAAAGTCAAATAGATGTACCTATCGCAATGGGCATTGCAGAGCATGGCGTCTGGCCTATAGCCTCCAATCCAAAGATTCACCATTTCCCCAACGGTACTCTCCGCAATACGGCGATTGCTTTTAACGATATTTACACAAGTTTTTTAGTCTACTGTGAACTGTTATTCAAAACTTCAAATGACACTTTAAGATGGAAATATCTTGAATCTGTTGATAAACTGGCAACTGCAATGCGAGTTTTGGGGAAGAGGCTTGTCCAGACACCAATTCATAAGAGAGGAAATAGATATGTTGGCCCAAACGGTGCACCGACGTTTGAAATCGATTTCCAATTTGGATTTTTACTAACTGTATCGCATTCTGACACGCTAAGACAGTTGGAAAAGGCTAAATGGAAAGTAAACGTGTACGCAAAAGAGAGAGAGAAATTTATGAAAAAAGGCATAAACTCGTACATTCTAACATTGGATTCCACATCGAAAAAAAAATATTCTGTTCCAGTAAGCGAAGAAGACAGAGATGTTTTTAGGCCTTTGGCTGAAAATCCTTTAGTAGACGTTACTGCAGCTTACGATAGTCTCTAAAATTTTTGTTTTGAGACAAACAGTTTCTGCAGGCATCAGATTCGATACCTGCACAATTTCCATTTTATTTTTTTTCCATTTAATTTTTTAATCAAATTTATTGAAGGATAGGGGGAGAGCACTCTCTGCGATTAGTTTGCCTATTGAGAAAGCTCGACCTTTAAGTAATTCGCTCCATACAATTTATTTCATTCCTATGTATTGTATGTTGTATTAATTTTCTGGAATATTTTCCATTGTAGTTTAGTTACTTGCTAGTATAGTAAATTCTATATAAATTGTATGCAGTGAATTTAGAATATATAAAACTGAAACTGAAACTGAAACTGTTATTTGTGTTTTGTGTCATGATAACGAGAATATTGAGAACAAGCGGTATGTGAAGCGTCTACCCGATTTGGTGTACAGGGGCGGATCCAGAGGGGTGCGAAGGGGGCTCGAGCACCCCTCAGATTTGAGAAAAAACTTTTTGGGGATTAAAGCTTATTCTACCGCAATTTTGTTTATTATTATTTAAACCATTTAAATAATACCGGGAAGTATGCACATCTCCTGAAATTATTATTTCCGCTTCAATGCCCCGTCTCACAACTGTTCAACATTGTTATTTCAGTGAATGCATTGAAGTGTTATGAAACTCCCCCTGGTTGTCCTGTATAGCATTCTACAGACTCGGAAAGCATTGTCTCCTCTTATATCCAGCCACTTAAGGAACCCGTGGCCTGTAAATTATACGAGTTTCTGCACCCGTGGAAGTGAATCTAGCCAATCACGGTGCCAGGTCGAGGGGTTCTAAACTTTGGCGCGAGAACCCATGAATTTCAAAAATCCAAAACATCAAAGAATACCGACCAAACCAGGGGGAGTTTTCTTCGCTTCAATCTACAGTCAATCTTCAATCTTCAATCTACAATCTACAGTATAAGTGGTTTTATGACCAGGGGGAGTTGAGGTTGACCAGGGGGAGTTGAATTATGATACAGCACGCGACGAATGCTTAGGCGCAAATTTGCAATATGTTTTCGTGGATCTTTTGACGATCTTTACCTGATGCTCGACTCGATGCTGTAACGGCAGAACTTGTACACGCTTTGGTTAATATAACAGAACGGTTCCAAGTTTCAACTCCGTGTTTCACGTCTTATTCATAGACCATGAGGTATGATTTATCTTCAGAGGATAAAGCTTGCCCGAGCCCTTGTTGTTCTTTTTTTTTAATCATTCAAGAACTACATACAAAACATCTCAAAAACTTGCCCTTACTATTCTTGACCAAAAGGGGTTTCCTTCTTATTCCTACTTATATTCCTACGAATACTTTTTTCTCTAAAGATTTCAAATTCATAAAAATACTCAAAACGGCAGGCCCATAGCGAAACGTTCAGGGCCTTCTTTGTTTGGTTTGGCGTCATATGTCGATGTTTGAATCCCTGTGTTCAACTTTTGTCCAATTTTTTTCTATTTAATTGTCCTATTTTCCCGTGCACTGCACTTCAAGGGCTTCATTCCACCAGCCACGTTATTTTTTTGGTCAAGCTGATCAAGTTCTAATAAATGGCTGCAAAGAGTCAAAAATTGAATTTTGCTTTGAAAATTTGTGGGCTCGGGCCTTTTGCCACTGCGGGCCATCATATCATATTTGACTACAGTTTCTATACTTTTGTACCCTAAGTGAATATAAGAGGACGAGCTGCAAATTGCGTTCAATTGGCATAAAAGCTGAAACCAAAAATTACTATATAAATCAAGGCATCCAGGCTTTTTAGTTTATGGAAGACTTTCATTTCGTTATGGCTTATTAGCAGGGGTACGGAGTGTGTGCATAGCAACACCCTGGGTTACCAAGCCTTACGTTTTAGAACCCCTCAGAGCCCCTAGTGTACTCTACCTTTCTTTAGTTAACAATTCTCAAGAATCTCATCAAATTCACGCTAAAAAAGGTCGTTCGATATTTCCACACGTGATCAGTTGCTGGATTTGGCAACTAGGGGGAGGGGGGTTTGATCAAATTCCAGTAAGTGATCATTGGTGGAACTATTAGAAATGACTGAATGTTGAAAAGTTGTAATGGAAACTGGCAATAATTGATTTTTCGCAAAGCTGTCCCACCGTACCTCTATATTTCATATTTTGGGCTTTTCATGTAATATAGAATATTTATTTATTCTGCCAAGGAAGGGGGGAGAGACTGAAAGTCAGCGACCAGATGTCACTAACTGATCAGTCAACCGTTTAGAGTTTTCGGTAGGCATTATGATCGAGAATTAGCCTTGCGTTGCTGATTGGATACTTAACAATAGGTCTATTGTGTAGTCCAACCAATGCGAAATTTAAGTGGCTAGCAAAATGCATGGGGGCCTTTGAATGAAATTGAAGTATATGGTACATTTTTAGTTTCGATTCCAAGAACGTGTTTCACTTTTGTTTACTTAAGCTACAAACAGTCACAGCATCGTAATAATCTCAAAACTAGTCATAAAGTGTCTATCATTCAGTTAAAGCAGTACCCTGGGTACCAGACTCACTATATATATAGTGAGTCTGGTACCCAGGGTATTAAAGCAGGTGTGTCCAACATACGGTCCGCGGGCCAGATGTGGCCCGCAAGGGCATATTTTGTGACCCGTGGTAAGTCAATGAATTTTTATGATTCATTATTAGGCATACTTTCTCATTTTTATAAGCAGAAGTTTCCATTACGGTTTAGCCTGCGTGCAGTCTCGGAAATTGAAAAGGGAGAAAAAGTTTTTCTCCTCTTTTCAATTTGTCAACAGAGTCTGCACGCAGGCTATTACGAAGCTGAACAGAACAAGTCAAAGCTACATTCTAAGCATACAGGGAAACATTTACATGGCTTTCTTCGCACGTCAACTACAAGTTTAATATGTGTTATGTGAATAAACGTTCTGCAAAAAAGAAATTTTAAAATTTCGCATTGCTACCTTTTCATGTAAATATTTTTGTAGCACTTCATGTATTTTCTATGCAACTGTAATTATTAATCCATCAATTCATTAACTGTGCAGTAAGAATTTCTCTATGGCCCACCCAAAAATGAGTTGGGCACCCCTGAGTTGAAGGGTGGTTTTATAATGAGCCGAAGGAAAAGCCAAACAATTTCCAAATTATGAACAATCCGGTACTTTGAAAACTGCTCGTGCTAATTTGGGTAGAGGGTTAGCTAAAATGATAGGGAGGGGACCTAAGCCCCCTTCGATCCCCATTACCGCCATTCCTGTTAATAATCTCAAACAAAGCAACTTCTAAATCTTGGCAATATAGCAATTTATTACTTTTAGTATAAGAATACTTTATAAAACGAATACCTTTTTTTATTTCCCATATCGGTTTGTTTGGCGTTTGGAAAAAAGTAATATTGTTATGTTTTTGAACATGTATTATTGGCTTGTCATCCAATAATTTGGTATATTCTTGGAATGTAATGGTGACATTTTGTCCAGATAAAAACAACATCAACCTTTATTATGGGGCATATAGACCAGGCGGAGAATAGGGGAATGGTCGCTCGAGGGCGAAATTTACGGGACCAAATGCTTTTGGTCAATTCGAGGGTGCTGATTTCGGAAATCGATGTTGTACGGGGATGTTGGGGGCCACAAGATGTGCTTTGATTTCTATGAAATACAGAAACCACCTGAAACATCAAACCACCTTGGAAATCATAGAGATTTTGTTTGCATGCAGAATATAAAGCCTTGTGTTTTATTCACATGGCGGCAGAAGACTGAGATTTATGATCTCTTAATGTCTTTCGAACTTCTGCACAAGCAATATATGTCAGAGAAGATTTACTCAACTTTGAAACGATTAAACTACGTTTAGATGATCCCGTTGTTTTTTATAGTGTCATTTATCAGTTGGTAATTAATAGCGCTGCATAGTTCCTTCGGACGACGATTCAAAAGATGTATTCAGCTTTTTAGATGCCTATTTAAAGATGAAAATTTTAAGATTACGCAATTTTCTCGTTGAAACGAGGCTTTTGGCCCCCCTAACAGACCATTTTTCAATTTTAAGCATTTATGCGCAAAAAACATGCTTAATTAAATTTAAGACTTTAACTTTTTTATATTAAAACTGTTTTTTCATTGATTTCTTTCCTAAACGCAATGACGAGACTTCAAACATGAAAAAGAGGCTGATGGCCCCCAAAATCGCTGTATAAGATCGATTTTCGAAATCAGCACCCTCGAATTGACCAAAAGCACTTTGTACCATAAATTTCGCTTTCGAGTGACCATTCCCCTATTCTAATTGGCTTGCGCTAAATCACTTGGCCTCTCTCTCCGTTGAGCCAATCACAGCCCCGGAAAGTGTAAACAAACTTAGGCAAAAGCCAAAAATTGGCCATTTTTACCAACCTCCATAAAAAAGTAACGTGTAAAATCTGCTGCAATAAATTCCAAACTTTTAACCATAGCGCTATACAGATGAATTTCCCCCAAATCTGCCGTGAAACATGACCCCTATGCTTTTATCATCCTCTATACAACTCTGATTCACTTATTTTTTATTTAGTCAGTAATATTGGTGAGAAATGTTTCGGGAAAGGCCAAGCAGACCTTTTGCTTAGCCCTAAAGGCTGGTTTCCACTTAGGCGAGAGCTTCAGCGAATTCGTCAGCGATTGGAATATCTTTTGTTCTTTCCGGGCGTGGGCGAATTCGCCAGCGAAATTTGAAAGTTGAAGGGGGTCAACTTCTCAGCGAAACACGGCTTTCTTCTGAACGGAATTCGCTGGAGAATTCGCTGAAGAATTCACTGAAGAATTCGTTGAAGTGGAAACTGGCTTTAACAAGAGAAAGAAAGGAGGGGCTAATAAGAGCGGAAGATGCTATCCAATTTGTTGATTTCACATCAAAAAAGTAGACTGTTAAGTTTAAGAAAGTCGATTTTAAGGGCCTTTGAAGCAAACAAATAGTAAAGCATCTAAAGAGTTTAAGCTCTTGGAAGCTTTTGGAACAAAAGATGAGATGTAGAATAGAGTCCGTAATTTCTGCAGGTATACTTTGAAATTGTGGACCTGGGAAATTTTTTGGTGTTTCAGTTTTGGTGTTGCATGTTTTCTTAAGTTTTTCCATGTAAACGACGCAAAAATTTGCTGAAGGCAAGCTTTTTATCTAGAGAAAAAAGAAACATCCTTTTGCTAATATCTGTAAGCAAAGAATTATATATAATTTGCAAGTAAGTGATAATTTCTTTCAAATCGTCTTAAAGTATTCAAATAACATGTCTTGTTTGCACTTCACATTTCCTTCTATTACACCAGTTTGTTCGCAATTTTCCCAAAGCAAAGTTGAATGTCGTAGAAGTTACCTTTCCCATAATCTACCATTTGCACCTCCATTAGCTTCAAAACAATGTTTATAGTCTAAAAAGAATCCATAAAATTCACATTAAAAACCATGTTTTCAATCATCTTGGTGCAGTAATGCCCACTGAACTCCTCTCAGCATCTTACACCCTGTCTAGCATTATACGCCACTTCATTTTTAAACAAATGTCGGTAAAGGAAGGAGGAGCAGGGGCGGGTAAACTGGATATTACAAATGCCTTTCTTGTTACTGGCTCGGTCACGTCAAGTTACTAATTAGACTATTGTTCCAGCTATTGTTCTCGTTAACCAATCCACTTGTGCATTGGTCATCAAATTCTTGAATATTCTTAATGACAACAGGCCTAGGAAAATAAGAGAACAGTGGATTCTCCGTTACGTAAACTTAATACCACGGCAAAAATGTTCAACGTCACTTACGAATGCTGCAAGTTTTTGTTTCAACGGTTACTTTGAATTTTGCCAAGAAAAAGCAAATTGAACTAAAACCAATATGATTGCACTCTTGTCTCATACAACCCGGCGAGTCTCTAGATAAACGCTGCAATGTGAAATCAACGCTGGGCTGGAGAAGCTCGATCCAGCCTTTTTTGAGATCAGTGGGGTGACCTTAATCCCAAGTAGGCCTTCTTTGCTTACAAGTTATGCCTTAACTGAAACCAGTTTCAGCAGCCTTTTTGAAATTGTGTTTTATTGCCTTTTCCCACAAGGAAAAGCCCATTTCGCTGCCTTTTGTTTTTAGCTCATTTTTATGCGCGACATTCATTGAACTTCTTTTACAAGTATTATACTATATAGACTGCTTTTTGAAGATCTTTATTTGCTTTTTTATTTCCAGGTACGAATGCTTTCTGGTACCTAGTACCCAGCTCTTTATTTTCTTTTTATTTCTGTTTTAAGTTCCGAGTGGCGCGAGCTCGAACTGGTATGTGTCTGCTCACCGTGGCAGAGAGGCATCAGTTATCCACTGCACCACAAGGAAACTACACTCTTTTTTATAAGAACCAGTAAATTAAAGTTCAGGCTGACTGTTCTTGATTTTTTCGAAAATCTGAGGCTGGATTGTTCTTAAATTGTTCCTAAATTAAGAGGGTGTAAGCAGTGCAATTGCTAGCTTTTTCGCTCTAAGTAGGTGTTCAGGCCTCATTTGCCAACAAAGTGAGTGAGACAGCCTTAATTTGCTGACAAATTTGAATATTCACCGAAAAAGCACCCATACATTGCTAAAAATCCTCGATTTTTAGAAAAAACGTTGTTCAAAATTGCATTTTGCAGAAGCTCAGCCTTAGCTTGTTCTTAACTTTTGACCAGTTTTGAGGCTCGTGTTCTTATAAAATTGTTCTTATAAAAAAAGAGTGTACGACACCACTGGGACGACACGTGTTTGTAAAAGAAGAGGAGTTTCCCCTTATAATTTTTGTTTTCAAGGGAGTATGTTTGTCTATTTTGAGATCCCGATAACTGCTTGTAGGACAGCAGTAGACATGATCAGCAGTGGCGGAGTGGCTATGTTTTCCCTGGGGTGGCCAAGTCGATTTTTGCGCCCTATCTATATATCGTAGTTTTATAAAAGCACGTGTTTCTAGAAGAGAAATCACGGTAGGCAAAACATAAAATACTAATCAAAAGACATTCTATTCAATTACACTGATGTGTACATACCGGCTGGTGGGTCCTCATAGATAGACCAAAAATAGAGCAAATTTTTGTTTGGGGCTCCTCAGATTTTTAGCTAAAGGTAGCCATAGTCTATTCACTATTTACGGCACTTCCTATGGACCATTTTATCAAAATTGAATCTGGAGAGTTAAGAATAAAGTTTAGTGATATAGGAGGACCCACCATGGTTGGGTCCGACGCGCAAGAAAATTATTGAAATCAAGCCTTCTAGAATGGCTAAAAATGCACCTCCCAAACTAAAATTTAACAAATTACTAAACTGCTCAGAATAGACAATTTGACATATTCAGGGGGGCCATGGCCGGCCCCCTGCCACCACGCCACTGATGATCAGGGTTATTTAATCGAGCCTATCAGTCTGAATGGTCCACAGTCCACATCATTTAAATAAGCATCAGCATGAAACGGAGCCTGTTTGTGAGAATTACATCATAATTAGTTTTTTTCTCTTCATTCCATCAAGTTTAAAAGATCCTAAAATAGTGATATAAAATAGTGAGTCTGGTACCCAGGGTAAAAAGATCTAAGCCTTTTTTAATTTTGGCCATCCTGCTACTGAATAAAATGACTGCTTCTTAATTTCAAACAAATGATTCATTAGAATTTTACATGTAAAATAAATTTTGCAAATAAAACCTTAGATTGAGGATAATAAAATATCAAAAAATATGAAAGTGGCTAAGCTACACTGTATTAACAGGTAACCATGGTGATGAACGCCTGTGTTACTAAACATTCTAAACTTTGAATACAGCTCAATTCCAGTGCAAATAGAATGGAATTTTATGTTCTATGTAGTATACCGGGGTTTATGTCCGTTTAAGACACCTAAAAGAACTCGTACGAGCCACTGTGTATGTCAACAATCAATTCTTCCTTTATACAAGTCAATTGGTGACATACCCGACCAGGGTTGACCTGTATGTTTCAAATATTTCGCTTATGGCTGTTCGCTTCTGTAATGATTGTCCACCCGAGACAGCTTTTAACAATGGTTCTATTTGATTTAAATTTTCTTAGCCTCACCCAAAACCGCTAGTTTCTTCTTCCTTTCTATAAAAACATTGCTGTATTATGTCTGGGCCCGATATTGACACTTATCCTAGCTAATGGTATACTCTCGGGGGGGACTCTAATCTGATATCATCATAGAGGGAGTTATTATATTCAGTAATTTTATTGGAATATGATATCAAAGATATAATAGATAAATGCTTCACATAAGGTGATTAATCCCCAAATATTATAACATGGGGATGTTATACATAACAACAAGCTTTAAGAATAAAACGTGCAACAATAAAAAGGATACAAAAATAAGCCTGTCCTCCCCTTATATTCTAGAGGGACCCCAAACCAAACATTTGCAGATCGTACTAAGTTTGAAAATGTGCATATTTTGCCTCTTAACCCTCTCTCCAATGACTGTGATGGTTTGTACGTGTTTGTACATTACCTCTGTATGTTGGTGAAAAGGAAAACGTTTTGCCCCCCCCCCCTGTCATAATGTCAATGTACTAACTACCCCTGATGCTCGTTGCAATGTTGCTCTGAAATTGTATTCAGGTTATCATGAGTGTTGGCATATTTTTAGAGAAGGTTCTTGCATAGTTTCTTCAAAGCTAAACTTTTCGAATTTTCTTTCCTTAGAACCAAAATCCACTATAGAGACTAGATCCCGCCGATCTTATCATAATTGATTCAAGAGAATTTAGAAAGATAAATCACAAAGAAAAACAAACTTTGTTTGACAAACTATACAATTTTATTATCTATTATTTATTAGTGATTAGTGCTCTTCAAGATTGACTCGGCCATCTGTCCATTGTCATATAATTTTCCTATTTCCTCATTTTCGTGTTATACCATGTCAGTTCTCCAATAAATATCACGGTGGTATTCAGAAATTTACCTTTTCGCCCTAAAGGATCGTGCATGTAATCTCTATCTTCCTTTTTCTCAAGTTAATAGAATAATATTTAGAGGAGTGTTCAAATTTATAGAAAAGAACACTAGATATCCTTTTCGGTGGTTTTCCGTAAAAATACGTATATTCTTCATGACAAAATAAAAAGGCATCACAGCCCCGGGGGACACTGATAGCTGCACGGAAGTTTGCAACAGGCACACCTGAAACGGGGGTTACTCATGTAATCATATAAGGTAGTTTGCATAGCCGTGAAAAGTTTATCACGTGAAAGGAAGTTGTTTTGATGATGCAGTTTTCCAAGAAATAAATACATATAGATGAAATTTTTTCAACAGGAAATATTTCGTACCAAAAATCACTTTTAAAAAGATGCATCTTGGAGATTTCTGGTACCATGAAGGACTGGCGACGTCAAGTGGAGCCTCAAAGTTTCGAAATCCAAAGAAGGTTTTAAGAAGTGATTGCTGTTTAGAATGAAGTTAACAGAACACAGCGTTATCTGGTACTAGAAGCCTTGTAAGTAAATGTTTTATGGAAGAACTAGAATATAATGCTTGTAGGAACCTGTCTCCACAGTAAGGGTCCCTTTATTTTAGTTTTCAAGACTTACTTGATGAAGAATGCCAAATAAATTATTGTTTAGAATCCAGGCCTTGCAAAATCTCTGGACTGAGCTTCTTAGGACACTGAAAAAGCTTTTCAACAAATATCTGGCGTCATGGGCTTAGAGTTCTCCTTGGAAAGGGGGTCCTGGGAAAATTTGACAATAATGACATGAAGGATTCTGGCCATGCCCATTTGTCGAAAGTTTCAATGATTATAATCTTGTTCCCACAACCATTTAAATGATAGAATACAAAGTTTTGCACACAAAAAACTAGCAGTAAAATTGGATATAGAGTTTCAATTCATTGAAGATAACAATTCTTCAAGGAGGTTTTGAAGGACTCCTTGACGATACTCATATGTCTGACGCACCTTACCATCTTTACCGTACATTTAGTAAAGTTACAAAAAATTTTAAATGAAACAAAGACAATGAAATCGAGAAAATTTAACTCAATATTAAGCGTTATCCAAAAGCCTGGTTTCACTCAAATGTTAGGAGCCAGCTTCATCTCTAGACCCGCTACGTTAGATATGTAGATATAAAAATTGTAAACCAATTGTGTTTAAAAAAAAGTTTACCGTGTTGCTTTACGTCATGTTGCATCTGTTGCATCCTGACTCTGGATTTTGCATTGTTGCCAAACCGTATAGTTTGCCGACTGTGAAAAGCACCAAACTTCTTTGTCCCTTCATCTATCTGTGAAAAGAAACCGAGCAGTTAACTTTTCTTAAAGACAAGCGAGATATATGGGTTACAGAGATCTTATGATAAGTGTAAATGTTATGTCTTTTCAATCATTGCTGATTAATGAGCATAGATGCTTTGTGGCAAAGGAAGTGAGGACAAGCTGGAGAAAATCAATGTGAGGACATTACAACTTGGCTACTCAGACTATTCATATTCGTGCAAAGACCTACTTGCTAACGTGAGAAAAACTACGTCCATATATATTCAACAAATTTTTATGCTGGCTCCTTATGAAAGACTATTTGTGCCTAAAACGAAATGTCACAGCATTCGACTCAAAAACACTCTTGATGTTTCAAATGTCCAGAATTACCAATAATGGCATCAGATAATCAAGATCCCAAAGTATCAAGCAGTTGAGAAATTGCTCACAACATGTGCAATCCTTAGAGATCTTGGCTCCTTGAAAATTAGTGCGCAAGCACTTTCTGCAGTAAGTAACTTGTCACAAGTAATCCAGGAAACTGCTTTATGTTATTTGAATAACTGTTCTATCACTATCGAATAACTTGCATCTGAATGAATAATTTTTTTAGGAATTTTTTGAACGGTCTATAATATTGAACAACGTTTTACGTCAAGACAAGAGGCTGTCAAACCTTATGAAAGGCCGTTTCGTACGTGAGGGAATTCCGTGTTTAGACGGCTCTTGAACTCATCAAATAAAAATAATACCCAGGTATTCACTGAAAAGTTAGGAGGCACCAAGAAGAGTTATGTATCGAAACAATCACAAGTTAAGGTTGACAAAAGCTTGTGACTGTTAATAGCTTCCTACTAGCAACTAATTTGCCTTTTGATAGCACGTATTACACTCAAATTTTTCAAAAGAGTTGGAGAATAGAGAAGAGTATTGTATATTTTGAATCAGCAGCAGCACTTGCATCTAAAAATTACAAATAGTTGGATAAGTCTTGTTGAACTGTGTCTAGTTTTAGAGATCGATTAAAAAATCGAATCATAATGTAAGATTATCAATTCAAGAAAACCGTGTGGCTGCTATAAACCATATGGAACATATTATAGTGAAATGTACTAAAATAACTGATTAATAATAGCAATAAAGCTGCAAAAACTGTTCATTTTTATCAGAGTATTGCTTTAATGATTGCACGACATTGTGCAGATCTTCAATATTTCTTAAATTTTTGCCTCATTCTCTGATATTGTGACTTTATCGAAAAACGTACACTATTACCCCGCTTAAAACGGAATTTCACGATTTTGCCACTTTCAAGGGTACGAAAAACATTTCAGATACAGGTGCATGTGCGTATAGATAGAAAGTTAATTTTTAACAATAAAATTGAAAGAGAGATATTTCAACAATAGAAACGGGACATTATAACAACTATTCAATGTAAACTTATTCAGGATCCGAGTAATTATCAATGATCATTAGTTCTTAATCCAGTTCTTCTTCAACAAGGTTGTCTCTATCAAAGGACTCTATCAATTTAAAGAAATTGATAAGAAAATAGATAGCCATGTGGCTGTTTCCATTTTTTTATCTTTCTCGCAAAAACTCTAAGAATTAGATCCACTTATAAGCGCACTGTACCTATATCCGGATATAAGCGAATGCGCCTTTAAATGAGGTGCCCCTATAAGCGGGGTAATAGGCTAACTCGTCAAACCGGCCCAGTTTGTATATGTTCCCTGCCCTAACATGCAATTTTGCACGGTGAAGCTCCATCGAAGCTTTGTTAGTTATCAGTTTTAAATAGTTAGTTAGAAATGTAAATTGGCAAATAATACCCTTGAAAAAAGTACGAAAGCACCCAAAACTAGATTTTTGAATGCAAATTACAGATAATTTTTGTAAGATTTTGAAAAACTTTTAAACGTTACTGTTATAAAGTAACATGATACTGAAGTCCCTAGACCGGATCTTTCAAGGGGCTCGGATCTCCTGCCCCGGAAAAATTTCTAATTGCATGCCTATTCGCATCTGTGATGACGATGATATCTTCTCATAGCGAAAGTGAAGCAACAACGAAACTTAACTGCGTTAACGGGTAATGTTTTAGGAGATGTCTGATAAATTATTCATTTGAATCGCCTGTAATATTACTCTTTTTCATCAAAGTTTTGCCATCGCTCGAATATTTTCGTTCTTCTTTTACCAATCCTTGGTAACATGGATGCTGGAACCTTGATTTTTGTGATTCTTTGAAAATTACTTGTTTGGTGGCACAGAATAGGCAATGCCATGTGTCCGTATCTATGACAGAAATAGCGGCCACTACAAATTAGTGGTGTACCCCCTAACTCAGTCAAAGGTCCATCTACTAACCTACTAACGTTTTGACTGCACAGAGCCGATCCTTCTTCTGTCAATTTGTAACTTGCTCTGTACAGGCTTCAAGATGGCGGACCTGGAAGCAGTTTTAGCCGATGTTAGCTATTTAATGGCTATGGAAAAATCCAAGTCTACTCCTGCAGCACGAGCAAGCAAGAAGATAGTATTGCCAGATGCATCGTAAGTTTCTTCTCTGCATTTTTTGCATGAATTGCTTTTTTGGCTTTTCTTCGCAGAGGACCTTTGTCGAATTTGCAGCCGATTTTGTACTGCTGTTTGTTTACATTTTTAAGCTCAGTTATACTCAAAGATCTGGACAGCTCAATCGACCATACATAGCTGAGGAGCTTAAAAATTAGTTGAATATCAGTTTTTTATGTCTTTATATTTATATGTTTTGCGATGGTTGCGATGGAGGAAGATTCATGTACCGTACCTCGAATCCCAACATCGATCCCTAAGATCAAGTCCTGGTATTAGGCCAGATGCGACCTCGGATGAGGAAATCGGCTTCCCGGTTGCTTAAATTGACAAATGCATGAATTAAAATATCTCATGCTGGAGAGATAAGTATTGGTTCCTGTTATCTGTAAATCATCTACCAAGAACCTGGAAATTATTATTACCAGTTTATTTATGGTTGCCTAGGCCTAGGATTGTTTTGATTGAATACAGCGTTTCCGTCAAATCCTTTCAGAATTTTGCAACTAAAATGCTTTTTCTGGTAAAATAAATATTGGCAATTTGTGCGTGTTTAAATCTCATCTTTGAAGTAAGTTTTGTAGATTTCTTGTTTTGTTTCTAGGGTATACAGCGTTATGCACAAATACCTTAGCGATCGTTCTGAAGTCACATTCTCAGGAATATTTGATCAGCAAATAGGTAAGAGTCTCGTAAAAATCAATATCTCGTTTCCTGAAGCAACTTAATTTTTCTTGAAATTATTGTTATAATCTAGAATTTTGCTTCTACGAGAGTAATGTATTTGGTTTAATTAGTTCCTACCGCCAAAGATCAGCTGAACTGAGTAGGTGGGCAGAAATCACAGCTGACGTAATTTTGATAAACATTTGAAATAAAATGATTTTGACAAGTTGCGTTGTCACAGTTGAACTGAGAGTAACAGATTTCTTCACATTTTTCTGTAAGGGTAGATTTTATTATTTTGAAGATGCTGCCCTTATTTTTATTCAACTGTAAATTTGGAAATCAGGTCACCAGTAATTTCTGACCTGACGAGTTTTAGTCATTTGAGATACACAATTAAAGTCCTTATGTTGTGATGTGAAGTAAATCAGTGTATCTCAAAGAAAGGAACTTTTAACCTATTATTATTCCAGGACTTTTTTAAAGAGCCTACTAGATTTATTTACTTCCTTTTTTATCATATGTTCAAAGTCAGTAGTTTTTTAATAAAATGAGAATCATTTTATTTTCTGGATTTATTTTTATTTCCTTTGAATGAATTGATGAGTTTTATGCAATGCCTGAAATAATTTGCAATGTTACTGTCATTAAAATAGTGAATCTTGTTCATTCTCATTTAATAAACTAAGATTATATTCTACCTTTGCTAATTCCAACCTCCTCATATTCACTGTTGTTGCAAAGGGCAGAGTCAAATTGCCTCTTGTCAGTAATTTGAAGTAACCTGAATACATTGAATCCTTGTGTGATTTAAAAGTTGAAAACATAATTATCTTTGTGGCATTTCAACAAATCTAAGTATACAGGCTTGCTAGATAAATAACTACCATTGAAGATTACAAACTAAACAAATGAGGAAGATATAAAAGCAAAATGTTTATATTACACAAGTACTTTGGCAAATCTTTTTCACTGTAGTTTGCAGAAGGAATAAAACACACTTGTAACTATACCAACAAATATGTCTAGAATGAAAGTTTTGTTAACTGTATATTTGATTAATTTTTAAGTTTAGAGTGTATTTCTTAATTGCTCAATGTTCTTGACCTTGCAAACAGAATGGTGAAATATTTCAAGGTTTAAAATACATTTTGTTAACAGAGTAATCATGGACCACAAATATTTGAGTTTGTATTTTGACAGTTGTCGTGGTGTCAGTTTTTGTAGCCAAAATCACATACTTGGATACTAGAGTTTACAAGATAAATTACTATGAATAATGTACTGTCTTTTCAGTAATGCTATGAATAACTGTCTATTCAGTAATGCTTTGAATGCAGCTTATGCAAAACCTTTCATGTTGACTTTCAGCATCCTAAAAACAATGACTTGAAGATAATTGCTATGTAAGGATCATGATGTCAAGATAATTATGAGAGAGTGTTGAAACGTCAAATTGATTTGATTGGATTTCCATATTATATCAACAATAGGTGCATTCAAAAGTCTTCCCACCTATCATAGTGTTCAATGGGTATACTTTTGCTTCAACTAAAGCAAGCCAAAATCAAAATTAGCACTTAAAACTAATAAATAACATGGACATGCAGAAATGTTATGCTGTGTTTCCATTTTGCAATGCTTTCTTCAAATTCTGGGCATCATAGGCACCCAGAACTGTAAACTATTATAATCTTAATTCCTTCTTCCTTGTTAATCTATTTGGTTCATGCCCCAAACAGTAACACAGGTTTTGTGTTATTAGCAAATTAGATTTTATCATAGTTTTGAGTCTTGAGATTCAGTTGAGCCATCAATTCACCATCAATTGGCCAGTTACCTTTCAGACCTGAGTCATGCTTTCATTTTGTCAAAGGTGTAGTTTTTAGTGTGTGCTTGGTTTACAGTGTGATCATTAAGATTTTTTGTCACTAAAAGGACCCTGAAGATGCAAAGACAGATTTTGTTGCTATAAGCCCTGTCCTTTCCTCATTGCAAGTATATTATTCTCACATTTTTTCTTAACAAAGTTTTGTAATCGTTTTAACTATAGAGTTAAGATCGGACCCTGAGAAGGTTAGATTTGTACTGTTTAAAAGTGGTCATCCAGCTCAGCAAAACTATCTTATTAAATATCTGCACACTAATAATTATCATTTAAATTTTTATTCTTGCCAGTTTAAAATTTTTACATATTCATCAATGGTCAGTTTTTTACTTGTTTAAAACATGGCTTAGTCTTCATGCTTGTTTAAAAGGATCAATGGTTTTGTATTTCTTTAGGCTAAAAGTTTGTTCAAAAAGTATTTGGAAAAATTGGCTAAAGTACGTAAGACAGATATAGAGTTTTGTATGTCATAAAATTAGTTCTTTGACAGAGGAAAGGGGGTCTAGTCTTGTGGCCTTACAGCACTCCCAGTCTGTTCCGCATAAAGCTTATCCCTACCTTTTCATTCCCATATAAACTTGCCTGTTGTAACTTTATCAAAGTAAGTTCTGTCATTTTAAAAATTTGAACTCAGTGAATGCAGCATTCTTCTTTTAAAATTGGTTTCTTGAATTTTAAAATATGGTCCATTAGTGATATTGTCTGCCTTTCTCTGAAGAAATCTGTAAATTGCCTGTAAGATCATGAAGTTTGCTTGCCATCCCACTTGTCATATCGTCTGGCCATCCAATAGTTTTGTAATCTTTTCTTTCTATTTGATTGATTTCTTTTTTATTTCTTGAACACTGATGATATACGTCTAGACTGATCCTGCAATCAAACAGATGTACATATTGCCATTTCAAAGGTTATAGAAATTTGTTGATCCTTTAAAAAAGAAGCTGACTATTGAACTGACAACCTTGGAAAAGATAAAAACAGAACTGGATAGTGATGATTCTATCTTTGCACTTTTTGCCTACCAGGTCTAAAGATGAAGAAATATCTTGTTTGCAAGACAATTTATGCATCATACACTATTAATGTCAAAATCATACACTTTCTTGTGGTATTTATGCTGTGGTCAACCCAAAACAGTTGAAAACACTCTATGCAAACTTAGCATTAATAAGACCAGCTGCTGTTGTCTTCATACGTGCCATCTAAATTGATTTCCACATAGCTACTAACACAGAGAAACAAAAAAATGCATTATTATTTTGTGGATTCATTTAGGCAGTATAAAAAATCCAACGAAGCCGAACAATTTCGTACCAAAGTATTTTTCCCCTGATGGTAAACACTGGATATAGTGACCAAAATGGTAAGCGGAAATTTATATCCAGTTGTGGATCGAAAGTGACCTTGTTATTGACCAATAATCAACCGGTAATTCTTCACATAGTTTAAGTATACCAGAGAGAAAATCAATATCTCTTACATATCGGGATCTTTAATGTAAACAGATATGAAGGCACACGGCAGGACTGATTTATACTCACAGACTGAGCTGATCGTTTAACTGGTTTATGATAAAATGTAAAACCAAATTTTAAGGTGCTAAGAAATGTTTAGCATTTGTGAGAAATATCACCGGCTACATCATTTGCATTGCTAATTCATGTGCTTTTTTTATCAGCTGTTTCTTTCTTTTTAGGTTACCTATTATTCAAAGATTTCTGCGAAAATATATGCGACGAGCACATTCCACAGATCCATTTTTATGAAGCAGTAGGTCAATTTGCATTTATTTGATGTGACCTTGATTTAACAGAACTCGGCATGATCGAATAAAATTACTGGAGAAATACTGACGACTTGAAGAATAAAACTTTCATATTCCAGTTTTATTTTGACGCGAACCAAACAGTGGCGTACCCAAGGAGGGGAAAAGGGGGGTCCGGACCCCCCACTTTTCTAAAATATGATCCTCGAGATTTGTCGAAAAATGATGTAAAACTCGTTGGGGGGTGTAGTATACTGTATGCTTGTGTCAATAACAATTGTAAAATACATGTAATAACAATTGCAAAAAGGGCGTTTCCCTGCATTGGCGAGTGTCTGAAGGGCGTGGTCCAAAAAAATTCTGGGGGCTCTGCCCCAGACCCCCCCCCCCTCCCACCACTGCTGCAGCCCTGGGTACGCTACTGGAACCAAATTCTACAAATAGTTCACTCCTTCTCCATGTTATTAGCCAAAAAGTTAATGTCGTCGTCCTGTTGTTCACTGTTTCTTTAAACAAGAAAGCAAAGCTCGTTGTTTGGCTGTCGCAGTTGAATTTTGTCACTTTCTGTGGCCTTATTTTTGTCTCCGACCGTGCAACTGCCAATTTTCGTTAAGCTCTAATCTCTGACTAAAGACCCGTGTTTTTCATGGTCAGTTTGATTTCTGCGACGTTGTAAAACCTTCTGTTTATTGCTTAATATCCTTCTTTCATGGTGTATTTCAAGCTCCGAAAAGGAAAAGTTTTGAAATGAGGATGTATCGTTACGAAAAAAGGGAAGGTTTTAACGACTGTTGCCATATGAAGAAAACAAGAAGGAGGGGGAGAGTAAAATTAATCACTTTTTCATTCATCCTCACCCCCTGCCTGAGTTTTGGATCCAATGAACCTTTTAAAAGTCACGTTCGATCATTAGCTGTAAACAATTCAACCGTTTGTCTCTGACCTGTCAACTAAAAACGTGCATCAGTTCTTTGCGGTAATGTAGCCATCATTTTTCTCTGTATTGGGTTTGACGTTATTCGTGCCCAACTCACCAAGTATGATCCCATTGACAATATGGTTCTCTTCTCAAGTTTCAGATCACTTTTATCAATCCATTTTTTCTCCTGCACTGTCTTTTTTTCAAAACTTCCCCTTCACTCACATGCTTCTTGTGTCGGTTTTTTTCAGTGAGGGAGCATGGCATTTCTTCCCATGGCATTTTTCCTTGTCCATTAATCTGCATGGAATTGAAAATCAATATGAATAGTGACTGGATTTCCTTTCATGCCGATGCACCTTTTCTTTCATGCGTTATTTGAATTTTCACTACTTGTATTCCACGATTTTTGTCATCTCCTCTATAGTCTGCAAAGATTCTTACTTCTAAAATGAGCTTAAAATGTATCTTTTAGACAAACATGCATACGGTGATGCAGGGGATGCATGGAATAATTGTGGGGTCAGAGTTAATTTCCGTCGTAAGGAGTATCTGCTGTCTATTAGCGGTCTACAAGAAAGCGATTTTTGCAAAATTATTTCTCATTTATTTAGAGTTGTCACGTTATTGGTAGGTGTCCGGTATTGAAATGTGTTCAGTATTGAGAGGTGTCTGGTAATCGTTTTTGCAATGGAGTTTATCCCTTTGAAGAGAAAATGTGTGTAATTGAGAATTCGTCAAAAAATCAAATTGCTTGATTGTTTGCAGACGCAGTTTGAGTCCGATTCAACGAACCCCCATTACAGCGTATCTTCCCATCTAAATTCCAGTTTCTTCAAATCCCCTAATTGGTAAGTCTGTTAAACACACCCTGGGTTTAAAGAACTCCTGTTTTAACGAACGACGTTCTAGGTTACCTACAAAGCTCGTTATTCGACTTGCTTGCATATCCCCTATTTTCCTACAACAATCGTACGACTGTCATATGGTCTTTGTTCCATGTTCACTGCATTTGAAAGTGAAATCAATATCACTTGATTTCTCGATAAGCTATTTGTATGCATGCATGGTTTAATTGTATTCGTTTTGTATTACAGTTCATAGAAACATAAATGGCAACAAACACAAGATTATTTTCGATGATTTTGCGTACCTCAACAGTTAAATCAAGACCGATCGTATGACCTATACGGTGAAAACGTAATCTCATATCTCTCTTGAAGTGTAGGCTGTATAATGATGTTTGTATTCAAATTTGATCATCTTATTAATAATGCAGGATATAGACATCTGTTTTTGGGTTCGTCTTTATGCGGTTGCCTTGACATCAGGGCTTACGACATGCAAACTCATTCAAGATCTTGCCATCTCGGATTTTGCCTGAATTGAATTTCCTTGAAATAGTCTTATCAAATAAACTTATTCTGTTTAGTTGAAAAAAAAGAAAAGGCCAAGTTGAATCCTTGTTTGTATTTTGATAGCAAGTTTTGCAACAAATCTGCTTTTGCCCTATTAATAATGGGTAATGAAATGGACGGAACAACGACGGGGGATTGTACTTCCAAGCTTTATTATACACTTTCAATCTGTTGTTTCTTTAGAAATAGTTGTTTTAATTTTTCATTATCTATGTCCTTTTAGTTCAGTTTTTCCAGATCTGATATCATGCTTACCACCTTGAATTCTGACTAAGGATGGCACTTCATTCATTTTAATAGGAATTATTTTAGCAAAGAGCTGTTTATGTCGTAAGTGGTAAATACTTTCACTTTATCATCCCATTCATTCAGAGCATCGATTTTAAGGCGAAAAACATTTTAAAATGTTGCAAGTTCATTGTCAGTGATGAACATCTCAGTTTGGGGTCAACTTTTTATACTCTTGCAGCTTTTAATTCTATGGCTCGTGTTTTATATTGTTGCTATCTTAAGATTGGGGAAGAAGATTCCAAAAAGCCAAAAAGGAGACTGAAAGCAAGAATTTGTTTGTACTTGAATATGACGTTACTTGATTTTCTGGAATGTAGAAAGGCGAGAAACACTCACAATTCTAGGGAATGGACTCTATTTTTCGTTTTACCTCTGCCATTCTTTTCGTTGCCAATCATAATTGTCTATTATCAAAGCTGGCGCTCCATGGGAGTGAAATTCCCATGTTGAGAATAATCATCACATAATGGCGATGACAGTACTTCTTATCTCAAATAAACCCAACAGAGAACACAGACCAACACAGAAGTAGGGAGAGGAAGTAAGCTTAGCTCCTCCCCTTCCCCCCCCCCCCCCCATAATCCCACCATGTACTTGAACTCATGCTTTCTCTACGCTTTTAGCATGTTGAGCCCCCCAATCTTGGCTTACTTCTCATGGACAGGGTTTGTTTTGGGTAGGGTCAGGGTAAAAATAGGTTTTCTACACACCCCTGTTACTTCTCAAGTCAAGAACAACACCCACCCCCTCCCCTGATTTGGCATCACACAACTTTAAAAAATTGCAGTAGTTGTTAGGGGTTTGGTTCACAATCTGATCTTTTGCATTTCACATCTGTGGATTTAAAGCACCGTACATGTAATGATTTTGACAATCAGGGTTCGAAAGACAACTGCTTGTCTAGCGTTGTAGCACGTGGTCTCCAAAGAACAGCCAGTTAATAAACCTGTTTTTTAGATGAATGCGGTTTTATGAGCGCAGACTTTTGGTGGACTTTGTTGACTGTTAGTGCTTAAGAACATAGATGTTTTCGTTACTAGATTTATTGTTGCTTGTTAGCGGTGTTTGCTAAATGTTCATCGACTATCAAGGCTTAGAGACTCTGTTGTCATTGTGTTGCGACACCGGGACTGATTCATAAAAGTTTTTTAATTTTAGCCTCATTAGTATATGAATTATCTTGGCTAGCCTCATTGCTATGTCTGAAATTGATACCAGGTAGTCTTGTGACGGCAAGGCTTCGACCTTCGGCTTCGAAGTTCTATCTCCATGTGTGGTCACACCGAGATGAAGATCACTGTAATTTCTTGGTAACCAATTCTTTTTGGTGTTGTGAAAATCCCATGCCAAGATGTGAGGTTTAAAACATTTATCAGGGAATTCATCGATCATATCGGCTCAAAGAGAAAACATAGAAGCGTATACAACGATAAGCATTTATTTGCCATCTGAAAGCGTATCTTGTGGTTGTAGTCAGTGTTCATGAAAGATGGCTATCGTGTAGGTGCACCTCGATGTAGCCTTGCATTAACAGTTACGCTATTCGCTATTTTGTGCAGTGATGTGACGTCACTGCCTGCTGCACGTTTTTTATAAAAACATCTTTTATAAAAAACCTACTAGAAAAGAACCTGAACGATTAAGAAACTTTACTAGTACAGAGTACAGTGTTCACTTTGCAAATTTTCTATTCTTTTCTGTCCATTTCTTTTCTGTATCATTATGAACATTTAATGGCTTACCACAATCATTACATACTGTAACAAACTTTTGTGTCTAAAGATCCACTTTTCTTGAATATGTAAAGTCGAGGCGCTCAATTCTGTGCAAAACCCCAGAAAAATTTAGAAACTTTGTCTAGTTAGATCCTTGGCTACTAATGGAAAATACACGTGTACACTCCTAAACTGTTTCTGTTTTGAAACTTTCACCCTTCTTTTTAGACTTTTACGATTTGGCACGCCCCAGATTTTTAGTTTTACAGCTGCAAGTGCGACAGAAGCCAATATTACAGCTGCTTCTTCGGTTCTGTTTCATGTTTAAAGCTGATTGCTGGGACAGATGCAATGATAATATTTCTGTATTATCATTTAAGTGATATATACTGTGGTTTTGCAACTGAGTTCCTTTGTGAACATATCTTTGTTAAGAGCAGCGTCTTTGAAACTTAAACACTTTTGTAGTCTTTGCACCACGATACACCCCAACATTTCAACTGTCGACAGAAGAAGATTTGACATCGCTTCCGTAAATGACCTAGACAAGTTGCAGAGACTGGGAGATCGGGAACATCATTTTATGCTTTTGGGCATCTTAATGGGAATATTTTTGGGGACTCTCTTTAGAATCAAAGAATAAACTGCTCTCGTAAAAATCAAACTTTACAAGTCATATATATTAGTTGTATAAGGTTCAAGTTGTAAGTACTAGTTGCACAAGATCATCCAGTGGCGGATTTAAGGGGGGGGGCAACTAGGGGCAGTTGCCCCTCCATCACTGAGTTGGAGCAAGTCTGGTGCCCCTTTTTGGAAATGGTTTGGCACAATTATTGTGAAAATTTCCTTTAGAAGGTGAATAGGGAGCCTTCTGACAGTAGTAAAGGTCTAAAATTGTTGTATATAGATTACTCTCATCATCAATTTCTGAAAATTTTTCAGCGCCCCCAATACCAACTGCCCCTCCTTCAAATTTGTTCTGGATCCGCCCCTGAGATCATCCCATATCAGGTGACTTTGTCACTTGCTACATCAACCTTCATTGTTGCTCTTTCACTTGCAAAATTTTCACCTTAGTTGCTTCCTTTTAGATCAAAGAGTACGAGAAAAGACAAGGTGTTGAAGAAAGGCTGCAACAAGCTCGAGAAATTTTTGACAATTACATCATGAAAGAACTGCTTTCATGTTCCCATGTAAGTCTTGCCAATCTCGTACATATTCTCCGTCGAACAAAGTAATCAGGTGCCTTGCAAAGGTGTTTTCTTTCGCAGATTCTAACTGTCTTGCTGTTTACGGTTAGAAGGATATTTTTATTCAATTAAAGTCAAATATATTTGCTAGCGAGTCTTCGGCAAACTCTTTTTTACAAATTTAGTAAGTCAGGTTGTTTGACCGATTTTTTCGCTACCTGTCACCAAGGCAACGCAAACCCGTATCACAGAGTTTGATCAATTTTTTGACACTTAAGTGTTCTCCTATTTTTATTTCTGCTATTGGCTATTTTGTGCTTCATTAACTTTCGGTTTGTTTTATTTTAGTCATTTTCCTTCACTGCGACAGAGCATGTCAGGAAACTCCTGCTCAGGGGAGAAGTTCCAGTTAACCTTTTCGAAGTAAATGTCGCTATATTATTCTTTCTTCAATTTCTTTGGTCTTGAAAATTTTGTTCGCCTAGAGATTCGTAAGCAAGCACTGAACAGCAATGGTGTACAATTTCGGTGAAGGAAAGCCTTCTAGACACTATAAAAACAATAATTCTGAAAAAGTGGCGATAAATGCGATAAAAAGACAATGTTTACTTAATTAAAGCCTATCGATGTTTGTTTATCAGTCAAGCATTTATATGATTGAAGAAGCATCCGTGCCCATTTAAAATTTACCACGCAGCAACTGGCTATGTCAAAGCATCTTTTCACTACCATCAGCTGTTTTCTTTTCATTTTTTCTTTCCTTGCTCCTGACATCTTCCCACGCTGCTTTTCAGTTTCGATCCGAACTACTGTTTCATCATTTACTTTGTGTTTCACTATACATTATTATAAGCTACCCATAAAAATTGCCATTTACCTTTTGCTGCTGCTTTGTATTTCTCTTATATGTTTTATGTTTTTATTTGATTCTTTGCAGCCTTATGATAAAGAAATAAGAGACAGCTTAAGAGGGAGGATTTTCGACAAATTTTTAAAGAGGTGATTTAAAAAAAAACTTTTTCTTGATTGATCCATATTCTGCCTTCGAAGTCAATGAATGTGCTTATCCTTTCTCCAATCAAAGGGCTAAAAGATTGAAAGCAATCCTTAAAGACGAACAGTGAGAAAGTTATGTTCTAGGTGTGGTTGCTGAAATTATTTCGTCTTATTGATGTTTTCGTGCTAGTCAGTTATGTGAACGGCACATTTACCCGACTCTGGCTGTCGTATTTCATTGTAGTTTATGCCTCGACAACGAGTCCCTTTGATATCTATCTTCAAGGTTTTAGCCTAGTTTTTAAAAATACTCATTGATAAGATACAATTTTCTAAAATTCAAACTAGCATTGGTTTATCTTATTTATCTTATTCGATGTTATATTCATTGTCGTAATATTAGTGAAGTACCTGTACCTTAAACCGGTGACAAGTTTCTATTTAATTTCCCATGTTGACCTCAATAAAGTATCTTTTATTTTGCCACTTGAGTGGAGCTTAATTTCCAAAAAGTTAAAAGCTAATATTTCTTCTTCAATTCAATAATTTTGCATCCAAAGGTTTGTATATCTGTTGTAGATTCTGTAGAAAGACGCCATTGCTGCACATATCTTTGGGCAGTACTTTTAAATTCGTGATAGTATTTTTCCCAATCGAAAGGAACTGCTTTTTTCTTTTCCAGTGAAAAGTATGTTAGGTTTTTACAGTGGAAGAACTTAGAGCTCAATCTACATGTAAGTCCCTTTTTGCCTTTATCGTCATCAATTTATGCAAATATTTTATCGGGATCTGTCAAGCGATAATCTATTATGCCCTGATCGATATTACTATCCCTTATAACGTTTTTGATGAATTAATTTCCTTTATTCTCCGTGACATATCTTTTGCGAGGATCTCAATATCCCTGAGATAAATATCAACTAAAAAGCCGCTTTGAATCGGCCTCCTTTTGATGTTATGGTATACCTTTGGTTTTGTTATCATTTTAACGCCGATTCCTGTACAAAATCACTCAGTCAGCCATAATTGCTTTGCCAGATGATTCTTTCCTCGATAGCCTAGATTTTCTATTTCCTCTTCTCAATACAAAATTCCTTTTAGCAAACAGGACCTGAAGACGTATCATGAGATTTAGCCTATTATAGCCCCCTGTCAGTTTTAAAACTCATATATATATTTATGTTTGCATTTTTCTTGCAGTTAAGTATGAATGACTTTAGTGTACATCGAATCATTGGTCGGGGTGGATTTGGTGAAGTCTATGGCTGTCGGAAAGCTGACACCGGTAAAATGTAAGTTTTTTAGCGCTGCATACGATGGGTATTTAACGACCCTTTATTTTTAGAAGTAGGATTTTCAGATCTATTTCTTATGAGAAGAGTCTAACACTGGAAGGAGCATGCTGTATGTTACCTACCACAGCTCAAATTTACAGAACCCTTCGAAAGAGATCGCGAAAACTGCATTGAAAAAATTTTGTTACATCTCGAGGATTTCTCATCTTAAAATTTGCTTTTAAGAAAACTAACCAGCTTTGTTCTGGCATTCAGCAAACAGTTGCCGAAAAACATTCCAATATTTTCCATCAAATACCACAACAACACTCTTGTCACCAGAATCTGCAAACGGTCACTTTCTCGGCCCTCTGCCTGTTTTTATGTCTCCTGTCAGAATGGTTACAACATACAGTCTCTAGCAGCCAATATGATCTTGACCACGTAAGGTATACCTGGATGAGCAATTCTGTACTTCACTAATTAGCTAAAACCCTTTCAACACTGAGCAACAGCTCACTTTGCGCGGACCTGCCTTATTATGGTAACTTAATATCGAACCCTTTACATACTGTAGCTCAATGTTGGGTTGGAAGGCAAAAGAAAAGTACAGCGATCTTATCAAGGAACTGACACCTTCCTATAGAAGCGTTATCTTTTTTAACCTTTCCATGAGTGCTCTTTGCACCCTGGTGTCTGTTACAGCGAGCCATATATTTTCAAACTTAAGATGTAATCAATGAAAGTGAAATGTTAAGTAAGTTATAACAGTCTTTTGCAGAAGGTCCTAATTACCGTAATGTTTTTCGGAAGGGTCTTATAAACATTATTACATTTTCATTGATTTTTTTACAGAAATGATTATCCCAGTAGAGATTTTGTATTTCCCTTCTAAAATTAATTCCAAATGACGATTTATTTGGGGTTTTTCGGGGAATTCCAACGATAAATACAATAACATATGCCAGATCTGGCATGAGTTTAAATAAATTTGGATCTTGTTTTATCCCGGCTTCCCTCTATATATAGGTCTTAAAGCGTAGACAATGCCTGGTACAATAGGAAATATGGTACAAAGACTGTCAGGCACATAACGATGCCTGCCTCGAGGGCAATCTCTCGTTCTTGCCTATGCCATGTTTTCCTTTGTCTAAATGTCAAAATCCCGACCAAGCATCAGATCAGGGTTTTGAGCTTTGCTTTCACAAGGTTTCATTGTATTCCATAGGAATACGTTCTGGTCCTTCCCAATACAAATATGTCGTAGGTATTCCCGTCTGGTTGCAGCGTATTCTAATATCTTTACAGACTCGTGGTGTATCTAGACTCATCTTGTTATGTTGAAAAGGGGGTTTCAGTTCATGGAATACATGAAATACTTGCTGATTTGTTATTACTTCTTGCATGCTGGTTGCAAGAATATTTTTAATCACGCTTTTGTTATTCGTAGCAAGTAAAAGTATTCATACAAGTTGTTATAGACTCCTCTGCTATATTATCTTGCTTTTTACTGTATCTTTTCACTGCTTGCTTCATGTTAAGAAAGCTTCCCTTTGTGATTGGAGATTTTAAGACAATATTCGTATTTGCTGCTGCTTGCACCTGCGCTCTGTAGACAAAGTGTTTTATTATACAAAATGAATAGCGATTCATTTTTTCAATCAAATATGTGTTGTGGTAATTTGCTTGGCTTTTAATCTGTGCTATCGCGAATAATTTGCTTAACCTTTAATTACTCGCGTTTCTATGGAAAACTCAAGAGTGAATGTTTTATTATGAAAATAACTAATAGATGAATTTTGCGACCGCTGTTTTTCAAAATTTATTCTCACGGAAATTGGAGTGTAGAACTAGCTGACCTAGCTGTGATAATGTATTGAGCTTAAATAAGCCCAAGAAAAGCCACAATCGAAGACTTGATTAAAGATTTGTTTTCATTTAGTACTTCAAATGAGAAAATTGATTAATTGGCTAATGAATGTCAGGAATATAACTACTTTAGCAGGGCTTATAGGCAAATGGAAATTCTAGAAACGAGCTTTTGTATGGGTTGAGATTTTGTTTCGTTGATCAATAGGGATAATGTTTACTCTGGTAATTCTGTTTGAGTTAGTTTTTTGTAGATTGGAAGTACTTTTTGAATTCTTGGTAGATGCTAGTATTAGTTCCACTGGGCTTTGACTGAAATGCCTCGTTTATTTCTGGAAGTTTCACCTTTGGTAGTGACAGAAAACAAAGCCTCCTCTTTCTTCTTAATCGATTGTTCGTTGCAGCCAGTTGCGATTGTTTCTTAAGATTCCTTTATTAACTTTAGAAACTTCATTGTAAGGTGATGATTTGGATAAAGACAGATTATGATTGCACTTTTAGCTTAGACAATGTATTTTCTTGTTATTTTTCAAGGTATGCAATGAAGTGTTTAGATAAAAAGCGAATCAAATTAAAGCAAGGAGAAACTCTGGCATTGAACGAAAGAGTAATGCTGTCAATGGTATGATTTAAATGAGGCATTTTTTGCTGAAATCCCTTCTGTTCTGATCAGGCAATCCCTCCCGAGGCTCTGGCGACGTGCCTTGAACTAACATAACCTAACAAAGCAGTATGGTTGGTTAAAAATTATGTATTGTTCCAAAGTCTTCGCTCAGGGTACTCTTGTGCTTGATGTAAAGGAATATTGAATGCTTGATGATTACAATTTATGTGGTCACCTTATTTCATTTTTATGTATCATGACGCATCCCATACAACTGCTGACCTAAAACTTTTAATTATTATTTAAAATTGCTTAGATACAGTATAATCTTAATAACTCGAACTCCTGATAACAGATTTGCCTTCCCCTTGAATTTTCCTCAATATGCTCGAACCCAAAACAACACGAATATTGGTTAAGTCCAACCATTTTCATTGCCTGTCATTATATGTAAGAAACCCCAGATTTGTTGCATTCATTCTCAAGAGCATACTTTTCAAATTGAAATTAGTTAACTTTGAACATTTGTTATAGGTGAACTGCCCGTTTATTGTGTGCATGACGTATGCATTCCAAACTGCTGATAAACTCTGTTTCGTATTGGATCTCATGAATGGTGAGTTTTTTCGTCGATTGTCGATATAGAGTAATGCTACAGAAAGCTTAGATGTTCCTTCAATTTTAAAATTTTGGAATTATAAGCCGGACATTTTTTTCCACATTGTGAAACCTCATCACCACATGAAATTACACCATGTTCTATGCAACCGCGCTACAATATGGAACGACCCTACAATAAGAAATCGCAATACAGAACCACGCTACGATATGAATACATCCCACATATGGAGCCACACCACTATGTGAAGCGACCCTACAAAGTGAATCTTTACTAGCCAAGATTTGAATCCTCCCTACTATGATGTGTTGTGAAATAACCCCACTAACTTTATGACGGAATTATTCCCAGCTCCTAACAATAGCCCTGGGTTTTGGTGACACCAGTGTTTCCGAATAAAGCATTTTTATAAGTCAGTTTGCATTTGAATCAACAATTTTTTGTGGGGCAAATAGAATATTTATGCGCTTGTTTTGGTTTCGTCTGATTTCAATCGCAAAAATTATTGTCCTCGCTTCTGTTTGCAAACCCTCGATTCCACAGCTACTAATTGGCTCGCAGTTGCTATGACCGGTTCTGCCTTCATTGGAACATTGGAATTGGTCTTAAGTAGCCAAAGAGAAGTTGTCGTTTATAAAGATTATATAATCATGTCGGAGGCTAAACGACATCGGCTGGTGAAAAGAAAACTTCCCAATCAAAACCCAGTTTTTTCTTGAAAAATACTAACCAAAGTCTGAAAACTCTGATCCCTGCCGCTTACATTGTAAATAGTAAATTATCTGTTTTATTCAAAATCCTGAAGCTCTTTGGAGACAAGTTGTCGTGTGAACTTTATCCGTTCAGTACATTCTTATGTGGCTATGGCTGTCATAGTTTTCATTGCCAGTTTTAAAAATCTCATGAAGTACATTGATAAACATTTCCATTTCAGGTGGTGATTTGCACTATCATTTAACACAACATGGTGTCTTCAGCGAAGAAGAGGTTTGTTTTCCCAACTATCCTGTATCTGTTGCTTAACCCGGTGACCAGTTGATGTGTCTGTAGACCTATCGCCTATAATTTACACGATTAACGTTTTGGGGTATGGATTGTTTGCCCATGATGGCGACGCATGAAGTCAATACCTTCCTAAACCCAATTTCTGTTAAGAAAAAATACCTCCTAGTATTTGTGCATAGCGAATGATATTCGGGGTAATTTTTTCACTTGGCGGAAGAACACCCTACAACCATTGCAGATCCTACCCTTCCAGCAGCTCCCCTTTCTTCACAGACACCCAACGACCCCTCCACTCTCTAGGTGAAAAACAGCGGCTAATCCGCACTTAGAAAGTATATGTAGGAATGAAGGTAACGGAATTGGTCAAACAGTTGACAAATTGAGTCGAATTGAGTTGAGTTCTCTGGTTTCTTCCCCACAGGTATTATTTTATGCCTCTGAAGTGATTCTTGGCCTGGAGCATATGCATCGACGCTACGTTTGCTATAGAGACTTAAAGGTACCTAACATTGTTAACTATTCATTGGCAGCTTCTCCGATCCATTTCATTTCATGTCATTGTCAATTGCTTTTAGCAATGTAACCCCACACCAAAAGCTTTTGAAGGGCTCCTCCGTTTCGACCAACTTACAGTCGACTCAAGGATCTAAGAGCGTCTAAGTCTAAAATCTAATTTTCAGGCGCAATATCGTTGGAGAGTCACAATCTCTCCGCAACCCGGATGTTGGCATCTTTGTTGAGCGTAGTTGAAGCTATGTCTATGCATCTTGATATTTTTTCATCTTTATTTTTCTTTTCGTCTCTTTTTCTTTCTTTTTTTAATCTTATTTCTTGACTTTTTACACGTTTATCTTTCTTTGATTGATCCATAATTTTTTCTCATTTTTTCTCATATCGCTTGGATCAAATCTTTTGCTAAGTGACTGTCTCTTTTTACCTTTACTTAGTGAGTTTCATGCTCTTAAAAGCTGTTTGCTGTTTTGACTTCGAATGATTAAATTTTATGTATAGCCCAGATTTTAAGACACCTTCAACTTATGTTCCACTTTCTTCTTTTTCCCAGCCAGCAAATATTTTACTAGATGAGCATGGTCACGTGAGAATTTCTGACCTTGGATTGGCTTGCGATTTTTCAAAGAAGAAACCGCATGCATGTGTGTGAGTATTATGAAAACCGTTATAAAATAGCTGTATATCCACATATAAGCGAAGCTCGATACAGCAGGGGAGGCCATTTAGAAGCCATGGCGCTCTTTTCATTACTAATTAGAACTGGAGCCGTTTATGGTGTAAATTGCCCTTGTAGCTAATTTCCACTTTGGGCAAAGACATTTTACGCATACTTTTGTCACTTGCCAGAATTATGATCAACACCATCAGCATTTCCGCCGTCATTTATCACCGTTTTCAATCATAATTTTCAAACATCATATTAATCATCAATCGTTATCAGTTTTCACCAACATCAATCACCATTGTCAATCGCGATCATCAATCACCATCGTCAATCATCATAATCAAGAATCGTCGTCAGTCATCATCATCATCATCATCATCATCATCATCATCATGCTTATGAAACCTCAACTATATTGTTTGTAATCATTTATCCAATCCGCTAGTCATTATTTTCACCATTTTTGCCTCTAAAGTCTCTAATTTTTGCTTGCAGAGGCACGCATGGCTATATGGCACCTGAAGTGTTACAAAAGGGAGTCTGTTACGATTCTTCGGCAGACTGGTTCTCGTTTGGATGCATGATCTACAAACTTCTAAGGGGGTAAGCTTCAATTCAGTTGCCATAGAAAAATGAACTACTGCAATTAAAATCAGTTTGTAATTCAATTTAGTGCTTGTCTTTTTCCAATTTTTTTGTCGTATATCTTCTTATTAATGACTGTCACTAAGTTTTCTTTGGACGTTTATATTTCTTGAGAAAAGCCATATAGCTCAAAGTTTTAGGGAAATCATCGAGTTACTACATGATGGAGCAACACTTCCCATTTATAGAGCATTTATCTTGTAACATTGAATCATGTAACATTTGCATATTATGCCAGTTATTGATATAAGACTGTACAGGAGGCAAAGCAAGCACTGTGATATACTGCCCTCAACTTCGCACCTTGATATGTTAGGTTTTCTGTACCTGTTAATCGGTATTATTGCATTCTCAGACACAGTCCATTCCGACAACAAAAGACCAAAGACAAATACGAGATCGACAAAATGACACTGACCATGGTAAGATGACAGCTATTAATTTATGCTTGACATTAATGTGATTTCTTAATGTTTAACATTATGAGCATCCCTACCTGTTGTGATTTGATAAAGCACAACCCTATGTGAGTCATCTAAAAAAGCAAATTGACGAAACTTCCTGACAAAGCAGAAGAAAACTTTCACAGAAAATATTAAGAGTTGGTTTTCTATATCATGTTTTAAACGTTCGACAGAGTAACCTTCTAATTGTAACTTAGCTATATATGCACTTAATTGCAAGCTTCATTGTCGAAAAGTAACGTGTGTATAAAAAAAGCCTTGGTTTCAATTTCAGGACATTAAATTTCCAGATGAGTTTAGTGACTCGATGAGATCTTTGCTGAGCGGCTTTTTGCAGCGTGACGTTTCGCAACGACTTGGTTGTAGAGGAACTGGGTATGTTGGTTTTATTAAGTTAATATTTGAACAATTATTTTTGCGGTACAGAACTTGAAAATGGCTTTGAAAAAAGAAAACATTTGACAACATACTACTAATTTTCCATCATGTGCTTTCGGACCCTTATTCTGACGATTTATACTCTGAGGTGTGTCAGATAAAAAAATTTTAGTAGTATGTTGTGAAATGTTTGCTTTTTCAAGGCCATTTTTAAGTTTAAATTTATACTAGGGCTCCTCTCTCTTTTGCAAATTTAAATGATGGAGAGACATATTGTTTCTGTAACGGATGCCCTGTTACCATCCAGACTCTAGAAGTATGAACCGAGGAGTAGAATCAAGTCATGCCAACTTATGTGCAGCGAAGTGGAATGTTCGTGAAAATAGTTTGCCATGGAAATTTAATCAGTTTAGCAAATTTAATCTTAGAAAAATAAACTTTTTATTGGTTTATTCTTGACAGTGCAGTCATTGACAAATTGTTTTGAGGTGTAACTTTATTGGGCACAAATTCTGTCTTAGTTAATTATACCTGACAGATATTTTAGTAAAAGCTTTCTGCGATCAATGTCCATCCCATAAACTGATATTTACCCTTGTAAAAATAATGATTAATTCTTTAAGAAGATTTAGGGCAGATTTAATCACCTACACTTTTAGAAAATTGAGTGTTTTTTCTCTATTTGCAGCGTCGAGGAGATCAAGGCTCATTCATTTTTCAAGGATATCGAGTGGAAGCAAGTCGAACTTCTAAAGGTAACATAGAGCTTAACGTCCCGTTTAAGTACTGGGTATTTACTGTTTATATACATTTCTTATTAATTGAGCAGATCAGGCAAATATTTACTTCAACCGATTACAGCGTTTTGGGCACATTAGCGTTTGTTATTTTTTCCTTTCACTTTTTGTGAAAATATTCAGTATGCGTTGCAGAATTCTTGATTTAAGTACTTGCACTTGCATCTCAACGGAAAAATTTGTTTTGTTAAATATAAAAATTTACTCTTGTTTTCTCTATATTACCAAATTTATTCGAATGTATGCTTTCGTAGTTGCTGCCCCCTCTAATACCACCTCGAGGTGAAGTCAATGCTGCGGATGCATTTGACATTGGCTCATTTGATGAGGATGACGTCAAAGGCATCAAGGTATGCTAGTTTATGCATGTTATAGACTTCATCTCCATGTTTGCGTGTTGAGCGGAATAAATAATAAGATTACTGATTCAATTTTCTGTCATTGCATGATGATTTGATTGTGGTTGCATATCCTTAAGAAAGTGCGCCATTTCCTGCATAATTTATCGAGAATTTGTTTCCATCTCTAGAACCATGAATTTGCTTATTTTCTGTTTTTACCGACAGGCTTAGCATATTCTAAACAAGAGTTAATCTGCAATTATCTTCAACTGTTTTTAACTAGTTTTAGGCACCAAAGACTAAATGCGGTCCTAATTTCTTCGAAGAAATTTCAGAGCATTGTAGCATTTTCGTAATCTATTTATAATAAGCCCCCTTCTGTTATCAGCCCTCTTGTAAGTCTTCCCCTCTAAGATTGAAAAAATATATAAGCTCCTGGGGCTTAATGGAGCTTTTACAGTAATACAGCTATTTGATATGTGATGTTTCTTACGTCTTTGATGCCTCTTTTATTATGTAAAAAATTGACAAACCTACAGATGTAATTTTTGAAATTTATTTAACTTTTTGTTACTGCCCCTTTACATACCTGTATCACTGTTTTGTTTAGCTTTCAGAGACAGATCAGGCTCTATACAAAAATTTCAATTATATCAACTCTGAAAGGTGGCAACAAGAAATTGCAGGTAGTAGCCTATGTTGTCCTTTGTAGCTCTGTATTTTACATCTGACCACACCTCCTTGCTTTAGTGTAGAAAGCAGTGACAGCAATTTTTGTTAATCACACAAAAGACAGCTCCACCAGGCTCTTGCTCGAACATCATAATTCAATTAACCATAGTTTGTTGCTTAATGTTTTTCCTTTTGATTCTACATAGCATTTTCTAAGCGACCAGAATGAATACTTTAACGTTCATATAAAGCAGCAACAGATACCTATTAATGCATCTAAGTCAAAACTGCTTACAAATAAAGAAAATGTGCCAGTTAATATTGCTATTACATCTAATCAGGTACTCGAATTCTTTGACTTGTGAGTCAAATTCTTGCAATAAGAAGTAAGAACAAATTTGTACTTCCAGATTTTTCGTTTGCCTCGACCCCTTATCAGTTCCCGAAACCCTTCACGCCCTGTGAAAATGGCATATCATCCGCACAAATACGGCTTTCAATCCCCCTTTAGTATCTAATATTACGATAAAGTTGCCACGTTCGATAAATTAAAAATATTGACGATGAAAAATTTGCGATTCCCTTTCTAGACCTAATAGACAGGACCCCTTTACAGTGGAATCCCAATATAACGAACCCCGGATATATCGAACTTCCCGATATAACGAACTAAATGTCTGGTCCCTTGGATTCTGCCTATCAAACTCCTTGCGAACTCTCTCGAACGTTATAAAGCATCAACAGATATAGAAATAAAACTACTTTCACTTAATTATAATGATATCATTCGTTTATCAATTGATCGATCAATTTATATCAATTTTCATTGTTCTATATCTACAAATTTCAAAAATCCGCAGAAGATCACGATTCTTGTGTCGCCATTCTTAATAAACCAGCTATGATTAACTATACAATTTAAAGTCATCCCTACTCTAATACTCCATCCATCTAATAGATCACTTTCTTGCTCATTCATCCGTTATTCAAAGATTCTATGGCTCGTTTTTTATATGGCATTTTTTTTATTTTGCTAAGATATTTTCACAAAACGCATTTGTTTAGTCCAAAAACCCAGTTGTCCAGAAAAATACCTTGTTGGTAATTCTCTGCAAGACTTGCTCTTTTTTCGTCCTAGAAACTGTATTTGATGTAATCAATCAAGAAACGGACAAGATTGAAGCCAAAAAGGGCACAAAGATCAACTTGAACCATATAGGTTGGTTTTGCTGTCGCTTCTATAAAATACTTCTGTAGCTTTTGCGAAGCCTATATTTAAGGGCGGCCTAAAGTCTTTGATTAAGGAAAACTGTTTGTTTTATCTTCTTTTTGTGTTTGTTATTAAGTCCTTTCAAAATGGTGGCTAGTGGTATTCCTGGAAAGATAACAGACTTAAAAAGTTGTAGTTGATGGTCATGAAGGAAAATGAAGTAGACAATACCATAAGAAACGTTTTATACGAGCAAACCTCAGCAAAAGATTCTCTTGTTATTGTGTTACCCCCAACTCTCTGCATATGAAAATTCTCTATTTTCCTTTAAAGAAATAACAGAATCGAGTGACTGCCTTCTTCACGGCTTTCTCAACAAGCTTGGTGGACCGTTTCAATCGCAGTGGCAGAGGAAGTACTTCTATCTATTTCCAAACAGAATCGAATGGAGAGGAGAACAACTGGTAAAAATAACGTTTTCTGTACTGATTTCCTATATATGTTTGGGTAAACAAATTTTAATAATTTTATTTTTGATGTCTTGGGCGAAGCTACTAAGGGTGTGATGTGAAGTTGCAAAGAAGTTGCCTAAGGCTTAATTTGCAAATGCCGAATCGTCTTGCAAACTTTTGCTGTTTAAAAAACCTCTTTGGCAATCTGAAACTCAAAGCGTTTCCTCCTCAAATTGAGTTTAAGGGCCTTATTCATCATCCATCTTGTCTTGTCCACGCCCTTTATAAAACAATATCCAGGAGCACCCAGGAACACCCAGCAAGTGACTCGTCTCTCTTGATTCTAGTTGTTTTCATTTTGTTTTGAATTTCGCTATCAGCTGCAATTTATCATTCATATGCTTAGACTGCTAAATTCAATGATCATTTCTGTTGATAATGAGTTTAATCAAGTGGAAGCATGAACTCATCTTAAGGTGTAATATCAATAAAAAATTCTCAAACATTGATTTTTTCGCTAACATTGATAAGACTGACATCTGAGTTTCTGTGTACATTCTTAAAGTGTAAAAAAACGCGATTCTAAGCTGCTACTGCAAGTTTCGCGCTTAATACGATCATCAGAAAACTGCTCGGTTGCCCACTGTCTATAAGCGTGTACAGCTCTGACTATACTACATTAAAAACTTTATGACAAACCGGTAAACAGTAATTTTCTTTAAATTTCCAAGTTTGTGATTGATAACATTTTTCTGTTAACTACAAACTCGAAATTACAATAAGCGTATTTTACAATTGATGTCTTTTAATATTGTTTTAACCCATGATCATGTAATCCTTTTCTTCTTCCTTGGGACAAAAATTTCTTATTAAACCCATACACCTTACCCATAGAAATATTTCTTCGAATCTTATCGTTTTTCTTTTTAGAATTCTCAGAAGAATCTGGTCCCATTCGAGGATATTTTTTCAATTGAAGAATGTCAAATTAAAGGGTTCAAATGTATCAAAATCGTATGCAAAGACCAAAAAGAACATACACTACGAGCAGAGGTTTGTATATGACGTGTTTGACGTCTCAGAAAAATTTTATTCAGGAATTCTGTCTTAGGCCATAACCATGCCCTGTTCGCGATATGCCCGTTTATGCTATCTGAAATCAAGTTTCAACAAAAAACCAGTTCTAGAAAGATGTCCAAAATTTTAACAGTGGAAGGCAGTATATAACACTCAATTTGCTGCCTATGATGGAAGATTTTTTTACTCTTTACGTACGGGGGAGATATGTTTCATCCATATTTTATATTTGATTCTTGAAAGAAAGGTTGCTCTTCTGCAGAAGCGGTTTTCAATGGGCCCTTCTATAACAACATAATTACCATAATAAAGCAATTGAAATTGTGACAATATATAATATATTACAGATTCATAAAATAAAAACCTGCCTGCTTGCAATTATACATTATTCCACATTCTTTTCACGATCTTAACGTCGTCTTTTCGAATTCTTAAATGATGATGGGACTTTGATTCTTGAAGCGCAGGCTATCGTTTACCTAATATGTACACTCATTTTGTCGGAACATTTCACTTTGTAGGCAAATCTTATAGTGGTAATGCTGGTCGAAATGATCAGCAATCAACCCTAGCATTGTTTATTCCTGCACTGGGGCTGCTTTTTGGCAGGGAAATGTGTACTTTAAGGGGGCAAGCTGTGTTAGATGGCGGCAAAATTGATCTATCAAGTGAAGGAAGTGTGAAATAGGGGCAAGTTGCGCCGGATCTAAAAATATCGAATTTGCTGCGAGGAGCAATCTTACCTGACTGAGAAATTTACAAAGAAAACTGGTTGGCAAAAAGTGCTTCTTTTATTAATGCTGGTAGAAAGTATTTAAAGTGATTTTATTAGGCAAATATTAAGTCGTGATCTTTTGAAAGAGGCGTGATGCCTTTGTTTATATATGGTATGTTATCTGTAGGTTATTTGTTATGACTCATGAAAAGAATGCAATCGTTCTTTTACAGAGCGAAACAGAATACGATGAATGGATTAAGGAAATACGCCGTGCCCACGAAGAGGCACAAATAATGGTTAGAACTGGAGCGAAAATTATGAGTAACTCAAAGAAATGCTTCCATTCACAATCCAGCAAAGACAGTATCGACAATGAGCGCAGCTTCTCGTCCGAAAATCATGTATGACGTCATTTATTCGCACAGGCATTGATTTCACAACTGGAAGATTATGATTATTATGTACAGAGCATAATGCTACGGTGGACTGCCATTTCTGATGGCAAATCAAGATTACAGCAAAGCAGCCAATGAATTTTCAATTGAAAAAGAATGATATAGTGTCAGGTATGTCTTGATGTCCATATTTAATTGACAGGCAAAAGGGCAGAGAAATGTAACGTTTTGAGCCCTTCAGTATATGCACTCCGACATCGTTTTCATTAGAAATCGTTTTCATTAGAAATCGTTTTCATTAGAAATCGTTTTCATTAGATGGGTGACGTGCAACTGCACTGGTGTTTGCTCGTAGAATTCCTCAAATGGTTTTAAACTCTGTCGCGGTTGTCGTTAGTTCAGAGATGATGTGATTTTCTCTATTATTGAGGCAAAGGCGAAATTTTATTTACCGTCAACCGTGTTTCTACTACTGCGAGTGTCAATTGATCATCGTCTTTCCCCGTCCCTTTAGTCACCGCGCATGTGCAATAGCAATTTCTCGAATCACTTTGCTTGCTTCATGAATGTTTGAACGGGGTGGCTTAATCCTTGGAAGGCTTGTAATTATTTGTTTTCTAGTACTGTACATGTATTTTCCCTTAACTGTTGTTCGTCACAGAGCCTTCAATAGCTGTTAAGATACCTCATAATGAGACGTCTGATTGTTGACAACTATCCGTCAGCTCATACTGGTCGCAATGTGAAATGTACAACTAACTTTACAAGGTAGAATCAACCTTAAAGCATTTTTGAGTGCATTAAAACAGTCTTTTGGTAACTATGCAGTACTTGGTTTGAAAATTATGGTCACATACAAACTATTTTCTAAATATGACTCGTTTTCATGTGCTGTGAACATGTGTGGTTTTATTCCACAGTAGCGAAGTTTAAGTCTGATTTTTTTATCTCCACATCAAATAGATATACTTTGCCAATATTTAAGGAATTGATCAGAATATATTTCTCGTACCAATGGGCAGGCCTTGAAGGCTTATTTTATAGGACAGACTTTGCAACCTGAAAGAAAACTAATGATTTCCCAGAAAGAATTTTGAGCTGCTTTCCTCAAACTGGCTCATTCAATTTACTCTACATAGGCCAAGGTGGGTGTCGACCAAAGCAAGTTCAGCCCCTTGCAAATCGTAACCCAAAGCAAGTTCGAATATGGAAACTCCCAGGTATCTAGTAACCGCAGTTGTTCCTATGCTTCGCAAACTCCCACTGTAAACTGTATCGATAACTTTGCCTGAAATTATTCTTATGTCTGAGCTTGTTACTCGTATGTAATTTCGTTATTTGTAGACCAAGATCAAACTATGATATTCTTTAATTGGTGGAGTATTGCGTCGTGTTGATAATATACCTTTTGTTGTTAATTCACATATCGCTGTTGAAAATCTCCGTTGGTCAATCGGAGTTTAATATCATCCAATGCATACTGTAATTCCCAATCAATAATTTCTCCTACTTAAACACACATAATTTCTTTGAGAAATCGTTTGTGCACTCACGCTTTTGTGTACCGATTGATAATTTGTTAGATTCTGCTGGTAATCTGTACTTTAATCTTTAGTTTCATACTTCCAGGACTTAGGGCTAGGGTAGCTGAGATGTGCCATATTTGGAGGTCTTATTTGTAGAAAAGAATGAACCATAGGTGTCCATTTGCTGAAAAGGCACGGTTGATATACATCTTTTACTTTCTAGAAATATTGATTCTGACTAATATTCAATCTGCAAGATTTCCAGCAGATAAACTTAATATTGCAAATCCTTGCATTACGCAGATACCCTTTTTCTTGCGGGGGAATTTTTAAATATGAATTTACCTAGAATTTTCTAACTATGGCACATCCCAAAAAATTTATGGTCCAAAATACCCCAAGATAGGAAATCTATGGTCCTAGGCTATGGTGCATGCACTCGTTTTTAATCTGTAGATACGGCTTGATGTTTGCCGGCCTAACATCCATGTGACTTGGTTACAACAGCTGTATTGGCAATTTACGCAAAGTGCAATCCGTTGTCTTCAAATACCTCATGCAAAATTTGCCCTTGAACTTTTATTTCAAAATATAAAGCAAGTCAATTAGTATTGATCAATTTACTTTTAAAATGAACATTGTCTGTATGTTTTGATAAGGAGGGACATAGTTAGTGCCGGAGGCTCCTGGCAAAAACCCCCAAGCAAAAAAATAGAAAGAAGAAATATCAAAACAGGAAATTGCTCCCAAAGTTTTGAAATCTAGCAACACACATGTAGCCACTTTTTGAATAGTTTCCCCATCTCCCCCTTTCCCCCTCCTCCACAACGTTATGCAGTGGTGGCGCCAGCTATTACAGAGTGGGAGTGTAATGGACGGGGCCGTTGGGACCACGCCTCTTTTGCCTCATTTCAGTGATTTGTACTATGTTAACTTTCCTTAGGAAATTTGATCTACCCCTACCCAGCGTTTTCTAATCCATTTTTAAAAGAAATATGTAGACCATATTTTCACAAAAGTGGGCGGTAATTACCCCCATACCACCCCTTGGCGCCGCCACTGACATTATGTTAGCATGGCTCCTTAAAGTAAAAACCGTTAAGTGCATATTTTAGTAGATGTTGAATAGATTATCAAAACTATATTCAGAAATTATCAGCTAGTTTTCCTTTGTATATTGTTGTTATCGGAATTGTCCCGTTTCTGAGAATAATTAATTTTCAAGCTTTTTGACACCTCAAGGTAAAGAATAGTCGGATAGCTAGTACTAAAAAATAACGCACTTGTCTTACTGTGATTGTAGTTGCATACATCTCGCACATGTGTGACAAACAATTCTATTCAAATGTTGTCATTTTTGTTTTTATTTTACTTCCAATGTAATTCCAATATCGCACGCATTCTGCCCTATTTTGTTTCTAATGACTATCGTTGTTCGGGTGCAGTCTTGCTGCAGTCACACACCACTTGCAGGCTCTTGCTGCTTTTTGTATCAAATTGTCTTTTATTCTTCGATGATCTAGGATAGCAGACTCACGGCTCAGACTCTAATAGTCACACAATACTGTCAAAGTACACTGTATGGCAGCAGCTTACTGGCGCTGCTAAGATACAGACTTTGCAGTAATGAAACAGTAGTTTCTGTTGTACTCAATAGGCATGTAATACATTTTTATCATCAATGTCTTACAATAATATGCAAATTCGGGGATATATGTTTCCAATAAAAGCTCGAGCAAGTCACAAATATTCACCCAAGGAAAGCAGGCCTTTCAATGCAAAGATTTCTAGTAATTGGTGTCTGCGTAAGGATTCAAAGTCCCGTTTAGCCCAATGGCCCATTTCAATTGGTATTTTTACAAAATTGAGGTCTTACACTGCGCACGATAGCTACAAATGATATTACGACTTTTGTTGCTAGTTTGATTCAATATAACGGTCTGATTGTGTAACTTTTACGTTGAAAACATCGATTATGATAACATTAGGAAACTATTTAGTTGATATTTTTAGGATGCAAACGGTAATTTGATTAAAATCATGTTAAAACAATTTAAATGAATAAAATTATATATAAATATATAGATGTATGCATCGTAGAGTAAATATATGTTGTATAATTCACTTCTCGTGTAGTTAGTATTTATTGTCACACACAGCTAGATATTGAGTGTCAAATCTTCTCACTTTCATTGTGTTCCATTGCAGCCAAAGAATAACGTCTGATTTTATCGAATTAATCGAGTCTCTGATTCCTTTCTTCGCCTGGCCTGGTTTTAGCGATATGCTATTCTGCGTACTTAACGTCGTGCTGCACGTACGTCGTACTGCACGTACGTCGTGCTGCACGTACGTATTACTGCACGTACGTCGTACTGCACGTACGTATTACTGCACGTACGTCGTACTGCACGTAGTCCTCGATTCCTTTTCCCTAATCATATTTGAATTGCAGCCCTCATTCGCGTTTTTTTTTCATGAATCAAACCAATTCTTTTGACGTTATTTTACCTATTCAGTTTATTGCGAATCCTGAAATCCGCTGTACACAATCAGTACAATCTTGGTATCGCTTTTACTTCGTTGATCTTAAATGCTGTTGATTTTAATTTGTGTTGAAAGTTACGTAATTTAATGTCCGAATTTCGAATTTTTACATGATCCAAATCTCAAATTTTTTCTCCCAACATGATACACTTGATGAAAATCAAACTTCAGATCACATTTTCACATTTAGAGAAATAATTGAAAATAGTGAACAAAAGAAGCTCGCGATGTATGCATGCATGGTATATGTAGAAGATTATTATGAATAAAGTAAATTCACGGACTGTGTTTTGGAAGGACCGCTTTCTTCTTCATTTCCTTCTTCAGTCTTTAGTCCAGAGTTGCCTTAGAGTAAGTGATGCATAGTTAAATTTTTTTTCTTGGCACGGAGTTAAATCTATTGCAAATTGGCTGAGATATGGTAGATGAGACTCCCAAGATTTGTTTTGGCATGATTCATAAGTTTTAGAATTGATTGGCAAACACTTGTGCTTTTGTGCTCCTATCTTAGGCAATTTGTAATAGGCCTAGCTGAATTTTCTCTTAAGAAATGTTAATGGGGCCTTTCAGGTCATGTGTTCGAAATTCAGAAATATTAAGATAGGTTTTTATGACGTCATCACTTCGTGACTCCATGGGGACTCGTTACATTTCAGTATTGAATACTTTAAGATGTGGTATTGGAAAAAGTATCATCTATGAATATTTTTATACGAATTTTTTAATAAGATGGAAAAAGAACTCGTCTTCGGCATCCGTTCGGCACTTACTTTCCTTGATGTGGAAGCTGTGGAAGCCTTTAAGATGTTGTTGATGATCGTTTCTTTTTGGCGGGAAATTCAAGAATCAAAACAGTGTCAGGTTAAGAGTTTAAGGGAATGTCACCGGCCAGTGCAAAAGATCGCAACTTGATTATGAGATTATAACTCGATTAAAAAGGTAAAAGGTTCGTCAACTTTCTTTCGTTCAAAATTTGTTTTCGTAAGAATAATTTATAAAAACATGTAGATTTGTTGATGCTTTGGTCGTGTTCGTTGTACCTGGCTTGTTGATATGATGTCAATAATGGAAGGTTCTCCCTAAGACTTTGGCACCTGCATGCAAACATGAAATCTGGCTGGAGAAAATGAATTGGGGATACCATCAACTGGTCAAGAAATTAAAAAAAAGGTATCTCTTTCGAGATTTTCAAAATTAATTTTGACGTCCTACTGATGTTGGTACTTATATAACGACATTTTATTCGCACTTAATCAACTATATATTCAGCCATATATTTGCCGTTACGCACAACTAATATTTCTATTGTATTCACATTCGCTTTATAGCCTAGCTTTTCTAATCGCTTTTAGTTAATCTCGTTTTTTGAGCTGTTTTTACATTACTTAGTTGTGTAGTTAAAGGATTATTCGGGTTTTTGGAAAAGAAAACAAGCTGTCCTAACTTTTTGCATCTGCAAACATTGAGGTGAGAAATTATATATATATTTATAATCTACACAAGTCGTTAGTAAAAGAGCCAAAAAAGCTTTTACTAAACTTCCAAAGTTGCTTGAAAGGAAAATTTACATTGAAACATCAAAACTTGCCGATGAAGAAAAACAAATTCGTCAAGTAAATACGTTTGGCTAAATTTGCAAAAGCAGATTTAAGAAGGACAGAAAAAGTCATATATTGTTTCTTCTCAGAATCATTCAATGTTTCAGAATATTCTAAAATAAATAAATTTACTTAAGGACTCTCTAAAATGAAGTAATTACTACTTGTTATAACTATTTTACTTAATAAAAAATAATGTGTTGTGGAAACATAGCAAAAACTATTCTCTTTAAACAAATTTATCAACTAACATAACTTATTTGTATAACTAATACAAGATTTTTCTCTTCCTTGGTTACTAGAAAGCTATAGGCTGTACAATGCTACTGTTTCAGATCTCTAACAGATCCCTTATGATATGCAAATCCCTTGACTTATTCCTTAAGTGATTATTTGTCTCTTCATAACTATGTCTATAACCTTACTTGTAGTCTTTGAGAATATATCCAAAAATCTTTTCCTTATTATGCAAAACATTAATTTGTCAAACTACAAAAACTCTGCCACATATTCATCAGTTATTTACTATGTGTTTTTAATTCCGTTACTTGCTCTTGTTTACTTACTTTTTACATAGAATGTCAATGCAACTTAATAAATCTATCTCAAATTTTAGAAAGAATCAGGCTAAACCTTCTGTTATTATTAGTATGGGATTTCTTACTGATTCTTTGAAATAATTTTACTTTAAATATGAAAAATAACTGAAATAAATCAAATCTATATTAAACACAATAAATTGACACTAAACGACAAATTACAAATAAATTTTCCAATCTCTTTACTATTTTAACATACATATTTTCAAAATAAAAATAAACTTTTTGAAGCTACTTAAACTCAACTTAAAACACAACTTAAAATAGAATAATACACTAATATTCTAATTGGTACCTTGATTAAGGCTCAAGCAAAAAGATGACACAAACACTAATTAATTGAATAGAGCCTAAAACACAAAAACATATCTGTATTCTGTTGCCATAGTTTCAGAATACCTTTTATCAAATTCTAGTGAGCCCATAACAGTTTGATCACATGACAGAGTCTGACAGACCAATCAAGGAAAAATTTCTTTTGTGGGGCTTGATGGAACTAGTATACAGACATTTGATAAGTGTTAGATAAAATTTTGATAATTGAGATTAGAGTAAAACTACTTTTCATTAACTTTGAACCATACTGAGATACAGTTTCTAACAAGCTTTCATGGAGATAAAACAATGACACAGAGCTTGAATTTTTTAAAACAGAAATATTGTAATACCACTCTGAAAAATGACTAAAGTAAATAATTACACTCCCTTGAAACAAGAAGATCATTATCACATGACAACACAACTTTTTACCAAATATGAAAAATCTCAATCAGCAGAATCTTTGGCTCATGTAAGACCATTTTTTCTAACAGGTGTACCTCCATCTGAAATAAGAATAAAACAAGTAAAAAATCATATGACCGTGCTAAAAGTATTTTGTCATGATTATCAAACAGTTCAAATTTTTGGTGGTGTTGATGTGCCATACACCTAGGTATTTAAATATAGGAATGTTTTCTTCAACATTGCAGATTGAATTTCCTTAAATCTTAAAAGACATAAACAAAAGATCTGTCTGCTTTCTACAAAACATTTTTCTCATTCATTAAAAAATTTTCAATATAAATTTTTCCCAATTCATCTAGCATTATTCCTAATACAAAACACACAAAAATGAAATAACAAGGTGTGATTGGAAGTACACATCAATATGAAATTTTTATATGTTTCTGCCCACCTTATTTCATCATTGAGTGAATTACTTTATTAAAGCTCATGAAATTTGGAGCAAAATCAGTATTAAAAATCAGGCAGAAATATTACAAGAACAAAAATATGCAGTTAGATTTTATTTCATTTCAAATAGATTGAAAAATTAGGTCCTGTTTAAATTTACTTACTTGACTTTGTTGATGATGACCTTGAAACAGGGTTTCTTGATCTCATAGGTTTGTCACCTGTACCAATATTTTGCATTTTAGAGACAGAGTTGATTTTTTGGACTGTTTTGTGAAATGTAGGCACAGGAAGTTTTGAATTTCTATGTCTTGAAATGCTGTCTGTTGAAGTTTCTCTTTGCATTGGTTGTGGATTCATAGAGGCATCAGATCCTCTTCTTCGTACCCCTCTAGAATTCAGGGAAGCTACATCAAGGGTATATGATTTGTAAAATGATGGTCTTTGTGGTGTCATAACCAGCCTAGGTATCCCTGAAGTGATGCCTTGTTTGGATATATCTTGACTGCTTCCTCGTTTTGCTCCATCGGCTTCAGAAGACTGCCCCATTCCTTTATTCGAAAATAAAATATATATAATAGAAAATTCATTGTTGTAAAAATATTTTGTTGTAATTTTTATGTTGAAATGTCATTGAAACAAGAATGCTATTCCATTTGTAATGAATATCACAGACTGGATAACAATAACTTGTGTATAAAGTCTCCTGTTCACTTCAAACTTTCAATACAAAAAAACCAGAATCTTGAATGTCCAGTTTCTTGTCCTTGTTTACATAGACTTAAACATAGTAGTGAACATTCATTTAGACATTATTATTGGTCTTCTAAGAAGCAATTCATTAACATTCAATGACCATGTCCTAGTAGACCAGGGGTGGGCACCTTACAGCCTGCGGGCCAGAATCCGACCCAGGAAGAGAATTTTTGTGCCCCCAAGATAAAAAAGGGCATATTATAATTTTTTTGGTTGGCAAGGATGATTTTCCCGAAGGGGTCCAAATATTGAATTAAACATATTTTCAAATCTTGATCAAACCTGGAAATAATGAAAATATTTGCTCACTGTCAATTGTCATGAACTCATCCTGCTTAAAGACAAGACAGCAGAATATTTGAGGGACTGGGCGAAAGTTAACAAATGCTGCAAGAGCGAACACGAATCTGACTGGGCACACTCATGGCAGTTGAGCAGGGATCACCGTTGTCCCATGTCCCTATTTGGTCATGTCTCAGTTGCTAGGGTGCTGGGGTCGGGCTATATTGAATAAATTGGTGTTTACGTATATTTGAATGGATGGTCTGAGCCAAAAGGCTGATGTTAAACAATGAAACATTGTATTTTTTGCTAGGATGATTTCTGCGAACCCTGAATCACATCCTTTTTAATTCTGTTAGGTTTTTTTAGTTTTCCCGTTTGCATTCATGATTGTAACAGTCTTATATTTTGTTGCAAACTATCTTTGTAAAAGAGAGGTTTGTAATTGTATTGTAATTGAATTTAAATGAAAGTTTTTCATTATTGTTATTATCATTTTATTACAACTATTGTATTCGATTTTCTTATTACTTTTGGCCTGCTTAAAAAAAGGTTTGAAGGATCTGGCCCAGTCTCCAAAAAGGTTGCCCATCCCTTTTGAAGACATTACTCAAATTAACATCTTGTTTTCATAAGGGAAAACATCCAAGAGGCAAAAAGCAAAGGTTTTTTATGTCAGCTTTACAACAATGAATAGCAAAGAATAGCTTCAAACAATCAAGTATGATTTTTGCCTTCTCTGTGTTGATCACCAAGTGCTTTATACTTAAGAGAATTCCACATACAGCCCTGTTTACAGTCACAATCCACTTACTGTCAGAGCTCTTCAAGTAACATTTGGTGTGAATATAACTTGAGCCTATCATATAATGTATATCCACTTTGGTATATTATGGTGTTTGGAACTACATGACTCTAGTAAGTAATTCTTATTAAACATCATATTATATGACATTTTATTTGATTGATACATATAATTCTAATTCATAGCAACAGTATTTTTTGAGGATATTCGGTTTTCAGATTTGGTATCTCTCAGCAGTTTTCTGTAACAATTGTCATTATTGTTAGCGTCCAATGGAGTTATTTGGTTTGGCAGCTCTATAAATAAGCACACAAAATACTATGGCATATAAAAAAGGATATTTTCATCAAAATATATAATTGACACTTATTCCAGATTGCATTGTCAAAAAATCATTATAATTGACACTTATGTAGACAAACAGAGAGGTTACATAAAGACCCACCTTTAACAGTGTCTTTCCTGCGCTTCACTGCAACAACAGTCTGATCCCATGAACGATACTGTGGATGATTTCTTGGCTGAAGCCTAGGCATTTTTTCATGCTCTTCTTGTTTAGCCGGGTTGGGATTAGTTACTGTTCTTCGCCTGGACTTTGGTGTTGATGTTCCATCTAAATAAAACATTGAGAAAGTTCCATGACAAAATTTTATAAAGTCAAGCCAATAAGGGCTTAACAATTATTTTTATTTTATTGAAAAGTTTTTATTCAATTTAAGAGTTAAATATCTTCAACTTATTGCATTTTGAATAAAAAGGATGACCTTTCAACTTCAGATACGATCTTGAATTGACAGAACAAGGTCTAACGCAAAGAAGAAGAAACCTGCTGAAATATATGCTTTAAAAAACATTTAACTGCAACAAAATTGTCAATGATAATTCTTTGGGGGTGTAAAATAAGGACAGATGTGGAGCTTGAATTTTCTGAGTTTATTTGCCCAAAAAAATATCAAATTTTCTTCTAAGTCATAAAAAATGAGGGTGCCACACCCTCTCATAAGTTTTGCCACTGGACAGAATTGATATGTATGATTCTGAGATAATGTTACCTCGTTTCTGGCTTCTTTGCTTCACTGGTCGACCATACTTTTTCTTGATACTTTCAACTGTCATATTCTCTTTGCCTGTTGGTTCAGGATCCCCAGGTACCTTTTCTGTTTGTTCCTTTGTGTGTGTGGATAGCTTGCGTTCATTCAACTGTTTTCTAAGCCAGCTATCACCAGGATTCCTTGTCAGGTAAATATCAGAATCTTTCAGGTTGTAATCCATTAATGAAAGCTTACGGTTGCTAAATTTGGTGAAGGTTTCTGATTTTGTTTCCCTTATTGCAAGATCATTGTCGTCTTTTGGATGTCTTGTTGATAGCGGTTCTGACCTTGAGGTTTGAATTGTGCAAGTTTCATCATCAGAGTCTTGATGCATAGATGAGCGATGGGATGAGCAGGCACTCAATGAAAGCTCTGAGGACAAGTCTGAATCCTGCAAAAACAAAAATCAATAATTAAAAAGTGCCAGAAAAGATGAAAGTTAAAGTCTTCAGGAATCATAACTGCTTTATCTTTACAATATAATCAGCAGAGCAAAGGCAAATACAGCTAGGGTTTTCGGTATTTGGTATTGTCACTTTACTTCAAATAATACCATGTCTTGCAGATGCAAAAATTAGCTTCAATACAAAGAAATCATTTGCAAGCACACACTTTACTTAAAATCTTGACTCGAGTCAAAATTTTAAAGATAATTTTTAATGACAAAGTTTCCTTTCGAATATTTCAATCTGTGTGACTACAGGCAATGTTTTCTGACATTTGATGGTGACCCAAAGTTCAACTTTTGATAACAATAATACATTTGATAATAAGGACCAACTGGACCTTACTCAATCTCAATAAAATTATACTTGGTGATTTTTAAGCTACTTCATATTTTCTAGGTCTCCATTTCAAATGGTTTGGAAAAAAGCAAACATTTGAGAAAACTAAAGTTTTCGTCTGGCACTGTTCAGAGTTTAAAACGTCAGAACATAGATCGAAAACTCTACGCTAGGAAATATATATTCCCATTTGTGGATATGTTTGACGATCAGGCTTTACCAATAATCCGAAACATGTTGCCATTATAGTTTTGCACAATCTGAGTTTTCCAGTAAATGCTTTCCGATAGCAGAATCACAGGTTTTAGTTGTAATTTTAGATCTGCAAGACCGAGGTGGCTGTTCTCTTTGGGGATGAGTTTTGTTTCTAATTTTAGACGTTTTGTCTTCATTTAAACATCCGTGCCTTTAAGTGAAGAAATTTCCACAAGAGTCTCAGACTGTATGCATGATTAAGCTTATGTGAGGGGGCCCCAAACAATTACATTACAAAATAAAAGGGAAAAGAGCATATTAAGGGAGAGCCCAAACCAACTCTTACAAAGAAAGCTTTTTTATTTTAATCAGTTTTGAAAAAGGACTTAAGTTCATATTATATCTATATTCCAATCACTGTGAAAGACAATGGATATTCACATTGTGACTTTAAAAAATGCATTTTCAAAATGATCTGCGGTGTTAACATTGCTTAATTTTGTTCCTCTTTCATTCTGGTCCACTTTCCAGATTCACCTTTTTTGCACTGAGGAGCAGTATGAACACAGAGCAAAAAGATATAAATTTTGCTCTGTTAAATATGAAACAAAGTAGTGTGAGTGGGACCTAACTGAATGGATCTCACAATTATTTCTTTATCTTTGACTTTTCATATGCATCCTTAAGCCCTGGCAAAACGACTAAACATTTCACTAAACATTTCATTCAACTTTTGTTTAGCCAAAAGTTTAGCAAAAAGTTTAGTTGTTTTGGCACCCTGTTTAGTGTTGTTCAGTCGTGTTGAGTGTTGTTGAGCAAAGTTTGATCCTGGTAAAAAATTTTTAGCATTGTTTAGTTTTGTTTAGCAAATGTTTAGTCGTTTTGCCACCAATTAAACATGTTTTGTGATCGTGCAGGCGCTCTAGCTGTAGAAATCCAAAGGTTTTCGTCTGTTTTTGTTGGTTTTCCTGTCTTCCATGAAACATTTGAATATATCGTTGTATGCCACTATGTCTTCTTCAACAGTCGATTTTGTTGTCAATGTGCTAAAAAGTCTTTTCTTTCCCTGTCAATTCATCCAATTTTTATTTTTATCCACCGCTTGTACATGCAACAAAATAAACCAAAAGCAAGTTCCTATGCAAGATGCCCTACAACCCAACAGCGTCATAGACAGCTCGCAGTTCAAAAAGTTGAGTGAAGTTTAGTGAAAAGTTTAGTTACGTTTTGCCACTCTCGCTAAACTTCACTCAACTCCACTAAACAAAAGTTGTGTGAAATGTTTAGTCGTTTTGCCAGGGCTTTATACTTAGGTTGTAAACAAAGTAGTTGAGGTTAAAATGACTATCAATGCTGAAGGGATAATGCTGCAAAAAGTCAAAGGTCAAGCCATAATACTTTCATTAGCAACTTAAACCCTTAGCTGAACAGACTTTCATTTGTTGTACTCACAATGGCTCTTTATCTCATCTCGCATGTAGGTAAAAAAACTCGTGAGAGCAGACCATAACTTTGCATGGGCCAGGGCTAAGTCCACTCCATGTAAAATGAAAACTTTCAGTATAATTATTTTATGTATTTTAAAGCAAATACACAAATACATACTGGACTTATGCTTGAGAAGATTCTCCCATCCCCACTTCCAAAACTCTCTGAACTACAAACGCTAGCCTCGTCAGAATTGACCTCCATCATGGCACTTAATTTCCTTGCAGGAATTTTCTCAGCTCGGCCTTGCCTGTTCACTTTCCCTAAGACAGCAACATATCAGAAAAAATAAGAATCCCATTGGTATTTTGATATCAAAACAAAATATTGAATACCTTTCATTTAAATCATAAAAGAAACTACAGGACTGAGTGGAATATTTGGAAACTAAATATGCACAAAGAATTTTACACAAATTGTGTACAATTCTTTGTGCATATTTAGTTTCCAAATATTTACAATGATTGAAACAAGTATAAATGGTAATGAAATCCTGTACAAAATCAGCAATCACAGGCTAATTCTAAAAATACAATTTTCATTTCTTAAAATAAGTTGCAATTGTATCATACAAAAAGGATTATTAAACAATACAACAAAATGACAATCATACCAGCAACATGTAGCCGGCAAGGGTCGTGTTTGTCAATGTAATGCTCCAGTGTATCCCATCCTCCACCAACTCTTACCATTACATGATTCCTCATAACCTGACGACAAGAAACAAAAAGATAAAAAAATATGGTAACAATACTTCTTCCTGTAACAAACATTGATTCTGAGTGAAACTTTGAGAGGGCTGTTCTTTCTAACCGACCTATAAACATAAAAAAGATGGCTTGCTGTGTGACACTATTCAAAACATTCCAATTTTCCATTTGTTCCACAAAAAGTTCTTATTACGAGAAAATATCTTTACAGTGGGTTTTGTCAGGGTTTGAAAGTTTCTTGGAGTGCCATTAAAGGAACTTTTGGCAGGTGGTTGATCAATACTGACATTTCTGGGGATATATGTAGCCTTGACCCAATTTCTCGAAGGGCAATCAATTGTTAAATTTTTTACGCAAAAAGTATAGTGGATTTTTACACACATCAAATAACTACCTAGCCATAAAGCTTCCCATTGAGAACTGATGCAATTTTAGCGGTATTATTTCTTGAAAATAGCCACAACTGTTAACTTGAAAAATTGCGTGCGATGCCCTCTTTCTTTTCATTGTTTGAAAACAGTTGCGAAACGGTTCCTGTTCTGCAGAGGCTACATACTACAGTTCTGCTGCATTTGTGAAACTTTAGAGTTGAAGATTCAAGCAAATGGTAAGGAAAGGCGTAAAGTTTGGGTATGCGTATGGGTAACAGAATAAATTTCCCGTAAATCCTGTCCACGCTTTTACTTGAATTTAGAATAATCCGGGCGGTTGGAGCATGGATTTATCATTTTTTTATTTCCCGCCCAAATATTGAAACCTGTTATGTTCCCGCCCAAATATTAGCGGGAAAAAATTTCACGCGCACAAAAAATACTTTATAGTCTGGGAGTCGTGCAGATGGGGCTTTACGTTCAAATATGGGTTGATTTTCGTTTATTATCAAAAGTGAAGCTCGTCAGAAAATGGTTATGATCACAGCCTCTCAAAAATGCATGTTGTTTACATGGGAGTGATTGCAATGATGTCACGTTTCATATCACGCCATTGTTTTGCTATCATCCTAGAACTGAAAGAACCCCTCTCTATTCTCTGACTGGGGCTTGCAAACAAGCTTACAAAAATCGGCTTAAACATGGTAAATATCATATTTCATTGATAGTCTTTAGTCTGTTCTATTAGTTCCGCCTAGCGTTCGACAAATCTGCTGGCCATTCAGCGAAAACAAAACACGAGAGAAACAGATTTCGACCATTCGTAAAAGGGATTTAAATCCGAAAATCCAATCATTTTGACGACATCAATGCATCTACATTTTAAAGGAAACACGACAAGTCATTTAACTTTCATCCTCTCTAAATCTTTCTATGAAAGGGGATTATCATATCCGATTTTTAAAATCGCTTCTCTATGTTCCGTTGAAAATGATAAACAACTGCCTTGCTGGTCTAAAAGTTTTATCATGGCCAAGATAAGGCTTATAGGCAAGGACGGTCGTGACTGTCCTAGACATAAACTCATGGGGTAACAACCAGACACGATGGGGTAACAAGTCTATTCACATAGTTTCGAATTGTCCGACGAACACTCGGCATTTCCGGACGTAAACTGTCCATAATTTATCGTACATCATACGGGTACAATGAAGGGGACATTTTTGTCACAGTACTGCCAAAACTGAGCACTGCTGAAATCACTCGAATTTGGGAAAAGTATCGATTCTTTAATATCAAATTTGGGAAAAAGATCTAGCGGTAGGCAAAGAAGGACTTGGATGGACGATATTAAAGAGTGGGTTAACATCCAGAACCAGGGCCGTAAATCCCGGGGGGGGACGGGGGGACTGGACCCCCCCAAAAATCTGGAGCAAAACGATTTTTTTGGAGAAATTACCATCATTTTCCTTGGAAGAAAGAAATCCCTGGTAGCCGGGTTAGAACCAAACTACGTTTTCTGTGTTATTGCAACAAACCTCAGCCACTAACGTTATTTTTGTAAGCAGAGTGGTTTTTATAATTTTTACAAGATAAAAACTTACCGTTTTCTACCGCTTTTACCGTTTTCTACTGTTTTCAACCGTTTTATTTTTGAAAACAGAGTATGAAATAAAAAGAGAGCAATCTGTCATTTTATTTGACCTATTTACTAACTTATTTACGTACATTTCTATTATTTGTCTATTATTTACTTTTATTTAGTAAATCACTTTTTGTATCATTAAAATGTATTCATTTTTGATGTGTAAACATGGCCTACTGTAATCAGTCAAAATAAGGAAGACGCACATTTCTGTTCAGAAAGTAAATTTCTACCAATCAATACAACTGTGTTCCATATTTCCCCAAAGTCTGTCACTAAGGTTTAAGCATGACTCTTCCCCTCCAAAATTTCACCCAATAAACAATAATCTGTGTTCTTCTGAGAAACGCCAAACTTTCTATCCTGAGCGATTCTAGTATTTTATTAAATTTAGTCTGGGGGATGCTTTTTTAGCCTTTCTAGAAGGTAAAAATTCAAAAATTTTCTTCCGCGTCGGACCCAACCATGTTGGGTCTTCCTACGAGACTAAATTTGATTCTTAGTTCCCAAGGCTCAATTTCTTGGGGCCGTCTCTGAAAAATGTTATCCATCCAATCATACACACAAAAGTCAGTGTACTAAAGAATATCTGTAAATACCTTCTATAGAGCAGAAAGTCTTGAGAAATCCAAAAATATTGACTTTTGTTTTTAAAGTAATTTGCCCCTCAACTGTTTCCATAACACATACCATAAATCCCTTGTGGTGCCATGACCCACTGCATACTTTATATTCATTCGCTCTGCTGACCCCCCCAATTCACATGACAGATTTACGGCCCTGTCCAGAACTATGGTATCCTGAAAAGTAGGTGTAGTGACAGGGTTTGTTAGAGGACAATGGTTAGCAACCTACGGATCACGTAGAAGCTACCTGGAATGAATGAATGAATGAATCAACCTTTGGACCACAAAACTAGACGGGGATGAGTGAATTTGGGGGCCTAATGGGTACCCTCTTTGTAGAGGCCTACAGTGGAAAAAATCCAAGTTTCAACCTGCTCCATCCATTCGCCTGAAACTCGTAAAAAAACGGAAAGAAATTGCCGCTAAAGGCAATTGCTACTTACCCTTACGAAAATCAACTGTTTGTTATTTCCGAATTTGTATTTGCCATCACCAAGTTTTTTAACGGGGAATTGTGATGAACAGGTACACGTGTCCACAACATCATGCACCTAAAAAGAAGTTGAATTTTCATAAAAAAGAGTCAATACTTTTTAAGTTATAGCCGTAGTTCATGAGAAGGCCGGATGCGAGTATTTCGGCGCTGACAAACGGGTCTCTAGCCCTGCTCACAAGAACTTCGTCAAATTTTTGTTCGCTTTATATATTCATATACTGTTTATGATAAACTTTGTTCAGAAAATAACACCAATCATTGTATTCGTCAAAACTTATAATATCGTGGCAGTCGTTGATGAGATCTCGGGGTGCGATTATCCATTTCTGGGCGTGCTAGAGTACCCATGCAGCCATGAGCTGCCAAAGTTAGGGTAATCCTAGCACGGACTAGTATTAAATGGCAAACGGTTTCATGAACGTACAGGATTTTGAAAATATTTACTCGAAATCGATTTGGCTTCTACTGCAGGTTAACTCTATCTGAGAAAAAAGCCTGTTGAATAATTGTTTTGTTTTTTTGTACCTAGTTTAATTTTGTACCTAGGACCTTCTGGCCCCTAGCCTGATTTCAATCTATTTTTTCTTTCAATGCCGCGGGGTTGGAACAGTGGGCACGAACTTGTACTTGTCTGCCCACTGGGCGAGAGGCAAAGGTGATATCCACTAGGCTCACACAAGTTTTTTTGGTAAATTTCTAGGGGCCGTTGTTGCAATGAAATCAAGGCTGGGCAATAACAAAATAGAACTTTTTATTATAAAATCTACAATCTTGTATTGAGCGGATTAATTAGTCGTCAGAACAAAGAGAAACTTCGAAAAACCCTGAGGAAAACAATTTCCAAAGATAGCCCTGCGGGAACGAGAATCAACAGTATCTTATGAGAATCCATGAAACAAAAATATGTTTAGTATTTTTAGGACTCTTAAAAACGCTGAATAACAAGTGCCGTTTCAATAAAGACGGCTGGACAGTCCGAGGAGCTTTTATTGAACTTGGCTGAGGAGGGTAAAATTCTTTCAAGAAACCACATCACTATATAAAACGACCCTACAAAGTAAACCTTTACTAATCGAGATGTGAAACAACTCCAATGACTTTAAAACGAAATATTGTCCACATCCTTATTCCAAATATATCAATTAGGGGATTAAAGTACTCCTAGGAGCAAGCTGAGCCTCAGCACCCAACCCTCTCTTTCACAGTGACTGGATGCCTAAACACCTACATTATGGGCAATGGATGATGGTTTGTAAACTGTAGACTACAATAATATTCCAATCAGAAGACTGATTTTTAAACGTTCTAGCTACGGTTAAACTATTTCAAACCAGAGTGTTAAAAGCAACGGAATCGTTGGGAATTTGAAATAACTTCTCAACTTCATGCCTTGACGAAAATTGGTTGGCAGTTTTTCTCAAACAGGTTTTAATCACGTAACATGAATTTCTTTATCAAATGCCGGTAGTGATCAGTTATTTTTAGCTTCAGTGTTTTTTCTCTTAGTGCGGATTTAACTATTTATTTTAATTTGCCAATTCTTTGTCAAGTCATTCAAAGCAATATGACTATTATCATAACACAACAACAGGCAAAAGTGATCTTTTGAAATACTTTGTTACTGTTGGTTTTGAGTGATAAAAAGGCGTTCATACAAAAATATAATGACTGACAAGTAAGCGGTGTTTGGTTTGTTAACAAAATGACCCTCTCACAGTTCCTTTATTGTGAACACTTTATGGGAAGAGATTCTGTGTTGCGAGTACAGGAAATTATTTCAAGCCAATTTACGTTCAGTAGGATGTTATGAAATCAAATACGCAAAATCTCTGCTAAAGCTATTCAACAGGCTTCCGCGGGATTTTAAAAAAGTCGTAATAATAGCGTGTCTTGAAGGTCCGTTACTAACGACTCTTGCTAAAAGTTCAAGGGGACTTCTAAGATAATCCGAGCTCATCCAGGAGCATTTTGAGGGCGTTCGTATCACTCAACATGTGCGAAACAAAGTAGGCCATGTGCCATGTAGAGCGAGGTATAAAATATTAACAAGCAAACAGAACTGACACGAATTAATTTCCCAAAGCTGTGTGTTCCTTTTCAAGCGGCTTGCCGTGTATAAAGGTCTCTCAAGCCTGGTTGCCCAGTTACGATAGCCGGTTTCAAAATAGAAAATGAAATTGCAAATCGAATTCCTTGTTTCTTAGACAAAGCTTTACATCAGTTCTTCTACGAGCATAGATTTTTCTACACACACACGTGCTCATTCAATACGATCTTTCGTGCAGTCATCGCCAGCAGAACATTTGATAAAAACACTGGGGTGCTTTGCTATAAATAAACCCCATACTTCGATACAAGGAGAAAAAACCTAAGCGCTCCCCTCGAAAGATTTCACAAGTTGAAAGGATTTCATAACGGTTCCTGTTCTCTTTTGCTATCTCCTGCTATCTTTTGCTTGAATTCTAGACTGATATGAAGATGTGTGTCTTTATCTAATGAAAACCAGACAACAGCTCTTTCACAACAGATCAGTTAAATTGCATTATTCTAGATTAGACTAAAGACCTGTTTTTATGTTTTATCATGAACATTTTACGGAACTTTTGATTTCGAGAAATATATAGTTTTTAAAAAGGGAGAGGCCCTGTCATTTTTAAGTTTACCAAACCACATGAGACTTTTCTGCAACACTTTAAGATTACTGCTCTAGAACCTTATAATCAAAATTTTAAATTACATCTTACCAGATTAATTTGATAATAGACCCAAGTATGTGTCTAGTGGTTTTGTATCAAGTCTCAAGCCTTCAAAATTATGAATAAATACATTAAGAATCATATTCAACACTTTAATGTTACTTATTCAGTATCAAGCTTATTTGTCTAATTAGAATTAATGTTCTTACTAATTAGCTTAGAATATAAAGCTCAGTACAGAAAACAGGAAATTTGAGATTACAACTTAAGACACCTTAAGGCTTGAAATCCCACTTGATTTCTTACTGAGAGTAAATTGGGCAAAGGTGTTAGCGAGAAGATTATATGAACCTTTGAAGTGATAAAACCTTTAAATTCTAAAAAAACCTTCTTAAAAAAGATCCCGTTCCACTTATTTTGAGGCAGTAATTTGAAGGTGACAGAGAATGTATGTATCATGTGACTCACAAAATAAATGAGTAAAACAAAATAGCTTTCAATGGGAAACAGCACTTAGCTCAAAGGAAAGCCCATTCAAATGATTCATTTTCCTCTACTTTTTTGCTTGTCATGAATGAAATATTTCTTAATTATTTGGAAACGTGTTTCAGCAAAGTATTTATGTTTACAGATATCTAAATTTTCAAATCACTTTGGGTTAAATTTAAAAAACCCAGAAATTCCAGGCAAAACAAAAGAAAAATGTAAGAAACTGACAATTTTTTTTCAAGGGCAGGTGGAGGTTGCATAAATTGTTCTGGAGTCCCTGATTTATTTCCAACTTAATGTACCAGGAGCAGCCAGAGCAATCATGGCAACTCTGTTAATAAGACCTGAAGTAGCTATCTTCAAAACATTTTTCAATAAGCATCTGAGCAGAAATTTGCAGTTACAACATATGAACACCTCCAGAACACCTCAAGTGTTCTCTTAGGTACGAAAGAGACAAAGACACTTTGTCTAGGTTACAAACATCAACTGGTAATTCTATCGAAAGGGGAAGTAATGAAAACCACTTTCGGAATGCTGCATATCTGTTTGAGTTCTGTTTAACACGCAAACAAAAAATTTAATAATCCTGGATTGAAAAGAAGGCCATTAAATACCGTCTCGGTAGATTCGAAGGAATTTAAACGAGATTCATTGCATTATGTAAAACAATAACACTGTAAACGCCCCTTTAAACATCATAATTCATAAACAAATATTGGCACAACGAAACATGTGGAGGCATTTTATTATTCTAGTCAAAGTTATTTTTCACCACAGAATTATAACTGGGTTCATACCTTTTAGAAAACATAATCCCAGTGAATACTATTGTATTTAAATACGACCTGGAAAGAACCGGATCGCCGTTTATCTAATTCACAACAATTAGGCCGGTGGGCATTCAATATTTCGGCAGATTATCCATGACAATCTATCGCACTTTGTCGTCTGGTGTCGGAATGTAAAATTGCTAGCATGTCGTTCTATCATACTCACCAACTGATCTAGGTCGTTTTCCTCTTCAAGTTCCAATACTTTCTCCACCCTGTTTTTGTTTTTTATGGAGTCTTTTTTATCCTCTTCGATTTCTCTATCAATTTCTTCTTCCAGTTCAACGAGCTGTGGTGGCTTAACGCCAAACTTCGCAGCTTTTCTGGCGACATCAAGTAAAGTCAAAACAACTGTTTTCTCGTTTTTGTGTAACACAAGATCTTCGGTTTCAAACAAGACAACATCTGGAATTCCAAGATCTTTACACCATGATATAAAGTTCGCAACGTTGTCTCTTGCAATGAAAGAACCTTTGAAAGCACCCTTTTCCCGATAATAAACCCTGCATGTTGGAATTTTTATTTTATTTTCAACATCTAATTTTGAGATGTATTCTTCGGCATGTTTTTGGACTAAATTCGCATGCTCACAAAGCAAGACACCATTGTCTAATTTATTCATAAAGTTGATCGCATTCATATCAATGTCTGTGAGACTTGACAGCCATTCTGCCAGATCTTCCTTCATCGCCATAAGAAACCTTTCAAGCAGATTTCTTCGCAATCGCTTGGTATTTCTTCTGTACATTTTTGCTTGTCGCTCCTCCTCTGTTTCTTCCTCACCCGCCATCTTTGCTCTTGATCATCCAACTGACTTTGCACAATGACGTATGGAATTGTTGTTATTATCACAATAAACGACATATACCCCCGTTCTTTGATAATGCCGGGGGAATAAATATCATTTGACGTAGTAAATGTTTGGCCACTGCCCTTTTTCTTGTGACGCAACTCGATATTGAACCGGACACACGTGATATGTCAAAGATATGTGTATTGATTAAAACTCCATGCTTGGATCTCCATGAAAAAGATTTAGGTTAATTCTAACTGGTTGTGATGCAGCCATGGGCAAAACACTTAGGGTAGCCCGAAGATTTTTGCTTCATTAAGATGAAAGTGCCATAATGGGGCCGAAATTCGATACATCTTGCCTGATTTGGGGGCTGCAGCCCCATGTTCCCTACACTGATGGGCCCTAAAGTTAGGTAATAATCTTTGTTGAAATTTTTTTTTCATTGGTTTCCGTTTCGTGCAAAAACTACAGTATGCTGTCGCTTTGTCTATGTTACAGGATTAGTCTCGCTTCCGTTAACCTGGTTTCTCTTATGTTACTTGAGGGGGCATATAGACAAAATAGGGTTACCCCGAGAGCTGCAAATAGGTATTTTACTTCTGGGACCACACAATTTGTGTTGAGAAGCCTATAGGCATTGCTTCATGGTCTAATTTTCAAGCCTGAAATTCTTTACTCAAAATAAGCTACTGATTCAATAAAAACAATTGCTATTTTTGGGAGTACTCGATTTTACGTTGAAAAGTAAGCCTATATGCTTTGCTTTATGTCCCAATTTTTGAATCTGAAGTTCTGTGCCCAAAATGAGCCTGAAACAATTTTGTTTGATGAAAAAGCAAGAAATCTTGCTGGTTCAATATAATCAATTTCTTTTTTGACTAAAATACACTTTTCGGGAGCACTAAATTGTTCGATTAAGAGTAACCTTATAAGCTTGTCTTCATAGGTGAAATTCTGCGCTGAAATGTGCCTGAAACGATTTAGTTTGATGAAAAAGCAAAAAATCCTGCTGGTTCATTAGAAGCGATTTCTCTAATCTCTTTTTGACCAAAATACATATCTGGGAGCACTCAATTTTTTGTTGGGAAGTACGCCTAAAGGATTGGCCTCGTGGACGATTTTAAAGGTGAAATTCTGGGCTCAAAATATGCCTGAAACGATTTAATTTGATGAAAAGCAAGACATCCTGCTGATTCATTAAAAAACATTGTTTTTTTACTAATATGCATTGTTAGAAGCACTATTTTTTTTCGGAGAGAAGTAAACCTATAGACTTCGGTTGATAGTCATATTTAATGTGAAATTCTGTACCAAAAATGTGCCTGAAACGATTTAACTTGATGAAAAAGTGAGAAATTCTGCTGGTTCAATAAAAGCGATTTCTCTTTTGGACTAAAGTGAGTTCTTTTTCAAGATTGTACCAAATTAGCAGGTCAGAATCCACATTAAAACTTGTTTTTGGTCATAAATGATCATTGAACATATATTTTTGAGAGCACTCAATATTTGCTAAAAGGTCAGCCTATCAGCTATGCGTGGTCGTCGATTTTTAAACCATTAACAATAGTCTCAAAAAATGCCTGAAATGACTTTATTTTATAGAAAAGCAAAAAATTCTTGCAATTCAATAAAATAAATGGCTTTTTTGTCAAAAATAAATTTTCTTGGAGCACTCAATATTTCTTAAAGACGTAAGTCTACTGGCTTTCATTAATTGTTAATTTTTAAAAGTGAAATTCTGGATCCAAAATGATCCTGAAGCAATGTTAGTTGGTAAAAGACGCAAGAAAACATGGTGACAATTTAATAAAAAGAGTTTATGCTTTTGACAAAAAGACATTTTCTTGGAGCACTCAATAATTCTTTAAAAGGTAAGCCTATTGGCCTTGATTAATCGTTGATTTTTAAAGGTGAAATTCTGAACCCAAAATAATCCTGAAGTAATGTTAGTTGATAAAGAAGGCAAGAAATCATGGCAATTTAATAAAAAGAGTTTACGCTTTTGACAAAAAAGACATTTTCTTGGAGCACTCAATAATTCTTTAAAAGGTAAGCCTTTTGGCTTTGATTAATCGTTGATTTTTAAAGGTGAAATTCTGGACCCAAAATAATCCTGAAGTAATGTTAGTTGATAAAGAAGGCAAGAAATCATGGCAATTTAATAAAAAGAGTTTACGCTTTTGACAAAAAAGACATTTTCTTGGAGCACTCAATAATTCTTTAAAAGGTAAGCCTTTTGGCTTTGATTAATCGTTGATTTTTAAAGGTGAAATTCTGGACCCAAAATAATCCTGAAGTAATGTTAGTTGATAAAGAAGGCAAGAAATCATGGCAATTTAATAAAAAGAGTTTACGCTTTTGACAAAAAAGACATTTTCTTGGAGCACTCAATAATTCTTTAAAAGGTAAGCCTTTTGGCTTTGATTAATCGTTGATTTTTAAAGGTGAAATTCTGGACCCAAAATAATCCTGAAGTAATGTTAGTTGATAAAGAAGGCAAGAAATCATGGCAATTTAATAAAAAGAGTTTACGCTTTTGACAAAAAAGACATTTTCTTGGAGCACTCAATAATTCTTTAAAAGGTAAGCCTATTGGCTTTGATTAATCGTTGATTTTTAAAGGAGAAATTCTGGACCTTAAATAATCCTGAAGCAATGTTAGTTGATAAAGAAGTCAAGAAAACATGGTGACAATTCAATGAAAAGAGCTTTTGACAGAAAGATATTTTCTTGGAGCACTCAACAATTCGCTAAAAAGGAAACCTGAAGGCTTTGATCGATCGTCGATTTTTAAGATGAAATTCTGGACACGAAATGAGCCTGAAACGATTTTGTTTCATGAAAAAGCAATAAAATTTATACGACAAGAAATTTGCTGTTTTTGACAAGTATCCTTTTTAGATGCGAGACTATAGGCTTTGATTTTCAAGATAAAATTTTCAACTCAAAATACGCATAATTATTTAATTATTTAATGATTTCATTTAAAGAAAAAGTATGAAATCGTGCAGATTCAATAAAATCAACTTATGTGTAAACTCATTTGTTATGTAAGCTTGAAAGCAATTCTGATTATTCATTTAAAATAGTTGCTAATTTTGAAAAAGGTGTGCCTACAGATTTTATTTATGGTCAAGGTTTGAAGTAAAATTTTCAAACAAAAACAACTGAAACAAGTCAATGGCACATAAACCAAAAATAAAATATGAGCATTTGATAAAGAAAGTTGAAATGTTTTAACTGAATTCAAAAAAATTGAAAAAAACAATGAGTCATTGTGACTCTTTGAAGACAATCGATAATTTTGACGGAAAAATCCCTTCTGAAGGAACTGAATCTTTTGCCAAATGTTCAGCCAATCATGTTGATCATTATTTTTCTTGCAAAATTTTATAAAGGCAAATTCATAATACAGAGAAATTTCATTCTTTTCTCGAATCATAAAATAAATGCATCATTTGCTCTTAATTTGATCTTTTCGTTGGCTTAAAATCGAAGTATGTGATTCAATCAAGGAGAAAATAACTATATGAAACAATGTATCGCATAAATGTTTTTTGTTTTCCATAAAAAAGTTTGAGTCAAAGGATATACACATATATATTTCAATTGTTACGCTATATAATCTGCTCAATGGCAATTTAATATAAAAATCTATTTGATTAACAGAAAATGTGCTGGAACAGTAAAAAATCGGAACAAATTCATATTAAAAAATTGATAAACAATAAACATGAATTGATATATTATATTTGATACTCAAAGGGGGGGGGGGGGAACTGTTGGAAGAAATTTTCAAACTGAGACAAATTTGAATAAAGGAAGTAAAATGTTCAAAATTCTTTAAAACAACGCCCAGATTCTGACATAATCGAAAATTGGGCTATAGAGGGCTATCACTCTTCTATAGAATGGATTAGTGTAAATCACAATATTTTTTACTTGTTTTTTGAAAAGCAACGAAACTTGCTTTAAAGAATACAAACGTGAGCAAAGATTCATGTGATTTTGCCGTTAAGCTTCAAATTGTGTTTTACTGACAAAATGTTAATGGCAATAGACTACAAGTCATTTGTATAAACATGATTTTTTTCAAATATAAGCTATCCTCAAACAAATTTTGTCACCATTTTCAGTACAAAATCTTTAATCCAGATTGGAAGTCTTTCAGGGCAGCAAATTAAGGGATATGTTTTTTGCTAAAAACTGTGAAATCATTTAAACAGAACAAACAAAGGAGGTATGTGATGCTGAAATTCTAACATCCCCCATTTGAAATTCTACCACCCCCTATCAGAACCTCGCTTTCGAAACAACTTCGAGACAGAGAAGAAGAGAAATTTAAATGGTGCTTGTGTAAGCCTAAATACCACAACTAGCTTAGATACAACAGCTGATGCTGAAGTACTTTGGCGTGCTAATAGCGGTGGAGCTTGGCCATCCAGACCAATACAGATGGTTACAAAATGATTGTTACATAGAGTAAACTTCAGATACCTTGGAATAACTCCTAGGTTCGAAGAAACGAACGTACAAGTTATTGGGTGGTGTTTTTGTAAGAAAATACTGAGGAAAGATCTAGGGGAGTTCAAAAACTATAATGCAAAATACAAATATTAGTTTAAAAATAGTTGTGCAGTTCAATTTAGCAAAATAATACTCAAGCTAATACTAATATAATTGAAGGTAAAAATGATTTTATAAGTATTTAGTGTTCGATACTTTCACGAACAGTAACGAAATTATCAAATTGGTATTTAATTAAAAAAATACAATTTACAATTTGAAGAAATCTATTTAAGATATTCGAAGCTAAATGATTTTATGAAAAATTTACATTGGATATTTGAAGGAATATAATACCTATCGCTGATTGCCAACCTGGCGTAAAACAAGGTTCTATTCTAATCCATCGACATTTTTACAAAACTTTCAGCACTTCCATTACTGCAGGGTTCACCTAGAAGCAATCAATGATTCAATAACTGAACGATCAGAAATGATCTAGAAAAATATAAACAAACAATCTTTTGGTGGTACAAAAAATTGAAATTGCTTTGAAGTTGTCGATTGGTTATATAGCTGACATAGAGTATGGTGTGTTGGATCATCAGTTTCGTAAATAGTGAGAAACTAAAATGAAGATGATCTATAAAACACAGTTTTATCGTGCTAAACAGTAGGATCTTAGAGTGTGATCTTTGCCTTCCTTGTTAAAGATTTCTGGCAATAATTAACTTTATAACGTGTACCCAAACTTTTTGTAAGCTGTAAGGATAGTATAGTTGCAGCCATTGGCGGCCTGGCAGGGGGACCGGGGGGCAGGGCACCCCCCAGCTGACTTTTTCATAGGAGCGTCAAAGCTTGTATCGGGTGCCGAAAACTCGAAAAAAGTTTGATACGGCCTACCTGTCTGGTTATTAGGTCTCTAGGAGGTCAGCAGAGACAAAGAAGACGCCTTAAAATTCAAAACTTTCTTGGGGTGCATGGCCCCTAAAACAGTCTCTATTCAGGGCACGTCTTTGGGCCCCTTAAGTACTGTATTACCCAGACAAAACGTTTGTACTGAGGAGTGTCAGGGAACTTATTGTTAAATTCTTTTGTGTGGAGGGCACAGCATTCATGGGGCACACAGAAATACTCCGAAGACAGTCTGTGTTTGGGGTGTCCTAACTCATGCCCCACCCTCTTCTAGAGACAATTTTGAATTTCAATGAGTCTCTTTGGCTCTGCTGACCTTCAGAGACCTAATTAACAGACAGTTCGGTAGTTTGACTTTTTCATCTTAGATTAGTCCGTCTGCTATATCAAGTAACTTCGACGAACGTACAGTTTTAGGTGCACAAGATAAGAAGAAATAGTGTTAGAAAAGTGCATTCAAAGCTATATGTTTTTTCAAAAAGGATAATCTAAACAGATTACTTTTAACTCAAAACATTGACTTAATGTTTCTCAGGGACGCCGGGGAAGGGAGCGCAGGGGGTTAACTGCCCCTGTTGCCTTTTGATAGAAAGGGCAAGGGGGGCCAGAGTGCCCTTTTAATTTGTGTGTCATTGAAACCGGCTATTTCCAATAATCAGATAAATTTATATTAAATTCTGGTTGTAGTGCCTAATTCATGACGACACTTACACACGGAACGACATTATGCCAAAAGATAGCCAAGGTTCAAGATACGTACAGAAGATCGAAATAAAAAGGCAGACACGGAGGAATTGGTAGAAGCTGAGAATTATCTTACGAATGCGCTTTTACTCAAGCTTGTCCCCCTTGCCCCTTGGTCATTCCGACGTCACTGATGTGTCTAGTAGGTACTTAAGGTTTTTTTCAATGATCAGGCCTAATTTTCTCAACGGTTGCATTTTTTGGTCTCTTATAATATTTCTTCAAAGTTTTATAAAATATTTACTTCATTTTGTATCAATTGACATAGTCTTATAGTCATTGCTAGCATCTTTCAACTGTATCATAGTGAATTCAAAGATATGTTACAAATCGCATTTTCTAGCCCTATGAGTAACTGGAATCCTCAACTTATTGGCTAGGACCGACTGTTCCCATTATTTTGTTACCCCGACACCCCCTAGTTTGCCCCCTGATTGTAAGTTGTGTTATATGCATGTTTTGAGCTTGTTTAGTTGCCCCAAAGTACAAGTTTAGCAAAACAAAGGTAAATATTTTATCTGGCGCTTTGGATTCCCCTCTAAGGTGCCAAATGAACACAACAGTTACAAATAGAACAAAACCCTCATTTTACCACATCGTAGAGGTAACTCTTGGAATTTCCCCAAACATGTTCTTGACACATTTCTGACTGCCAATCTTTTTAGGAAAAGACAATAATGTTAGTTAGGAAGGCGAAAAAGGCCAGGCCACCACTGGTTGCAGCCCCACCTGTTACAACTGCACCACCTTTTAGCCTCAATGTCAGATGAAAGGTTGAGAAAGCTTGTTGAAATTAGCATCGAACGGGATATGGCAGATAAAATAGACAAAGGAAGCCTCGTAATAAGTTTAAGTTTAAAAGTTTAATAAGTTTAAGTTTAAGTGTAAATAGGTTTAAAACCATTGCTAGCTAAAAAATGCCACTCTGAAATTAACTTTTATGTTATTAGCTTTTATGTGTGTAAACCTTTGCCAATGGAATTAACTCTTCTATTGAGGGTTTCAAAATATGTCAAACTTGGTTATCAATAACGAGCGTGATTTCTTGTACGGTGCAGCACCGGTTTCTCACCCAGACCCATTTATCAGCTCTACCCCTTCATTGTCCACCCCACAATTTTGGGGCTGGCGCCGCTCCTGTAGGGTAGAGTTTTCGATCTATGTTTTGATGTTTAATACACTGAAGACTGTCTTTTTGAAGCCAGTTTTAAAAATATAAATATTTCTACTAAGTTCCTCTCATTATTACTAATCAATATTGAACATTTAAAAAAGGTTATTGAGAAATTGCAAGGCCAGCCTTGGTTTAACAGCCTTGTTTGTATGGTAAGCAGGCTTTTAATCATTACAAAGAAAACTAGGGATCACAGTTTGATGTCTATAAAGTCTGAAATACACTTTATATCTCTTAATTAAAATAGTAAGAAAAGCAGGAACAAAAAGTTAAACCTTAAGTTTATTTTTCAGACTCACTAGCTTGGAAAGACATATTTAAAAACAGTAACAAAAGGCTCGGACTTTGGTGTAAAATCAGAAAAAATCTGCAAAACGCCCATGCTGGCCATGGCTTGGCATTTATATAAGACCAATAAACCTTTTTATTAAAGCATGGAAAGTTTTAGATGGATGGAGACAATTGAAGAGTTGATCGTTAGTCTGGGTAGCAATTGCCCCCTTGTCTAGAGTTTGACCTGATTCGGAAAATGTAGCTTATATTGTCTTACCTAAAAAGAGGAAAAGTATTCTAGCACAAACACGTAACTCGAAATGGTCAGTTAGTTCCACCACTCAAAATCATACTTCACGCCAAGGGAAAAGACACAATCCTACCTCACAAGCAATGATAAAAGCATTTAATTTTAGAGGCCTTTTAATTGTAGTGCTCAAGAAAAATTTATATTCGAAAAATAAACTGATAACATGTTAGGATTAAGGAAACTCACATTGACACCTTTTAATTTCCACCTCATATTGTCAAAATCAGCGTCTTCTAATCTTTCCTTACCAAATGGATCTTTGCTCCGGAAATTTTTCCTTCAGGAAAATATAAGAAACCAAGTTATTTAAGAAGCCGGAACCAAATTATTTAAGAAGCCGGAACCAAATTATTTCAGAAGCCAGAACCAAATTATTTAAGAAGCCGGAACCAAATTATTTAAGAAGCCGGAACCAATTTTGCAAAATAAAAGAGATAGTTAAATTTACAAAAATTGTGTAAGTACAATCTTGGCCAAAAATGCTGAGACACTTGCAAAAAAAGAAGCTACTTACAAATCACCCGCCCCCCTTCCCCTCAAATCAATGTTGGGAATGGATTGGTAACCAATGTAGTAATCCCCACTTATTCAATGGTTCTGGTGTAATCTCTTGCAATCTGTTGAAGCCTTGCGAAATCTGGCACAATCTAGCACAATCTTAAGTTACAGTTTACGTGACTGTCTGCATTACATCGAAACTTTTTGCAAAGAATCCGAATTGTGTATAGATCATACCAAAATTGGTCAATAACTACAAATGAGCAGGAATCTACCTCATGTGTAGAACTAGCCTTTCTGAGAACGCTGCGATTCCAGAAAACATAGAAATGTTATATTTTGATTCCGCTGACATATCGAGCTCAAGGATCTAGAATAGAAAGTAAGAACAATATGAATATATTTCCAGTATAGTATTACTGTATTACTGTATTAGTATTACTGTATTAGTATTACTGTATTGGTATTACTGTATTAGTATCACTGTATTGGTATTACTGAATATACATTCATTGAGTATTACATTCATTTTAGAACTTGTATCATTTACTTGTACCAGCATTTTGATATAAAATAATGTTTCTAGGTCATGTAGCACAAGGAATAGAATGGTTAGAAGATAAGAAATTGGCTCATTAAGTTACTGGTGCAGTTTAAGTCAGCAGATAAAAGACTGAAACGTCTAAGTATTTCAAGAGGGAATGCCAGTTTTTGGAAATTAAAGTTAAAGTTTCGCCTATGGTGTAATCTTATTGGCAGTTCTTTCAAATGACAAACGAGCTATTATTATAGATTTTACATAATAATACAATTACGTCTTTCTTACTTGCTACTCTCTTAAAATTTAAAACGAGTAAATTTAGAAAGGAAGATAATATGAACAAAGCAATGAAAAATTAATGAAATGAAATAACATTGAATTAAAAAATTGCCTTTGTAAGCTCATCCAATTCATTTTCATCTATATAATTCACGTGGATATCTTTGACAGTTTTGACAAGGTCCTTGAAAAAAGAGAAGTTGTGAAAAACCAGACACGTAAGTTAATCAAATTCAACTTTAAGAAGCAAGAATTTATAAAAACAAAACAAACACTAAATTATCTAATGATGAAAACATATAGTAAAGCGAATTTTCAAAGATAACAAAAATCACTGACTTTATATGATATCCATCCATCTCTGTCTTTGTCATTTTTCTGAAACGTACTTTTATACAGACTTCTCCGTCTACGACTAAATAAAAACAATATATTCTGATGAAGCAAATTATGCCTTTTACGCGATTAAAAATATATATTGCTAAATGTACAATTGAAAAGTTAACTTAAATTGAAAATGGAAATAATCAACAATCTGACGTAGTTATCACAGTAGAGAGATATCAGCTTGGCAAGACTAAGCTGTGTTCATTAGAGAATTTCTGGTCCTGATAAATGTCTCTTCATTACAATGTTTACATTTAGCCTAAGGTTAAACTCGTAAATTACAATCACTACTCGTAAATCAAACAACATCCATTGCAATTTCTGCTCGTATATCAAACGACTGAAATCGCAATTCTCGTAAATCAAACTCTAATATAAATAAAAGTCGTAAATTCATCTCAGATCTAACTATCATAAGCACCATCTTAAAGTATTAGTTGAATCTCTGCTAGTAAATCAAACGACTGAAATCGCAATTCTCGTAAATCAAACTCTACCATAAATAAAAGTCGTAAATTCATCTCAGATCTAACTATCATAAGCACCATCTTATAGTATTAGTTGAATCTCTGCTAGTAAATCAAACGACTGAAATCGCAATTCTCGTAAATCAAACTCTACCATAAATAAAAGTCGTAAATTCATCTCAGATCTAACTATCATAAGCACCATCTTATAGTATTAGTTGAATCTCTGCTAGTAAATCAAACGACTGAAATCGCAATTCTCGTAAATCAAACTCTACCATAAATAAAAGTCGTAAATTCATCTCAGATCTAACTATCATAAGCACCATCTTATAGTATTAGTTGAATCTCTGCTAGTAAATCAAACGACTGAAATCGCAATTCTCGTAAATCAAACTCTACCATAAATAAAAGTCGTAAATTCATCTCAGATCTAACTATCATAAGCACCATCTTATAGTATTAGTTGAATCTCTGCTAGTAAATCAAACGACTGAAATCGCAATTCTCGTAAATCAAACTCTACCATAAATAAAAGTCGTAAATTCATCTCAGATCTAACTATCATAAGCACCATCTTATAGTATTAGTTGAATCTCTGCTAGTAAATCAAACGACTGAAATCGCAATTCTCGTAAATCAAACTCTACCATAAATAAAAGTCGTAAATTCATCTCAGATCTAACTATCATAAGCACCATCTTATAGTATTAGTTGAATCTCTGCTAGTAAATCAAACGACTGAAATCGCAATTCTCGTAAATCAAACTCTACCATAAATAAAAGTCGTAAATTCATCTCAGATCTAACTATCATAAGCACCATCTTATAGTATTAGTTGAATCTCTGCTAGTAAATCAAACGACTGAAATCGCAATTCTCGTAAATCAAACTCTACCATAAATAAAAGTCGTAAATTCATCTCAGATCTAACTATCATAAGCACCATCTTATAGTATTAGTTGAATCTCTGCTAGTAAATCAAACGACTTAAATCGCAATTCTCGTAAATCAAATTCTACCATGAATAAAAATCGTAAATTCATCTCAGATCTAACTATCATAAGCACCATCTTATAGTATTAGTTAAATCTCTGCTCGTAAATCAAACGACGTAAATCGCAACACTCGTAAATCAAATTCTGCTTTAATTCAAAGTCACAAATTCATCACAGATCTAACTATCATATGCACCATCTTTTAGCATTAGTGGAATTTCTCCTACTTTTATAAGATACAAAAAAAATGCATTCCTTGCCTTGTTTGATAATGTTTACTGGCAACTGAGAGTATCACGCAAGAATGCAAAAAAGCTTATAGAGCAGTAACACCATTTATCTTTTCTCTTTGTTTAAAAATCAAGTTGTTCCAAAGAGAATGTTGCCTTCGTCGAGGACTTTTTCTTGGTTCGTATGGATTTGATTCATCAAAAGTTAACTGTACGTAACGTAAACAAAACTTGAATGCAACTAGACAGGAACAGAAACGAGAATGAATGCAACTAAAATGGAACTCGAACATTGGTGAATATTACATGCAGTATTGGTCCTACTAAATGCAACATGAAAATGCTGGCCTACTAACCTGATAACTGTATACCTCGTGACGTAATCCATTGGTGAAATACCTGAACGAGATATACAAGCAAATTTTTCATTGTATTTTCCGTAATTTGATTGAAAAATTGTTTTCCCTAGTGTCTAACTATGTTCTCGTACCAACTTTATCATTTCAAAGCAAAATAATTAGTTTGTTTGTTTTGAAAGAAACAGCTCAGATAAACAAAGGAAAGAGAAACAATTTTTACATGACTACAATCCCTGTCAAAAATCTTGAAACATTAACGTCAGTTTTCAAAGGCAAATTCATTCATCCCCCTCTCCTCTTAGGAACAAAGTTGGTTTACTATAAAATGACGGTGTAGATCAGGCAGTACTTATTTCGCGTGACTTGTATGATATTTGCCTAAACTTTTAACGTTGTTCTTGTGAAGCAGGAGTGGTAATATGTGGTAATATTCGGGAAAAGAAATGAAAAATAGAAAAACACAATGCGAATTTCTGGGTGTCATGGTAATTTTGGCAGGCATTGTAGGCAACTTTTCCATTGCCAAATTCATGAAAACATTTATTCCTGGTGCACTAAAAGCAGGATGATGTAAAAACTAGATGCAATAACATAGAACGAATACAAGTATCAATATTCTTTATGATAAAACCGTTGATGTAATATTCCGTCGATATTGCCCAAGAAAAATCAACAATCAAGGTAGCAGTGTAAAAATGACTTTCAACTTACGACTTAAGATATGTACATCCATGGGTAATTCAAACCGGCAAGTTTCCTTTGAAAGAGAAAGGCGGCCTAACAGCCAAGGTTGATCGCCAAATAGCTGCTGTCGCTGCAAATGAAAGTCCAATAGAAAGAATTATATCAAAACATAAAATAGTAAAGCAAGCTCTACCTTGGCAATGCATTTTCTCCGTCGAGAATATCCAGCACTACATAAAACTGATCGATTCAAAGCCAATCATGAAATTTACCATTGAAAAGTACATCTTTTTCGCTCTATATCAAATTTATCAAACTTAGCCGGACTGCATGTTCTGGCATCTATTTTGGCACAGACTTTAAGTGATTGCAGGTGATTGTAAATGGCGAAAGCATTATTGTGTAATTTCTTTATTCCTGTTGTATCATTGTGTATATTGTCACTGTTGTATATTTTACAAGCATAAATGAAAAAATTTTGATCTTATCATTGTGTACAAACATTTTTTGATATTACAAAAGAAAATGAGTTGCGATGTCGAAAATGCAACTAAATGAATACCTTGAAATAAAACATAGCTCCAAACCAATACATAAATACAAAAATACATAAGAAATGGAAGCTGGCATACCTTTTCATCCAAAGTTTCTCGCATTACTTTTATGCTTTCTGGTGACATCATCAACTGACCAGCTTCAGCGACTGTGGCATACCCAGGTGCTTTGGTTTTGGGGGTCTTCAGATCCTTTATGTTTTTCATAGGCAAGCCATGTGGAAGGTTGGGTTTCAGTACTTCCATCTTCTTTTCTAGCTCTACTTCCTTTTTCTCTTCTGTTTTTGCCACTTTGAGATCCTATAGTGAAAACATAAGAATTAAATTAATGTTTCTACAGCCAATAAACAGACAGGCAAGTGCAAAGTCGTTGCAAAATACATTAGATGGTGGCTTAGGACAACAACACGATCGCAGGTAAAAAAGGCCATATTCAATATGAGACACGATAGACTGACTAGAAAAATTTATGTTTGATGTTCTGTAAAAGATACACATTAATGTTTCTCGTAGCCAAAGATCCCAGGCCTTCTTACTCACAGAGCGAGAAAATGACAAATTGCCTAGAATGCTTGCCTAAGATCTTACGATGCAACCCCTGGGCGATAAAAGTATAAAATATAAAGTACAAAATCAAAAGAGCAAAACATTATGGAAAGGCTTGATGTCAATCTTTCTAGAACATTGAAAATCGACACATAGGTAATCTGTGTTCTTAGTCGTCATTATTTGAGAATCTTTGTGCATTAAGAATCCACCGATTTTTCTTTAACAGCTATCGCCAGGTGTATCGTCGCTTTCCCAGTATATGTTTTACATTAACTTTGCAATCAAAAAATTTATATAGGAGCAAATACCAGTTATATCGAGAACAGGAATTAAAACAACTTTTACTTCACCCCGACGTTCTTCTGTTACAGCTTTACATTTTCAATATCGGAATATAGTGGCATAAATTATGCAAAGGCTAGGCATAATCAGGTGCGAGAAACTTAATTAATTTTTCTAATCTTGTTGCCGCAACTCGACCAACGCGTGTATCTCTAACAGAACACTTGATGATTGGCAAGCAAACTTTATAAGATTTTCTCATCTGAAACCACAACTTTGACGAAAACAATATGACAATAACAGGCCGTTGAAACAAGAAACTGCCATCTATGCAAGAAAGTTGAATCAGGTCATGGCTAATTCTTTAAAGTAAAGTTATGAGAGATAACGCGCAAGAAAGAGAATTTTTAGAAATTCACCTGCCAGACCCGATCTAATCTTGCTAATACTAAGATTGTGAAGTCAAGATGTAACAATTATGCATAGTTGCGTTGCGTTTTTTACACAAATATTATATTGGAGTTCATCTCAATGATTTCACTATTCTTCGGGTAAATATGTTAAAAAATCCATAATAACAATACTGAAGTGAATTAAAAAGCCAGAAAAATCAACGTCCTCTTTCAATCATTAGGTGAATGAGATAACCAGCGTTCTGAGTTCTTTAGGAGAAAGAACGTTGCCCTCTTTTCCAGTTACTAACACCATCTGGTCTTAAAAGTGGCATATTGTGATCAATCAAAATCATCACAGAGCCATCACAACAGGAGCAACAAAAAGCTTACCTCGGGTTCGTAACAACTGCCCAGATCAAGCGTTGCTCTCATCGACTCAGCATGAACTTCGTTAAAAAGACTAAGAAAGAAATTCAGTTAACGGCATCAAAAAAGAAATAATCATTTATTTAATTACATTGAAAAGAGGAATACAAGAAATTCCTAAGGATTTAAAGTTGCAGGTAATGATAAATATTTTCTTATAACATAAAAGAACAGGTCGATCTGAACAAGTTCTGATAAGAACAAGCGGTAACTGTACATAATGAAAATGATTTAAGAAATTTTTAAGGACTGAAGCTTGAGGTAGAAGTAAATATTTTCTTGCATCATGAAAGAATGAGGTCTCAGGATCTGGAGAGAAGTTGTTATAAGAACGAATGAATGAAATTCTTAGGCTACAGCTGCACTTTTTTTAAAACGTTTTTTGTCAAAGAAAATACATCACTATACAATAAAAAGCAATATCAGATATTAGAAGTTAAAGGTTGATGCCAAAGGCTGAGACTTAGGTCGTGCACATCGTAATTTATTCTTTTCTAGTAGAAGACAAAGCAACATGGTTGAAGATGGGATTGGCTACAATGCAATAAAGTAACGATAAACTGAATTTGCTCAAACAGTGAAGTCACAAAATTAGTTCTTCCGCGTAGTTTTCAGTAGCAGAAAAACACGACAGAAAGGAGAGAAGAACAAACAAAGAATGACATCTACTTTGATGACGTAGTGAAACAATTAATTATTCTTGAATGGAAGGCACTCACTTCTTAAATGCATTTGCGTATCTCATTTTCATTCTTAGTTTTCTCTTTCTAGCTTCAGTTGGATCCTCTATTCGTTTCAGTGTTGATGTAGATGCATCACGTGTTGATGGCGTCTCGCTATCATCGACGATAATAGAAGGCAATCCTGTCCCTGCGTCTGACGTTGAACTCGAGTTGTTGCTGTTGTCCGCAAACTGCACCCGCTGTGATTGTAATGAGTGAAAATGACATGGTTTATATTGATATAAACACTAAAAATCAAATGCTGACAAAACAACTTAAGATTATGAAATTAAGTTATAAATCAATAGTTTAAAAATCCCTGACACTAGTGCCCAGCTGTTTTTATTGATCACTGTAGGCATTCATCAGAAGTTAGAAATAAAGTTGTTTTGGATTGTTCACATATGAGTGAAAATTGAAATGGATTACGAACTAGAACCCAGTAAGTTGCTTAAATGTTTAAAAATATATTCACCTTTCAATCCTTTATTCTCAAATCACTCCTTTATTCTCTTTCACTAAGAATTCGCTATTGCTGACAAAAGCGGGCGTAGGTTTACGCGGAAAAAAGAACGAGCAATAAGTATCTATTTTGAGGTTGTCTGTACAGACTTGTAATCTCAGACAAATCTTGTACTAGAAAAAATTATGGTGGAATTATCCAAAAACGTCTTCATAGAGATAATTACGACTTTCGTGTTGGATTCAAGACGTTGAAAAGAAATTTAGAAGATTGGATATGCAAGAGAAGAGTCGTGTGAAATGATAGAAAAAACTATTTTGAACTTGGGTTAAGTTAACCAAAACATCCCTTGACCCAATCAAAACAAAATTACCCCTTGAAATTGTACCAAAACCTTATTACCTTACTACTACAAGATACTGAAAAAATGCTTATATTGTGAGAGATACGGTTTTCATTTGCTCAATTCTTACATGGTCCACTTAAATATACAAAGTTGTAACAAAACTTTCAGTTCTATTGCCCCCTCTATTAGATAGCAGGGTTAGATATGGAGTAATGTACAATTGCTAGGCTTTCAAAGAATTAGCTTTCGGTTAAAGCTTGTTCGATGTGAAAGTCACAAAACATGAAAATATATTGCGCCTAATTCACAATGATGATTCTGGGTAGGCACTCCAACCAGACAGTGGAAATATGCTGCGGATTCTCGTATACTTCGCAATACAATAACAATTTCAGAGGATAAAAAATGATTATGCAGTGGAAGAAACTGTTGCAAAGTTTCAGTTATAATCAGAAGTGCACATTTATCACTTGTAAAAATTCGTGTTACCTTCTTCTGGAATGATTTATTGAGCTCCTTGGTATCTTGAAATGTTTTACTTCCAATCTTAGTACTGTAACTCAGATTAAATTTGCTAGCTAAGCTATCCATGTTATTACTTTATGGCCAAAAACACTAATTCTCGCTTCTACTGTTCTATTAGAAATTTGCTTTAAACTAATAAGAGTGAATAAGCCGTCCCTAAACTGTATTTGACGGACCACCAGAGAACACATGACCGTTCAAAGAAAGCAATTCACCGTGATACACAGGAATTTACAATGCCGATGTATACAGAAATAATCATAGAAAAATGTGTATGAAACAATTGGTGAATGGTTGATAAAAAACAATAACATTTATAAGGGAAAAATCTGAAAAAACTAGTTTTCGATTTTGGGCAAAGATTTTCGTGATTTTAGGCATGGAACATCTACAAGGGTACCTCTATTTTTGGCAGTGCTGTCTCTGAATACCCTTAGTTTAGAGAAACAGCCGGCTAAAAACTCTTATTCTGTGCGCTGCTATATTTCAATACAGTAAAAAGTATTCCTGCATAGAAAGACAATATATAACACCTACTCGATTTAAATCTTGATCACCAAAGTTGTTATTACTGCCTCGATCACCGAACTCGCCAGTCATTCTTGATATCTGCAATACAATTGTAGAATTTTCAACAAAATCCAACGTTAATCTCTTATTAATATCATCTAATATTTGCTTATGTTCCTTTGACCTTTTAGCCAACATAAGATCGATCAAAAAGTAAAAAAGTAAACTTTTTGAATAGTATATAACGATATTACAATGATTTTCAACATTTAGAAGTTTCTGAAGCCCTGAATTCGAAATCAAAGGCATGGAAATGCTAAAAGTACTGAATATTAAACGGTGCAGTATACACCCGTTAAGTGAGGCTCCTAAGGGACGGGAAAACCTGTCCCACTTAGAATGTCCCAGTATGATAAGGAAGTCCAAGTGACCAGGAATATCTGTCCCATTTAGCAAAAGTCCCAGTTATCCGGGGTCTAACTTATCGCGACTATACTGTAATAGTCGTAAGAAAAAACTGTTAAACCATTATCATACTTTAAAGAGACATACTTTTCTGAGACAAAACATATTGTAGTAAGCGAGAAAGCAATAGTAACATATAGACAGCTTACTTTTACTCTAAAACGTAATGATAGCGATTTTAATATGAAAACTAGCAATTTCAAATCTAATACAACATTTAAGCACTCATATAACATCTGAGTATGCTTTAGGAATTCAGACAGAAAAAGGCGACATAGATTTCCTTTTTTTGAACAATAGAAACTACGAATAAAATTGGATTAACTGAGAGAGGTGCAACTGGTCAAAGGTAGACACACTTCATACAAATGGGCAATAAAATAGCATATTCAGCAAAGAAACTAAATTTTTATGACGCCTTTTGAGTTAATTAGGGAGGACAAGGCAAACTTTTTAGAGACTTCGAATCTACTCCATATAACTTTACAGACATTGAAAAACAAATTTAATCACATGATCTAAACTGAAATTAATTTTAGCTAGTGCCACTCTCTCTATTTTGCTAAAGGTTGGTTTATTTAGGGTTCGATCTTACTCTTGAAACAATTATATATATTAAAGAACATGTTTTAGACCAGCTCAATTAATGGTGCAACTTTCTAAAAGAATACGAGATTTTTTCAATTGGAAAATTTTCTTAACATAAGGCACTTTTATTTTCATGGAAATAAGGCTAATACCATCGATTTTTCGTGCCCGACCGTTTTCGGCTAAAGTTGGTCCGAATTTTAGCTCCATTGTATTTGTTTTTGTTACCTGTATTAAGACACTATTGCTTTAAATTTCTCAATATTTTGATAAAATTGTCAAAATTACTGAACATGTTTGTACAAAAAATTGTTCTTTTGGTGGAAAAAGTAATTGAATTAGGTTTTATGACATTGTGCAGGCAAGAACCTTAAAGAATTCAGAATAAATTAAACATTATCTTGAAGAATGAAGCGCGGCGTTGAGTGAAAAACAATTGAAAATACGGCATTTAAGGCTTTGAAAATCTTTACCTTGGTATGTCCTGCATTGTTCATGTCATCTGTGTCGAGCTAAATAAAGCAAGACGAAATATGCAAAATAACATTATCAGGAGATAGGGTCAATCCAAAACTGGACTGGATGTGCTTACAGATTAAATGTCACGTTGTGTTTCAGAATCGAATATCGAAATGACGGTAATTGAAAGCAGGTATAACCGTTTTATCACATAAGTCTTCAATTTACAAGAAAGATATATGGGCGGGAAAACAATCAGGTTGCTATGTGACTACGGCAAAATCGAAAAAAAATCTTTGATATTCAAAATTTCAAAATACTTTGTTTGAGAACGTTTAGGCTGTCATGAATGGTACTTGCAAAATGGTGTATTGATTATTTTGTGACGATAAATTGGAAAAGTTTCTATGTTATCGGTGGCTCTGAGAGCTGGCAATTAAAATTTGTAAGAGAATAACTCAAAGCCAAAGAATCGAAGAAAAGAAAATCTTTTCTTGGTTAAACACTAACAAAGGTTTTCACAACACTATAGATTATGTTGCTATGAGACAATCTTGGGAAGGGGTTTCTTTAATAAAAGGAAAATGAACCAGATCCCGCCCATTATCTATTGATCCCTGGTTTATTGGATGCATAGCATGTATAGGGGCAAGAGAAGTATCACCCTCCACCCACCCATTAAAAGAGTGCTGGCTCAATAATCTATTACTACAGAGCGTCACTTCAAGGCCTCCTAATTTTTTTTGAAAGGGTCATTATACTTTGATAAAGGTCGTTTCTCTCTGAAGTTTATGCGATTAACCAGGACAAGCTTCTTACCATAATTCTATATAGGAAGCGTAAGAAGTTTAAACATAATTGGCTCTTTTCCTGAACATCGAGGTAGAAGGCGACTATACAAATCCGTAATCGAAGTTAAAAGTTCTAGAGAAGTGGGTGGCACTTCCTACATTCGTTCACGGAGGAGTAAACGGAAGCCTTTGGCAAGCAAGCTACTTACTCCCCTGAGCTAATGCTTGAACATTTTAAAATTTACTTGCATTTCGCTTTATAAAAGGTGGAAATGAAGGGGAAATCTTAGATAACATTTGGTTGAAGTGGCATCATTTTCATGCCTATTTGAGATATCAATTTATATCAACATTTTATTTTCTACTGACCAGCATTATCATCAAATGATACTAAAATCGGGGTGTTGAATCTTACCTCGAAGAGATTCTTATTAAGACTTTGACCACCGCTTTCTAAAAAGATTATTGATCATGTTTCAATAAAAAAGAAAAGATTAAGTCAAAAACTGCAAGTTATCCTGGTAGATTTTGATACAAAGCATCAAATTTCACCAGATTTCACACATTGGCGAATCGAAAGTCGAATTAAAACGTTCCTGGAAACCCTCATACTTTCATTTAGAATTGGATAGCTGTAGCACCTGGGGGAAAGAGGGACCAAGACTTTTGTACCAAGTGAAGCTCCTCATTCTGTGATCCAATCTTTTTTCAGTGCCCCAATCAGAGAAGTCATTCAGATTGGTAGAGAATTTCTGAGAGCAGCTACCACTGAAATTACTTTTATAAGTAGAGAAACACACATTTGTCTGGACCCATTATGATTCCAACCATAGACTGTTTGTATCATCAATCACAATTGCAAAATTTAACTCTGTATTTGATGATGATATTTTATAGAAGTCTTCAATTTATTAAAAAACTGCCAGAATATTTCAAATATGGCATGTTTGGCAACAGTAGGAGGGCTTAAACTTTTTCTTCGACTTTTAATTTTCTCTTTGTGTTGACTGGATTAATTTTGTCAGCTTGATATAGGCAAATGAAAATCCACTGCTCTTATTGCAATGGTGATTTACAGATAATGAGCTAGAATTAACAAATCAAACCTAACATTTTAGAATTGCTGAATTGATTTATCAAACAAACCAAGGAAAAGCAAATATGTCAAGCAAAAATTACCTCTTTCTAGGTCTTCAATGACAAACTCCTGGTCAGTATCTCTGCCCAGCTTTCCAGGTCTGAAGCCATGTCCATTGTTTTGAGTCACCATGAACTGGCCATTCATACCATCAGGTCTGTAGACAAGTTCTCTATTTGATGCAGTAATTTGTGGGTCCTTGCCCTGCCTTATTTCAGTAGGTGAATGTGATCTTCCATAAATGGATTTTGATCCAACAAGCGGAACAAATTCTGCATTTGAATAATCCTGGGCAGAAACAAAGATGATTACATTTTAGTTGATAGAATAGCTGATGTGGAAATTAACAAAAAGAGCTTAAGAATTCACATTAAATTATTGTATTTTAAAATGGAATTTGATGAGAGTTGGTTTATTAGCATTCTCAAGCTTAGTATTTGGGTAAACTGTCAGCTACAAAAAAAATCATCCAGGCAAACATGACATAAAAGGTATGCATAAAAAGTAGCAAATGCCGAGAACCATTGATGCATATTTATTGCAACTGCATAGCAGTGGATGAGCAAATTTTCAGTATTGATAACTTACAACAAAATGGTTTTATTTATTATTTTATGCCTCCCCCATCACTTTATAAAGTTATAAAGACAAGCCCCTTTTAATAGAATAGAAATTGCCAGAGGAAACCCCTGGCAACAAACAGGAAATGAAATATATCAATCAAATTAAAGACAAAGACGTAAATTGTTATGATAAATTGATATCTACATATTAGAGCTTCCTAGCAAAAACATTCAGAGTTTTGGATCTCTCCTGAGTCACTGAGAGGCCATTTGATTCTTTGAATAACTGAATTAATTTCTAGAATTGACTGCCTAATCCACGGTAAATGCAAATTCTTCATCTTCTACTTTTTGATAAAAGAAATTACTAGTTATCACATAATTGGCAAAATACAACAACGACAGTGGAAAATACCTCTCCTGCATGATTTCTGGAATGTCCTTGTTTAAATAGAGAAGCCTGCAAGTTACCAATATCATCCTCCAGGCCTTTATTTACACTGTCTCCTTCATCTACATGGATTTTTACACCATGTCTGGATCTGGATGAAAGTGGCCTTGTGACTAGTTGTCCAGAGAACGCATCACCCAAATGCCCTTTGTGGCTTTTAGATAGATTGTAAACAGCAAGTACTGTCTCCTGTCCATTGACTGCAGATCCTGATCTTGAGTTATTTTGAAATCTGTTAGGTGATGCAGACCGAGATCCATGTTGCTGCCATGCTCCTTTGACTGCTGACATTGGTGGTTTATGTGGCTTCCATTTTGTATCTGGTACATGCATTGAATTGTGAGAGTACCGTGCTGATAAACCATGATCATCTCCATCTTTACTGTGGACAGACAAAGCACTCCCTGGTCTTGATCCGATCAGTAGGCTGTCAGCATAGTCTAATTTGATCTTTGATCCACCAATGTCTTTGTGCTTTACAGGGGCTAGCCATGCCAGATCCCCCATTCTTCTAGAAATACATAAATAATGAGGAAAATCAATATGTTATATATTTTTGAATAAATGGGTGCACCCTTTACTTTTAGGAACCTGCCCAATCTTTATACCTATTTGTACCTTCCTTGAATGCAATTTAACAATTTTCGGAAAGGCAAATCCTCAGTTCCGCCAAATAGAATTAGGGTCAGGGAAGCTTGCAGTCAAGGTGGTCAAAGGGGCAGGGTGTCTAAAAAGGGGCAAACAATAGCAAAATGAAGAAAATTGCTGAATTTGAGGAGGGCAAGGGGGCTACTGCCCCTATGGTACAGGCTTCCTTGGTTAGCAACCCAAGTATACAAATGAAAATCTTTATTTAGATTTCCACGATATAGGGTTTAAGGAGGGGTTTAATAACTTTAAACTGCAGGATAGGGAGGGGGGTTTCTTCTTGTTTAGTCTAATAAACTTAAGGAGCTCATCCTTTAAATGGTTCTCTACATAAAATTTCTCAATATTCTTCGGCTTATAGTAATTAGCTTTTCTTTTCTTATCGTTATCTCGCATGTTTCACTAGTGCATTGCGACTTAAAATATTACAAATTGAATGTAAAGAATCTAAAAAACAATATGAAATTCGAAATTCGCAATGGGGTGAGGCCATTTAAAATACTTCCTATAACTTTTTAATTCGATGTATTTAACTCGTAGATTTGATTCTTTCTATTCTTGAACTATTTTCTCGATATTTACAGTTTAAAAATTTCCAAACTTGACTGCCTGTTGGCGATGTTTCCTTGTTTTGGACAGTGCCGCAAAATGTCTTTGTGTTTCTAGAAAATAAAATAAGAATAATCCATTCAAACCTGTCGAAGGATTATTTTATTTATTCAGCTGGTTTCTTGATCTTTCGTTCCATCGCTGTCAGCCCTTATGACATAAGTCAGTAAAAATTATTTGGCGGGTCAGCACACATGTCAGATAACCTCACAGCTTGAAAAATGCCGCCACCGCCAAAGGTGTCATTTTGTCGTCTCTTAGGAACCGAAATACAACTCAGCCTCTTTTTCAGCAGCTAAGTGAGAGGTTTGCGGTTAATTCTTCCTTTGGAAATGGGGACAATTAATGCGTGCTAAAATAAATTTGTAATATATAATTAAAAACAGCACGGAAATTTGTAGTCTTGCTAAAAAGACAAGAACAAACCTACAGTACACGAATGCAAGCTTCCTGGAAATGTGAACTGGAATTTTTTCTGGAACTAGGCGAGGTCTACCACAAGGATCTGTTACCTAGATACCGTGAAAGCAAAATGAGAAATCAATTGACAAAAAATGCCTACTTACTACAATTCTTGGAAACAATTTTCATGTGTTTTTTGCCGTTTGGTGTTACATACAGCTGTCACCGAAAATTATGAAACAAGCACCAGTTTTCTAATTTTGCGGGGAAAATTTTCTGGCCGATAACTACAGTAAAAACCCGGTAATAAGAACCTGGTTTTTTCAATTAGCCTAAACAGGTTCTTATATGAATGGTACTTAAAGTGAATTTAGGCTACAAAAATCATAATTTTCATATCATGCAGTAGTATTATACCTAAAGACAGTACAGACAGCAAAATAAATATGGACTCAAACAAACTCATAGCAAATGTCATTTAAAAGACAAGGCTTATATGTGAAGAACTTGGAATAAATGAAAATTGAAACTTTGTACTTTGAGTACTTTGTACTGCTGAATATTAAGATGATTTATTGAATTGATGGAAACAATAGACACGGTATTTGGCTTCAAAGAAAAATTGTTTTGCTGAATTGATTTTAGATATATGCAGATAATGATACTTTATTCAACAGTTGTCACCTAGAATCCTTTACAGCAACTCCACTGGTAAAAAACCTTAGTTTAAATTTTAGACTTAAAGGTTCTTAAAATCCAGTTTCTTATATGCGGGTTTTTACCGTAAATTACGCGAAAACGCATGAAAACGTACGCCTTCACAAAGCGTAGGATCATTTATAGCCTTGAATTAAAAATACTTTTGATCTGACATTTGAGACCGGATTTTCAGTCAAAGGCCATTATCTCTGAATAGTTTCTTCAGCGTAGAGTTGAACACATATCATTTGTTTTCTCAAGAAATATTAATCCTTGAAAGCTATAAATTTTTCGTCAAACGCTATGGAAATTAAACCATTTATTACCAAGACTAATTCTAAGACTTTGTCTGCAAATACTGTATCGATTTACAAAGAATGACAAAGAACACTAAAAGACCCCAAGTTCGCTAACAAATCTTTTTTATTCAATATGTGGCTGAAGATATAAAATAAATACACAGCTTAAGTAGAATCGTTTTTAGTTGAAAGGTTTCCGCAAATGATTGAAATTTCACAAATCTAATTAGAAGAAATAAAACATAACATTATACATGGTTAGAGAGATTCGAAATACTAACCGCATATACACGTCGACAGTGGCGTCGCGAGACCATCCTCGCTGGGGGGGGGGGGGGGGGGGATTGGCTTGTAAGAGATGCAAAACCATATTTTACCGACAGAAATTCTTTTGTTACATTAATATTTTGTCATATTTTTAATTCTACCGCCCCTGCACGTCGATACAATGTAGAACAAGTATGCTTTATTTATAATACCCAAAGAAAGTTGTATAAAGTTAGTTATAGGCTGGTTTAACTTTGCAAGGCAAACAGTGTTCAAAAGCGCAACAATTTTTCTATCCATTACAAACTATCATCTCCTATTTATTTCCAGACGGCTGCAGTTAAAGTTTGCGTTTAGCTTGGTTTATTAATTGACTGACGCCTAACAAATGAAAAGGAGGTTCTCTATATCGTACTGGCTTTGTTAAAAAAGCTTGGAAGAACATAAGTTGAAAGAATATCCGGTAAACTAAGCACCTTTGTATACTTCATACTGTGGTAAAAGGAAGTTTCTATGTAGAAGCAGATATAAACTACATCTAACTAACGCAACGATGCTTCATTGTCAAACATTTGCAAAATTCTAACAATTCATTGAAAAAACATTCTCTAAACCTATTTAGGAAAAAAGGTGACAAAATAATTCCTCTAAAAGAACGGCTGTCATTCTATACTTTACAAATCATTGACGAACAAATCTTGGAGCTGAAATAACATCAAATGCACATCATTTATAAAACATTACACAGTTCAATTGTTTCTGGCTTTACAAACATTCCACCGAATTAGACATGCATGCTATTTTTAGAAGTAATTATATTTTAACATAGAGGCGTTACACGCCATTTTTCTTCTGAGTTGACGTTTATTTAGTACATTTGACCATTTGACGAAATGGGATGTAAATACTTGGAGAATCGAATTCCGTATTGTTATTACAGAGGATATCAACGGTAGTAGGTTGGGCAGTTTCCTTGAACATTCTTCCACGCCGCATCAAATGCTTCTACAACATCTAAAACGATATTGCAAAACGGATTATCAGTCCAGTTTCATAATGATAGTCATAGAGATGAACGCATCGTCGTAAAGAACAGGCAGAAATAGTCTACGACCGGTGGCAGTTGCACTTGGTGGTAATGATTTCGATGTAAGGATAAGGGTTTTGTAAAATAAAAGTAAAGAAATAGAAATTCAGTAGCAAAATAAACTAAATAGAAAATACACCGAAACAATTCAGCAGACCTACTTTAACTGACGTGACTCTTACTGCACCACTGGAAACATTGAACAAAATAATAAGATGTGATGCTAAATTCCACGTTCACTCTTTCATTCCTATCTGATGTACGACCAGTTCAAACAAAATCTAGAGCCTTATACCTCAGCCATACTGCATAATAAAGATTTTAAAACTCTATATAATCAATTGTATCGAATAAGACAGCCTGACTTGCATTCGGACATCCATCAGGCTCCCCATTTTATAAACTAATTCCTCGCATTGAAGCTTTAAACAACGCTGCCTCAACTTTTCTTTGTAGGTAGTCTTGAACCAAATGTTGTCTACATGCATACAATACTGGGGGCTGGTTAAAGGCATACAAAAATTGATTCTTTCATTGGTTTAAATGAATTGCAACTGAATATGTTTGTTGCAAGCTTCCAATAAACAATAACATGTATATGGGTCGTTGGATTTCAGAGAGATCTTATTTGCTTTTAATGTTATATGATGCAATCTCTAAAATTAATACCTTCGTGTAGCGGTCCCTGTTCAACAGCCTTCAAATTGCTTTGTAGGTGTTCCATCTTTGAGCCACCAATTATAATCCCATCTAGCAAAGAAAAAATAGTACATGAAGAGCCTCTAATCATTAATAAAGAATAAAGTGAGAAATAACGATCATGAAAAAAACCAACCATCCGGAATTAGAAGAGAGTGATGCTTCATCCACCGGAGCGCAGCCTCTGCTACTGAAACTTTGCCTTCGCCATATTGGTTATCCAGAACGCTTCGAATCATTTCTATGCCATCAAAGTAGTCTTTTTTCCAATATCGCTTTCTGTATCTATAACAGGGAAGCAAAACGGTAGAGCATCATGTGGTAATTATAAAGGATCAAAAACAAATGCGTAAATCAAAGATGTTTTATATGCATTTTAGCAAGTGGAAAAAGTCAGTATGCACTATACGTCTGCTGTTTCGTATTGTTAGTAATGCAAGCGGCTCGAGTTCGAGGGTTTTAATCAATAAATAAATTCTACCATTTCCTACACTTGCTGTTTACCTGAGCACCGAATATTTTCAGAGAAATATGGAGGAGAGAATTTGAACTCCAATTTCAATAAAACAAACCATAGTTTTGTAGAAAGATGCCTTCAATAATTGCAAATAAACCAGATGAGCTCAGCTTTTAAGCTATTCTTTTAAATTTTCTAGTCTGAATCTAAAATGGCATTGCCTCTTCGGTAGAAAACAACGCACAAGAATACAGTTTCGAAAAGCTTCATATCACATCATTTGGCAAACAAAATATTACGATTAGTGTGATGCATTTTAGTCGGCTTCTATGGGTCTAAAGCATTTACCTGGGAAACAGATCGTCTAAGATGCGAAAACAATTGAGACTTACGATTCTGCCCATTTGCCTCCAAGACCAAAAAATCTTCCTGGAGGCTTTTTCTCCTCGATATCTTGAAATTGGTATTTTCCACTCAGTAGTCCTCCTGCAAGCTAAACACACGGATACATATAAAGAAAATTCAAGATGTATTCCGCACACAAAAGCGTATGCTGATCCGTCTGTATGGCAACAGATCATAATCTTGATTCAAAGGAAATCAGGATTTTTCTGAAACATTATAAATACTTTCTGATTTTAAAGAAATATGCTATAATCAAACCAAAATCTTTCGTTCACTCCTAGAGCTGCTGGGTCAAACGTTGCTTCGAGTTTCTGGCAATATTATCCAAAAGAATTTTGTGTCAACCATTGTTTTAAATTTGAGTTTTGATGAACAGAAGAGTTAAGTTGAACAATAACATACATAATTATAGCCGTATGAGGAGATATCAAATTACAACTTTAATTAAAGTGACCCAAAGGAAAAAGCTGCAATTATGCTGATAATAAATAAAAGCAATGAGTTGTGGGAATACCTGGCAGTATACAAGAATCTACACTCGTTAATGCTAAATTAAAAAATTCAAACTCCCCATGAATTTTAAAAAAGTCCGCAACTCTCTTTTCAACCCTAATCGTTACACCTTTGGCCAAAGAGCTTTCATTTCTCAGAGAATTTGAGACAAAATATCTGATACGTTTTGCTTCTAAAAAGAGCTACATTTGAGTCAACATACCGGGTTGTAAGCATAAAATCGCAAGCCAAACTTTCGCAGCGCTGGGAACAGCTCTCCCTCAACATGTCTGAAAGTAAATGATTTGAAAAAAGAGTAATGGAAATTTGCAGTGAAGAAGAATATACGAGAAAATGCTATGATGTTTAAAGAAATTTGCAGTGAAGAAAAGAATACAGAAAAATACTATGATGCTTAAATCCTTAAAAAAACTGCTTTAAATATCATCACATGCCACAATTTCAGATGAGTATCTAAATAAAAAGTGTTGAAGTATGTGTCCGTGTTTCGTAAGTAATTGTCTGTTTATTTTTGAAGGGTCATTGACCAACGGGAATTTATTGTGTTTTTTATCCAAAGATACGTCTGTTGCTCGAATGATAAAAAATAGGCCCCTAGAGGATCTTAAATAGATGGGCAGAAGCTACGATCTGTCTCCTCGAGTCACTGTGTTTTGAAGTTGTGAAGGCACTGATAGAATTCAGCGAATCTTGCCACTTCAAAATGATAAAGTCTACTTTGATTTTTTGATTCAGTAAATATAAAAAACTCTGCTACGTAATGTTTTAATACCTGGTTAGTGCATTGTACATGCCTTGATAGACTGTTGGCAACACCCAACCATTAGCCTTGCAGATGTGATACACATTGACCTGTTTGAAGAAATATCTTTCAGTGATAACATTAAACTGAAGGTGACGAAGAAGCGATATACAAAGCTGAGGAGACACGAAATAACAAATGACGGCACTGAAGCTATTGGTAGCTGACTGAGAGAACGTTTTAGAAAGAAAACAAATAGAAAATGGTTTGACAGCATACGAATGAGAAGTATCTGTTACTGTTTCAAGCAAAGTTTGAGACCGAGTTTGACACAAACAGAGGCTTCGCAAAATGCTAAATGACAAAGTAATACTCTGACTTACAACTTCCCAAGATTTAAAATTTGACAAACCAAATTCTTTGAACTTTCCCTCTAAAAAAACAAAACATACTCTTAGTACCACAGAAACAGACAACATGGAATCAAATACATTTTAAAGTCCAGTAGGTAATTATTTCGTAAGAATAAAGAATGAGCATGCTATTCTAGAGTACAGTAAAAGTAACTGCACAAGTTCCTTTTAGCAATGCCTTATACCTTTTCTGCCATCTGCATGTGAATTAAGAAACAAATACCACAGAAATAGTCTGTTGGGTTTAATTCCTTTTAAAAATGTTAATCCAAATGGTTCTATTGGTAGAAGGAGCAAAAAGATGGGCAAAGAAAAGAAATTATCCTTTTTCATTACCCACTCTGTTTCATACCCAACTCTGGCAAATCTGGGGTGATATTCATCAATAACAAAGAAAACCCAAAAATTCTTAAACCATTTGACCCTTTCTAAGCTAACTGAGATCAGGCTTAAAATAATACCACACCTGGAAGCAATTTGGACTTGTTAAGTATTTTTGGACTTGATAATGCTTTCTTAATGCTTTAAACAAGCCATTTACAAGGGTTAAAAAACACTCCAATCTTGCCTCAGCATGTGTTGGTCACTCCTGGTCCATTGATATGACTACCAAACAAACCAGTCATAAAATTTCAAGCAGAAATGGAGAGAATAAAGTTACCTTGGTATAACTGGTTAACTGCTTTCAGCGTATCTTCAACAGGCAATTTATGATCAGGCCAATGAAGGTAAAATATGTCAACCCGATCTACTTGAAGGCTCTGCAGTGATGTGTTCAGCTGCTTGATAACTCCATCGTAACTAAAACCTGAAGAAAAACATGTTTGAAACATGTGGAAAAGTTGAGGGAAAAGCAAAGGTAGCATGTTATTTAATTGAAATTATTAAGCTAGAAACAAATAAAGAAGCTTTTTATTCTATAATGATGCAACAAGGCAAACCGACTTAGAAGGAAGAATAATTCATACCTTTGTCTGGATTTGCTTTTGTTGCTAAAAGTACCTTAAAAGACAAGAAGAAGTCCTGTGATTAAGGATGAAGTCCTATGATTCTTGTTCCGGTTGAAAAGCTGTATTTCATACTTCTACCACGAAAGTCTTTTCATTGAAAAAATAATGATGTAAATATGAAGCAAAAAAGAAAATGCCATTCCCTACCAATTCTTCAAAAGATTGCTAAGTTAATAGAAAAAAGTGACTTTCCAAATATTGAAGAAAACTGTGTTACCTAATCTATGTTTCATACAAAGCATTGTTGGGAAGTTCAAAAAATTACTTCTACCTACTTTGTCACTATCTTTACAAACAGGAATAGTGCCGATAATTTTCTCTGCCTCTCCATTCACATACCTATATGAATTAAGAATGCCAAACTGAAAAATTCAATTAAATAGAAATATGCATACATGAAGCAAAAAACAAGGGAGTTGCATTTGAAAGCAGCCAATGGATCCTGAAACTAATCTAGCATTGCATAATAATTTAAAAGGAAATTGTGTGGCTTTACAAGACTAAAAACTTTCTTTTGCGGAGGTCAAGTCACAAGCCAAAAACATGCAGGCAAGTAGCTAGTACAAAAACTTTGAATCTTAACAGCAAAACCCTATGACTTGGAGTAAATAAACATACTTGGAAAACAGCAATTTTAAATTTGATACTAACATAATTAACTCATTAGCTTGAACAAGGAAATAAATATGACATTTTGAACTTACGATTTTACTACTATTATCTTCCTTTTTTAAAGGAAGATAAGCTAATTTGGCAAGACAAGACTGGAATGATGGGGTTAGAATTATTTCCATTTCCCATCTACGCAAGAGCCCAACAATATTGAAAAAGAGGCATAGTAGTAGCAAGTGTCAATCATCATTATGGGACACTTCAAGTACAAAGTAAAGGGCCTCCTCGCAATTTAATCAACTGGCAGAGCAAGTACTGAAGAAAACTGAAAACAACTACAAAATAATATAAAAGATCTGCAAATAAGAAATAAGTTTTGGAAAAAAAGCAAGGAAAGCTGTTTAATGCTTGATTTTATGGTTTCCCAAATCTTAACTTATTGGTTATACTTTTTTTGAAACTTGACTGCTAAGAAAATGTATTTTAGATCTTATCATCTAACTCCTCTTTAAGGAGAAATTCTATGCATCATATACAAAACTGCTGAATGTTATATGGAATGGATTGAAAGGGCATCCAGTAACTTACATGATTGCAGTGTCAAGTTCCTTATGACCATATTCAAGAAATTTGTTGACAAATTCAGGACACTAGAAAGAATGGAAACAGTTGTGTGAAATTCAAAAGCTTGAACAAATGTATTTGACAAGAAACAACAAAAAATTCAAAGAGCATGAAACAAAATTTCCCCCCTTCTTCCTACAGTCTTGAGGTTTTGAAGTACAAAGGGTTTTCTGAACATAATAAAGTTTTTAACATAAACTACTTCTAAGCCCCCCCCCCCCCAAATTTTTTTTGCAAAGTGAGTAGTTTTAGAGCTGCAGTAAAGGGTAAGCCTTGGCCCCCCTACTACTTTTGCTAGCCTTGCCCCCCCCCCACTTTCAAATTTGTGGCCTAGGCCCTGATTTACCATTCATTTGACCCTTGTGCGGCAAAAAGTGTGGATGAATCATGACATACAAAGTTTTTCATGTATACATTGCACATAATCAACATGTGTGCAGTTTATTATATACAGGCCCATTGGAACCAGGAGGCTGCAGGGGGGGGGGGGGGTTATAATTTTCAAAAAGTAGATATTTCTTTCTATACGCGAGTGAGAAGGAATACGATGGACAGCCCCCCCCCCCCCCCCACAATAAGAATTACATTCTAATTGCACTGTTAGATAGGGGCACATACTACATATCCAAGGGTCAAGGGTTTAAGTGCCTGTCGTGATCAAACTTTTATTAAGAGAGAAAAGAGTATGCCAGCTTTCTGGATCTCGAGCTATTGACACACATAGGGCGGGATGACTCAGCAATTGTAGTGTATTAGCATCCAAAGAACAACCCTCCAATGCAAGTATTACAATTACAAACCTTTCCAAAATGGTTAGAACACCACATAATTCATGTTGAAAATTGACGGGCGACCCCAGGATCAAACTACCTCCCAGTTCGCTTTTGCTGTATATTCGTCCAAAAATGATATCAATCAAAATTTTGATTGAGGGAGGAGAAACTTTAAAGCTTTGAAGATATTATGAAGAGGTTTCAACAATTTAGGAAAATATTACAGCGTGCTGTAAAATATGGAAATGCAACAGAAAACTGCAGAAATCAAGACTTCTTTCCACAAGACAAGGCATTCAACTGGGTTTGATGGTTTTACCTTTTGCTTAGATATTTGTGATCCAAAATTCATTGTTCCAAGAATAATTCTTATCTGCGCCATGTTCTTCGATTATAAAAACTGCAACGTTGTATCTTGTCAAAGTACTTTTTTGAGGAGGTTTTGAGACCAGGATTTAGGCCAGAGATAAGAGATGTGATGTTGTGGCGACTCCAGTTGTTGTAGTTGCATATGAAATGGACACAATCGGCAAGTGTAGTAGAGCTGCAATGCAACGATTGATCAGGGGCAATTGACATTATGTTCCAGCTTTGTGGCAAACAAAAAAGGGAAGGATGTTGCAAAGATTTTTTTACAACAATAAGAAATTTTCTACAACAAACACGTGTATTATGATCAATGGAATACTGGGACGTGAAATATGATCAATGGAGAACTTTTTCGCATATTGCATCCTTTGTTTCAATTAGTTTTAATCGTGAAAATTTTATCCAGATTTTATTTTAAGTGACCACCCCATTGAAGCCTGGGCAAAATCGGCTTTTGCTTTGAGTGGCCAATTTTTACCCAAGGTTTTGCCTGAAAATACCTTCTTTTGTTTTCCCATACAGTAAAAGAATGAATTTTTTAAATTTCTTCTTTGCACTTACAGTGCTAATATGTTACTGGTATTGTGTAATTCAAAGGATAAATTCCAAGTTAAAAAATCCTACTAGCTATGATGTTGCTGCTATTAAACTTTTACACAAGTATGGAAAGTATTACATAAATCTACTTCCAAGTCTTCACAGTTGTATTGGTCTTTATGTGCATAACACTTAACCTCAATCCCTTCAAACCTTATTCCTTCCAAACCTTATTCCTTCATTTTCAAGAATTTTTTGAAAAATTGGAGCATTGAAATGTGAAACCCAGAAGATAAGAAATTTAAGTTAAAGTCAGAAGATATTCACTAATAATGTTGGAGGTCATACTACAAAATAAAATTCCTTTCCATCAACTAAAAACAACCATTTGCTTTCCAAACAAAGAGGGTTTGTGCATGATATTGATGTACTTTACCACATAATGACATTGCAACATATGTAAAGATTTTCTAATTCACATAATAACTTGACTTGATTATAGTTTTATGTATGACATCAGCAAATATTCTCATATGATGCAAAGTTTAGATTAGTGCAATGATAAGATAGAAACATCAATAATTTTCACAAACAGTCAGATATTGATATTAGTTAGGCAAGTGAATGGAAATTGAGTTACTTTAATCATCAAATTATGATGCATTGCACTCCAGTGTGGAATCCATGTTGCTTAAGCAGGAGATATCCAGTGTGTGTGTACTAATGATTTCCCATTGTATTTTGCATATATCTGGCTCAAGATTAACATGGATTCAAACCTGGATTGTACTCTTGGTGTTGAAGTATTCCTTATAAGAATCAGAATACCATATTATCTAGACAGCTCTTTATACATATGAATTGCCTTTTTAGATGGCACAAGAGTGTCATTTAAACCAGGACGCTTTTTCTTTATAATATGTTTCATTTCTGTTTCATCATCACTTTCAAATATTCCATCCAGGTCACCAATCAAGGCAAGGTTAGGCCTTTTTCTATTTCTCTCAAACACTCTTTTCTTTTTTATTTTATCCATTTTATTTTGTTCTTTTTGTACGTGTAAAAACTTACACTTATCGCCATACCGACATTTACCACGTTGAAACTTTCTGCAAATGGGCACTTTATTTTTATGTTCATCTTTTCTTTTATCTGTTTTCTCTGTTTCAGATAAAGCTACATGTTTAGAAAGCACAGTTATTTTGCTCTTCCTTTCTTCAAGAAAAGGGTTGTGATAGATACTTGATGGTCGGAAAGATTCACAATTTTTGTCACTGTTATTGTCATGTTTTGCCATTCCATTACCATGATTCTCAGAACCTTCCAGCATTGGAGGAGGTAGTTTTCCCTTTTGTAGCGGTGTCTTTGAAAGATCCTTGTGTGACTTTTGTGTTTCTGTTTCAAGGTCATCGGATGAGTCACTGTCACTGTTTGAATCACTGTCACTGTTTGAATCACTGTCAGTGGAATCGTAAGAAACGATGTTCATCTGTCCTCCAAGGGCAGCCATTTTTGTTTTGATAGCACATGAAAATGAGAAGCATAAAAACGAGGCTGCGCAGCTTTCTTCTGCAAACATTTTGAACCTCACTGGAATCTGACAAGATTTTGGTCGTCGATCGCTGAAGTATACTTTAATGCTGACGATATTGTACTAATCAAGGCAATGAATGCCTCATCAGGAAAAGACCTTGAAGTCCTTGGGGATTTTTTAACATGGTGTGATCAGCACAAGGTCAATTTAAGTCCCAAAGTAAGTAATGTGTGTTGCTTGTTGGTTTCAGGTTTTTGTCAAATGGTCAGATTCCCGCGAAAATGATGTCGTTTAGATAAAAAAAAATTTAGTTGATCAAAAAATGCAAGAAGATGAAAAGAAACTTAAACGGTGAAACAGATTCCCGTATGTAGAATGTGAACGTAAAATTATTTTGCTGATATTGATAATTATGGTTTAGGGACTCTTGGGGGGGGGAGGTCTTGGGGGGAGGATGTTTCAAACTTGATATACTAAAAGTTTAACAAATGCACACTCAATTTCCATTAGAATCGCGCCAATTGGATACTTTAAAGAAAAGCTTAAAATTATCTAAATTTGAGTTCAAAAAAGCATGTCTGGCAAAAATAATGCGAAAAGGTAGTTCCATATGATACTTGTAGTATACTGTTTCCAATCAAAGTCATTTAATCAGAGTTGTTAATGACATTGATACTGAAGCTGCTACTCAAAGCATAAGTTCAATATGCAACTGAAACCCATACACCCATATTTACATCACTCAATGCATTAACAGCACTTTGCCCCTTCGCCACTTCTCTCGGCAGCCCCCTGCTCACAGGGGCTTCCAGTAACTCCAGGATCAGTTGACCCTTCCTCAAACCCCAAACTTTAGGTGGAAATAATGTGGCCCTGGGTATGCCAACAGTTATCTGCCAGGTTCTTGACTCTGGCTGCAGACAGCGAGTCATTTGCCTCTCTGTGACACCCATAGTGGTATTTTGTATCTATTTTGAATTGTTGAGGGTTTTTGGGTGATACTTTTATGGTCTTCTCCTCATCTCTTCCCTGCTAGCGACCACCTTTGGGTTCATTTGGTTTTGATGTGATGGCTGCAGTTTCATGTAATATTGGCCTCTGTTGTTGACAACTTGCTTTGATGAAACTGTTTTGTTAATCAGTATAAGGGAAGTTCATGTGACCAGTTCCAGGTACCATAAATTCTCCTTTAAGCCCCCTCCCCAGGAGCTATTCAGTACATAAAAATTTTATACCTTTGGCTATGGCCAATGGCAAAAAGGTAAATATAAGCCGCAATATATCAAAACACCTGATTGCAAAAATCAAAACACCTTTGGGATATGTTCTGAGATGTTTCAAAATATGTCGCATCAAAGCAAAATATATTTTTAGACAGAGAGAGAAAAAGTGATGATTTCTTATTTGGCCTCTTCGACTATGTTTGGGGTTAGTAGTTGCCGTTCTGTCGAAAACACGGAGCCAAACGGAAGTTAGTGGTTGGCATTCTGTCAAAAACACAGAACCAAACAAAGTGGTTATCACACCTCTCATCTTATTTTTGATCAAGACAGGATATATATTTAAGTTACCTTTTAATCATTATCCTGTGTTGTTAGCCTGAGGAATGTGACCTGATAGTAATTTTTTTCTTTTTTGTTTCTGCTTTTCATTGCTAGTTTAAAATAGCTTGTTTTCGGTGCCTAGAAATCATCTTTTGAAACTGTTTCATTGAAACCCTATGCCAAGGATATATCACAGCAGGTCATGAATGAACACAAAACATCTGAAACATGTCACTATGCTCCCAGGAGACATCTCATTGCAGGAAAATTGCTACTCACTCTGTACAATTTCAATTTTGGACCTTTTTTATGTTTCTTCATGAAATCTTTTAGATAAAAGTCACAAACATATCAACTAGTCATCGCTATGGAGTAGTTGCTAATGAAGATATAAGATGCAGTGAAACATTGGTCGAAATCCCAAGGAATATTGCTCTTACCCCAAACCAAAGCTCAATAGCTTCACGGTTAAGGGATTTCAAAGAGGAAAATATGGAAACGTAAGTTAATTGTTACCTGAGTTAATTTCATTAGCATGCTTAAACATAATTATCAACTGATCTTACCTCAGTTAATTATTCAGTGTGGCTAATACACTTTCATACTGAAGTAATTATGACATTGCACACTAATAGTCTGTACATGAGTTTTATTTCATCTTGATTAGTTAACATCATTTTTTGAAGCTCTCTGTTGTGTTGATTCTTCAATTGTTTGAATGATATTCTTTTATATTTTTAATAAATTTTTATTTGAATTTTTAATAAGGTTGCAGCAGACAAGTGGCTGGATATCCCTACTTCTTGCTTTGATGTATGAAATGAAAAAAGGTGATTCATATTGGGCTCCATACCTGGCTTTATGTCCAAGCATCAATGAGTTTAATCAGCCAATGTTTTGGAGGGATGAAGAAAGACAAGAAGAGCTTACAGGGATGTCACTCCTCTGGGATGTACAGAGAGATCTGTATAACATAGAAAAAGAATATCAGCAGTTTGCAGTTCCATTTATTGAAGGGAATCAAACAATAATGAAGTATGTTTCTTTGGCTAGAGATTAGGTCCGATAAATGCTGTTTCGTTTTTTAGGGAAACTGGCTAATTCTAAACGCCAAAGAGACCTTTTTCAAAAGGTCTGGTAACTTCTTCCTTTTAAATGAAAGGATTAGTAGTAAACAAGAAGCTGAGAAACTGTTTCCTGTTTTTATTTTTATAATCTTTTTTAATGTGGTTTCCAGATATTTAGGTGCCGTTAGAAAAGATACCTTTCCAATCTAAAAGCAAATTTTTTGCACAGATAGATCTGCATCTTTATAATTTCTATATATTTGAAATTTTATACTTCCTTAAAATGGTGTAAACCTTTTGCTTCAAAGCAATTTCTGTTATACACATGTATACAACTTCTTCATACTGTGACTCTTTTGCATATTTTTGTTTCGCATCAGTTTTACTTATTATAAATTGTCTTCATGGATAAGCCCTTCATGGTTACCCTCAGTCAACTGAACAGGGTTTCATAGTAACAAAATCCTAAAGCAAGGCATCTTGGCAACACTTAATAAAGAGCAATTTGCTTTTCAGCAAGGAAAGCCACGATCTTAATCTCTACAAACATATGGTTGGATTTGTAATGTCATACAGTTTTACTGATTATGAAACTGGTGAGACATTGATGGTTCCAGTGGCTGATCTCTTCAATCATAATACAAATAACAATGCACAGCTTTCGTTTGATGATGAGTCACTTTTGAGAATGATCAGCACCAAACCAATCAAAAAGGTATCAGCAACAGCTATTGTGATAATTCTTTGTATCGCTAAAAACAATGTTAGGCAATGCCTGTCATTTAAGAAGAACCTCCACAGGGACTTCAAAACCCCTTTGGTAAAAGCTAGCAAAATGGAATTAAAATTGTTGTAAAGAGAAAGGGAAAAATTGCCTCTGGAATACTAATATTTTGAATTCAATATCTGTAGTTTCATTTCAACAAGTTCCTGTTATGATAAAGACCAATAAGTTTTAGAAAGGGGTTGAACAAAATTTTGTACAGGGCTAACTTACATTGGGCATTGAGCACAGCAAAAGTTACCAAATAACATCAAGCATGCAGTGCTAGAACAGCAATCTAAGGTGCCATCTGGGAACGCAAAGCCCCACTTGCAAAATGGCAATCATAACCCAGACACTCCAACCTTATAGTAATGAAAAAGTTATCCACACTTTCAGTGAAAGTTGCCCTCAGTTAATCTCAACGAAACTCTTGCTCCATCCTTCACAGCAGTTCTGTAAAGACACATGTTTTTCAAGTCGCACCTATATCTAGAAAATATTCTCAGATTTGATCATTTTCAATCAAATTCAACCTTTTCATCTTTTTTCTGTTACCCTCAGCATTATTTTGTTATTCCACAGGGTGAAGAGATATTTAATACCTTTGGTAAACTTGGAAATTCTCACCTTCTGCACATGTATGGATTCGTGGAAAATCACCCCAACCCCAATGATACGGTAAATCACTAATTATCATCATTTTCAGTTTGAAAATTGTTTACTGTTGAGTTTTGGTTGAACCTCCAAAATCCTTTATGCGACCAGGTCTCAGGAAAGACCCCATACCTGCTAAAATTTGCCCCAAAATAATTTGTGAGGCCTCAAAAGTTGCAACAACCAACTACCAGGGACTTATTTTATTTCACATGTTGACAGCAGCTCAGAAATGTCAAGTATGATTATACAAATGTAGATTCAAAAATTAGGATGTAATCCCAATGTATGAAATTATCATAGCTTCAATTTAAGATCTTTTCATGAACTCTAATGTTTTTGATGAGAGGGACAATATCGTGTTGCATCCCCTAAGTTTGTGGGAGAAAAAAGAATAAACGGAATTACCTGGTTCTGCAATCATACTAGCTCTTGAAACCAGAATTCAAAAAATGCTCATGCTTCCCTAGGACAATATGATTTAGCTCTGAAAACCTTTCTCATCAAAACAGTGAAAACAAGGCGGAGTTTGGATGTGGCAGTTATGTTAATTCTATTTTAATCAGGCTACTTCACGATCGTTGATTTTGTGACCGCCGTGTTTTCTGGGATATGCTTGAAACACTAGTAACCATTGCAAAATATTATCATTAAATTTAGCCTCGAACGGCATTTATGTTGTACGATTGTGGATAATTCACGCAATATTTGCCATCTTTTTTCAGCATTGCTTTGGCCCATAACCCTTCAGACATTTTGCTATTGATGTATTAATTATACCATATTTACACATTTTTGTTACCAACGCTAGGTTCTCCATTAAAATTGCAGTTGAAGTTGCTAACAAATCCAAACATAATTTGACGTGATAGTTCCCTTGTACACTGTTTCTACTTTGACTCGTGGCTTCAATATAAAATAGTTGAAATATTCCATTTCAAAGAAATCATTTTAAGCTCATTCCAAAGCTTTGAAACGAAAGAATCATGAATGCAATTTCCTATTTTCCGACAACAAGAATCATATATTCTTCGCATATGTCATCCTTCTAAGTCAATGCAACTGCTATCATTGAAGCACAAAGTGGAAGATCTAACGTTAAAATGTCTAAATATTCAAGGTGGAAATATCACTGACTCAAATCGTTGATGCTTTGGAAGCAACAGACGCCAACAAAATGCCTGTTTTCCAAGCAATGCTTGCCTTTATGAGGAAGATGGTATGTCAATTTTTTGCAGCCTATGCTATGTTCTGTTAGGTAACAATGCATTTCTTCTTAGTGGGAAAGGAAGTCACTGTATTAACTTTTAAACCGAAGAGTGTTTATACATTCACAACAAAGTAAAATATCCGAATCTTTGTTTTATCATTTCGGGGTCAAAGATATCGTGTTATTTTACTGTTTTGTCGCATGATAATTTGATAAACTTTCAACAACAGAAGTAGACAGTAACACATCACTGCAATGGCCTGCGCCGAACACTGGCTCCGTAGGTTCATCCGTCAAGAAAAGCGGTATTTGTTTTAGTGTGATCTATTATATGGGGATTATTATTCTTGTTCTCATTGGCAAACAATATGTTACGTATATATTTATACAATTAACTTAATTAACACTAACGAAATTAGTTAAGACTCATTTTGCTATTTTTACTTCAAAAACTAGCAAAATTCTACAAACCCTTGATTAAAACAACGCACAGTCTCTAGTTGCAAGTATCTCTTTTCTGTGATATCATCTTTCGTTTGATTTCAGAAAAATTGTTTAAATCTTTAATTTATTTTGGCACAAAAAGAGTGACCTCTGAACTGAACATTCTCTATTCTATATGTTGAAGTTTTTACGTTTGACTCACAATGTTATTGGCGAACTAGTTTAAGGAGCTTTGATTGGAAATTTTCAAATGTCTTTTTAAATCATTGCTCCCGAATTTTTCTTCAGGGTATTGCAAGTGAGAAGGACCAGTTTATTTTCGGATTGTCTGGACTCAAGTCAGGTCCCGATTTGTATGCAGTTTTAAGGGTGAGCAGTATGTAGACTTTTTTCAGTTCCAGTTACTACATCATTCGCCTCGTCCGGTTGTTATTTTGCGCATGCGCCTTTTTTGGTTTTGTTGGAATGGCAAGGTCATAGAATGGAAATGATTTGATATATCTGCAACTGAGTCTGAAGCTAATGCTAATTTATTTAGACTTAACGTTGTAAATCTCGCTTTTTTCTAATTTACGCTTGTCAGTTTAAAGATGAGGTTACAGTGGTGGAGTGTGTTCTTGTGAAGTAACACATATGTATTCTGAAACCAGAAAATTCTATGATACAGTTGAGTGCATATTTTCAGTAATCTACCGCTGAAATTAGGAACACCGGTTTAAACTTAAACAAGATAAAGTTAAATCTAGTTTGAGCCCCCTCTCTCCCCCTTAAATTCAATATTCCTCAAAAACTGGGCCTCCAAAGGCAACCTAATTCAACTTAAAGGACCTGTTATCATGCCTTTTACCGAAGGTGGTTTTTTATTGTAGATTCTTCATATGGACTTCAAAGAGTTCACTGGCTTATTACAGGACCACGTGAGTTGGTATCAAGACACATACTTTCTTTACTTACTTGAACACGTTCATCAGGCTACGAGCAAAGAACAGAACGGCGAGGAAGACCCAGCACAGCCCCAAAATTGTGATTCAGACGAAGATATTACCATTGTTAAAGAAGTAAGAGTTAGTGCCAGAGAGAGTAAAGAGAAGTCAGTGGCCGAAGAAGGCCTAACGAAAGCCCAAAATAATGGTTCGTTTAAATCTGGAGAGCAACAGATGAAAATTGAAGAAAACCAGAAAGTGGAAGGTGAATTACAAAATGAGGAGAGGCTCCAATCAACTGAAAACAAAACGAAGAAGCAAAATGCAGACAAAGTCAAAGAGAAACCGGCCGAGCCGGTTGGTCAGGTTGATTCCAAGTCTGCCTGCAGGAAAGTGGAGGCGACAAGTGAAGCTGCGACGGAAGGGTCGAAATCTGAGTTAAGCAAGAAGTGTTCACCGACATCTGACGGATCTCGAAAGTCGAAAACTCGTAAAAGAAAACCGGCGAAATATGTACATGATTCTGACGATTCGGCAGAAGAATTGAATTATAAAGCTGTTAAAAAACAATATCAAAATACAAAGCCAATAACCGAAATTAATAGGGTCAATAAAAATGACATTAATGCGGATGAAAGTGTAAGCAAAACAGTAGATATGTCAAAAGAAGACACTGCCAACTGGATTTTGAAGTTACCCCATGTGGACGACGAGCACTCTGAGGATCCTGATGATGGCAGCGATTATGGAGAGGATAGCGAAACGCAGTTACAACTGACGTATGGTGAGTCCCCAACTTGCTCAATTGGTCCAAATCTCCTCTCCTCATAGGTTATTAGTGAAAGCTTGCGCTCATCTCTGGACAATCTCCTAAAGCCTTTAAAAATCTTTCTGACAAAAAGGCAAAACTATGTTGGGTTTCCTTTCACCGGACGATCTCCTAAAACCTTTAAAAATCCTCCTGACAAAAAAGGCAAGACTATGTTTGGTTGTGGTATTTTGCTTTCTCTTGTTCATTTGCATTCTTCAAAGTCCTCGATTTTTTAGTCGTTTTATCATAAAAGATACCAGATCTTAAACATCTTATTTAGTGAACAGTCCAAGGTTACCTATTACAGTAGTGAAGTCTGCCCTGAATCTATTCAATTTGAAACCCTGTGTTTTTAAAAGTTCAGGGATATGAACAAATTAATTCAAATCCTTTTTTTGATACCTCGATAAAATGTCTAAACTTCTTTTGAAAAGATTGACACAAAAATCGGAAAGATTTTGTAGACGGGATTTCAATATCTCCCGGATCAACTCAAAGATAATTACTGTACCAAGCCATCATTTTGCAAATAATTTATGCCTCGTGTGATCTAGAATATGCAAAGAATAATATTTGGCAATGTATTTATTTCAGATCAAATTAGTAGCATCCTTCCAACAAGCTGGAAAACAACCATGCAAAGGTATTTACAATTACTTTTTTTACGTTTGGCCCTCTAAAATTGATATAATTCTTCCAGGTACCGATTTGGAAATTCATGGCTCCAAGGTCTTTTCAACAACGGCTAAAATTATTCATACTATGGAAATCAGCACTACTTGCCGTATAGAACATGAAATAGTTTATTTCTTTTTTGGAAGTTCTTTCCAATAGCAGCCATTTTTCGCGTAGGATTTACAGCAAATATGGTGGAGGAGGGCAGTAAATGAAATGATTGATTTCCCAAAGTTTTTACTTAATTTCAATAATGTTTGAAAATAAATCTTTATTACTTCACATTCATGCTAATAAATGTTTTTCGAACTGCGAACAATATCATGGATCGCATTTTGTCGTCATTTCTGTGACGTGACTTTATCCTGAGTTGCCATCAATTTTGTGAATATTTGTTTCTCTCAGAAAGTTTCAACCCACACCGCTTTCTTCATCCCACAATTAACGTGAACCACGCACGATCCCAAACATGAATTTTGTCCCATCATTTCAGTGTCATTACAAGTGCGTTGGCGCAGATGAAGCAGGACCCCGGAAAGACAAAGGCATCCAACCTATCAGAGCACGCCATTTTGGCGTATCAAGTGAGATTAGGACAGAAAAAGATTTTACAAATGATCAAAAAGTCACTGGCAACATAGAACAATCCTGATGCATACCATCAATATTAAAATTCCAGTAAACACTTGCTTCTGAAATGGTTTCTGAAGCACGCAGGAAGTAGATGTAGAGCTGCAGTGATTTCCTTTTGGTAATGTGTAGCGTTAGTCAAACGATGCTGTAGCTTTGAGCGTGTCAGTAGTTTTCTCCAAAGGGAAAGTCTGTTAATGGGAGTTACGCCCGACGAAAGCCTCATTGATGGGAGCTACCCCCAGCGAAAGGCTGGTTAATGAAGTTACGCCCAGGAAAATCCATGACCAGGACTTCATAGCCTAGTTGTGGTAGCACTTATTGGAACGCAGAAATTTTGCCATATTTACAGCAAATAGATATGATATAACAAGATCCAAGAAAGTCTAGTTCTTGTGACTGGAAACGGTCGTTCGTGTAGAATTTGTCGAACGAGATTTAGGTGTTGTGTAGAGATAATAGTTTATTGAAGCTGAACGTTATGTGGAAATGATCCATGCAGAAAATCAAGTGAAGCTACAGACATGTCCCGAAGTAAGACAGAAGTGTCTTCAGTTGTAAGACAGATCCCACAGACCAAGCATTCGTGATGATTCACAAGAACTTTTGAGACATGACTCAACCAATACGACACCAGCAGGACTTGCGAAGTTTCTGAAGAGAGAATATTCGGAGATCTAGCCTATCCGTTACATTCGTTAGCTCTTGATCCACTTTGCCAATATAGGACTGCTCGTGATCTGCGGTTATCGTGTTGCATATTTTGAAAGGAGTAGCCTTTTTTTCGTCACTTTAAATGCTTGTAAACCTCGTGGTGAATTGTGAGTGTTATATAGCTCTTGATTTATTCAATGGGTCGTTATTTCGTAGATATTCGTTTTCAGGCAAATACGTTTTCTTATCTCGGTGCATTAAACAAAAGAGTATGTTAAAAAGGTAGTATCCCGGTGGCAAACGGACCTCTGAAACATGAATCTGTAACCTAACCACCGAGATGCTTCGTCGTAGCTTTATAGACAGTGTGTATCGGATTAGAGTTTCCATTCGTAACTGTGCCATCCGGATTCAATTGTACAATTTAGCTGGATAACCTGACTGGCTTTTGCCGGGTTCTTCTTCCAATACAAGCTTTTCCCCTAGTAAGACCAGGTTTCTGTCTTCAAAGAAACGAGGAAGTAATACATATTTGATCATGCTTGTCAACAATCCAACGGTAACGGACTTTTTAGAAATTGGTGACCCGGTGCAGGAATATCCATCCGACTTGCCGGTTATCTTGTGCAACCCTAGTTAATAGTCATGGCTATTTCGATCCTTTTGAGAGTGGATTTTACTTGAATAGATTGATCACAAGAGAGGTAATACGCCTTTTTATTTATCTGATTAACATGTGAATCCGTTACCTATGCTCACCCAACGTACCTTCGATATTCTTTAAATCACTAGAGAAGGATCAATTTTAATCGACAGGTACCAAAGTGACTTAAGCCATTTGTCCGTGAACATTGGCCGACCAATCAGCGTTATACCACTCGCACCTTTGTTGTTGATTGGCCAATAGTTGATTAGCAGATGGCTCAAGCCACTTTAGGATCTGCCGATTGCCTTTAAGGCGGCTTTAGGGTTTAGTAGTAAGGCAAAATAAGTGAAGCGTTAAAGTGCCAAAAACTGTTCTTGTTTGCTTAAACAATAACAAATTGAAGCAGCTCCTTTCTCTCCTTCGTTGTGGTATACCTACTGTTCCTGGCTGTCGATGTTCAGTTCCGAACGCCAGCCGCATGCATTGGGATGCACCGATTTGTAGGTGAATAAACTAATAAAACAAGCGGAATGAACTAGCACAAATTTTCCCGGCAGAATTAGAGCACTGTCTAGTGTAGCTCCGTTATTTCTGATTCATTAATTCGCCGCATTATGGCAGTAGAGTAAGAAAGGTACAATACTATTATATAAAAAGCAGGTATTAGCCACGCAGTGCGAAAATGAACCAAAAAGTCGTCCATAGCCCTGGATAAGAACACTAATACGGGTGATATCATGCTCAGTGAACGCACAGCGTGTAAAATTTCTTGAAGTTCACAATACTGAAGCTCTTATGAAAAGGAAAACACTCACTTTGTTACAAATTGTCGCGCTGCGCCTAGATGTACTATTAGCTAAGGAATCTTCAACAAACAAAAACTCACCTCCCCCTTACGTGAAGATCTTTAACTGCCCTCGAACAAGCCATTTGCTCCAGCGGTATCATCTCTTCTATTTTAAAAAAGGTTTCAATCCTCATTCCTTCTAAACTGAACAATAGACCCACAGTACAATACCCTTTTTAGATAAGATCAGTCCTTCATGGGCGTTATGCTTTGCATTCCAGCACTCTCTGGAGACTTAAAGGCTTTGTGCTATTACCTTATGTAATCAGCAACAAAAAACAACTTTAACGCGTTTGGGTTACGGATAACCAGAAGTTTTCAAAGGAAGGAAGATGTGAACAGATGACTAACAAATTATGACTTGATTCAGTCATTTAATGAAGTGGCTATTTACATAAAATTTAGTTCTACAAAAAATCGAAGATAATTTTCCGTATACCGATGTACATACAGGTTGTAACACTACAGTCTGGTAGTCAATAGTCTGTTTGTCTTAACACCGAATTAATTTATGGTTTAGTACTGTGTTATGCAACCCTAAAATTCTGATGCAGAAGACAATCAAATTCCCTGTGAATAAGAAAAGTGCTTAAATAAAAAGAACGTTTTCAAGTGCAACAGCTGATTACTTAGATCCACGCATTGGAAGAAATTCAAACTGTCACCGACATAGTTATTAATCGTAGCCCTGACATGGTGAAATGTCAGCTATGGCATTTTCTACATGACTGCATTCACCAAAGCTTACGTTACGTTGCCTGCCTATTGGCGAGGAGGGGGCCTGGAGAAGGATTGCGAAGGGATAGGCCAGGTTTGAGGAGAAACATATTTTTAGAGTCAACGATTCAAGGGGAAATTGTACTGTTGATTACCTTTCGCAGAACTTATTCTTTCTGATTTCGCATATCAAAGAACTTGCGTGCAAAGATTATACTCGATGAAGCGGTATGTCCTTTCATGACAATTAGTTCCAGTCTCCCCACCCTGGTGAAACAGTAATCAACCGAGTTAATGATTATATATTGCAACAAGTCCTCTTTTCCCCTTTTTTTACACTGGGCCAATTATTTCGTGTATTTACATCTACAACGTGCAGTACTTAAAGGCTACTGAAATTGGAAATAAATTGCACACGCCAAAACGTAGATCGAACCTTAATTGGTGCTAGTCTTAAATTACATCTAAAAAGCAAAGAATTGAATTACAACTACAACAAACGTTAGTGATCGCTGCCACTTTGCTTGGCGTCGGCTTTTTGTACCACTGCCCTATGCTTGCAAGTCATAAAATCAACCAGTAGCACAAATTTGCTTGCCATGCCAAAATCGAAAAAAACATGCCCACTGGTGCTATGCTACTAATTGAACACTGTAAAGTAGCACTTTTTAGGGTAATGCATAATTGAATTGTCATACTGTCTGCCATCTGATAAATATATCAGTGTACAAATACCTAGCTTGACGGGGTAACACCAAGAAAAGGCGGCAAATCACTAAAAACAGTCAAGTTAATGCTTCTGTTGGCTTCTCCTGCGTAAGGCATACGAGCCTGATGAATTGTCCCTCCTTTCTTGCTGATCATCCTGTGAATCATCAGCCAAAGGACTCTGCTCGGATACTTTCTGTGGGGTAGGCACCCTTCTAGGCTGACTTGCCTGCGCAGGAGATCCTTGCGACGTTGCCGATTGCTGTTGTTGCTGCTGTTGCTGCTGTTGCTGCTGTTGAATTTGACGCTGTTGCTGTTGCAATGCAGCAGATAAATTTTGTTGTTGTTGCTGTGGCTGCTGTTGTTGCTGTTGCTGCTGTTGAGTTGACGCTTGTTGCGCTTGCAATCGTTGCCTTTGCTGCTGTTGCAAAAGCTGTTGCGCTGTAACGGATGTTGGTGTTTGGCTTGTGATTTGGATCTGCGATTGCGCATAGAGCTGTGGTTGCGTGACTACTTTTAGCTGCACGGTTTGCGGAACCTGTTGCTGTTGTTGCGCTTGCTGGCTCTGCAACTGTTGTTGCAGCTGGCTGCTTGCAGTTGATTGTCCAGTTGACGCCACTTGCTTTGTTTGGGCTTGTAGAGTTGCTTGGAAAGCTCGTTGTTGTTGTTGCTGTGAAGAGACGACTTGCACCTGTGTTTGTCCAATGACCTGTGCAAGGTTCTGAGTTCCTTGACTTTGTTGCTGCTGTTGTAACACCAACGTTCCTGCAAGTATTACACATGACAATCAACATCGTTTTATCTAAACAATAGCCTTTAAACCGACAAAGAAATCAAACGACGTGGTACAAATACGATAGGGGTACAAAAGAGCTAATCAAATTCATTAGGGTAGACAATCTTTGCACACCCATGGTGAATTTTGCTATGGGGTGACCTTTGTATGCATTTGGTCAATCCTGATCGCGCAATATTCATAGTTCAGGTCAGAACAGACAATCGGGAATATGCTAAGGGCTTTACGCCATCATTGCAAGTATGAGCTTTGTGTTGGTTTGTTTCTGTGCATACGAAAACGTCAAAGTTTCAGTAAAACCGCTTCTATAATAAACATGACTATATATCGACCAGTTAACTCACCAGACGGGATCTGCATTGTCTGCAGTTGCTGTGGCTGAGTAAGGCGCAGTTGCTGGATACCCTGCGGTGTCTGCTGGCTGACCATCGTTGCACGCAACTGGATCTGCTGCGGCAAACCTTGTTGGACCTGGATTTGCTGAGCTTGGCTGGTTCCTTGCGAAACAGTGGATCGAAGAAGTATCTGCGGAGACACAGACTGGGAAATCGACTGTGCCAGTGAGCCATTAGTCTGTTGAATAATCTGTGGCCTTGGTGTAGTTGTGGGTACTTGCTTCAGTTGCTGGGTTGTTATTCCCTGAGGCTGCTTCACCTGGAAACCAAACGGTCAATAAGAATAATTAAAAAGGGCCAATCGTTTGGTTAAATAAAAAGCAATTCAAGGTTCGAGCTTTCAATGATTACCTTTTTTTCAACAATGTTTGTGAAAGAATACCTGTGTCATGACAAGCTGTGGTTTTGGAGGAGTGCCAGTAGCCGAGCGTTGCTGTTGTTGCTGCTGTTGAAATTTATTCTGCTGTTGCTGAATTTGCTGTTGTCGTTGCTGGCTTAGCTGCTGAAGCTGAAGTTGTTGCTGTGGTGTTAACTGCTGCCTTGAAATAAGTTGTTGCATTTGCGGGTTACTCTGAGCCAACTGCACTTTTTGCATAATTTGGTGTCTCTGCAAAGCCTGCTTGAGTATTTGCTGTTGCTGGGCCGGTGAGAACTGCGCAGTAGGTATCTGGGGACCTGTACCGCGTACTGGCACGGGACCTTTCATTGTCTGCACGGTGAGGCCTAGGAAAATGTTGAGAAGTCTTCATTAACTCTTTCTCAAAGACATTGCAAAAGGGTATAATGCCCAAAAGACAGGCTATGCAATAATACTTGGAGCTATACTTAGGATTTCACTACAACAGATAATAATGTAAGTTACATTGATTTTCAGATCCTTTCGTGGAAATAAAAATAACAATACTGTTTCGGAGCTCAAAAACTGGTATATTTCTGCTGTTTTAATCGTGTTTAACAGTGAGTTGTTGTCTCAACCAAAATAAAAAGAAAGGCCACAAAAAAGTTAAAAAAACCAAGGAATTTGGTACAACGTGTGTTTCAAAAATTGGATATAGATTGAGATGAGGGGCGGAGCTGGTGAACTGAAACTACAACGGCCACTTGTATTCTTCATTAAAATTTTGCATATTTCGGGTAGCATCCCTATCTATCTTTTGAAACAATTTTGACCAGGAAATTCAATGCGAAAAATTAACGTACTGATAGAAATGAGTTTATATCATAAGGGTACTTAGCTACCCCTCAATGCTCCTAGAGCCCTGCGGACGTACCTGCGAGCTGTGCAGCACTGACTGTCACCTGCTGCTGTGGTTGCCCCTGTGTGGCCTGTTGCTGTTGGACACCCTGTTGCTGTGACTGTGATTGTTGTTGCAACTGCTGCTGTTGTTGCTGCTGTTGAAGGATGTGCTTCTGCTGCTGTAATCGCTGTTGTTGAGCTTGCTGTTGTTTTTGTTGAAGCAACGCAAGGTGCTGAGGCGTCAAGGTTTTCCCTTGTAGCAGCTGCTGGCCAGTCACGAGCTGGGTAGTTCCTTTGAAACGAAAGATATTTTTAGCTATTTTTGTTCAGCTAAATATAAAGCTTGAAAGGAATGAACAAAAGTCGTCAATTTGAGCTTTTCGGGTGACTTATTCGATCTTTTAGCAAATTTCTTCTTGGAAATTTAAGTAGAGTGCTTGGCCTTACTGTTCATATGCACGGCCAACCTGCCTGATGGCCTTTTCACAGAGTATTTACAGAATAACACAAAAGATAGGAACTCTTAACAAACTGTCTAGCTAGTAGCAAATAACCACCACGTTCAATTCAACACTTTCTTAAGAAACTCTAATTCAACACGAAGCATTCTTAAGAAATCCAAAAGCAATACAACTTGGTTTAGTACAAAATTCATAAAAGGTTTCAACCAAGAAATCCTTAAAATACGGCGAGGAATATCTAATTCGAAAATACTGTTTAAGTTATAAAATAATAAATGAAACTCAGGATACCTGCAGTACCTACAATGGTCGTCCCTCCTCTAGCAAGCTGTCCCTGCGAATAATTTTTCAACTGTAAAGATATCAGATAAAGAATACAAGAGCAATGATAAACAATATTCAAGGAGCTTAATTGTAAATATGTAACCTTTACAGCGACTAGCACAGAAATTTACTAGTCAAAAGTTGTATCATTATAGTAAACATTAAGCAGACACTTTAATTATAGCTTAGTTCGAGAACGAAGTCACCGACAGCACGTTTGGTAAAACGCAACAAGTAAGATGTTACAATTATTCGGTTGTCCTTATATCACATTAGGAGGTGATACAACATTACTACGTGTAATGGGTCTTGTTGGTACACGCAAAAGAGCTTCAAACGACCAAAACGTTAACAAACTTACCACAGTTTGGATACCAGCTGTTCCAGCCGCAGTAGCCACTATCAGATTACCAGCCTGTTGTACAATCTTGCTAGTAGCTATACCAGTGACAACTTGACTGCTTGGTTGACCCTGAATTAATCGGCTAGCGGGTTTCGCCACTGCACTCTGGAAGTTCAAATTAATATACTTAAATACTTACTTATCTTAAGAAGTCACAAAGGCAATGCTTAAAATTTTGCGACCAAACGCGCTGCCACATCAATCACTACAGCTTTAGCCTTGGTTTGGTCGCATACCATGGAGAGGATTCTTCGAGAAAATCCAAGATTTTCATTTGAAATTAATCATTGTGTGACTATCAAGCGATCCATTTCTAAATAAACCAATTTACATGGAACACTTGAAGCAATTATTCATTACTGTGACAATACAAATGATGGCGGTGTATTTTGCCGTGTTATTAATAACGCATTCTATTCATCATCAGTTTAGGCCCAAGCCTTTTAGTTTCTTTGACTTTCATTCGAAGGCATCAAACTGTGACTGCAATTCATAGCGAATAGGTCTAAAGAAATTTATATTTAACACACCGATTGCACCTGCCCAAGGGAGACTGTAGCCATAGGACGGGCCCTCTTGGTGCCTGCAAATGAGGCCGTAGTCGTGCTCAGCTGTGCCGGTGCACTGGTTGTGCCAGTGGCTGTGACAGAGGTCTGTGGGGCTGCGCCTGAAGTAAGTACCAGTCCACCTGCAAGAGTGAGGATTAGCTGCTAAATATTTCATAAAAAATTTGACACCGCTTTAAGCAATAACACCTTAAAGGCAAATGTAATTTACGCAAGCACAGAGACATAAAAAAGCAGGGGAGGGGGCATTGGGAACAAATACCCATGCACTTTTTAGAAAACGCGCGACAAATTGCTTTTGAGCAATAATGTTTGTCGAGGTGGTCTCACACCTGCTAGCTATACAAACGAGCCACGATTAGTGTTTATGAGACAACTGTAGTTTATTTAACTATAATCGGCCTCATTATTAAAACCTAGCAAGGTTGCCATTACCCTGATGATACTTACTTTTGAGTGCAGCTGCACTTGCCACTTGTGATGCTCCAAGGGCCACTGCTTTCTGAAGATGCTGCTGGGCTTGCTAGAAAGCAATAAATATTAGAAATGGTACGAAAAGATTAACCAATTGACTATGGCATCTTTCACACATCTATCATTTCAACAGCCCACATTCAACTTCGTTATGTATGGCTTTTAGCATTATAAACCATTCAATATAAGTTTATGCATACAGTTAGTATTGCAGTGCTCCTTTTCCCAGGATCAAGACAAGCAGGTGATTTTTAAAACTTGCTAAACCCTGCATCTATCCTAAGTTCTTGTAGTGCGACAATTCATTAACAAACAGCATTAATAATTGTCATACTTAGTTATTATGTCGAACAGACAAATAAAACGTGCTATATTAGCATGATATTCGATTTTCTTTGATGACTCCATTCGATTTCTTTGATGTGTTACTATCATCATTTCGGGTAGGACTTACAGCAAACTGGGAATCACCGTTTATAAGAAACTACCTCAGAAACATTTCATGCGCTGTTTTGTTAATTATTGAACTATGAGAGGCATTGCAAAGACAAATTAATCGCATCATTGATTGGACATCTTATCCGCCCGAGATATGGGATTCTGTGTACAAATTAGATACGACTGTATCCCTTACCGTTTGAGTGGAAATCAGATTTCGAAATTTGCTTGCATCGGTCTTTGTGGCATCGGCTGGTTGACTTTGTTGTTGTTGCTGTTGTTGTTGTTGCTGATGTTGCTGTTTGGAAAGAAAAGAAACTAATCTCTACTACGTTTTCTATATCTAACATTAAAAAACTTTTCGTCTGTGTGTAGATGACGTAATAAAGACGGAATTTGGTGTTGACTGAAAAGTTTTTCTAAGGGTACGGGCTCCTCATAGGTCTGGTCATCGTCTACCTCGCTCAGAACATTTTGAAGTAAAAGAAAACACATACCACAGATGCAGCTTGGGCATTCTGCAGTTTCTCTTTGGCGATTCTTTCAGCCCGCAAAGTTGCAAGCTGCATGGGGTTAAGGATTTTTTCATCTGTTGCTGTATTTGTGGGCAGGGTCGCGGTGTGTTTTGCATTTTTTTGGAAGCGATCAGATGACAGCCTTAAAAAGAGAAACAAAAGCTAAAACTTAGAGCAAAAACAACAAATGTTTGGGGAAGCAAATTAATCTAGTCACTGCAAAGAAAAACACAAATAAGCAATTAAAGCCGACAAAAAAATTTGATAATGTACGAGACTAACAATCTTCTATCAAGGACAAACAGATAGTGACAGTTAAAATGTTAGGCTGCTTAAGACTTCAGGAAATGCATAAACTAAAAAGCTAGCAAGAGTGTAAACAGACCAACTTACACGGGCTTCAACGGAGGCTTTCGCTTTTGGGCTGCCCTTTTGTGCAGCTCGAATTTTCCCTGATGAATTCCCAGAACTTTATGTCCCTGATCATTTCCAAAAAGTGTCTCTGTCTTGACAGGAAGGTGGGACATCGGCATCTGAAGAAAATCAGGGTAAAGATCATGTAAATCAGTCATATTAAAACATGGTTAGGAACCTGCATGAAAAATCATGCGTGTGTGCGTGTGACATGGCAACAATAAGAAACAAGGAGTAGAAAGTCAACAAGTCAGAGAATATTAGATCATTAGATTTATAAAGGATAGTTGAAAGATACAACTGAGAGTTGCCTAAATCAATAAAATGTATGGGCTGCACAAAATGACACGCGAATAGATTTCAAAGGCACGATGAATCTCGTAACATCTCGTAACTCTCTTCAGCATCTCGTAACAAACTTTTGCTAAAGAGAAGTGATACTCACCTTGACATGCAAAGGAAAACCTTTCTTCTTCTTTGACTTTTGGTCATAGTCGTGATGCGACCCAGCCTGTAAATTAGACCAAGCGCACCTAATTTAACTCTGAATTAGTCAATCAACACAGGAACTAAACACAATTTTGCATTTTAAACACGTAATATGTAAATTGGGTTTCGGTCTTTACAGAAACACCTCTTTTTAGAATCGTACACGTGGAAAAATTATAGAGGTGAAAGTGCTAATGGAAAAAGGGCTTAGATCATATCAACTGACTGACGATCAGGTAATATTATGTTGACACAATGCAGTTCCCATGGACATATATCAAACCAAAAATACAAAGCAAAGAGAAAAAGAGACATTAACAGAAAGCTACAGGTAACGCATAAACATCACTGGGAATTCTCCATGCAAAATTATAAACTATGATAGACTTTCATATTTTGTAAAAACTGGATAAAATACGTCCCTTATATCTAAAAATTTAACTCACCTTGCCTTCCTCTCTTGGAAGTATAACATTCATATACCTGTCACGGCACTACGATAAAAAAGCAATAAGACATAGAAAAGAGCAATCGATCTTATAAAGTGTGTAAGAAAGAAGATGCGTAAGGGTACAACTTGGTACAGTTAAAGTTTCTTAAATTCATGGACTATACCAAAACTTCATGGAATGTACAGCTAGAACCATACACGACTTTGTTGGCCTTATCACAACACATTGGAGAAAGCAAAGGGAAAAAGTTTTTCCGACTAAAAGATCCCGACTAAAATCATGTCCTGGCGCTGGTACTTACTTGTCGTGCAGACCTCCGGACGATACTTGTTGCATTGACTACATCACTGACTATATCCCAATTTGGTATTTTGTTATGCAATGTTTCGGACACAGGATCCAGGGGCAACTCTGAGATGGTGTTTACGGCCTGAAAAATCAATCGCCTGTTGTGAGTTACAGCTGACTTAAACAAAACAATCAAAGGTTAAAAACAATTGACAAAAAGTGTAAATACAGTAACATTGCCGGAAGATAGCAAAATAATAAAAATATTTTTTTCTGAAAATTTAAATATGTTTCGGCAACTTACTTGTAGTAAAGCCCAGTCTTCATTGATCTGCCATTCCGGTCCGTGCTGTTTAATTACGAAGAGTAAAAAATCTATTAAAATTTAAAAAATAAAGGCAAGGAGTACAATCATACGGCTTCATATGCAGTCTCTTAAATCTGAGTTTGGCAAGGATTCTTGATAAAGAACGCTGAATATTCGTGACAACTGATTCGACAAGACCTTCTAAATGTTAGTTTCTTAGGATTAATTAAAAGACAATACTGGATAAAAAGGATGTACAAATCTATGAAATTTTGTTTGATCTTAACAAACCTGTGAGTAGTCGGGCTTGTTCGAGTGGCCCTGCAACGGCAATGCGGCTCCTTTTTGCTTCAGTTTCGACTTCTTCAGCTTAGCACGGTTCAAAAGTTCCAAAGCTCTCTTGTCAAAGATTGATTTGCCTTTCGAAATGCGTTCTCTGAAATTACAAATTGTTAAAATGAAATATAAAAATCGAAACATGCAATAGGAAACACGCTGAGAGAGGACAGAGGACCCCCACCCCTATAAAATGGCCATAGTCAAAAGAACAGGACGGGATTGCAATATAGGACTGAGAATGCACGTACTTGAAACGTTGAAAGTTTGGCATTTGCTGCAAGTTCGGGCTAAGAGAGGCTGAGCTAGCTTGGTGATATCAAAAATAGACCGATTTCTAATTGCTATGTTTTTAAAATATTTAGCAAAAGCCCCTGTTGTTCTTTTCAGAGCACTACAGCCCCGCTGGAAAAACATCACAGGTCAAGGATGCAAAAAACGCTTTTGAAGATTTAATGAAATTGGCATTTAATAAACAACTGCTATTGAAGATTATTTGAACGCTTAAAATCAGCTCGATATCGTGTGGATTGAAAGAGTTATTCCCTACAACAAGAAATCAAAACCAGCATTGAAAAACACGGAGCCGCTCGTGACTCCCACAAAAGAATAAGAACAGTATTGGTACTCCAATTCCGTAAATTAGCTTACCTTTTACGTTTGAATACCCCAAGGTAATGTGTTCTTTTGCTGTTTGACTTGACTGCATACAGATCCATGCCATTTTTCCTAGAAACAAATGATAAATCAATGCAAAAATATTTAAACGTGCTGACAGCATGAAAACTAGAGCACTGTACGTATCTTGCAGATAATGACTTTACGATGCCATTCGATATACTGGCGAGTAGTTAGGCGAGGTAAAGGCAGCATCTTGAAAAGAATTCGACAGCATACCAGTATGGAATTATTGTAGATAAATTGTAATCTGTATTAATGAGCAAAGTCAAGCATTAATATCTGGATATAGATAAGTGTAGGTTGGGTATTGACTGAGCATAATTTAGGCTGTGAATTGAATGCATTTTTATACTTGACAATTTGTCCGGCTGTTAGCAGCGGCATAGCATTTATGTCAACAATACTTCTGATAAATAGCAAAAGGCATACTTGAATATGTGAGTTGGTGGCAAATGATTCTCAGGAATGACACTGGATTCGTACAGAAAGTTGAATGTTTGATCCATTATCACTTCATCTTCGCCATCATTTGGAGGGGTCGGTGGTGTCCATATCTGTAACAGACGGAAAACCAGCCACTCAGTAATAATTCATTATGTAGGCGGGTTGATTCATGGCCTGCTCCTTTTGAGAGGGGGGGGGGTGGAATTATTATAGGTCCATAAGGGGGTCTTACACGTGAAAAAGTAAACCCCCACCCCCTGAAAAAGATGGCAAACTACAACCCGTTTTTCTATTCAGGTTGCTTACGTGATAAAACTGAACTTTTTTAGACGGCGTTAGCAATTGTAGAGCACTGATACAATGTTTAGCTTAGAATACAGAGAAAACAATATATCGTCTGTACTGGTAGTATCATGAAATCGTAAATAGTTGTATACATGAAAACCAGAAGGGTTAAATAGAACTTAGTAAAAGAGGAACAAAAACAACAACTCACAGGCATCTCAGCACCGGTGTAATCGTCAATGTATGGCTAAAAGATAAACCATACAAAAATTGATTATCTTCAAAATGCGGCGGTGGGTAGAGCTGTTGACGCTCTTTGAACGATACAATGACCTATAAATCAGTTGCTTTAAGCTTTAGGAAAATTTCCCCATAGAAGATCGTCCAGAGCATACAAACGACGTTAGGGGGTGAGGTCTGCTTATTAATACCTTCGAATCTACATCTTTTAAGTGGACGAAGGGAAACTGGAAATTGCTGCAATTTAATAGATTTCTAGTTGTTATAACTTCTAAAAATATTAGGAGCAGTTGGACCATCTTTTTGTTCATAATCTGCATGTTCCAAGTAGCGTTCAAGTACTTCCCTGAAGATAAATGTCTGCTAAAATTCACCATCTCCCCATTTTCAAAACACGACAAAGCTCACCGACTACATTGTCCTAACCGATCAGTTTCCATTGCTTTTTGCCCCAGTCCTTCAAAGGTGAAACCCACAAAAAACCATCCATCTTGTAGACTGAACATAGATGATAGAATCTAGTCAAATGACCCATTTTTTCCTTATGCCTTAGCAGACATTAGATGACAGGCTACATGTTTTAAGCGTTTCAGTTTTACAAGGCTTATATAGTTTTCCTTCTACTAGGCTCAGTTCAGGCTATAAGATAATTTTCAATTACTTGTTCACCTTAACTTGTTGATTAAGTGTACGTTTACAACGTTTGCTATAAGCAAAGTTGTGAAATCGAGATTTTCCCACCTAAACTCAGTTTCTCAGTTTTTTTGTTAATTCCAGAGCCAAAAGTTTCTTCAACGTTTCTTAAATACCAATGCAATAGAGCAACTTGGAGCAACAAGAAAAAAGGTGCCTAATCGTTGAAAAGATACATTTCCACCCCCATATTTTCGAGCAATTACTTAAAGTTTAGGGTGATCAGTACAATGATTTCTTAATTGTTTGGACATCTTAGGGCTCGGTTTATTATAGACGATTCCTTATAAAACATGATTGTACATCTAACTGGCCTACAACCGAAATGAAAACACAGTATAATTTTCCCAAGTCCTTGTTGTGAAACAGTACGCATGAAATATTGTCTCTACAGTACTCAAAGAGCAATGCAAAGGAATGCTGGGTACCTCGTACAAATCAACAGGATTTTAACACAATCCTAAATTTTGTATTCCATTCTGTATGTCGCAGTAACAGAATTCCATTGCACTACCAATTAAATTTGTTATTTACGAAAGTAATCGAAATTTCTCAAATTGTATCTTTTGGTGCAATTTTCTCATTATGCAGGAATTAATTTAATTTCTGATGCCTTCTCCCAAAATGGCTCTTAGGGAACTGTTTTTCTACACAATAACCAGCCCTTCCCCAATTTTCCTGAACATATAACATTTTTCAGACCGCAAAAAACTTAATTCTGAAAACTTATTAAGAAAACATGAATGAAAACATCGCCTCCCCCTCGCCAAAATCATCATATTCTAGCTCGCTTTAAACATTCAGTAGCTGTCAGACAAAAGAAGGGGGAGGGGTTTTTCCAATTTCTTTTGAAAATATTAACTATATCATATAGTTTGTGGGAATGTATAAACAAATTGCAACTTTTTTAATATGAATGACGCCAAAATTTGTTGACAAAAAAATCATGTAATACTGCTTTTTAGCTGTAAAAAAGCTGGCGGATTTGATTGCGTCACCTATGAAAATATTTCCAAAGGGACTCAAGCCCCCACGTTGTCGATGCCAATGTGTGCCTTTACCCCCTGATCCTAAGGTGGCAGGTTGTCCCGTTCGCCTGCAAAGTTGCCTTTTCTGGACTTCCCTGGATGACACAGTGTACACAGCAAGGTAGCATTTGTCGAAACACTGATCAACTTAAGAAAAACAGAAACTTGGAGCTTGGCAAGTTATGAATTACAAGCAATTATTGATTAATAGAACCCGAATGTTATACAACAATCCTGCATCTTTTGAGCACCAACAATCAGATCTAGAAGTGCGGCGAAAAAGACTAAAAATATTTGATGTAAAGAGCAAAGGGCTGTTGGGCAGAAAATATTGCATGTGCAAAGTGCAAGGTTGAAAAAAGAAGAACCTGAAGCACGATCAAAAATCACAGTACGCTGTGTTTATTATCTTTGGTCTCATTGGTTTATATTATCTTAATATCAAATAATATCAGAATAATGCCGAGTATTAGCTTCAACCTCTACCTTGGTACGTATCTGTGCCAACAGGAAGCTAACCGGTACAGGGAGAAAAGAACAAACTGCCACCTTGCTGTTTACAAACGGTGCCATACAGGCAACTACAAAGTGATGTCAGCAGAGCTTGACTCACCACTTCGCAGCAGTCGCAGAAGAAAGACAACAAAAACAGGTCAGGTTTTTTCACTTAAATTGTGTTCAGTATCAAAATATAAACAATCTTACATAAGATGTTATACAAAATTGAGTTTATGACACTTCAGCTTTTGAGAATTAAAATGATCCAAGTTAAATTGAATATTTACGCTTTCAGGGATTCAAAGAAATCGTGGTCTATATTTACAGGGAGAATAAAAAAAGTGACGCCACCATTTTGGGTGTCAAAAATTGTATCTTCGCAGAAAAATCAACTTCAGATGTGGTTTGGGGACAGCAGCGGATGCTACTATTAAAGAATAATATTTATGAAAGCCAAGTGGGCAACTGAAGATACCGTTATGTAAAAGTCAGCTATTCTTTATGTCACGATGTCATTTGGCATTGAGATATGGGGAGTCATTTTTATCATGGTTTTTCGCTTACCCACTTTCTGTTATTTATCACTACTTAATCCTAAATGGGACATTATTGCAAACTGCAATTTCGGGTTAGGTTACAGTCCTAATAATAATAATTTAGGTAACCTCTATCCTAGCTAGTTCGAACGGGACAAGCAGGGCGGAGACAGGCAAGGGTGTAAGTTGTGAGGCACCGTATGACCCTAAAACGAGGCATTTACATTCACACGATCACTGCCTAGAGTTGCTCCTGGGATACCTAGGCGAGTGAGCTGGACTTCCACCGTCAGGCGACATAACCACACGTGTCTTAGAATTACTTCTACTGGAACTTCTAGAATCACTCCTGCTGGAAGTTCGCGACGCTCTACCAAGCTTATTTGCACCTCTCCTATTCGATACTGACTCGATCTTCTTACCCAAACTGTTTTCCTGACTAGGCCTGCTTGACAGAACAGCAGCAGGGCTATTCTGAGCGGAGCTTTCGTCAATAACATCGACGTAATCTTCCCCTTTTTTGCTAGAACTATTTTCAACGGCCTCATATGACAAGCCGCTATCAGATGACCTGTCGCTTCCATTTGGGATTACTTTAGCAAAGCGCATTTTCAAATTATCAATTGCTGTATTGTTAGAGGAGGATTTAGGACAAGGCACCTGGTTGTATGTTTCGTCTCTTGCGTAAGTGAAAAACATGTCATCTTCTTCCATCGCGTTCTTTCGCTCTTCGGCTTCCTTCTTTGCCTGTAAATGTTCAAGCTCCCACTCTTTCTTGGCGACCTCGACCTGTGTCTGCCAAATTAAATGAAAAAGAGGCTCGTGTTGTTAATTATGTATGATTCATTGAATTGTATTGCAGCACAATTTGTTTCGAATATTCTTAGAAAATACAACCAACGTGTTGAAAAATAAGTTAGAAAATAGGCTCTTGATAACCTTAACATTTCAATGACGTTGTCGTTCAAAATCAAACCAGATTCATTCCATATTTCTAAATCTGAAAATGGATCAAAAAAAGAAAAAGATAAACTAGTGAGAATCTTACTTCAGCATCTTCCACTTCCTCTACATTGTAATAGTCGCAGGTTGTTTCTAAAAACCTCACTGCGAACCGCTCAACAGGCGTCAGCTGCAAAACAGAAAAGCCATCAGAAAGCCGAATGCCAGATAGGCTTTTTAACTTAAATGACGGTTTGATTTTTCAAGAACTATCTAAACCTTGGCATAAATTCTATCACTACTATTTATGACGTCTGTGAAGAATTTATGGATATTTATAGCATCTTTAATACTTCTGTGTTTGAATGGCTCTTCATTGCAGCATACAAAAAGTACAACAAAATACCAATACAGAACTCCCTCCCAAGATGACTTATTGTAAAAGGATTAATAATGACGCGATGGTGTTTAGAACTGGTCGGCTGTAAGATACCACTTCAAATTTTCCCTCTAAATCATAAACAAGCTGGTAGAGAGCTCCTCATAAAACCTTTCTTCGGGTACTTGGAGGAGGGTTTCCTGTTGTTAATGTGAACATAAATGGAACTTCTTGGGTGTGGGCGACAGTGATATTTTAGAAATCATGGACAGAGAATAATTTTGTTCATAATGTTCTCAAACGTAGCAGCAAGTACCTCACTTTCCAAGTTCGCGATATCTTCCTCCACTTTTGATTTGCCTTCTTCGTTTTCATCCTGTTAAGAGATGTGGTAATTAGATCTCTTCTAACTAAAAAAGCAGATATCAAAAAAAATGTAGTTGATGATGCTGGACTTTTAATGGCCGACTAAACACCGTTCTCGTTTATAAAAAATCGACATAAATTCTGCAAATCAAAACCGATAGATGGCCTAAATTTGACCCGTTTTCCTCTAACCGCAAGCTCGCAAAGAAAAACGGCCAGTAAAACAAATGAAATAAAACTGAACTTTGGTTTCAATTTTTCAACCATGATATGCACGATGGGAAATTAAAAGAGAGATAATAGAAGCCTCATTTACATCAGCTTTGATTGGCACATTCTCGTTGAATTCGGCCATTTCTGCAACTTGTTCAGCTTTTGCTGTTGACGCTGCCCTGACATCTTGCTCATCCTCTGCTTTGAAAAGCGCCTGTGAATAAAATGACTATGATATCAGCAACTATCAATATGGATATTATTCAATATAACTGCCACTGTGAAATGTTTCTATACGTCGACAATGGAAGAATTTATATTTCTGCAATGGGAATGAAAAGAGCAGCATTGACAATATCTTTCAATGTCAGATTCAGAAGATTCTAGAAATGTATATCTTTGAAAGGCAAACGCAATGAACGAAGACTTAGGGGTTATATTCCAAGGCTTTATTGGTGGTATGGAAATTAACAACAACTTCAATTTCATTGCTTTGCTTAACAGTAAAACTTCAATTTTCTTTGCGAACTCTTTCCGGGCAGAATATGGCATTGGAATCATGAAAGGAGATTCACGTCTAATTCTCAAGCTCCTAATGATCAATTGGCGGAACAGTTAAGAAATCTCAATGAAAACTCAAAAACATAACAATTGGATATAAAAGTATAGAAGTAATATAAGGGTTAATGAGAGTTAATATCGTGAAAACTAGCCTGTTCGAAAGCTGCCATCTTCTTCCTTTCGGTTTTCGATTCTGGTGTGGATGGTGCAACTTGGGTATCCACGCTTTCTACCTCGATAACACCCTGGCTTGTCTGGACGCTTGCAACTTGTTGGTTGGCCAACTGGCTGTCCATTCCATGTTGAATTGCAAACAGATCTTTTATGGTGTTCTATACGCGGAGAAATGACAATCCAATAATGCATAACAGAATCGCGAAAACAGTAGGATTGTGGAAACAGTGGGGGGAAATATAAGGCAAAGATCTTGATTTGAAGTGGGGCTATGCATATGGGAATGTATAACAGTCAATTTTCACATGAAATTTTGAACAGAAAATGAGAGGTTATTGTGAAATTCGTAATGATGCAATAACAGAACAATAACTGAGACAAAAGATAAGTAGAAAGAGCATTCTGGTTGAAGTACCTTTTTGAAAAAAGCAGTGTTGAAATTTCCACCTTCTATGGCAATATCTCCTAGGATGCGTTTTTCGTGCGCCTTCTTCAATATGTTTTCTTCTACTGTTTGTTCACAGATCAGCCTGGAATTGCAATCACAGAAATTCAAATTATCTTCAGTTCCTAGGTGGTAGTATTCGTATATAATTGTATGGTAGCAATAATTTATCAGGTCTCCAGATTGATTTAAGCAGTAGCTCATCAATGGTTAGTGTACATTTGTACATTAACAAGAAACTGGCCATAACACGCATAAAACTCTTGATAGTAAATGTCTAAGGAATTTCTCTCCTTTTCTACTATTTTAGGGCCTGATTACAGGAGAATTTTCACCAAAAGGCTGGAATACCAGCCCTTTTCATATAACAGGGATTAGACTTAAATCTTTACGATTGCATCTCACAATCACTTATTCCCTCTTGTTATCTTCCAGTCCCTACTGTTCTGGGGTAGGCGCTACTGATGTAAAACTTTTCAGTCCTATGATGGAAACCCCTATGATGGGAACGGTAATTAAGGTTATAGAAAAAACATATAACAACGTTAAATCATTTATGAGCCGAGCAAAATGAGGGTCAACAAACAATTTAAACTGCCCTTAAATATACTGCCCTCCCCATTTTAAAAAACGCGATAGAGCTTTTGGCATCAAAGTCCCTTAAGCTTATATTTGTAATCTTCTCACAATAAGAAAAACAGCAGCCAGATTTCAAACGGCAGATGAAGATAGTATGGTTCAGAACAGGATCATTTGCTGGGTTCCTCGCTGGATTATTGTAATTATTTCAACGAATGGTGAATTCGAGATGGAAAATAACACGAAACCAAGCGACACATCTTGAAAAACCTATTTCAACAATCCTGGTTTGACTCACTCTTTCAGAATGACACTGAACAAGGCTAAACAAATTGTTAACAGTAGAAGTCGCTACTTGCCTATATATATGTACATCTCGTGTTTGTCCTATCCTATGGCATCTGTCTTGAGCCTGGGCATCCATGGTCGGATTCCAGTCGCTGTCGTAAAAGATAACTGTATCCGCTCCGGTTAGATTCACGCCGATGCCGCCACTACGCGTTGATAATATAAAACAGAAAATCCTTGAGTCCTGATTAAACCTCTCCATCAAGACCTGGATAAAGGAACGAGAGCTGAATAGACAGGGCTTCGTTTTAGCAACGCCGGAAGAAAATACATGGGTTAAAAAGCTACACGTAGAATTATTACAGCAAGATTTTTTGCTTTATAGTTCAAAAAGCCTTGAATGGAGACAAATGTAGCTGTAACATTTGTAAAAAAGTAGATTAAAATTGTAATTTTTTCTTTTATTGTATATAAAAAGTTGGTATCCTGTAGTTTACATAATAATACATGTATATTAACTATCTTTCAAACCAACTGTAAACAAAGATATCATTACTATCATTAATGCACGAGTGAACATACAGATATTTTCACAAGAAGTGGATGCGAACAGAAAATTGCAATGTATATTCTTGAATCTTTATATCTCCACTCTTGGACATATATCTAATGGTGAATTATTTCAAGTTCTCAAAATGATGGTTGGGAATAACTTAAAAGAAGTTCAGCTGCAACAGATTGTTGATAAAACTGTTTTTTGCCAAGATTCTAAGGGTTAGCCAATAATCGAACTATACAGTAAACTCCATCATATCAACAATCCTTTTGATCATAGAAAGTATAAAATTTAGGCCACTGCATTCATCAAAGAGCTTCAAACTTGGAGACGTGTAGGAAAAGCTCACCTGACGTTGTTCTACTTTGGTTGTCCCGTCTAGTCGCAAATAAATATATCCATGATATGTTAGAAATTTTTCTAAAACATCCAGCATTTTTGTCATCTGGGTGAATATAAGCGCCCTGTAAGATAATACTTTGCGGTCAGGTTAGCAACGGTATCTACTTAAACATCGTTAATTAAGGCTGGCACAACATTCTGCTTTAGTTGACACTGGAAACATCAAAAGCACTATTTTCCTGTTAAAGCATGTCAAAATCTAAATGTAAAAATGTTCACTAAAAGGCAGAAAACAAGGAAACAAGTGTTTATTCTTGAGTAGTGGCTGACTGACCTGTGCTTATCAGGCTTCAACATTCGCAGCAGGACGGCCAGCGTTTGAAGCTTACCTAAGACAAAATACCACATAATGATAAAAAAGAACCAAAATCCAACATAATTTGATCGATGACTTTAGGTAATTCTGACATATCTAAGACAGAAAAAGGCATTACACATGTGCCGGAAACATGACACCTACATGAAGACGGAACAAACGATAAATTCTTGAATTCAAAATTGTTTATTTCTATATACACTGTTGATGCTAACTTAAATGGCTTCTTTAGCAAAAACTGAAAGTATTTACTTGAGGACGTTTCAACTGGTTACGTGTCTCAGGATAATCAAAACTTGTAATTAAAACACCATTAACTGTACTAACCACAGTCATATTGAATAAGCCTCGTTTCCGGAAACTGAACCCTCATATGCCGGGAAATGATCCAGGACTGATCAACATGTAGAGCCTGATCAGCGAACTCATCAAGCTTCTGTTGCTTACTTCGCCAGACAGGAGGCGGATGCGACACATGGAAATCTATCGTTGGGGATTCCACTGTAGGAATCACAAAGACGAATCTGCCAAAAAACATGATACGGATATAAAAATCAGTTTTGGGGGAGGGTTGAAGACTGTAAGGAAAGATTTCGATAACAGTTAAGAAAAGGGGCTTTCAAGGAACAGTTTAAATGAGTTAATTCCCAGGCTTGAAGAGGCAGATGTTCAAATTATGGGTGTAAAGATTAATTTTTAAAGACAGTGAGGATCACTAAAACACATTAGAAATTTCAGAACACTAATAGACCAAATAAACAACAAAGAAGTCTTACCTTCCAATGACTTCCGTAAGATTTTCAACTATATCCTCCCGACTTTTAACCATATCACACAACGCTCTGCATTGTGTCGATGTTTGCTTTCTTTGGTGACTCAAAGCTCCAACCCAACGCCTTCTAGGTCCCTTATCTAACATGACTGAATGACATAAATCTGAACCGTAGATCGGTCGAGCTTGGCAACGCCTATCATTCAGCTTTATTAGTCGCTGGAGTCGCTCTTTCCTAAGCGTCATCGCCTTTTCCTTTAAGCTTGGCTGTAGAACAAATTGGAAAATCAACATTAGACTCTAAGCACCCTTCCGAATACAGGTATTCACCCCTAATATACTTCGCTTTTGCACTGTCTAACAGACTCGTCGCTGCCTAATTGATCGCAAGGGAATGCTTTGTAGGAGAACGTTCTGAAGGTACAAAATAAATAACTAATATACGCCTGTTAAGTGAAATCCAAAATAGGTTTACTAATAAATAATCTCAACTAATTTTGTGTGAGACATGTTTTGTTGATTAGTGTTTAATTAGTTTTAATTTTTAACCCTTTTATAATTTGCTTTTTATAATTTTGATATGTATGGAAAACAAAAGCTATTAAGCTTAATAGTCCTAACAAATGTTAGCTATTCTGTAGCCTCTAAGACTAAGATCACAGCCAAACAAACTTACCATAGTGAACATAGAACTTTCCACATTTACATAATCTTCGAACAGCCGTCCTGCTTTTCTTTCACTGTCATCTTCGGATAAATCATCCATTTCAATATCTCCAACAACATCGATTTCGTTCCCATCGCAAGAATTTGCATTTTCAATATTAAGTCCATTGTCTCCGGTAACTTTCAAATCTGGGTTGAAAATCTCGAAAATGTTCGATGCAGCGCCAGAGTCACGTGCATCATCCGATTTAATCTCCCCGGAAGACGTATCAAGTCCGATCTCTTCAATCAGGTTTCCTTTAATTTGCAATTCCTGTGTCCGGTGGCTAGCAAAAGCCGGTATAGACAATTCCGCATCAGCAAAACAGAAATTTAGCGATCCTAAGTCTATTTGTTCGAGAGGGCGGTATTCTGCCACATCTAATATAATCGATGGTATTCTACAAGTGATTCTGGTGTCCATTATGAAAGCAGATACAGTCGGACGCGATTCAAACAGGTCGGGGTGATTGCAGACCTACAGAAACAGATAAAAAGTTGGAAGAATAAGTCGCTAGATGGTGGAACATTGCCGAAGAGAGTCGAATCTTCTTTGCGAAAAGAGAACTGGCACTTGAATACTTGAAATAATTCAGTGCCATTATCAATAGCTTGATTAAGTGAAAGTAGGACAATATTGATTCAAACAAGCACGACAACATGACAACATGACAACATGACAACACAACAACACGACAACACAACAACGCAACATCAGGCGGAGTGGAATTAACATTGTTTATTCCGTTTAGTAAAATCTCCAAAATATCGTTTGTCGAAAATTTCATTTAACATAACAAATATCCTATGAAGAATAAAAGTATTACCTTCCGCAGCTGCATCAATATGTTGATTACACTTAGGAAATTCCCATTTTCTAACGTCTCCTTCGTTCTAAAAGAAACATTTATGTCTTTATTTGCATTCTATGCTAAGAAAGATAAGGAAAGGGAAATAAGTTGTGACGTTTTAAAGGGCACCGAAAGCAAATAATATGTGATACACATATGTTCTTTTTTGAAGACTAAGCTGGTAAATATGTACTAATTGGATCAGTGTGATAGCATTCATTTTGTGTTCCTAGTGCAATACTATAACAAGTATCAAACATATACAAAATGGACAGAAATAAAACCATAATGGTTAACTATATAATCTTGTGAAACCCAGAACTAGTTTCAGGTAAGGGCTAGGGGCTACAAACTTTTGCTAGAGGCAAGTTAGCCCCTATCAGTGAAAATCTCGATTCTATTGTATTAAAACAGAATTGCTAAAATTTTAGCTGCCCGTCCTAGGAGTCAAAATGTCAGCTATCACCTTTAGCGAAATTATAGCACTGCAACAGTGCACACACAAAGTCACTTCAAAAGATTGACATTGTGTGTATGTGTGGTCACAAGGAGGCCAAGAAGGAAACGCCTGATTTTCCCATGGCTGTAACGAGATCAGATTTGTATAGGCTAAGTGCCATTATTCCCCTGATACGAAACAACCAGAGGATTTGGTAAAAGTAGCCATCGCATTATCTCTTCTAAATGAGAATGAAGAGTTCATGTGAGGTATAGAAGCTTAAGAAAGCTAGCAAAGGTCATATTATAGGCGAAAATCTGAACCTATTTACATAAAATATTGAAACATACTTTGTCCTGGCCATGAACTCTTCATATAAGTATCTTTGTCTCTTTGACAAAGAGCAACGGATCACGTGCTCATATTTTTTAGGTAATTGCGTCTCTACTTCACTCTTCAATCTACGGAGCAGAAATGGGCGCAGCACCTGCAGAAACAAGAAGAACATAAAACCAAACGAATAATATCAAACTGTAGAATACTAAGGCTCAACTTTAAAGACGTTTATCCCACCTAGCTTCACAGTTAACTGTCCGTCAGTAAGATAAAAATGGTAATAAACAAACAGATAAATTTAAATCATGCAAAAAGAAATGACAATAATTTGAGCGGACAGCGAAACTTTACTTTGGCTACGCAATGAAAGCAGATATATGGTGCTAAGTAGGCCAATGGAAAAAGAAAACTTCTCCAAAGGATGTAACGTCACCATTTTTATTATCGGCTAACAGCCATTGACCCTTTGGTATGCATTAACCAAGGGGCTTGGTAAAGTCAGCCACCGCTTAGGATAACAGCAATAACAGTCTTTCAGGACTGTAATATCAAATAAAATAAAATACAAGTAGGCCTAGCTACACTTTGGCTATGAAATTGGGCGTAAAGGTCGACGGAACGGTTCAAATGTGAGCTTTGTACTTAGGTGTGACAAAGTGATAACAGCTAAATATACGAGATCCTCAAAGAAAACAGATATTTTTTTTAAAATCATCGATGTTCATCAGTACAATCACCATTTAATTATCTATACCTTGTGAAGCCTTTTAACAATATTTTCATTGTACTCCTGATTGCCTTCGATCATCCCCGTGAGAGGATTAGAGAACCACTCCTTGAAGTCTTGGTGTGATGAAAACAGGTGTGGCATCAAAAAATGCATCAAAGACCACAGCTCCATCAGATTATTTTGCAGCGGAGTGCCAGTCAGGAGAAGACGCCTTTGGCTGTTAAAATTGAGCAAAGTCTGCCATCTTTGCGACTTGAAATTCTTAATATTCTGAGCCTAGAGTGAAGCATTCATCACGATGAATAAAACATGAATGAGAAAAAATTAAAATAACTACAATCAATACAATCTTTATAGTTGGGTATAGAGGTCGAACAGCGAGAGGTTGAAAATAATCAAAACCTCCGAGAACTAATTCACAAACTTGAATTTGAGTCTGCATAAGAACTATTGTGCAGCCAGACAAAATTATCCATCAACAGTGCAAACTATTAAACATTACCGGCTTGAGGTCAACCGAAAAAATAATAGTTAAAAAGAACATTTAGGTGATGTGATTTCTACAAATTTATAAAAAGTCCTCTATTTTGGTATGTGTGGTCTGTTGGCAACCTAACACCTTCATAAAGACAAAGGTAAAGATAAGGAATTAAATAGGTTTTAAGTGATTAGAAGATTGTTCAACCTTAAGGAGGCCAACAAGGAAATGCTTGAATTCCCTTTGGCTGTAACAAGATGAATTTGTTTAGGCTAAGTGCCATTTTTCCACTGATACTTAACAACCAGAGGATTTGGTAAAATTAGCCATTAGCTTGAAATTTAAAGCTTACATCTAGAAGAAACATCTTAACAAATTCAATTGAATTAATACAAAGCTAAACGAACCTCGTCGAGAATCAGATACTTCCATTTTCTTCTTCGAAATGCTTGGTGGTCTTGCAATACTAGCTTATAAGAGGTTATGCATATGTGAAAGGCGTTCGGCTTGGACCAACCCTGTAAGGAATCAATTAACCAATGTAGGGCTAAATAAATACGTGAAAGTTTCATTCTTGTTATCCACAGTTACACAAAGGTGGTGGAAAGAATATTTGTATTAAAAATAATAGCCCTGTAATGTCGTGTTGGAGACTTGATGTCAAAAAGGTTTTAGTGCCATGATGAATATCGTCAAGTTGCATTAATCAAAGTTAAATTACAAAGGTTTTTATCATTAAGTTTTCACAAAGAGGCAGCAAATAATGCCCTTGTCTTCTAAGATTGGCAAAACCATTTTTGCTTCAAAACACATGCTGTTATTTCAGTTTCCTATTTGCAATAAACATGAAGCAAATTGTTGCCAAATTGTTCTATGATACTCTGAATAAACTGACGCAAAGACCAGTCAATTGTAATGAGATCACAGGTTGTTCTAGGCCACTTGAAATTGTCAGTAGCAATTAACTTTGACAACCAACATTGGATAATGGCCAATTATTCAGGATAGATAAATATCTACTTGGAAGAGGAAAACAAATTAAGCAGGATAAAACTCCAAAAATCACATTTTATCAGAATCTTTGAGCTTTGGGAAATAATAACATAGATATAACAGGGACATCATTACTGTCAATGTCTGTATTGGCACCAAAATAAAGGTGTTCCAAAAACCTACCTGTCTTTTTTGTTTTCTTTCTTTTTGAGTACCGTAATAAGTTAAAATCTTGAAGCCAGGAACCCACTTTTTGAATTCGTATTCCCAATTAAGCATGACACTTGTGGGAACAACAATCAAGTGTGGGCCCCAGACTTCTTTCTCGCATGCCAAATGGGCCAGTAATGCGATTGTTTCGATCGTTTTTCCGAGGCCCATTTCGTCAGCTAGAATGCCGTTCAGTTGTTTGTCATACATGGTAACAAGCCAATCCAAACCAATGTGCTGATATTCCCGTAACGTGTGGTGCAGCAGAAATGGTATTGCCGTTTTTACCTGTGACAAAGCCAAAGTGAAACAGTAACCAACGTAGTGGATGACAGAGGTAGTATCAATGTTGCGTTACAAGCGTCATTTCAATTTCTTTTAACAATGTCTTTAAGTTGTGCTTTAAGCTAACAATTAATTTAGATGCGCAAATAGTTTCCCATTTCGAAGTCATATAATAAAAATAATATCGCTTTTTTTCTCCAATCAATTTGAAAGAAGCTCCAACGGCCATCTTACATATTAAAAATCCATGAATAAGTAAGAAAATAGGTAAACATAGGTAAATTCGTAGATTAGCATGAAAACTTTATTGACATATACTTGAAAATCACAATCAATGTTCAATATCACAATCATAGATCGAGTCACCGCAAAGTGTGCACTGGCACAAAATAGAGCACAAAGACTTATTAGCATCTCACCTCTGCAGTAGAGAGGGTAAAGCCTTTGGGTTGTAAACTCTGTGCAGTTGCAGCAACATCGTTCAGCATGTCGTCAGGAACCTTGTCAGAATTCTCGTCCTAGCAGACGGAAATAGTATACGGAAATAGTATCGTCGTGTTCAGGAGAAATGTTCCAGAAAAAGCAACAACACAATACAAGAAAAAGGGGTTATCTATGACCTACAGCTTATCATAGGTATAAACATAAGAGAAGTTATGCTTTTCTTTGAGGGATACGGAAGCCTCAAGTTGGCCTTTGATTCTCAGTTTTCCTCATCTTTTAGAGTGCCTTCAAAAGAGAAGTGAAAAAATTAAGGCATGATTTAATAATATATGATTACATTTTTCTCGGTCGAACTTGATTTTTCAAGTAGAGCTTCTGTTCCTTCATCGCCGCTCATGTCTATGAGAAAGCAAACAACAATAATAAGAACAAATAACAAAGAAAATAATTAACTCATGCAACCCTGGAGGGACGACGTTGAGATATGGCACCCTCTTACTCTCCCAGCTCAAATTTGATATCACTGCGTATACAAGAAGATATATCAAACGACATAGGCCTAATATGCTGGACTACAGATGCATTCTACACAGCATGTGTTCAGATGCGTACTACACAGCATGTGTTAAGGTGCTTGTCTAGGCAGGAGCTGGGTTCAAGGATATATAGATGATTATCTGAAGCTCGCCCAAGCTTGTGACTTGAAAAGTCCCCCATAAGTAAGCCCTCAGGGGGGTGGGGGGTTGGGCTAATTTGAGGACTTTTGATATATACTACAAGCAGCTTTTGATCGCAGCATTTCAGCAAATAAAAACATAGTAATACAGCACGGCCTTCGACCTGCATTCTTAAGTATAAGTCCAAACAAAGACTCAACCCCCAACTTGGCATCTTCAACTTAAACAATGAAAAAAATCACTGTAAGCCAAGAATGATCAAAACAAAAAAGCAAAAAATAGAGCCAATACGACAAGCTCTGTTTATTGTTGATTTCACTCAAGATCGGTATCAAACTTGTGGTAAGATTAAACAATGGTAACCTTCATTTGAAGAATCATCCTCATCAAATTCATCCTCATCGAGTTCATTTTCTCTACCCTCCTCTGCAACGCCGATCTCTGATTGTTCGATATCATACAATTTCAAGAGCTCGGATAGCGGCATTTCACCTACAAAAGATATTTTGAAAAAACTTTCACAGGTAAGTCAAAACAAACAACAGAGGAAGTAAGGGAGAGCATGGAATAGCTGTGTGCTTTGACAACTAACGACTAATTCTTGTCCACATTATTTGTTCACCATTGCGTTTAATTGGAGAAGGAAAACATTTGGCTCAGATTTTCATTCGATTTTTGTATCGAGTTGTAATCCTACTGTGTTAAATAGAACATTATCTATGCTGATATACTAAACATGTTTTAGTTAGCACCATTGAGTTAGTAACAGAATTTAACAACTTGAGAAGGTATGATTTTTCGGAATCGACGACCATGTCTTATATTGCCAATTATGAATAATCTCATCATTGTCCCATGCTTACGACAGCCACAGTGATGCAGAAATGTCTGATTTTCAATTTGGACAACACATTTGATTGCATTTGACAACGTTTAACGGCCAAAAGGTAAACTTTGAAAACAGAGCTTTACATTTAAGATTGGGAAATACAATGGCTATAATTTCAGGTACTAAACAATTATAAATATATATATATAGCTATAATTATATATGGATGGACATCCAGCACCCCCTCTTTATGTACTCATTCTTCGTATACAATAAGGGCTAAAAACGACACTGCTCTGCCTTGATGATATTCCACCCTACTCGTTTATTCCAGACCCTTGTTAAATGGATTTGGAAAATTTCCTATAAATTGAATGGGATTTAAAATTATTTTTTGGCAACTAGGTCTTATACATGTATATCTATTAATTTTCTTTAAAAGGTTATATGTCTTCGATAATGAATTCTCGATAGAAAAAAACCAGCTGATAAAAACATTAATAGATCTGCTTGTAAATAGTGTGTATTAAAATATAACATCCTAATTATGTCTAAGAATAAATTAAACAACAAGCACCTTCTTTCTCTAGATTTTCAATTTCCTCTTGATGATCGACGCGACCTCCTTCGCACTTCTCCTGTTCTGCAAGGGTTTCTTCATCATCTCCATCATCTTCATTCGAAGCTACAAACTCTGTGTCGTTATTGCCCATCGCGCTACACAAAAATTCAATGTAACGGTTAGCTTTTGTGTGTTCATATTTTAATTGGCACCAAGAAGACGGTCTAAATACAAATTATCGACTAAAACAAGTCTTTTTAGAAAAGTTGATTGTTTAGTTTACTTCAAAGCTCGTAAACTCTAGCGAAAAAAGGGAGGGGGGTGTTTGCCTTCCTCACTATACCATTGTTTACGGTACATCCGCAACCCTTTCTTGATACAACTAGTTCTCAAGAAAGGTTTCTAAGACTGAGGCATTTGGCATGGGTTAACCATGCATGTTTTGGATAGGGGATAACAACATCTTAGCATGGGCAAAACATCTTAGTGTAACAACAAGCTCTATCTTGAATACTAGACTTCAACTCCCATCAGATAGCTACTACGCTTTTTTCCAATTTTTCAACATAATTACGCCCATTAGCTTCTGTTTCTGTGGTTGCTTACCTGTCATCATCTTCATCTGTCACGCTTCCACCATCTTCAACAGATCCTTTAGCAGCTGGCTGTGATGCCATAAGATGCTTTATCATTTCAGGAGGAAGACCTTCCAAAATGTCATCAAGGGACATCTCGCTTTCTTTCTGAAGAGCCTCTACTTCGTCTGTGTACTTCTTTTTGTCCTTAACATGTTAGAATGATATGTTTCGCTAAATCAAACTCATTTATAATGCTGACTTTTTTTATTAACAGTAAAAGATGCTATTATAAAATACTGGCAGTTTTTCAATCTATCAAAATAATTTAAGGTGCCAGTCAAGAAACTCTGTGTCAAAAAACTTCGAAGAAGGAAATTACAATTAATTCAAATTGGATATTTCAGAAACAACATAGCTAACCAATTCGCAAACATCAATTCAGTAAAAAGATGATTCACCAACAGCAGATTCTATGATTCTTACTGCCTTGTTCTAATACTATTTCATCACTTTACAGTGGGGCGAATTGAGTAAGTACGCAAAACCCCAAATCTACCTTCATTCCACATAACTAACCTGGTTTTGCTCTTCTTCCTCAATAGTTCCCTCGTCATCTTCGGCATCATCTGAAGCTTCGTACGCCTCAGAACCTGAAATGAAAAAAGGTTAATTGACAACAAAGAAAAGAATCAAAGATAAAAGTTTCTTCGCATGCCTCCATTTGAACAGTGAGTGCTGTGAAAGACATAAATCAACTTTTGTCTTAAAGTTTTGGCCAATTTAAAAATACACATAATCGTCCAATTCCACAACAAATCTTTGACTGGCATGCTAATATGAAGTTCGACCAGCTTCAACATACAAAGCTATGTAACATTCAACAGCCCTGCTAAGCAACAATATTGTGAATATACAATTTATATAAATACCTGACTCAACTTGCGAAGATCTGGGTGATGAAATAGTTGATCCTTTCTCAGAGTTCTTGAATCCTTCAACCAACCAAGATGAGTATTTCTCAGTTTGATCCACGATAAAATTTAAATGCAGATCAAGAGCTTTTTTCCTCTTTTCCTCCAATCGCGACTGATGCTTGTATTGTGCTACCTGTGGTAGGCGACAATTGAAATAATGGTAAGCAAACAACCAGGGGATAGGATATTTTATAACATATTTTCTTATACCATCAAATAAAAGAAGGCACTGTCAACAACTTAAAGGAAAACAAACAACAGCGAAACCTCAATTTATGGATACCACCAAAAAACCAACACAATTTTATAGCAGACACCGCCTTATAATTGACACAACTTTCTAATGGACACCACCTTTTGTTCCCCATTTTGCTGCTGGAAATTGAGCCATTCGTGGTTCTTGTTTGAAACTTTTAATTATTATGATGCATACATGTCATCAGTGCTGGAATTCTTATTTCGGATTTGTGCTAACAGTCTCCTAGCAATTCAGGCTATTTTCTGTATAATTGTGAAAGCACTTTTTTAATATTTGAGTTATTTCCAAAAAATTTTTTCTCAATAGAACGTTTTGATAAGCTTACTCTGTTTTATAAAACAAAAGAATTCTGCAAATGGTTGATATACCTTTTCAACTGCTTGCCAAAACTGTTTAATTTCCTTGGCCATGCTCGAAGCTATTCTTTTCAGTTTGGCTGACTCTTCTTTCTTTGCTCTTTGCTCTTTCATTTTCTTATCTTGGTGGAACTTCATGACTGATTTAGACACCTAGTAAAACCAATCCAGATCATATATTATCAAGGGAAGGCTTCTCCATAAAATGTTCATTGCTTCAATAACTGTTACATTGCAACTACTTTTTTTTAGAAATTTTCAATAAAAAATTCTTTGCCAATGTCACAGGTTCTTAATATCTTGAGAACACACTAATTTGTAAATGGCTTTGAAAAAACAAACAGATCTATGTTCTGAAGTTTTATACTCTTAAAAATTACAGATGAAAAGCTTTTGCAACATGTTTCCAAATGTTTGCTTTTTTCAAAGTGACTTTTAAATTCTGTATCACGAAAAGATCAAACAGGCTAATCTCAACCAAAAGTTACAAAGGTTTTTTTCACTTGTCAGATTAAGGCAAATCTTTAGTAATAAACAGTGAAGTGGCAAGCAATTTTAATCAATTATCATTCATGCACAAAAAGGGGGATTTGAGTTTGAAAAACAGACTAAAATAGAAAATTTTTTCTTTGACAACTGACAACTCAAAGAACGTCATTATTCTTACACCATGGGTAAATATACAGATAAATGTGAAAATAGAATATCAATGTCAAAGTCTGTTATTGCTTGACACAGATGTTCAAACTTAAAAATATTTGAAATCAGGAGTTGATTTAATATATTTTGGTGAAATATATACGAATTAAGCCCATCTGCAAATATCAATAACAACAAAATTGCGAAAAAATTCCACAAAAATCAGCTCTTGCAAAAGATACTTTCATTAAAACCCGTGGTAGGGTGAGAAACTCTAAATGTGAAGTAAAGCTTATCCTTTACATTTATATTCAAGTCTTTCTTAATATGAATCATCACTTTCTATAAATATATTAAAACAAATTTCTATAAAACAAAGATTGAGATGACAAGAACATTTTGAATGCATTGGTCTTAATGCTTGAGTTAAATTTGAATGTTCTCTGCTTTAATTCATACACACATATTTACTTTTTTTGAAGCAATTTATCAGAAAACTTCATGCCTGAGTCAGGAGTAAAACGTATTTTTGTTGGTAATAAACTCATTGGTTTTGTTTTTCTACTGTGTCATGACAGGAGCACCAGCCTCTGCATGGCTTAGTGAGCGAGTAAGTTTTTCTAGAAAATGTAGTGAAAAAAATTATTTTCAAATCATTTGAATTTTGGAGAAAGTATATAAAGAGGGATGTGGTTTTTTCTTGAAATTCTAATAGCCAGAGCAGGTCGAATTGACCATGAAACTTAAAAATGGCTGGATGGCCGAAATGTAATTAAACCATCTGATTGGCTAGACAGACTGTACCCTTGTTCACGAAACTGACAAGGTCTGAATCAAGAGCCAGAGTACATTCCACCAGCTATATTTTAAACATCTGAAAGATACAATGGCAAACTTCACAAACACTTGTGTGGATCTTTATTTGCTTAAAATTTTTTTCAAAATGGGATTTTAGAACAGGAACAGGAAAACCCACAGTATTTCTGGACAATTCCACTCACTTGCAATCATAGTAAGAAAACAATATATGTTAAGTCCTTGTTCAAAAAGGAAGAGCTCAAAAATTGCTTTTCATTTTTTAAGAAAGTAATGCTTTCACTTCTCTGCAAAAAATTAATCATTCTAGTGTGGAAAATACTATGTGCCTACCTTTCTAGCCATGTTACGCTTCCATCTTCTCTCTTGTGCAAAATCAGTTGCAAGCCATTGCATTTCTTCAAGTAAATAATCCCAATGAGCTTTCTTTCTAGGTGGCTCATAAACTTTTGGAAGCCTGCTAGCTGACCAAAGTCCCTCTTTTCGAAGCTCAGCTACCCGCTGCAAAATTTCCTGCTCTTTACGAGCTTGCATAGCAATATCCTCTTGGGTCCCTAATGGATTCCCATACATTGAAGACAAAGAAGCGGCATATGGTGAAGGCACGGTTGGTGCAAAGGTTCTTTGCACTTGAGCCTCTCTGTTTCCAGATGCACTTTGTGGTTGTGCATTGTTTTTAGCTTGCTGTGGTCCTAAAGTTGTGTCAGCTTGTGTAACAGTGGTGGAAACTGGTTGAGAGCTCTGCTGCTGTGAAGTTGAATGAGATACTTGTGGAGCAAAACCATAGGTGAGAGGATATGCAGGAGAAACGGTTGCTTGTGGATGGTGTATTGGTTTTCCTAGGTGTCCATGAAGCTGTCTGTTATCTCCATGATCTGTGCTTGGTTGACGTGCCCCCTGATACATAAATACTGGGTAAGGCTGGCTGCCATATACAGCCTGGGCTTGAATCGAGGGAGACACAGTATTAGTTGCAGTGGGAGTTGAGACACTCATTTCATGATCTAAACGACTGGCGTTTAGAAATGCTACCAGCTGAGGATTTGGCCTTTTTCTCCAACCATGATAATCAACTAGGTTTCCACCATTTTGAAGAAAAAACAATTCTTGAAGCTTATCTCTATATGTAACCCTCACATGTTCCATAGCTTCCATATAAAACTCTAGGACTTTGTGTCTTAATAAATTTGGATCCATGTAATCTTCATCTTCACTTTTTTGTTCTTGTTTTAGTTCTAAGTGCACAGTGTTTGAAGTTGCTGAACTTAAAGTATGGCTAGCTTGTGTATTATGCTGCCGAGACTGCACATGTGAACTCCAACCTTGTCCTAATGAGGTGCTGTGATGAGTCAAACTATTAGGACTTGATACAGTAGATAAGTGGTCACCATGGTAATGAACAGTGTTACTAGTGACAGGAGTATGTGAAACTGGTAGTTGGCGAGACTGGATGTTCTCTTGTAAATGATGTTGGTTTTGAAATGTAGCTTGGGATTGTGTAACAGCCCAATTTGCTTGTGATGTGTACCCTACACTTCTCCAATGACTTGTTGCAATACCACTGGATCTCACTGCTCCTGGAGGCACATAACCATACGGAGAGGATCCAGGGGGATATCCATGAAGTGGGGAAGTTGGCTGCATAACATTATGTTGACTACTATCTATGTTGGTAGGCTGGCCATACACTACATTCTTGTTTACACTCATTTTGGATTGCCATGCTCATCTAAAGATATTGCACTACAGAATATTTTGAACTTTTTAATGCACTTTTGGCTTTGATCAACATTGTAACCATAAACACCAATGATCTCTGCCACTCCTGTAAATGGTTATAGAAGTGATTATTAAACTATTAATAAACATTACTCAAAATCTTGTCAGTATCATGTTATACATAGTACTTTCAAATATTTCAAACTATAATTGTCTCCTTTCAATTGATAATTAATTCTTACAGAAATGGAGATTGCAAATAAAAATATTCAAAATCCACTTCTGCATACTTCAAGACTTCGCTATTCTCTAAATCTAGATTTTGGCAAAATCAAATTTAATGAAAAATGGTTCATCTTTATCTTTTATGGATAAACTTTATGGATTATCAAAATCTGGCCTGTGAAGTACATAAAGAGCTGTCATGCTTGATAACAGAGGGCCCTTTGGGGCACGGAGTTACACACAAAAACAGCCATTACAACCAGATGAACACCAAAGCATCAATGAATCTGCTATGGATTCATTATTGTAGCTGATGAAAACTGCTTATGACATGGCAAACATATTTCTGTACTTGCAGTACCGTGTTTTTGCTGATATATTGAATAAATGATATTTTAAATTGCTACAGCCTTCAGAAATAACACATTTTTGTTAAAATGTAAGTTGTGATGCTACGAATTCAGCGAAGTAAATTTCATCCAAACTCTTGCTTTCATCATTCTTGTGTTGGCAATTTCTGCATTGATCTATCATATTTACCAAAAATTTTTGCGCAAAAATGTCAGATACCACCACACATCTGGATGTTTTCAGGTGTTTGGTTGTGGGCACGCCTGCTATATTTTCCCCATGAAAGTCTGTCCTAGGTTGGTTGTGTAAGAATTCTATCTGGCAGGCTGTTTCATACTGGAATGTTCAAAAGAATGAAAATCTTACAACATCAACCTTCCAAGTTTGAGCATAATCTTGAATGAGTTTGTGTTTCTTGACACTTAGCAAGTTCCAGGAGAAAGGAAATTGTTATGATTCAAAGCAACCTGTTTTTTAAACATTTTATGGACACATTCAAGTGAGCTCAATTCAACTGCAGCCATAAATCTGTCATGCTAGATCCCTTGTAGTAATCACCAATAACAAAAAAGCTCCATTCCTTTAAACCTTTTGGATTCTTTGTTTTAGTTCATTTATAGCAGTTTGCATGCATATACTGGCACAAAATAAAGCTTTTCTTGCACTTGGCAAGAACATTAGGAAAGATTTTCCATATCAAACCAAAAGATGCATTCACCTTCCCTACCATTGGATCAACGGTTATTAAAGTGCAAATCACTGGAAATGTAAATGCCTAATGATTCACCTTTTCACTTGGTTTTTTTCGAAATTTGATATCTATTTTGAATGATACTGCTCTTTAAAGGCACTATGTTCAAAAATATTTCTTGCAGAATCCATGCTGCTTATGTGTTATTATTCAGAAGATGTTTTAATGCAAATAAAACGAGAGATTTTATTATGTTCTCCATGAGTTTACAGGCCTTCCTGGGAATAAATTACCAAAGTTACAGGCGCATTGATTTTCGAAATAACAATTTTTTATAAGAACTTTCAATTGACTTACAATTTTGGGTGATTTTATTTCATTTGCATAAGAATTCCAAATCTTTGGACCAAAAAACCCTTGAAAATTTCATGCCTTTGTCACAACCTGCCGTTTTCCAAATTTTTCCGCTTTCATATGAAAACAATACAACATTGAATAATTTGTTTAAGAACAGGACATAATCGTCGGACAATTATGCCATACTGCGCAAGCCCTTTTGGGGAGGGTTGTGTAGCGTTGCCTCGTGCTCCGTTTACATTTAACCCAGCTGGCAGTAGCAACTGGTACTGAAATCACTGGCGTAACAGAATAGCGTACAGAAAGCGAGCTTTCCAGCAAGGGGCCATTGGCAAAGGCTTTCAAAAAAACAGCAGCTCCTTAGAATGATGGATGCCTGACGATCTGATATTTCGCACACAACTTGCTCCAAATCTTTGCTGCATATTGCATAATGTTGTGGACCCCTTAACATTCCTTGCTGAAGACACCAAATTCACGAGTAGAGATCAGAAGAAGTATGGCACAAATCTTTTGTTTGAAAATTCAACTTAATTTACCAATTGAAAAAGGTATATATTTTAGGAACATGTGCATGCTAACACAGGTCTATGATAACAATGCGAGTTAGTTTTTTGGAGCACTGGGCTAGAAGATGATTGCAAATTGTTGTATAATCATGGGTTCTGCAGCCTTAGATGTAAGAATTAAATTTACTGGACCAACACTAGCTCAAATACAATGGTCATTTGGTCCATGCTTGATTGCATTCAAGTGTTATCACAACAGCTCTTAAAAATGATTACAGTGACCCAGGCTGGAGGACAGGACCGGTGAAACGCATCAAAATAAAAAACACAAAACAATTTCTTGTTTTTGTCACCTTATTAGTTTCTAGCCCTTTGCTTAAAAAACGAACAAATGATTACAAAAATAGGCATCCTGTTAAATGCACTCATCGGTGTGGGGAGGCGCGAACCAGCGTGTGCAAGTGCTATCACACGCCTTTCCCAGGAAGGCCTGGTTTACATGGCATAGAGGTTAAGGATACTGGTCTATAGCTAGGAAAGTCAGTCTTTTCCCTCTTTTCAAATATTGGAGAAATATTCCAGTGCTCATTTGAACAGAATGAATTTATCTGGGACAAAGATGGCAGATATTGTTTTACATCATCATTAGCCTGATTCCCAACCCATTTCTGATATTTTGCTCCAAGCAAAGAAGTATTTCTTAGTGGAAAAATTAAAAGTACATCTAAGGAGTCCATTTCTTCTCAGTTGTATTTTCTTCTTTTTTCCTTCTTTTTTTTATTGTATATATATCAAAGTGCACTTTTATAACACAAAATCAGTAAGGTTTGCCAGTCCAAGGTACTTGTCAAAATAAACAGAACTCCTAAAGTAGATGAAAGTTTCTTGAATGCACTAAAACAAGACCCATCACTGAAAATAAAGCAATTTACTACAATGAACGACTTGAGACACAAGTGAAAATTTGCCCAAGATAGAAAGTAATGGAGAATTTTCACAGATGTCATTTATTCTGCCAAAGATTAGTGAAATCACATTTTTACAAATGAACAAGGTTAAGAAGATGACTGAAGGGACCATTTAAGATTTGTGTACTGGTCATTTTACATACTTACTATATGTAGAAAGCAAAGAATGAAGATGATTAAACAATGAAGAAAAATTCCATGTTCAATTTGGATTTTATTATCCTTTCAAAAACCTTTAGATGTAGTTATTCTTGTGAAGAGACTAGAAAAATTCGCTGGAAATATTCAAATAATTAGAAACATAAAAAAGTAACTAAATTGTGAATTAACAGCAAAGATGGTTAGGGTGAAAATAGCAACATTGAGTATAATGATCCTTTTACAACAAATCAAAAGAAGGAAAATAGCTCCTGGAAACACTAAATGATTTTTCATAATTGGTTAAAATCACAACAAATAAAACTTTACACATTTTTAAAGTTTTTTCTACCAGTGGCGTGGTTAAGTTCCATCCAGTGGCATCACAACATCTTGTTAGCACCCGTATCGGCGGGGAACCACTTTGCTAGATGTAAAGTTGAATGGCAGCAAGATTTCGCATGCAATCAATACAAATTGCATTTGAAGTCCTTCGTTCGTGTTATCAATTTTTGAATTTCCGCGAGTTTTTCTACTATATTGCGACAGGGCATGCGCAAGACCTTTGGACTTTAAGATGTTCATTGACATTTGACTAAATATCCGTTAAAAAGTCACTCAAAAAGATACCAAACTCCATACATCGACCGGAATCTTACCTTAATCTCACCTCTCTAGGCTATTCTGCACACTTGAGTTTCCAGTAACCACTACAAACGACCCTGCTTCACGAGTATTTTTGGGACAAACTCCGTCAACTTTCGGTGCTTTCAAATTTCGGCCATCACGAACTCATCGGCCTTTGTTGTATTTCTTGAATCAGCGCATCACGCCTGCGCAACGCATATGATAGCACTCAAAGGACAGAGGAGTGTAGCCGGGGGTTAACACGCAAGCTAATTTTAAGGATTTGTACTTTGGAACAAAAATATTTATTGGGGTAAATTTTGGTAAATGGCCTAGTCTCGATTATAACACAACGACTTAGTTTTATAATAGATAATGAACAAGATTCTGTCTTTCCCGAATCAACAACAGTCAATGGGAAAGAAATTTTTTAAAGAAGGACCTTTCGCGCATAAAGAAATGGATGCGACCAAGGACATAATTTCGGTCCTTATGCTACGATTTGGGAGTTATTGTCAAAAAAGGCTACCATTTGAGGGTAGTTTTTTAACATTTTAGCTTTGGCCTTCTTTGAACTTGACTGTACATATCATGCCATAATGGGAGTACCCTCTCCCCGACGAGTACTCTCTCCTCGATTAGCTTAGATGTTGAGGGGCTCCTCTCTAAGAGTTCCCCCTCATACAAATCCGCTTGTATCGTATCTTTCCCTCTTTATGTGTATGATTTTGTTATTAATTATTAATCTGTAGTTTCTTCTGATGAAAGTTATTTAACATTAGAGTGTTATGTATGTCGTGGAATTTAAAATAACTGAACTGAATGCAAGGGGATGTAGCGTTCCGCGGATTCTTGGATCGGGTGTGCTTTTCTATGCAGATTGCGAATTTTTCTTTGTTGGAAAATGAATTTCAAGCTTAAAAGAAAAGTGCGGATGGCGGATTTCCATGATTTTGGGGAACGGAATTCTTGATTTTCATCGAAAAAGTACGTGGAAGCTGGTCCTAAAAGATGGCTATGGGTTTTTTTCTATTTACAAAAGTGTCAACGAGTCTGTTAGAATCGATAATGAAACAGATAAGATGTGAATAATCTCGTTCATATTTGCAAGACTTTTCATCTTATGTTTATCGTGTGCCTGCCTTTTAGTCATCACCAGCTGCTAGAAAGTTGTGTGGTTGGAGTGACTCCCCTTCAACTCGATCTACCTTTAACAAAGCCATGTCTCACAGGTAGATTGCCTCCTAAATTCGTGACAATTTACGAAAGATTCATCTATAAATCGGCTAATAATGATCAAAGCTTTCTGGACTTCACCTCTGGTTCCCCCCCTCCATCCCACACAGAAGTTTTCTAACCATGGACGCACCCAATTTTAGTGCTATTAATACTCAGTCGATTTCTCGTCCGCGCCCTTCAGACTCTCGAAAATGTGAGAAATGCCTTTTTAGTTTTTTTTTATCTATTCATAGTTTTTGAAATGCAGCTTTCACTTCAAGCAGCATTTTTCGTAACAGGCGCTTTTTTGAAGAGCAAATGTCGTAATCGATCTGATCAACACGAAATCGTTCTGATCTGAAAATCGAAATCGATCTGGACATGTCCCCTCCAGTACACCCCGTAGCGACGCCATTGTAAGTTCTTATATTTGTGCCTGCCCCACACCTTCTCGTCAATTTCCAATTCTTGACTACGAGTTTTCGACGCCACCTAGTTTCACGGTTACTGAAACCCTTACCAAAATAAGTGCCCACCAACATGTGATTTAGTCTTACCTTTTCTGTTTCTTTCTTTTAGTTGCATTCGTGACTCCAACGTGGCAGTATATGATTTTCATACCAACATCAAAGCTATAAAATATCCGCAAAATGAATGGGTTGACGATGACTTTTTTGCCGGGTCCTGGTGGATCAAACTGTCAAGTAGCCCAACAACCCGGACCACAACTATTCAAAAGAAATGTTACTGGAGGGCCAACCGCCTTAGTTGCAAGGTAATGTCCTCTCTACAGGTAAAGTGTAGGAAAGTTATCTTAAATTTAATTTTATTTATATTCTTTAGGCAGGATCGCCCATTAGTTGTTTTTCAAGGGTCAATAGGGAGGACCGCTCATTATTCCTGAACAATCTACATTTATTAAAAGAACTAAATAAAAATAGTTACAACGAGGATACTATACTGAAAGTTAGAGACCCAAGTACACACTTGTACCTGAATAAAAAATTAGGTTCTTCCCGAATGGAGGAACATTCATTCATTAATTTATTCATTAGCTTAATTTCTGTGTCAAATAAATTTAGCATATTTGCTAATTGGGGACATTTAAGATACAAATAGAATATCACTTTTACAATTCAAAATTCAAAACCAGTTTAAAATTTTGCAACTATGTAATTAAAAGTACCCTAGTTCAAACGTTATTGTTCACACAAATGGCAATTACAGTTTTCGGTGCTGGTCATGACTGACAAATCCGAAATTTTTCATTTAAGCTTCTTTTTCTTTGAAACAGCTTATGCTTATTTGAGTGGATGCTTATTTGAACAACTGAGAGACTATCCAAAGCTTTGTTTCTCTAAGTAAAAATAATTTTGGCCGGTTCTGTCTTTTAAGTGGGAAGCTTCGAGTTTGTTTTTGTAAAACGGAGATTTTGAGAGCACTATTTTGAGTTTTTGGTAAACAGGTTATCCTTTTGAGATTCGCAGACATATTTTACAATAAAACTGAAGGTGGCATAGAGGTGACCATAGCTTTAGATTTACTGTTTTACAAGCGCTTCAATAGTTTTTCAGCCCAGTTCATTGATAGGTGGTCAGGCTAGGGTACCAAAGCCTTTGAAAGTTTTGATTCTAGGAGTTTTGATTCTAAAGTTTTTTTATTGACTATTTTTGAGCCAATTCTTCTTTATCATAAGGAACTTTTCATTTCAGAGACTTTTTTCTTCCTTAAGAATTTAATATTTTTTATTTTGTTGTGATCAGCATTGGATTTGATTTAAAAAAAACCAACAATTGTTAAATGCTTTTTTCAGTCGGATCATGTCTTACGATTGGTGGATATCCTGGTGTCATTACTCCTCAGCGTAGGTGGATCCATTAGAGTTTTGGATAGCATGTGGGAAATCGTTAATATAAATGAGCAATAGCAGGGGACTAAAGGAAGAGCCTTGTCGAGCACCAAAATCTAAGTCAAAACCACAAAATCGTTTCTGATTGGGCAAGTAAGACTGAAACAACGTCATGACAGTTAATGATTATGAAATCCTAAACTGTTAAATTGTTTTCAGGAAATGTCATGGAAAACAGAACCGAGGGCCTTTTTCAGATCTATTAGCTACAAGTAACAAAGTTTCGTTTTCATGTCTTTTAGAGTGGGATGAAATTTTCGATAGCCAGATAAGTTTAGAAAGAAGAGATTGTTCTCTTATATTGGTACACTGGTGCACTTAGTTATCTATAAGTTGTTAAAGGATCTTGAGATGACTGGAAGAATATATATTTGACGATAGTTTGACTTGTGGTAAATCGTTTGTAGCTCAAAAATGACCAGAGGCTCTCAGATTATCTTTCACTCTCATTGTATCAATGTACAATCACTGCCAAAAGTCTTGGAACACTAACGTTAGTTTTCAAAGGCAAATTCAGCCACCCCTTCTCCCCTTAAGATTGTTGATTTACAATGTTGATTTACTATAGAAAAAAAGGAAGGGGTTGTGGAGTACGCTTTTTTGTGTGCCTTGTATGACATTTTTCTATACTTTCAACATTGTTTTAAGAGGAAAGGGGGACGGAAGTAGTTGTATTTAGGAAAACAAATGTAAAATAGAAAAGCACAGCGCAAAGTGTTCCAAGTAATTTTGGCAGTGATTGTACAACAGCCTTCACCAAAACAATTTATGAAGAGGCGCCTCTTTTTGCCCCTTCCTCAGTAGCTAGGTAAGAGCAATCAGCGATCGCCCTCAATACCCGCGCAATGGGAGCTGTATTTGTTTCGGAAATTTCCCACAGATTGGGTTCCCTGGTGGGAGGGGGGGGGTAGTAATTTTATGCGTTACTGTTAACATTTGCCTTCAAGTTACTACTACCCTGCCTGAGAAATGATGTCGTAGACAGCCAGTATGTTTATTTTTACTCACGATCGTTTCGATGGAACATATTTTGAAACGATAAAGATTTAGATAGCAAAGGGTACCATACCAATAATGGTATTTAGAGAGAAAGGAACACATGTCCATAAAAGGATAAATATTTGTTTCAGGTTACCAAACAAAAGCCGTTAGCAAAGAAGGGTAAGATGGTCCTCAGAATATTTTACCATTGTCAATCATAAAACTGAAGGTGGCGTTCTCTCATTATTTAGACCATTTGTTTTTGGGCTGCAGGTGCGTCAATCGCAAAGACGGCCAAAGATTGAACCCCAACCGCTTTTGAGGGGGTTGAGAAGAAGAAAAAAGGGGCCTTCTTTTGCACACTAGAAACACCTTGTTTATGCAAACGTCTAAAGCCATACGGCCATTAACGCATATAGGAAATAAATAGAGAGTTAATATGCATGTAAAAACCTGAAAATACCTAGACATGGGTTAGATGGGCAGGGTCACAAAGGAATAACCTTTGCCCTCCACAGTCCACCTTCAGGTTGTCTTGTAACGTGTGAGGACGAAACTATGCCAAAAAAAGATTCATATACCCAAGGCCAATGCACACTTGCACGCTTGTTGCTTTAACCGTATAAAAAAGACAATGTAATGCTTACTCGATCACTCCTACAATTAGCACAAACTCCACAATTGTGCCATTTGTGCCAAAAATAAAGCCCAAGGGGCACGGGAAAGATGGCCCTTTCACATATAAAAGGTGATAGAATTTTATTTAATCAAGCTTAAAACAATTAAACTTCAAACTGAGCAAGGCTAATTTTGTAATGTTTTAATGAGCATAAGAGCTGCCAGCTGCCAGACTGACCACCATTAACACGTACACATGTAAAGAAAGCCCTGCAAAACACCTTAAAAACATAATCTTTGGCAAAAACACTGTTTTTGTAGTAACATGCTGCTGATATGGCTAAAGTTTGGCACGTTTAGAGAAATTTCAGTCAATTTGTGAAATAAGAAATTTTAAAAATATATTTTATGACGTCACAACGGAACTCCATAGATGCTCTTCCGCTAATGATTTTGTAAGCAATAAATGCAGCATCTTCAAGACCACCAATGTGAAGAAAGTTTCTTCTTACCCGTTCTAGCCCCCATTGTGGCAACCATCTTGCTTACATTATTTTACTTTGTGAATTTTTGTTCAATGTATTTGTTATAATCTACATGCTTATCTACAGGGTCGTCAAGTTGCTGCTCGGGCCCATTGATGATTCACAAAACTGGACCTCTTAAGAAATTTCCTGTAGCAATGCCCTTCAGTCTCCCGGAGAACAAGGGAAACGCCCTTTCTAAGTACAATTGTTGAAAAAGTTTTTTATGGATTTTCACAAGAATGTGCAAAAATATTTTACATGAATCAAGGATATGTGGATATTTCTCTACAATAAACTTATAGGAATTAATCCCGAACAAGTAGCTGAAATAGTAGCTTTTTGCGTTATAAATAGATCTCATTACACATTACGGGCCCCGTCGGAGCATGGTCCCGGACCTTTTGCCCCTCCTAGCCCCCCTCTCGATACCCCTGCTTATCTATGCAAGTGATTTGAGCTGATCTTAATATTTTGTTTAGTGAAAAGGTGGGGAGGTCACTGCCCCTCTAGCCGCCCCTGTGGTGCGGGCTCTCATTTTTAGACCAACTTTTTTGTCAAAGAGGCAACTTTTCTGCATAGTTTAATAATTATGTGCACTTCCTCCGACATTTTTGGTAGCTGATTACCCCTTATCCAAGTACTCCATTCAAATCAAATTTTTCGTTCACACCTTAGTACAATGCCAGTGCCGTTGAAACGAAATTTATATTGGGGGTAGGCTGCCCATTGTATTCCTTCTTATTCCGTACACTGTTGCAAAGGAAACCTACTACAGCTTGACAATTATTGGGGGGCACCAGCCCCCCAGCCCCCCGGTTCCGACAGACCTGAATGTTGGAACGATTAGAAAATTAACTGAATCAAATTGAGTAAAACAAGAATTGAAATTGCATATGGATTTGGATCAAGCAATTAATAGCTTCTAAGCATTTAACGAAGCTCTTTGACATAAGGAAAACTTCTCCGAGCTATCAAGCCATATGCCCACACCCACAGTGACGTGATCTCACCCTACACAACTGTATTCGAATTTGAATACAACAATAGCAATTAAAACCAGTAAGATAAGGTATGATATACGATAGAAATAAAAAAGCGTACCTACATAAGTCAAACCAAAGAGAAAAGCTAGGAGACTCTTTCAAACTAATAGCAATACCGATCACTAGTTTTCCTATTTTCCTTAGCTAAATTTCCAGACTGGTCTATTACCCTGTCAGGTCAGAAGGTAGGCAGTTGTAGATAAAGAGGCGTGTTCAAATGCACCCTTCCTCGCTGTTCAACTCAAAATCCCTGTTTCGATTCAAAAACTCCATCGAGGGCCCCCCGTCCCACAATATTCACACAATAATCAAATACTCTTCTCCAGTAGGAGGCCACCACAAAAAGGCGCGAAATGCGAGCTTCAAATTCAGGAAGATCAAAGCAGTTTAATTGAATGAAATGAAAGCGATTTCTCTTGGTGGTTGGAGTGGCTTGATGCGTGTAGTGTAACAGAAAGCCAGGTGTCGAACATGTTCGAGACAGATAGCAGATCGTCATTTGTATCGAAGCAAACGCTAACATCATACACAAAGAGTCCTTATGCACAATTTCAAGTAAGCAGTGTAGCCAGTTTTAGGACCGGATAATGTATTGGAATTTTCCATGCCTTTAATTTCGTATCTTGTTTGTATTAATATTTGCAAAAACTTACGATGAAAATCCAAGCAGGAACTTTTAGGAAGCAGCTTCTTTCTAGGAACACTAAAAACTTTGCTCACTGTGCATGCCTTATATGCACCCGAGTTTCACCACGTTCACACAGCGGTTTTATTATTCTCGAAATTTTCAAGCAAAGTGTTTTCTCTGTTGCTGTAAATATAAATTTTCTGCTTTTCTCCGTTTTGTAGCACAGGGACAGTCCTGTTGGTGATATTCGAAGCTACATTAGCAAGGCTCAAAGTACGACTGATGCAAAAGCAAAGTTTGAGAAAATTGCAGAAATTGTCAAAGAGTTTCCTGTCACTGTTGTAAGGATATTTAGCTAATATCGATTTAATCTGTTCTTTAGTAAATTGAGGTGCCAAAACTTCTGATTTCATTAAATTCTAATTAAAGCCTACCCTCTTTTATAAGAACCAGTAAATTTAAGTTCAGGCTGACTGTTCTTAATTTTTTCTTAAACTTGTAGGGTGTAAGCAATGTGATTGCTAGCTTTTTCGCTCTAAGGAGGTGTCCATAAAAAGCACCCACACATGGCTAAAAATCCTCACTTTTGAGATAAAACATTGTTCAAAATTGCATTTTACTGTTCTTATAATTTTTCTATAAAAAATAGTTTATATATAAGTTCAGTTTCCATTTAAAGATTGTTTTTTGCATCCAGGCTCATTTATAGAGGCTTTCGCACAATATCCTGTCTTGGAAGCAACTGAGGCTTATATTTGCAAATGCTAAACATATATTTGAATGCCAAATTTTTGCAACAACTATCACTGGATACATCTTCCAGGCAGTTTGCCAATGAATTATTCATGTACGACCTACTTTTGAATCGGCTTATTTTCAAAGTGTTATCTGGGAAAAGGAAAAAAAATTGAAAAATTTTTTCAAACAATTTGCCAGTAGATTCAATTATTTGATTTGAACGTTTGTTTGACTTTCTTAAAGGAGTTTGCAACAAAATGGCTTCACTGTGTCCAGGGGTGACGCCACGGGGTGGACTGGGATCGACATGTCCACCCCATTTTCTTTAAGAAATATCGAGAAATTAAAATGAAGATGATCCATAATACACAGCTTCATCATGCTAAACTATCATGAAAAATGAACATGGAAATACAGTACACAAATTAGCGTGTGTTCTTTGCCTTCCTTCCTTGTTAAAGATTTTTGGCAATGATTAACTTAAAACTTGTACCCAAACTTTTTTAAGCTGTAAGGATAGTATAATTGCAGCCCCACCTTGTTTAATGAGTTTAAAACCATTGCTAGCTAAAAAATGAAATTAACCTTTATGTTATTAGATTTTATGTGTGTAAACCATTGCCTGTGGAATTTAACTCTTCTATTGAGGCTTTCAAAATATGTCAAACTTATTTTGTTGTTATTAAACGCAATTTCTCAAACGGTACCTGCAGCACCAGTTTCTCACCTAGAACCCTTTATCAGCTCCACCCCTTCATTGTCCACCCTACTATTTTGGGGCTGGCACCGCCCCTGACTGTGTCTCAGCTTATTTTCGAATCAGCTCATTTTCGAATCGGCTTATTTCCGAAGGTCAACCAATTATTAAGGAAATACAGTACATGTTACAGAAACAAGGTCATGTCAATGATAATATTACAATTATTTCATACAGCAGTATATTTTTCATTTTAGGAGCTGACAAAGTTCTTCACAGAGCTTCTTGCAGAAATTTTTGGATTTGGTAACTATCAAGGCTGGAGATTGAATAGTCTAAATGGCAGAATACGAAATGATGAGATCTTGTTCAAAGAAGTTGAGAAGTTTTTGAATCCAACTGGAAAATTGTTTCAGTTGATAGATAAGCTTGTCAATGAAAATGTGACCTTTGATCTACCATCTGCATTGCTGCCAGTATGTAACTAAAATTATACATTTTTTAATTGCAAACATGCTTTTTCTCATTAATTTTAATGCTTCCTACAGGAGGTCTTCCCTTCAAAATATATTGCTTGATGGGTGATCACTCTCGAAACCACCTCCTCGTAAAAACTATGGGCAAATAGTCCTTTTCGTAAAAATTTCTTCATTGAAAGGCTTGTTGTTCAATCTACAGACTTTCTATCAGGCCCAAGACTTCCTTCTTACATTTCACAATACGTGGCCCTTTTAGCTATTGAGTTTAACACCTCTGTCCTTGAGTGTAGGAGCCCTAACTTTTCTGCTGTTTGTTCATATTGGTAAATATTACCCTCTTTTTATCAGTTTTTGTTATGGAAAATTTATTGTTCTGTCTACAAAATATTTTTCAATATCATTTTAATTCTGTATCAGATTTGTCAACGTGAATGAAGCTTCTCCGTGTTAAATTTACATATTGTTTCATTTTTAGGGTCATATCTCAGAGTCAATACTAAGTGATACATCATCATTTTTTCATGGTCAGAAAAGTGGTTTTGCGGCAGGCAATCAAATGTTGCCAGCAAGGAAACTGAGTATCCTTTTCTTTGATAAAGTTGATACCCATCTGATTTATGAAAGGTCTTTTCTTTAACTATCCCTTTTCTTGTAGAAAGGATACACTCCCTTTTATATAAGAATTTAAGCTCACAAAATAGGCTTTGGCTTCCTAATTTGTTTATTACAGTGAGCACAAGTTTCTCAAAGGTTTCTTATGTTGAAAAGCTGCTAAAGAGCTCCTTTTTAGAAACACACAAGCCTAACATGATGTAACATTAAAAATCACAGCTAATCAATCACAAGGAGCTTTTCTGTTCATTTATCCATGTCAAATAAACAGGAATCAGGTGTCTTATCATAAAAAGGAATCACTTCCACCCCATATTTTAAAGACTTTTGAGCAGCGTCTTAAGGTTTAAATGATCAGTACTAATGATTTCTTAATTTTTTGGTCATCTTAGGGCTCACTTTCTTAGACTGTGTCTTGTAATAAGTGAATGTATGTGCAGGTTGGTTTTGTCGCTAACCCTTTATGTTGTATTCAATTGATTGATGACCAGTACATCCTTATCAATTAATTGAATTATTTCTCTCAATAATATTTTTGTCATTTTACCCATTATCTCATTCAATGAATTGTTCAGCCAAAATGATCCCTCCTTGTAGATTTTGCTCCATTTCCAATCTTTTTAAATATTTCAAATGCTTTTTACATATTCCAAATGCTTGTACCTGCTTATATTTTTTCCTTAATTGATTGTTTAGATGCTTTGGAATACTATTTGTTCATATTTTTTTCTTACATAATGCAGCCAAACATTCGAAAGGTATTATGCAACATATTTAAAAATCATTTCCACAGACAGTGGATTTCATGTTGGCTTGTGATGAAAATATTTAGATATTTTTGGATTGAATTATACTTCCGTACCTGTTTAACTGAAAGGCCTGTTGAAGCCTTTCTCTCCTGTCTGCTGCTAACACTACCCTTGTGTCTTCTAGCATGTCTTGTCTTCTTCTAGCTATTATTTTGATTAATGCTGCCCTAATTAATTATTACGTTGATTAGTAATTTGATTAATACTTTGATTTATACTATGATAAATACTCCTATCAATCAGATCCTGTCTTTTTAACTGAAGATCAAGCCCTTTACATGCTGTAGCTCACTGTTGGGTTTGAAAGCTACTTTGACAAAAACAGTACTGAAAAGCTAAAAAGTACAGTGATTTATCAAGGTGTTATCTTTGTTAACCCTTGCCTATGAAAGTTGTATCTTTGTTAACCTTTCAATGGATGCCCTAGGCATTCTGGGAAGCTCGTCCACCTCCCTCTCTCTCTGACATGCTACATCAACTCAGTTTTGACTCCTGTCAAGCTAAATCCATCTAGATGAAGCTAATGAACATATTTCTATCCGTTACAACTATGAACTATATTTTCTGTCATCGAAACAAACCAAGGCTTAGTCCCGAATTTATGGATTTCTAAGCATTGTCAGTAATGCAGATTTTATGGTGCCTGTAAAAGCAAGTCATATAAATATAAATTTAAAATATTTAAAATGAAAATGAGATGTTATGAAAAAATGATTCTATGATTAATACTATACTGGCTAAACTGTAAATAGTAGATCTTGGAGTCCCACCTCTTAGGAATTAAGTGTTTCCTCATTGTTTTCTCATACACTTGATAAACCCTGCCATAGTCTTGTCACCTAAAAGGTAGCTATACACCAATCTTATTTTTTACTAAATAACTTCTATACCGTATTTATTAAATCATAAGTCATCCTTGTTTATAAGTCACCCTCAATTACAAGCTGCGGCAAATGGATTTTTAAAAAAAATGTACGCTGCCCTTGATTATAAACCGCACCAATGAAACCATGCAGAGTTATTTGGTTTGAAATGAAGGACCATGAAATGCGAAAAACTGGATTATGTACTTAGGCAAAAAAATGGAAGTTGGTAGTACTACCAACAACAATCTCTTCCTCATCTTCTACATCATAACACTCTTCAAGATAGCAGGAAAGCTTGGCAAAATTTTCGGGTAGAACAATGTAAGCCACCCTCCTTTTTAAGCCGCCTTTGATTATAAACTGCAGCAAATGGGACCAATAAATAATTATAAACCTTGCATCCAAATAAATATGGCAGGTGAACAATGCAAAAGTTATGAAGCACTTTGTAATTTGATGGGATTTATTATTACGAAGTGCTTTTAACTGCCTTTTCACGACAATTTACCATCATTTACATCATTGAAAACGTTACTTAATCCTTTTTATATTTTTGCTGTTTTTCTTTGAAAGTCTTTAATTTTCTAGGAATCTATGGATTGGAATGGTGATGTATTGTATATTAGCCTGTTTGAAACATACCTGGCATACTTTTTGCCATTAGAATTAACACAAGCCCAAGAACCAAAAAGCCAGCTAGCTTCACCAAGGTACATCTTATGCATTCCCTAGCCAGTTTTTCTTTAGAGGCTTGTTATCTTAGCCAAAACCTGTTATTTTCTGTAGATAATTTCATTTATTTATTGAAATACCAATTATACAGTGTTTGTTTCAATTAGGTGTAACCAATACCACCCCCTCCCACCTCCCTTTCTGATTATGGATGTGATACAGGCTATTTTGATGAAATTCATTTTGTTCTGTTTCAGTAATGTAAGAACACAAATATTTTTCAATCTTTTTTATTTCAGTCTCATCCATTACATCAAGCTCTAAAAATTTCCATAAAGTAATCAAATCCAAAAATTCTATATCTTAAGCTTCAGTCACCAAAAAAAGAAAAAAAGAAAAGTTCTATTATGCAACAAGTCCTTGATCCTCTCAAGTACAGAAGCACAGATTTGATCAAACTGTAGGAGACTTTGTTCCTAATGTCATTAATTGCTTCAAAGTATTTTTTGTTCAACTTTGCCAATACTTTCATAGCAAGTGTGTTTTGAAAAGTTTAGCATTCGCTGCCCATATATTCATTTTCATGAAAAACAAGTGTATTGAAATTCACAATATAATTATAAACTACTATCAGATCTAGCAACAACTAAATACTAATGAGACATAAAAAACTTCTTTAATATATAATTTCTATTTACACTGCAACACTTTTTCTTCCATGAGGTCACAATGCAGATGTAAAAGAATGTTTATGTTTGTCAGCAATGGTCAAAATGATCATGCTGTAACCATAAATGTTTTCAAAAAAAATAATAATAAGTACCATATTTATTCAATTATTAGCCACCCTTGTTTATACGCCACCCCTGATTATAAGCTGCAGCAAATAGGGTTCATGAAAAATTTAAACAACCCTTTATTATAAGGGGAACCATTTACAATTGACTATGGTCTCACCCACAAAACCATACAGATATACTTAGTTTGAAATGACGGGGGCAAAAACATATAAAAATCTGTTTGTTTACTTAAACCAAAAATAGACATTTGAAGTTCAACCACAAACAATATCTTCCAGCAAGGGATCATCATTAGCACCCTTAAGTATTTCTTTGTCACCTTCTACATTGTCACCCTGAGCTTCAAGGTAGCAGGAAAACTTGGCAGGATCTAATTTAAAACAATGTAAGCTGCCCTCTTTTACAAGCCTCCTTTGTATATAATAAAGCAAAAGACGTGCCAAAAATAATTATAAGCTGTGCCTGAAAATTAAATAAATACTGTAGCAGCAATTTTCTTTTTAGGTGAGCCATAAAGGTACTGTAATCAATAAGGGTCCTGTTTGAAAATAAACTTTAAAGGAAAGAATATCAGCATAATATACAACTTGATGTAAATATAAGAAGGCAAAGAATGGTTTTCAAAATTTTATCATTAAAGGTCCTGTAGTTAGGTACATGGTAAAGTCCTTGTAGATACTTTTTAAGTTCACATTTGAATACAGCAAATAAATCTTAACTTCAAATTTTTATTCTTCAACAATTTTCTTTTATGCTGTGTTAACTTTTTACCGATTAAAAACTGCAGCGTACGGTTTTTGCATTTTTGCTCTTGATCAAATCTTTTCTGATTGTGATTAACGCAGCTGTTCGATGCATATCTTGCGAGTATTCTAAGTTTTTCTCTGGTAGATTTGGACAAAACATAAAAACAAAGAGAAAGCGAAAATTCAGCACTAATCAAATATTAAGAAGTTAGACCTGAAGTTCAAAATTTATTGTACTGATAAGTTGTAGGGTAAAGAAGAAAAGTTTTTTATTGAACTGAAATAAGCGCCGCCTATAGTTTTGTAAGGGCATAAAAGATTCATAATCTTTCTTTTTACCCCATATTTTTATAGATATTATATTTTAAACCAATATTTTAATCGTTATAATAAATTTTTATCGTTCCGGGCAGTTGTTTGCTTCATATTTTAAACATTGACTTTTGTTGGCATACTGAGATACATCGTCATATGATTCAATTTTAGGATTACTTCTTCACCAAGCAATGAGTTTTACACAAAATTCGGCGGTACATCATCTCGCAGTAACTGCAAAGTTGATGTTAATTCATTCATAGCCAATTTTGGACTTCGTCCTCTACATTCTGGGTCATGGAAGTCGGAAATTTTTGCGCAGGTGAGCCATGCTGTTCAAAACAGCAATTAAAAATTTCCTTATGTCGCTATGAAGAAATTCCCATTACGTCACCACTATATTATGAAGGCCTGTGTAGCAACGTAACACGAATAATCATTCTGTGTCGTATTAAAAATGATTTTTAATGATTCAATGTGGCTGATATCACGTCTTACATTCTTTGCCACGTTGGAAAATTGCTCTCATGTGCAAGGCAACGTTAGCAAAACGTTCCGTGCAAATTTTTCATTATAAAGAACACCTTGACTTGTTACGAAACTTGATGACACTTTCTTCTTCAGGTACAAATTGCTTCACGCTTCTTCGTGATCACTGACAATTAACGAAAGTGTAAAGACCCTAACAGGCTGCACGTTGTTGCTTGTAGTTTTCAATTTGGCAAGAATTTTCAACCCGCAATATTTGCTTATAAGGTAGCTGATTGCGTTTGAGCACTGTTCTAGTTATGCCTCTAGTAGAATCCACTTGGTCAAAGGCCCAGTAAGTCTTTGTTTTAAAATTTGGCGGGCATTTCTCGTTGAGCCAAAGAGCAAGCTGCAATAAAAGCAATACAAGAGGCCAAAGTTTGGTCTATCTGGAAAAACAATGTTTGGTCTCTTGTTATGCATAATAAACGCAAATCAAATAACTTCACGAACGAGCTTTTACCTGCATACAGAGGCGATTGCAGGGGACCATGAGAAATATTTCGGTCCGAAAATATTTTCCTGTCTATCCCTGACCTAAAAGAAAATGTAGACTGGATTTAAAACGAAATGTCATCATTTTTTGCAGACTCGGGGCTTTCACGTTCAGAAATCAACGCGCGCGGCCAAAAACTCGCGTGATAAGAGTGGGGCGCGCGAATCAAATTTATTTGTTAACACAGAGCAATAAAGTTTTTTCTATTGAACCATTAAACGTGACAAAACTTTTAATAAATGAACTGAATGCTACACATTGTATAGTTATGTTCATGTTTCCCTCACGAGTTATCATGAAGGGTACTGTGAGACATAGAGAGGTTTCAGTGACTTTAGAAACGTGACGAAAGTTTCAGAAAAAACAGACAAAAATACCTGTAGCAAAAAAAACAAAAAGAAGACTCCGTTTAACCAACAAATGGCAAAGAGGGAATTAATAATGTGCAAGTCCGTTGGAAATCAGGCCCTGTTCCTATTACTACGCTTTCGTAGGAAAACGGAGCTGAATAAATCGCTTTTGATTTTGGGTTGCCATTGATACGCGCAAAAACGGAGGCATTTTATAATGATAGGAAAACCTTCGTTTTTGTTTTTGGCCAAAACAGTGTGGGCCAAAGCAATGGGAATGGCTCAAGAATAACGGAAACTGAATGATCGGAAAACGGAGACATATGAAAACGGAATAGTGGGAACAAGGATTCGATGTCAAACTTCCGTTTCTAAAAAGAGCTTCTTAAGTGGATTGACCTATCAGCATCCGGTAATCGCGCTCTTCAAGAGAAATATTTATCACTAGGCGCGCTAATAATCGCTCTCAAAGATAACCTCGGGCGCGTGCCTGCACGCTCGCGCGCTATCGCGGGCCCCCCATTGAAATCCCTGCAGACTTATATTACAACATTACTTTTTGTTGACACACATTTCAGCATTGTTTTAACAAACTTTATGTTGCTAGTAAAGTTTCAAAAGTAAAGTTTCAAATACCAAAAAAAATAAATTAAGAATGCTTTGAGGCTGATGTGATCAAAAAATCAGGAAACAATAAGCCTCACTTTGGAATGATGCCTGCTGTCTTCAGCTGCCAAATTTTCGGAACCCTTCATCAAACGCGAGTCTCGGAGGAAAAGTAAATATAACAGACGGTAATGTTCTAGATATTCATTAGGGCAAATTAAAAAATGTTGCCAAATTTGACAGTTCAAGAAAATATATATGATGTTCTGTACTACTAGATTGCACACGCAGATTCTTGAAGCATTGAGAACATACTCCTTTTCTTTAATCAAATATATACAAACACATCTATTTAACAAATGTCCACACTACAACTGCCGAAATTCTGACATAAAATATCGCGTGTCTGATTTCACACCTACAGCGAGGACTGGGCACGAGCCAATCCACATGATGTTTACAATATATAGAGACAAATACACTTGGTGTCTTACTTAGTCTAGTTGACAAAACTGCTAGTGATGCATTGTGACTCAAGCAGAAATTCTTGCCGAATTGAAATTTTCTGAGTACACCTTATTTTATAACAACCAGTAAATTTCAGTTCAGGCTGACTGTTCTTAATTTGGTCTTGAATTAATAGAGTGTAAGCAGTGTGGTGGCTAGATTTTTCGCTCTAAGGGGGGGGGGGTGTTCAGGCCTCATTTGACAAAAAGTGAGTGAGACATTTGCCGAAGAGTTTCACCGAAAAAGCACCCACATATGGCTAAAAGTCCTCGTTGTTGAAAATTACATTTTACAGTAGCTCAGCCTCAGCTTGTTCTAATTTTATTCTTAACTTTTACCAATTTTGAGGCTTGTGTTCTTATGAAATTGTCTTCTAACAAAGTGTATATGCAAGAAAAGAGATTCTTGTATCCAAAAACCTTTCTCCGAAAAGCATTGAAAACCAGGCGGGATTTGGGCGTTGGCCTTAAATCAATTCGTTTAAATGACCTTCCATACGGTCGTTCACCGTGTGACCGCCGTCTTTTTTCGGCTCTGTAAAGGAGCTTTTTATCTTATTTGCTAGTTACACATGCCCTTTTGGTGTTTTACCAGTGACTTTGGAATTCGGAATTAATTACAAAACTATATGGCAAAAGCCAGAAGGAAATGGCGAGATTTTCATAAAAATGGTATATAACTAGGCAATCTTCCAAAATGCTAGAGATGTGCTATATATATTTTTGAAACAGCACTGGAAATTCAAGCTTTCCATTCTACTGTTGTACTATCCACAAGGTGATATATACCAAACTTGCTTGTAATTGGGTTATATAATGGCTTTATTTCTAAAAAACCTGCTTGTCAGATATTTCTTAGTCAAATTCAAAGTTTAATAAAATTGATACCAAATGTTGATCTCTCTTCGATCATTTCCATTCAGTTTTTCTTATAAGTAGGCCTTAACAGCTGCATGTTCCTTGTGTCTGTCGGCTCTTTTGAGATATGTCCTTGATGTATTTTCGTTGAAACTTGCTGCCAATAACAGCGACAAATGACGTGCCAGGAACCTTAATTGTTGTTATTTTCACAGCCAATTCTCTGCCTTGGCATTAGCAATTCTAGATAAATAGTCTTTTGTTGCTTGTACATTTTATGTTGCTTTAGTCAAACATGATTTTTCAGACTTTGATAAAATTCTCAAAATGTTTGTAGCTTATAGAATTCTCATACTTTTCACCCTAGAATCAAAACACCGATTACTTTAGCTGATAATTTCGGAAATATGATTGAAATATGACCCGTTTATACCTTAGTGGAATTTTCTAAAATCTGCACGTAATTGATGTCCATGATTTTTTTCCCATCGATTGAATCTAAAATTTCATAGATTTTTAATAATAAATTTTCATAAAATCAAAGTATAACATATCTCCACGCGAGCTTCCTCTTCCCAACTCTGCTACGCGGTCCAATACATTTTACTGGGGAAATGTTGATCTTCCTTTCAGAAAACCAAGTCGTTCCTTATTGAATTTTTGTCCTTTTCTTGTTTTTAACATGCTCTCTCTCATCAAGGTTTCTTCAATAGTATTATTTTTTTATCTGACAATTTCTGTAATTTTCTGCATATTTAAGTTATATTTAGCATACTGCCTTTTTTTGAGCTTGTCATTTCCGATGAAATTTGCAGTTATATCTGCCATTCTCAATTTATCAAAACCCGCTCATTTAGTGGAAGTCATACAACACCATTAAGCAATAACACTTATTTCCTTTACCGCTATTTACCTCTTATCCAACAATATACAGTTTCATTATTATTATTAGTATTTGTATTATCAATTTATTTACAATAGGCTTTAATAACAGCTTATTTACAGCTAAGTAAGGCCTACTACAGAAGTAATGTTACCAACATATATACAAGGGAGATTTGTTGCATAAAAAATGTAATAAATATGTTAACTGCAATAACATATGTCTACCTCCTTTTTACAGTTCTTTAAAGTTTTTCTCATTTTCATTCAATGAGGCCATCTTTTGCGACGTAATTCTTTTAAAGCCTGCAGTTGCAATTATTCACCTTTCCATTTTAATGGCTGCTCTTTCCCGAAAATGAAACCAAATGTCCAAACTTTTGACCGATACGATCGCAGAAAGTATATTTTCCAAGCATTTGATCTACAAAAGTGTTTCATGTATTATATTCACCTTTGTCGTTATCTGATCTCTTTGTAGATATTTAGTGATCTTTGGCTTGCTAGCGGTCGGCAGTTTTCAGCAAGAGGAATCTACGCACAGGTTGGTACGGATTTCAATTAGTGTTATCCCAAGACTTAAGGCCAATTGATTTGTATTTTTTAGAATTTCACATGTTAAACTGCCAACCGACTTTCGATTGTATTTATGACGATCGTTTCGACCCTTAGCTTTGCTCGAAGATAGTCCTAATTTTCATTTCTGAAAACTTTGCTTAATCCTTGTAAAATTGATGTGTTGATGCTCAGCAATTTCCTTCACATTTCTTTCCAATTTTCATGGAATTATAAGTGTTTCTAATTGAAGCTTACCTAAAAGACGTGGCAAACTATTCACAGCTCAACTGGCAAAAAGCAAACAACAAGGTCTCTTAAAGTATTTAGCACATCAAGTTATATCATAAAATATATTTAATAGATACTTAGGTAGTTGATTTCTTTGTTTCGCAGACTGGCCATGTACTCTATCTAACTAAGTACGTCAGATTTCGCCTGAAAGAGAAGTTTCAGTTGTGCAATTTGCGTAGTCCTAAAGCTTTAGTGCGATAGCCAACAGTGGGCTAGGTATAAGTACCTCAGTCCAAATAAAACCTTTGGTGAAGTTTTAAATCTAGGTCTACGTTTCATTTTATCTAGTACTTCGGATTACACCAGGAAACAAAGTTTCAGCCGTATAACTTGTATCGTTGCAAAGTTATGGTGCAAGACCTAATATAGGACTGGGTACAAGAACAGTAGTCTAAAAATTGCTTCTGTGGAATTTTTAGAGCTGTTTTTGCATCCCATTTTTTTTAAGCTCGTCAAATAACGCAAGAAAGAAAATCTTTCGGTTTTATGACTTGCAAAGTTAAAAAGTTGTAATGCTTTACCTGAAAGAAGACTGGGTACTAGTACCCCAGTCTAAAAATAGCTTTTGGGGGCATTTTTGAAGCTTGATGTGTATTTCATCTTACTTAGCATATCGGAATGTAAACTATCATAACATGCACAATTTTACTGCTCTGCGTCTGTACTATAATGAAACTTCATGAAGCAAGTTGTTTGACAAAACGAAAAGTTTCAACAGCTATAACTTGTTGCTTCAGGTCAGATCACATTTTTCTTTTTATAATTTTTGCAAAGTTTTGCAAGCTCTTTCTGATGGTATCATCAGATTTGAAAAATCTGGAATTTGAAATTTTGCTGACCATGCATTTTTTATGCTTCCGGTTATTTTCCAGAATGCCAGAAACGCAGGTGGCAGGTTGCTAGATGGTTCTGCGAAATTCCCTGTCTATACCTTAGTATCCGTCGGTTTCTTTCAAGGCCCCGTCATACTGATGTTGAAAACTAAAATTTTATACCAGCATACTAATTTATACGCTTTAGTTAGATTTCATACTCCAGTTTTATGCGTTGTACGCATTCCGCTTGGGCGCTTTGGTCTGGTGCAAAGTTGTCGAGTGGAAAGTTGAGCCCAAAGTCGAGTTGTATTTGAGTGGAAAATTGAACGGAAAATTCAATACAATATGGAGTGGACATTCAGATGAAAAACTGAATGAAAAGAATGGTGGAAAGTTGATTGTGAAGTGAAGTGCAAAGCGGAGAGTCAAGTCGAGTACAGAGCTGTCGCGCGTGAAGTCGAGCCCAAAATCGATTGTGAAGTCAAGTGAAATTTTGATAACTCATCCTTCACTTCTAAGCTAAATATTGCTCCGCTAATATCATGCATTTCCAAAGAAATGTGTAAGCTTGAAAACTAGCCAAGCTGCATAAACATCTCGTAAAGAGATACTACACCTGAAGTGTCTTTTAATTATGGTTCCTAGATATTGTGGTAACAATTTATATTATTGCTTCTTGCGAATCTTCTCTTGAATGAAGGTACTAAATCCAGAGACAATGGCACAATGCTTACTTCTGGTGGTTCTGCGCCAGGTCGTGAACGCTTCATGCTAAGAAATATTTTCAGTCTTCCTATCAGTGTTTTTACAGATGGGCATATGCTGTTGCCCTCGCTTTTTTCGGGTTGTTTGTCCTTGTTCATTGGGTTATTTTCTAAGAGAAAAAGTTAGACGTTAAATTTATTAATACTGTTTTAATAGAACGCCATTCTTTCCCCAGACCCTCTCTCACTATTTTGATGGTAACAATTGGCACTATCGGATCGAAGCAGCTGGAGCATAGCTCAGTCAAAAAGGCCAACTCACTAGCGATTTCAACCGACTTGTTGCTTTTCCATACCGTTACAAGCTTTAGCACTGCATGCGGTAGAATTCGAATTGAATAGAACAAAGTTAAAAGGACTGTACCAGTTGTACGCTTAAGGTTACGGGCCAGCAAATTGTCTTCATTGCTTCTCCCATTTCCCATTCCAAATGGAACAATTCTTCTTTCGCTTTTGAGTTTCTTCTTGGCAAAAGAATAAAGATGAATGTTTAAAACTGAGATTATTAAAACTAACGATAGCTGGGCTGTGCCCCAAATGAACTTGAATTCTGTGCTATGTGACGTTGAATAATACGCGGTATAGCCTTGTCCTGTGCCCAGAAGCGCTGCTATCAGTAGAATGTAGACAGCCATCCACACAGCAAGAATAGTGAAGCATAATCTCCATCTTGTCATAATCAGTGGGTACACGAGTCCGTAGATGCAAACCATATAGCGATTAATTGTAAGCAAGACAATGTTAAGTTCTTGTATCATCAACCCTGGTGTTACCAAAAAATACAGCCAGGCTTCTTTGGAATGTTTTCTTGAGTCATCCTTGAGAGAGTGTGTCACTACTACTCCAAGAGCCGAGGTCATGTCTGCTACGGCGATCCCGGTTAAGATTATATTTTGCAGAATGAAGGTCTCGCATTGTAGGCATCTTTTCCAAATAATTCTCATTAAAAGGGTGTTGCATGCGGTAGTTAATATTGCATACGCACTGACAATATATGGATTACTGTTAATGTAGTCAGATGCATTGAAGAGATTCTTTGCCATAATCTGTTTGATTCTCAAAACTTCAATCTCAATGACATCTTCTAAAGAGTGCGTTTTCCATTTTGTGTACGCATGGATTTTTTTGCCTTAAACCAAATCCCAGTACTCACGTCCCTGGCGAATCACCTCATCTTAATATTTCTTTCTCCTTTATACTCATGCAGTCCAAACCGACAGTTGCTGTGCCACTGTCTGTTAATCGTACTCTAGAACAAACAACGCACTTCTTGTGAATTTCAAGAGCTACTCGCTGAAACTGTCTTTATACACCCTCGGTGTACAAACACCTGTTCCATTCATGTTGCCAAGAGCGACATTGGCACCTTAAACGTATTTCTTAACGATGGTCTACGCAAGTTGATATTGCGCCCACCAGCTGATTTTGCTTCGTGTTGGTTTCGTTTTTTCCCGTCTAGTCAGTAAGGAACTTGAGAACATACAAACGCGATACCCAAGATTGCATGGAGGAGGCTGCAGGCTAATTATTACGACCGCTGCTTTAATTTTAATTATTCTGTTTGGAATTAGGAATTTGATGTCTTATTGCTTGTTATTTTTTATTTTTCATTGTTTCTCATCCCGTGAAACAATGTCTTTATGCAATTTTATAAATGCTTTAAGCAAGCACTACACCTTGCATCTGTTATAAAAAGAAGGGTTTTATGTGCAGGTGACTGAGACGCGCGGCTTTGAATATCAAACAAAAACTGCCTTTTTCTGCTCTCAAGTCTTTTTTACTAGTGTGGGGGCAAGGCGAGTTTGCAGGTTGAAAATTAGACCTCCAGTCTGTGATGTTTTGTGATATTATAGACTCCAGTCTGTGATATTCAAGGCAATTGAACCACATCACATATGAAGCCAACCTCGAAGACTCAAAAGGATTGAGTATCGCAGAAGTGATAAGAATGACGAGGGGTATAAAAGTCTTGATCGGTTTTGGTAGAGGTGCTATGGATGATCCCCCGATGATGATGAAACTCTTAGGTGATCCCCCCGTAAAATGATGACTGTCAACCTGCTAGTCGTTTATGGCATACTTTCTTCTGATTGTTTCAAGTAGAACCATCCAAGCCCAAAGAATTTTTCTTAATTTTTTTGAAACTGAAACAGGCAAAGTTATCAAGGCACATTTTTATTATTAGTTCTATGATTATCAATTTTTTTGCAGTATTCTGGTAAAAAAGTAGCTTTTTTACAGCTTTTTTACATATTATTCAAGTTGCCAAGCGAATAATATTTTACTCCAAATAATCAAGAAATGATAGCAATGTGATGATATATCCACAACGAAGATTCGCTAGCATTTAACTCAGCTCCTGTCCCATCTAGCCCCGGAAGGAAAGGTGTTTTTTGAGTGAATGAAAGTAGGTTGTACTTGTAATGTTGAAGTGCAACTCGGATTTGCGGGATTAACTCGATGGTTTCGCGCATTTTTCTTAATTATCTGACACTTACCTTCCACAACTACGATTTTTTAGTTTCAAAGGAGAGTTTAATGTATTATTAATTACTGACTTTTGCGATTCAGGAGACATTTAAGCCTTCGGATTCTTCCTTAAATCGTAAAATCCTGCCAAGGCTTGTAAAGCTAATATTTATGGTCATTTGCGAAGGATTTTTTCGCCTCGACAACAAAGACTACTTAAGTATTTTTAGATATTGAACAGCACCTTGAGATTTTTTCTTTTGATTTGATTAAGGTGCTATGAGGGGGCTAGAGATAAAGGGATTAAAGACAGTGGGAGTAGGGGCTAACAACATAGGAATCGTGTGCTTAGACAGGTTTCAGCATAACTCTTTGATTGGTTATTGTTTACTTTCAGGATTACTATCTCCCGACTGATGACCAGGTTATTTTAGTTCGAATATTTATAAAACACATGCACACGTTTCTCAATGGCAAAGGATCACCCTACAGTAGCAGTTCCACTACCTACCCTGCTTCTTCAGCTGGCCAAGAGGATGAACTCAAAGGGTATGTTTACAGTATCGTACAGCGTTGGGGGTTGGGGGCTGGGGGCTACAGCCCCCTGGGTTAAACCTTTAAAATTTAACGTTTACAAAATCCATACTTTGTGGTCGGTCCCACATGTCTTTCCATCATCATAATCCCAGTGGCTGATCGTTGAACCGTTATAAGATTGAATCAATTTTAGCTTTAGAAATGATTTTGCTTTGTGTTAGCGAGCGAAAGTCGTCTTTTTGTGCAATTTGAATGCAGCATATTTTCCTGCTCAAACCGCTACATTAATTTCTCAGGGTTGTATGTAAGAAGCATGCAACAGGAAAAATACCATACACTTTCGAATTTTTTAGAATTAAGAATAATCAGCAAGAATCACAGCAGACGATGAGCCGAACCTGGTCTTATCTAATGTGTATGCCCCTCAGGCAAGGAATTATGGGTGACATCTGTGACCTACCAAACCCGTAATTATGAATCTCACCCAACCAATCATACTCCTAAAGTTTCAAAGTTTATTATATCTATGACTTGCTTAAGAGGTTTTACACGTTGTTTTCTGACACTGGAGTTAATTTTGTAATCGTCAGCTAGAAATTGTTTGTGCTTTAAAAGTGCTTTTTTACATGTAGGGCCATTGTATCAATCGTTCAAAAAAAGCTCTACCTGTTCCTGAAGAACTGCTTTGCACATTGGCCTCTTGGCGCTTCCTTCAAAATGGTATATATTTTGACGCAATTTAGTCTTTTGCAAACATTACTTTACACTATTTTTGATATTTAAGTAATGAATCAACTTTTTGAAGAAACAAGGCCTTTTTGCTAAAGAAAATTGAATTTCCAAGACTAAAGTCATCTAAATTAGTAAAATCGATCAATGTCTTTCTGATTTTTCCTTTATCACAGAGAATTTCTAAAATGTTTTCTTTATTTTGATGACTTCGTTCTCTTCAGTGATATTTATAAACAGGGTACACTTTGGCCTGTTTTTATCAGCAAAGTTGAGCCCACCTTGTACCCTTTGGGCTGAGAGATGAGATCCAGCCTTCCTTTACAAATGTTCGTACTTTCCACCTTGTGTTTATATGAGAAAAGATTTTTCCGAGGCTAGTAGGATCCTGCTTTTGGAATGAAATTTCCCGATATAAGCGCTTAGCCGGCTGATCGACAGGTTGAAATTAGCACTCGTTCGCAAGTGCAAATTTGCTTCTGGAAAACAAAATGGCGACATACGAAATCGTAGGATCCGCGAATGTAAAGCCTTGAGCCTCGTCGTTGAAGCAATGAGACGATCTGCCATTTGTTAAATTTCTTGAAAGAAGACAGGTCAAAGCTCACGTACCAAGCATAAGGTTCAAAGCGATAAATTGACGTATTGTGGTCTGAAGAGACAGCGGGAGGCTGCGATAAAAACGAATCCATTAACTAGAAAGTGGGATAATTCTGCTCATATTGTCAGACCCTTGGGGATGTTTTTCCAGAAGTTTTTGATCTATGATACGGGAAGTCTATTTTAATGTATCTTGTGTTATTTTAGTCACGAAGTTGTTCTCCAGATACAATCGAAGTCATTTAGGAATGAAACTTGTTGACATATGTCAAGGGTATCTGAGTTGATTTTGTCACGAATGCTATGATTGGCTGATTGTGCGTTAGAAGACAATTTGTATCTGCATTTTTGTGATTTTGTGCCCTAGGTGCTTGAAACCTGGCTGAGTTACATTCAGCCATGGAGATATCAAACTCAGTCGAACCTAGAGAACACGGGGCAAGATGGAACGACTGATTTGAGCTCCTGGTAAGTATAGGTGCTTGTTTCTCTGAGTGAGTAATGCACAACACTGTATTCCACGATCTTCATTTATCATTGATTCAAAAAGCGACAATTATGATCCAGGTTTTTTTCACGAATTAATCATTTATTGCCATTACATGTTAATTTTGCTAGATTGACTTCTCTGTAGCTTGTTTTTATCCTTAAAAAGCTAAAATGAATGGCCGTACACATGTTGCTCCAATCAATGCATGAACTCACACTTTTCTATCTTAATCATGTTTCTAAAATCGATTCCCTTTATCAACTGTTTAATTTTGCTCATATCAACAGTTTTGCATCCTAAAAACTTATTTATTGTCTAGGAGTGTCTTCATCGAGCACAGTCTCCTGTTTTACACAGTACTCTTCAGAATGTTTATGGTAAGAGCAATGCGACTTGATTTGCAAGCTGTCAAAGATGTAGAGTTTATTTGTAGGGTTAGCAAGGTAAGCCTGGGGAATTTTTCATTTATTTTTTATTGCTCGAGTTTTATTGAAAAATTTTCCATAAGAATTTAGAGGCTTCGAACGGTTTTGATCAGATGTTTTAAACAGCTTTGTTTCTCTATGAAAAGTAGGAAAAGCCTGCCATGTACATGTGTCATAAGGGCATGTAGCCCCATGAAAGCATTTCTCAACTTAGCAGATGAGAGTCATTTATGATTATGGTCCAACTCAACGTTCTAGAGCCAAAATAACTGACTCAAGTTTGATTTTCTCAAATGTTAGGAACCAGAGGCTTTTCAAATCATTGATATACTCTAACTGAGCTTTAAAAAACTGATAATTTTCTTGCATCATTTTACTTATTGTACAGAACATAACAGATAAAGCATCATTTGAATGGATATTTTCGGTTATCGTTGAAATGTGTTTTATGTGGTAAAGTCGGAAAACAATCACAACAAATAACGAATATCCTCAACCAATAAATCCAATCAATTCATATCCAAATTTATCTTAAAACGAAATCTAAAATCTCTCTCTAAAATGTCTCTTCGTCCATAATTCCACTTACCAAAAAAATCCCTTGTTCAACCGTTTTCAAATTACACGTGCTACTTTAATAGACGGGCGTTAACCTACTTACAATAACGAAACGATAACAAAACGGGGGTGACCTGTTCACATCTAATTATCCAAGGCTGGCCTCTAAATAGGGACAACTGTGAAAGGAAGACTTTGTTCGAAATAAGCAAACTTCGACACAACCAACCAGCTACTTTGGTTGAATGTGGTTTATGAAAGTTTGGTAACCAAGATATTTCATAAAATCTTTTTCTATAGATTTTTTATGTATTTATTTCAGGTATTTTCACAGGCGAACCTTGCCGAGCTTTTACAGGAAGGTAATTGTTTTGGTAATTGTTTACTAGTATTGGATGGCTTGTCATAATAATTGATATGTGTAATGTTGAATCTCATTAAGTTGGACTAAGATGATGTTCCGACTTAGCGACTGCTTAATTATTCAACGTACGACTTTTGACTTGAGCAAAGTAGAAAAAACCAATAGCATTTAAAATTAGACTGACTTAGTGCAAGTCGGAGTCAGCCGGGATGTGTAGTTAAATACACCTCCTGCTTTAACATCAAAGGACATCTCAACAAGCAGAAAACCTCCTCAAAACGGACATCTGATTCAAGCGGACCCCTAAAATTTCGAAATTTTGCTGTATAATGTGTATTTTGCGGTATTTTCAATAATGCAGAAACATTTCTTGAAGATTTGATTCTTTAATTCTTTTCAAGTGTACCATTGAAGGTTACTCTGTGCTACCAGTGACTTATTCTCTTCCTTCTATTAAAAGCTGAAGAATCGTTGTTTACACCGTCGAGCCAATCAAGAATCAACCATCTCTCAACGCAACGCCTAGGGTCAATATACACTGCATTTCAATTCCCTCATAAAGGAACTGACTTAGAGGATACTGGCTTTGAGTATGAACCATTGTTTGATCCACTCTTTGTGCAGCAGGTAAAAATGCTTATATTTAACATTATTTAAGCTGTCGTACCCACTTGTATTATTGACACTTTGGCAGTCTGTTTTTCTCCTTTTGTTGCATGTAGAGAGGCGGTTTTTGAGTTTGAATTTTTTAAGTTGAATTCTTGCAAATTATATGATATATTTTACATTGTAAGATTAGTATTTTTGTGCGTATCGCTTCTTTCTAAGGGAAAAGATTTTATTAGATTTTATGCATTTTCGAATCAATCAATGGCATTTATTTTTGTCTACTGATGCTACGGCTCCAGTTTGTAGGCATGTCAATGACTGTTTTTAATGCCCCGTTAAGGCCAAAACAAAACTTTTTTGCAATTATTAAATTTTTGCAAAACTTTTTTGCATTTCATGTTTTGTCAATGCACAAGTCTCGTATGCCTTTTTAGATGGAAGGATTGGCACAGCAGATTGCTGATGAGGAGCAAAAAGTTAAAGACCAAATTGCAAGACGGTCAATGAAAAGTGTCGACAAAAGTTTTATGGGGCAAATTAGGACGTTTTTCTCGAGTGGATCCGAAGATGAAGATGCATCTCAGGATGAAAAGCTGGAGGGACGACTCAACATGGTTTGCAATCAGCTTGCGCGTATCTTTAAAGTATGTACATCAAGAGATTACACAATTCTATCTTTACGCTTAAGTACAAAAGGCCACAAAACGGATGTTTAACGTTCAGCGTAGATGTGTTCTTAATTGTTTTTCGCGGATGTTGGTTTGTTACTGTGTTATCAAGCTACAAGGCATACAGATTCTAGTAAACTATCGAAGTCCGACTGAAAACTCCCAAAAATTGATGAAATAAAGTCAGAAGAGACTTTTTAGGTGTGCCTATGGATAGCAAATTGAGCTTTGGTACACACAAATATCAAATCTTTTGAAAAGCTAAAACACAAACGGAATGTTCTGAAAAGATTACGATCATATTTGATTCGAAAAAGACATCACGTTCCTGCAACCGGGGAGGGGGGGACACTTGACTAGGAAATGACGGGTATGCAGAAATACTTTTTGCACTACTAACCGTAATACTACTAACCTTGTCCTATAAAAAATATGACAAAAATACGGCACAATTATGTCCATAAGTGTACCAGATCTCATGATATTTACTAAACACAGAAACGCCACTGCACCCAAACACACTCATTCTAAGAAAATTCTAAAAACATAATAAACTGAAGTCACTAATTTCTTCCTTGTAGGTTTCGTAATTTTTTACCCTGTCCCAGAATTTTTAGGCAGTTCAAAAACTGTGTCCCACAATTTTCATTGGAAAAGGTTACCCTGTCCCGCGGCACATCCTGCAAGGTCAAGTATGGCAGTGCTCCCCCCCCCGTACCCTACGCTTGTTGACAAATCAAAGTTGCCACTGAACCCAAATAATCATCTACCCAATATTTCTGTTGTATTAGTTGTCGTTAGAACCTTGCTGGGGTTTTCTAACTTCTCAATGTCATTGCTTAATGAAGTGGAAAGTAATGGATACATTTTTATCGTAGTTTGCCCCACCTGAACCGAGTGAGGCAGCGACGATGTCGGTAGATGGGAGACACAATGTACAGCTACCAAGGCCTTTTGTAGCCAGCCATTACTATGAAGATGGCAGGCTGTTACCTGAATATACAATCGAAGATGATGGTAAAGTGACTCTTACGGACCGTGGAAGATGGCAGGTGAGTGGTCATTAGGCCCATGAACGATGGGGTCCTGTTGAATATATAGGAATGGAGCAATAAAATGGGAAATACTATACGATACACAATTTGGTATCTTGTCATACGTTTTATGGGGCATGGCTTTTATTGTGACCATAAATTTTCTCGAATTTCATGCCTACAAGGAAGAAAACAAGAAGGAAGATACCTCTTTTGTCAGTTCAGTCTCGAATTTTGCTTCTATTGATGTTGTTACAAGAACAATTTTTAGTACAATTTTCATCGTTAATTTCCTATGAAAGATAATCTTGATTGTGAAAAAAATTGCCAAGGGGTGAAAATAAGTCTTGCTACAATTGCTACATGCTACAAATCTCGATAAAAGGCTTTTCCTGTCGTATTCGTTTCCATTTAGTTACTAATTCAATGTGTTTCCCATAGCCTAAATCCCTTGCATCACCCACTAGTCAAGCATCCTTTGGGCACATTCACATTTCCAGTTTACCAAATACAGTGATAGAGCACCTTCTTCACATCCTAAAAGAATAGCATTTTGGTGACTTTTAAGAATTGTGTCAAGGGGCTAGGAGCACATCTCTATCCCTCTCTGAGTATCTTGTCCTTACAGGACGTTGACTGTCATTGATCTCCACAACTCTCTATCCCCAGATGATCTCAAAAAAGTTTCACTGGATACCTCCATCCATGATCTTAAACTCTTGTCAAATGTGTGGTCTTCCTCTGCTTCGCTTTCCTTTGATTTTCCCGGTAACCGCTAAACATTCGACCCTCCTTTCCTCATAATGTGTCCTAAAAACTCAGTAGGAGCATGCCATTGTTTATATGCAGATTTTTAACATAATTTACTGCGACTTTGGGCAGGCATAGCCGGTATCCCTCATCTCTCCCAAAGGAAAGTCCACGCTCTTGGAACATTCAAGTCAATTTTCAAGTTCGAATTCAACAGCCCTCACTCTCATTTGAAACATTGCTCGGAATCCTCAGAGAAATTAAAATTTGAAAACAGAGCACAAGCCTTGGGGGTAATCCTAGTAATTTTTGCACGCAATGTATCTTGAATCTCCCAAAAAGTCACATATCGGGTAATTTTGTTCGTCGTATCACTAGATTCTGCAAAAGATGAGACATTTTGATGTCCAGGGAAAGGCAGCTGTTGATTTAGAACCAATAAGAAGTTATGAGATACCTTCGGTCGTCAGATGGCTGTATCGTCTTTCTTCAAGAATCAATGAAAAGGTATGACCTACATAGACATGGATACGTTTGTTTCGAAAATTGGAAAGAGTAGTTACTCTAGTTCCTTGGCCCAGAAAAAGCTGGTGAATGTTTCATGATAGATTAAGAGAGCCAACCCCTCTTGAGCTTTCGCCATGCGCCCGAGCTCGTTCTCGAGCTGACTCCCGAGCTTGTTTCAGATAGCTTTTAACCAGTAAGTCTTGTCATTTCATTTCCAAAAAAACTTGTCATTTCAAATTATTTCCTAAGGGATTCAATGATAATGAGTAAATGGCTAATTACTTATATGTAGCCTACATATTTATGATTTGTGTATCTTTTGTATGAGAGATTTAAGAAATTATAATGGATTTTTTAATTCGTTGTTCAATTTGATTTTGTATTTTCTACTTACATGTTTGTATTTTATTTGTTTTACAGTACAGAGAACAACTCATGAGTTCATATAACAGCGAAAACATCGTTGGTAAAACATTAAGAACATTGTCACCAAAACTCTTTGAGCATCGTGGGACATCTGTTCGATTGCCGTGCTCAGCAGCTACGGAGAGGGTGCAACCGAAGATTTCTCTTCGTTTTCTTGGCTCTTATTACACCATCTACTACATCCTATGGCTTTTGATAATTGCAATACTTTTTGACATAGGGATCTTACAGTTCGTTTTCATGTTGCTGCTATTATTTGTAGTTTTCACGCTTCAAAATGTCGTATCCTCGCCTGTTAAATTAGAATAGAAGTAAATTTTGTTATAACTTACTAAAATGGACAAATGATAAAAATTTATGATGAAAGTTCGGTTTGTCTAATTTGCATTATCTCGTAGTTTGTCACAATTCGGAACACAGTTGCTGAGTTTAAACCCCTTAAAGGTATTTCGAATAGCTTGCATATACAAATGAATATAAATATATATAAATATATAAAGAAAAATGTTTTAGAAAGACAATGAAAAAAGACAATTTATTATTTTTCTGGCGAAGGTTTCCATAATTTCTTTATCAGAACTTTTCGTTGAGGCCTGAGAATCTCTTGACCCATTAAACCGATCATCGATGCTTTGCGGTTGTGGTCGCATGTCTCGTTTACAATATCGCATGGCACATCCATGTACCCCATGTACGGCCGTGTTTATTTAAACAGGCTTGTTGATCTTGAAGCTTCAAGTGACTTGACCAGGATTACACTGTGGTTTACGAGTTTGCCTCGCAAGTGCGATCAGTAAAATCCTGTAAAATCTCCGGACTCACAATTCCTCTACATACAGGTACGAAAAAGCTATTTTTACCCAAGGAACCAATCGAATGGCTCAAAACTTTGCACACGGCCAGAACGTGTCTCAAAATTTTTGCATTTGCTCTGGTCCGTCTTTTATAACCAAATACAGCCATGAGAGGAAAGAAAAATTGTTTGCCACAATTTGAGGCACATTTTAGTAGCCTTAAGAAGAGAAAGTCATTTGCAGTTGCCAAAAGTAAAAACTACAACATATGGAATAGAGAATGTTCAGTACAGAGGTCACCATTTGTGGCCCTCTTTGCCGAAGGAAGTTAAAGATTCCACCACACTTTCTGAATTAAAACGAAGGTTAAAATTTTGGGATGGAAACCCTTGCAACCGCAGATTTTTAAAGTTTTCATGAAAGTATGAGAGTATTTGTAAGCTTTGGGCATATTTGTAAGCAAAAGACTTGTAAATTAAGGTTTTTTTAATTTTATTTGACTCATTTGCAATACATTTATTAATTTGCATCGCCAAAATATAAGAAAATTGTAAAAATGGTTAATAATGAATATTATAATAACAATGATGAAAAATAAATGTACCATCAGAAGTAAAGAAATCGCGAGAACAAGAAAAACCATTTACCAGGTCTTTTCAGTCACTGTACAGCTTCGTTCTTAAGGATTTATGGCCTACATGCCTATCAGTAGAGGGAAATTTGCTTTAATCTAAGCAAGTCTATCTGTCTAACAGAAGGGATAGAGTTGGAATGAAAGGATACTTCAGCTCCTAGTATATTGGTATATAGAATGAAAGGATAATCCAAGATGAAACTAGACTATCCTTATCAGTATGTTCCTAAAATAAGTTCTCTACAACTTTAAAAGAGTACCACATGGATCAATACTTAGACCTGTTCTTTTCAATATGATTCTAAAATATGATTCTAAAACTTTAGAAGAGTACCACATGGATCAATACTTGGGCCTCTTCTTTTCAATATGTTTCTAAAAGAAGTTCTCTACAACTTTAAAAGAGTACCACATGGATCAATACTTAGACCTGTTCTTTTCAATATGATTCTAAAATATGATTCTAAAACTTTAGAAGAGTACCACATGGATCAATACTTGGGCCTCTTCTTTTCAATATGTTTCTAAAAGAAGTTCTCTACAACTTTAAAAGAGTACCACATGGATCAATACTTAGACCTGTTCTTTTCAATATGATTCTAAAATATGATTCTAAAACTTTAGAAGAGTACCACATGGATCAATACTTGGGCCTCTTCTTTTCAATATGTTTCTAAAAGGAGTTCTCTACAACTTTAAAAGAGTACCACATGGATCAATACTTAGACCTGCTCTTTTCAATATGATTCTAAAATATGATTCTAAAACTTTAGAAGAGTACCACATGGATCAATACTTAGACCTGTTCTTTTCAATATGATTCTAAAATATGATTCTAAAACTTTAGAAGAGTACCACATGGATCAATACTTGGGCCTCTTCTTTTCAATATGTTTCTAAAAGAGTTCTCTACAACTTTAAAAGAGTACCACATGGATCAATACTTAGACCTGTTCTTTTCAATATGATTCTAAAATATGTTTTCTACAACTTTAGAAGAGTACCACATGGATCAATACTTGGGCCTCTTCTTTTCAATATGTTTCTAAAAGGAGTTCTCTACAACTTTAAAAGAGTACCACATGGATCAATACTTAGACCTGTTCTTTTCAATATGATTCTAAAATATGTTTTCTACAACTTTAGAAGAGTACCACATGGATCAATACTTGGGCCTCTTCTTTTCAATATGTTTCTAAAAGGAGTTCTCTACAATTTTAAAAGAGTACCACATGGATCAATACTTAGACCTGTTCTTTTCAATATGATTCTAAAATATGATTCTAAAACTTAAGAAGAGTACCACATGGATCAATACTTGGGCCTCTTCTTTTCAATATGTTTCTAAAAGGAGTTCTCTACAACTTTAAAAGAGTACCACATGGATCAATACTTAGACCTGTTCTTTTCAATATGATTCTAAAATATGTTTTCTACAACTTTAGAAGAGTACCACATGGATCAATACTTGGGCCTCTTCTTTTCAATATGTTTCTAAAAGGAGTTCTCTACAACTTTAAAAGAGTACCACATGGATCAATACTTAGACCTGTTCTTTTCAATATGATTCTAAAATATGTTTTCTACAACTTTAGAAGAGTACCACATGGATCAATACTTGGGCCTCTTCTTTTCAATATGTTTCTAAAAGGAGTTCTCTACAACTTTAAAAGAGTACCACATGGATCAATACTTAGACCTGTCCTTTCAATATGATTCTAAAATATGTTTTCTACAACTTTAGAAGAGTACCACATGGATCAATACTTGGGCCTTTTCTTTTCAATATGTTTCTAAAAGATGTTTTCTACAACTTTAGAAGATTACCACATGGATTAATATTTTGACCTCTTCAATTTTTTCTAAAAGACGCTTTCTACAACTTTAAAAGATTGCGACATGGATCAATACTTGGGCCTCTTCTTTTCAATATGTTTCTAAAAGATGTTTTCTACAACATTAGAAAGGGTACCACATGGATCAATACTTGGGCCTCTTCTTTTCAATATGTTTCTAAAAGATGTTTTCTACAACTTTAGTGATGCAACTTTGTTTAACTCTGCTGATGACAATACGAATCTTTACTACAACAAATATTGATGAGTACTAAGACTCAAAACGAGCAACACTAACAGATCAACATCAAATGCTTAGATGTTGAAAAACAGGCTAGCCCTGGAATACAACAAGCTCTTGAAGGTACAAAAGAGAATATTTGTCAAGTATGTTTTTGCAAGAGACAGCAGAAATTCGAAATGATCTAAGAAATTCGAGATAGATTACGATTCGTAAACATAAAGAATTCTGTTAAGTTTTAGATACTTAAAATCCAAGCAAAATGAATCCAAGTTTCATACTTGGTGTCTTTTGTAAAGGTCTGATTCCTTTTCATTGAGAATCTCGAATGCAAAGAATACGTTTTGTGCGGGGGCAAAGCCGATAAAAATGTACAGGAGCAACTTGAAACCCTAAGTGCCTTCAAGGGTTTCAAAAGATTGATAAATTTGCTAAAAATGTAGATAATGCTTTCCTTAAAATCTTGGCTGCTGAAATATAAAATTGTTGTTTTAATTCCGGAAGTTTAGCACATTTTGCCATTTGGAATAGAACCTGTCACTATCAGCTTGACTTTGTAAGATCACAGTAGACTTACTCCATGAGACAGTGTCCTGATAACAGTTTCGGGTCTGCCAAGGGATGACCGATAAAATATTTTTCACTTGCCATTCCTTGCAAACCAATTTCTCACACTCAAACGAACAAGAGAATGAAAAATTGCAATCAGGGGCACTAGGGTAAATTATCATCCAACTTTTGGAAAGAACCATTCTCTTAGAACAGTCAAAAAAAGTGCTTTTTCAGACATAGTTTACTCCTCCTTTTCTGTGACCTAAGCTAAAAATTGCATTGAAATGGTCACTAAGATCTTTAGATCATTCCCATTTTTTTATTAATACAAAGAATTTCAAAGATTAGAGGTGTGGCACCCCTAGTATTAACGTGCCTGCGGATGCCAAACGTTAAGGGGACTTAGTCCCAAATATCTATTTGGGCGAATATCATTCAATAAAATTATAATTGCTTTATTGAGGCATTACTGCTCAGAGAGATTCTGAAATCCAATAAATTTTGACCGATTAAGGGGGGGGGGCTGCAGCTCACATTTCTCCTTCGCCATGTATCACTCCGAAACAGGTAGAATCAGTGCTTCTATCCTTTCAAGTAGTTTTTGATCTGCATTTGCATTTAAATTTCCGTTAATTTTTAATTATTATCCTGTTTCAGCATGCAGGAAATTTGGTTTTATGTACTTCAAATATTTAATTACTTGTGTGTGTTTCTCCTGGAGTGAAGGAAAAATAAGGGGATGTGGCTGATTATTTCTAGCGTGGTTGCTCGACTTGCTTTCTTTCGCATAGAAGTCCCAGGAAAATTTTTTTAGAATATCCGTAAAGAGGAAATAGAATATAGGGAAGCATAAATTAGCATAAAGAGGAAATAGAATATAGGGAAGTGTGAAATGCGACACAAAATATACTTCAAAACACGTATGGGCACACGATACACCACTGGCAATCATCGTTTATCATTGATCGCATGATCATACAATGATTATTTGCCATATATGGTAGTTGGTCAGCGGCTCACTTGTCCTTTGCCGGGCGTCGTCTCAGTTCCTCCTTTCTCAGGACAGCATCAGTTAGGCTCATCCTTGTGTACATTAATCAACACATCAAATCGATATCCCATATTTCTGAAGAAACTGCAGCTTTCAATTTTTGTTTGCCTGTCTAATCGGTCTACTGAAGAATATACCAATGGCAAAGTTCGTGCGGTCTTCGAAGTATAGACACGTTTTTGGCTCTGCCGCAAAGAAGACAGAGTGCTATGACTCGCTGCGAATAACGAAGAACCCTTTAGAGAACCATTTTATAGCAATAAACGCCAAGTTTATTGCACTGTGCATAGATGCAGGAGGTGGTGGTGCCTTTGTTGTAATTCCACACGATAAGGTAACTTTTAATTTCTTGAAATATTCTGTAAAATTTTAATTTTCCTCGAATTATAATCTGTGTGCTAAGACAGTTTCCTGAATCTTTCGCCGCCCCTTTAAAGAGATACAATATCAATGTTTGGAGCTTTTCTTCAGGTAATCCTGTTTATTTTTAATTTGAGCCTGTAGATAACACTTATCTGCCTTTGATTAGATGCAAAATTCACATTTTCTATTGAGGTTTTCTCACCAGGAAGTTTAGTTTCATGTCGTCGATTGCTCTTAAACAGTGCTACTCGAGAATGGGAATAAAAAGTATTTATATGTTTATAATCTTTCTCGAAAAATAAAAGTCATGTTATTTTTCATTCAAGTATTCACGCACATAGAAAATCTGTTTAGTTTAGGAAAAGTCAGTAAATCCAAGTTTATTGGGCTCCCAGAGAGAGCCCCACCTATTCCTAGCCGAGGTTCAAACGTGGTTGGGTTATTTTATTTCACGTGTTCTGGTACTGTCATTGAGTAAATTTGTTCTGAAAGTGCAAAATATAACACTTTAATACTTTTCAGCATTTGAGGGTTGAATTTCCTTGTTCATAATGATTCAGATAGTTTTTAGGAGAAAGGAAGGACTTTACTAACCTCAAATTTTCAATAGTTTGCTGACATATTTCCGGATTCGCCCAGCCTGCTGATTAAAGCATTACAAGATTGGGCTTTTTTTTAATTACTTGAGGTAATTTGGTAATGATGTAAGAATTTAGATGTAGTTAATCACTTTCTGAAGGAGATATGTATACTGTGTAAGTATTTGAGTTCCTCCTTAGAAATTTAGCTTGTTAAATAAATGAGAGGTGTATGGGCAAATCCTTTTTTTGTTTTAGTTTACCATGTATATAATAGTCATATGATATTACATGACCTTGGTTGAACAAAGTCATCAAGCTGTAGATGTACTGAGTAATTCCATGTAGCTTTGATGCTTTTCTGAATATATATTTCAATGACACGAGTGCATCATTCTTTATTTGCCTGCCCCCAATAACTTTGAAATACCTTTGTATGTTCTCTTTTTAATAATATTTCCTTGCCATTTCTCTAAGACTCCCAATGCTCTTACTTAGACATCAATTTTGACACTAACCATGCAGTTTCTATTGGGTGAATTGCTCATTTCTCTGTCTATTCAAAATGTTGCATCAAATCAGTTTTTAGTGTCAGTCCTTTCTGCCAGCTAGAAACAAATGTCATTCAAGCCACATAAGTAGCAAATACATGAATTCATCTTTACAAATTTTTACATTCATACTCCAAATACAGTTTACTTGTGCTATTTTCATGGGATTTAAATTTTGTTGGAAGTATGAAGCAATGATATCAGATCTAGCCACTGAATGCATGCCAGTATGAATAAACAAGCTACAGAGAAAGATGTAACATATTATCACTTTATAAATATGGGGGTCCACACTGATGTTTAAGTTCTGAATTTTCACACTAAAGCAATATTTGGGGTTTCTGAATAATGCAAAGAATAAATCAATTTTTCAGTATCAATGAGTCTGAAAGAAACTCGGATTATTTCATGACCCGTATTTCTGAATGGTTTGGGGAAGTGGCCTCACCTTTAAAATCATACCTTTAAGTTATATTATATTGGCTGTTAGGTTGTTGATTTATGAAATATTTTTTCTCATTTTACAATAGCAAAACTTACAGTGGTAGCTTAGCATAACCTTTACTACAAAACTAAACTTTGTAACCTTCTGTATCCTTATTATATTTTGTATTTGCTATAAAGTGAAACCTCGTGTAACCTGGCCTATATAAAAGGTTCCACTCAGGGGCGTGCCGAAGTAGGGGGTGACATTAGACTTGAAAACATGAGTATTTTGCAAGTAACCTGCTAAATTTCAATCCAGTTAAAAATAGTAAGATAAGTTCAGTTTGCAATTTATGGTACTAGAGTGTAAAATTTGTGACTATGATTAACCATCTTTAATAATAATAATAATAATAATAATAATAAAGGCATTTATATTGCACCATGTATCCACGCGGCTCAAAGACGCATTACATAATGTTCATAAAACTAATAGATTGATATAATATACAGTACTACAAGGAATGCTAAAAAATCTTTGTAAAGATGCGTTTTCAGTCTGCTCTTAAAAGCTTCAAAAGAACCCACTGCTCGCAACGTGTATGGCAGTTTGTATGACAGTTTAATCAACCCTGTCAGTAAATTTCTCATGTTACACCCCCTCCCACCATTCAAAAGCCTTTCAGCACACCACTAGTTCCACTCTTTATATGTTTATGTATATATGTTTTAATCTTGCATCATTTGTAGTATGGAAGACAAGAAATAACTGCCCCCAAGGTATGTGCACATGAGCAAGATGTGCTAGACTTGGCATGGAATCCATTTAATGAGCAAATCATTGCATCAAGCTCAGAGGATGGTACTATCAAGATTTGGGATATCCCAGAGGGAGGCCTTATCACCAATTTGACTGCACCACTACTGACGTTTGATTATCACCAGAGAAGATGCATCAACATACAGTGGCATCCTGTTGCAAGTAATGTGCTGATGAGTGTATCACAAGATCCTAGCATTGTTATTTGGAACTTAGAAGATGGTACTGCAATATGTGAGATCGACTGCCATCCTGATCTTATCTTCAATGCAGAGTTTAGCCGCAATGGAGACAAGATTGCAACTACTTGCAAGGATAAGAAAATCAGGATCATCGATGCCAGAACCGGTGCAGTACTAATTGTGAGTTTAAATATATATTGAATTTCTTGGTGTGCAAAAGGACGAAAAAGCAGGCATGGCCCTGCACTGATAATCAAATATATAACTGACAAATATGCTTTGGTGTTCAGAACAGGATAATTTTAAGGTTAAAGCTTAGAATAGAGTGTTTCTATTCTATAAACTGCACCAGTTATAATGTAATTGCAAATGGAGCAGCCATAACATAAAATCATTCATAGTATAATCAAAAATGAAAGTTGCTTTTTACTGGGTTCTTTGTAAAGTGTTTGATGCTGCAGAAGCAGAGCTGGACACACTTTTTATGTTAAAGGGTAAGACTGTTGTAAGTTTCAAAACTAAAAACCTTCCTGCTCTATACACTGAAATGTATTGATCTATTTCATTCTGACTGAAACTGCGAAGTCATTCCCCCCTGACAGTCAAATTTTCTGAATGAAAATTGTCAAGTTTTTGGAACTAAAACATCAATTTTCATAAAACTTGTTTAAATAAAAACATTTGAAAGAAAATTGCAAAAGAACATTGCTGAATTTTAATGAAATTGTAACCCTTGCATATTGCAAGATTGTCACTTGTTCAAAATCATATGATAAATGATATATTTATACTGCTAGCTTTATTTTATTGGTAGTCTTCAGTTAGTTAGAGTTAATATCCTTTTCTTGCAGGAAGGTAATGGACATGAAGGAGCAAAGCCCCAGAGAGTCACATTCATAAACTTTGACCGTCTTTTTGTTACTGGGTTTTCCCGCATGAGTGAGAGGCAGTATGGTGTTTGGGATCAGGTATGAACCAGTTTCCAGGAAAATACATCCATCATGCATTTCTGCTTCCTTACTATCAGTGATTTCTGTATTTATATATGAATTTTTTTAATGTATTTATATATGAATTGCCTAGTAGCAAAGGCTGATAAACAAGTGCTTTCCACTTCTAACAATTGAAGGCCAAGGCTATGATTGCGAAATTGGAAGCATGAAGAATAAAACTATTAATGGAAATATAAAACTATACTCTATCAATGTACTCTAGTACCTTAATTACTGGCGCTCTAGCGCGAAAGCCATTGCCCTTCTCAACCTCCTGCTTATTCATTGCACATCTCTTTACAATGTGAAATCTAGCATAAGTTTAAACTTTCTAAATAGATTTCTTTCCCTATAATAAGATTGTATTATTTATTATTTTTATGTAGTCCATCTTACCTCATTCAATTGACACTTGGAACTGCCTCATTTCAGAATGACCTGTCTACACCACTGAATACAACACAGCTAGATAATGCAAATGGAACATTAATCCCATTTCATGATTCAGACACAAGTATGGTTTATCTCTGTGGAAGGGTAAATATTTTTGTTATTTCAAGAATTTTTGCTAGATTTGCTAAGAGTTAGACATTTTTGTGAAACTTATTGTTGAACCTATAAATTTTTTATTTATTTGCATATTTTTCTTGAATCAGCATAACTTTTGGTATATGTCACTAAGACTGTAGAACAAAGACAAGAACCGGAGGGCTGTTGTACTTTGTTATATTGTAGAATGGGTACATAAGCTGTAATTTTATGATAGGTGTGACAAGAGTTAGCTTTTTGAAAATATATTTCAGTAAAAATTAAAGGTACTCATTTTACACAAACTCACAAAACGTTTTTAGAAAAATGCATTTCAACTTATGATAAAAGATCCAGCATTGAAATCAAGGTAGCAGTTCAAGAAAGGTTTCAAGAAGGATGTCATATGAAAAGCCACGATTTCATAAAAGGCTCTATGTGGAAAACATGATTAACACATCCTATCCATTTGAATCCAGCATAATCTTTTTGAAAGTAGAGAAGGCCAATTCATTGTTTTGTTCTATATACAATTTATCAAGAATTAAGTATTCCTTTAATCTAGATTTATATCAAGAAAAAAAGAATATATATGGGACATTTTTCTCATCATAGTGGTTTATGTAATATTTTCCTTAATATTTATTTTTCAGGGTGATAGTGTCATTAAATATTTTGAGTTGGTTGAAGAGGAGCCTTATGTTCACTACTTGTCTGCATACCAATCAAATACTTCAGCCCGCAGCTTAAACTGGATGCCTAAGCATGCACTGAATGTCAATAACTGTGAAGTGGCAAGATTCTTCAAAGTCCATGCAAAAGGAATGATAGAACCAATTTCATTTACAGTTCCGAGAAAGGTTTGTTCAAAATTCATTAGATTGAGCTATTACAAACTTTCCAGTTCAAGCAGGAGTCACCAGCATTTGGGATTAAAAAACAACAGACACAAAGAAAAAATAGAACAATAGACACCCAACATTTAAGATAACATCAGGCAGCAAGTAATCACTATGCAGATGCTTGTCAGATACAAAGCAAAAATATCCTTGATATAAAACCTTGAATTCACAGCTCATAGAGAGTTCTTAATTTGACAAATTACTAAAAATCTTTAAAACTCAAAATACCAAAATCTTTAAGAGTTTTATCAGAGTAAAATGTAAATTTGTGAGGTAGTGAATAGTAATCAGGAAAAACAATGATTTTAATTTGCTCTTTTTATTCCAATTTCTGAACATTAAGCAACCTTTTAGCACATATATATGCTGTCTGAGTTCTTGTTTGCAATGATTTTATACAAAAAGTGTGTTTAATCATTGTGACACTTTGAATCTTTTGCCTTGTCTACTTCTAAGTTCTTTATGTATTTGAACATCCTGAGTAGTGGGGAAGTATAGTTTTTTCACCAAATTATTCTGCTGAATGCACATCCTGTCTGTTTCCTGCCAGATGCCAAAAATGAATCAGCATTGAAGTTCTTTTTATTGCTAAGTTGCTCATTATTTTCTCTGCCCACTATAAAGAGCTTGTGACCCATTATTTTTCTCATTCCCAGCTACTTGTTGCTATTTTAGTGTGGAACAAATTAGATTTTAGAGCTCGTTAAAGTAACAATGCTTATGGATATATTTTTTGTGCAGTCTGAATTGTTTCAAGATGATATCTACCCAGACACACCAGGGATTGAGGCGGCTTTGACTGCAGAACAGTGGGTAAATGGTCAAAGTGCAGAACCCATCCTTGTATCAATGAGAACTGCATTCAAAGAAAAAGAGAAACCAAAAGTGAAAGGTCTTGGATCTAAGGGCCTAGGCAAAGGTCTTGGTGCTGGTAAAGGGCTTGGTGCAGCAAAAAGTTCTGCAAAACCAGCAGAGAAGACTGAGTCTGCTGACCCTAAACCATCTGTTGTTGCTGAGAAGCCAAAAGCAACTGAACCTGCTAAATCAGTATGTTTCTTTATTTCTATCAAAGAGATCCTTATGACTTTCAATTGCAAAAACTGACATTTTGTCTATCTCTGTTTACAGAATGTATGCTCTTTAAAAGCTTTTTTTGAAACAGGACTATGCAAATTTGGAGCAAAATTGTTTCTTTATCATTAAAATACCAACCCATGGTGCTAAAAGACAAGGAACTCTGTTCTGCACCATGCTAATCCTCTCTAATTTGTACAAAGAAATACCACAAGCTATTTTGTTATCTAGACATAGATCTAGGTGAGAAGATAACAATCAAATGAATCAGATAGTACCTGAAGAGTGGATGATTTCAAATTTTTCCTTCTTTTAGTGCAAAAACCATTAAACCAGTGTTATGAAACTGTCTTAAAGAACTTGCATGCCCTGTTTATCTTTCAGAGGATTTAGATAATGAAAATTTGAATCAATTAGGTGAACTTCTGTTTTGTCCCAGTGAAGGATGCAACAACGTAAATAGGGAATGATATTCTTTGAAGAGTTGCTTAAGAACACTGATTGCTTTTTGTCACGAAATCGCAATCATCCATGCTGTCTATGGTAGTCTATGGGTAATGTTAACTTATCTGTAAGACAGCAGCATGTTTATGAATGAATCCTATCCTTGAAGTTCAAAATGTAATGCATATATGGTTTTTTTGCTTTATTCCAAGCAATGTTTTCTCGGCAAAAGGCCAGGTTAACATGCTATTTTCTAGAATAGTTTCTTCTACATTGGTACACTTTGGAATGCTGGCTCTAAATTAATAACTCTTCTAACGTTTATGTTTCAGACTTCATCCCATTCCGCCGCATCCCATGTCAGCACCGCACCAGCAGCTGATAACAGTGTTGTGAAAGCCCTGCAAGAGCAGGTGCGAAAGTTGCAGGAGGAGTTAGCCAGCACAAAGAGTGAGTTGAAGGCCGTCAAAGAGGCTTCAAAGAAGAATAACGAGAGGATAGGCGTATTAGAATCATTGGTACAAGAAGAAACCGATGAAGAAGAGGAGAAGAAATAACAGCTTGATCTAATTTGGTTTAAAGGTTTTAGAATTAAATTCATTTTATACTAGCCCAAGACCCCAATACTAAAAAGCTATATTCTTGATTAGTTATTTCATTCACTAAACCAAGCAGTTGTCCAAATCGCTAACTTTTCCTGCCTTTTCTTAACGTACCTAACTTAGGGATCAATCTTTCAAATGCGTCGTCTCTGGGTACAAGATTTTTATTGAAATAGTTTTCTATCGTGACAATTGCGAATATGATTGTTTTTGGCGATTAATGACAACAAGGTTCAGAGCACTTCAAATCTAGCACATCTGAAGATCAATTAAATAAAATCGCAATTGGGTCTGGTTGTAATGCGGAAACCAAAAGGTTGATAGTTTCCGATCCATCTTATAGGTATCTTCGCCATGCTTAATTCTGTGGGTCTCCAATATTCTTACCTGAGAAGATTCGAAATACTATGCTAAATTGACGTCAATCGTAATTTTGTATGAATAAAATGTTTGAGATCCCATCTTATGTATATTTGCAGAATAGAAGAGAATTTTTCACGTTGTTTGTCTTTCAGTCTAATTTCCGCTCCTAGATCTGCTAAAAGATATGTTGTGGTGCCGGCCACGCGAGTAATAAGGTTAGGGAGTTGGCCACCGTCTCCGAGTCAAAAGTCCTAAAGCTGATTGGCCGAAAGACAACTCTACTTGCTATTTGATAGGTGGATTGCAGCTTTGACCCAACCAATCCGATTCACCAATCAATCAACCAATCAGCGTCAAAAAGTTTGCTACGCTCTACAGTGCGGTGGTTTTCAGGCTTACCCTTTTTATGGGGGATGGCAAAATAAATTTTTAAGGAGAATTCCAAGATAGTTGCATTGTGTTTTAAAGAGGAAATCGAAGGTGATTAAGGCTTTTGTAAGAAAATTATTATTAAAAAAAAGCCAAAAAATGCAAAACCTACAATTTGTTTTTTCCATTTAAATACATTGAAGTAAGCAAGAAAATAAGAGTATTTACAAGTTCATCAAGATTAATATCATTAAGCATAATTTTCAAATCAAACTTCGTCAAATTATAACGTTATATTATCGCTATTTCGGCATGTGTGGCAGTTTAGAGGCATGTAAGTGGTACATTTCCATAGAGAAAGGACTGCTGGGGTCAGAGTAAAAAAATATTTGTTTGTGTATAGATCTACCCAAAAATATCGAAAAGGTGCTATCACTATAAAAATGTTGTTGCAAATTCATGCTTTGTGTCCTATTAAATACTTCACTACATATACTTTACAAGTTAAATACTTGGTTCCACGGGCTACAAGGGTTGAGGTTGAAGCAGCAAGATTCTTCTGTCTGCTCGATATAGCTTAATTTCGACTTTGGGTTCCTTTACTTAATTGGTTAAGGGAAGCACATTCCTACAATGTAAATCAATGTAGAAGTGAAAAACCACAGAATATGAAAACGTGAGAGTAATTTCTTCCTAAGGCGGTACACAGAGTCAGGCAGCGCCGCGAATGTAGCTTTGGTCCTTTAGTTTATGTAGGCCAGCGAGCTACTCGCAAAGGAAGTTCTCGACAAACAGTAAATTGCCTCGTGGAACTACGGCACAACATCCTTGTCACATTGTTGGTTTATTTTCCCCGATTAAAATTCATATTGTTGCATTTGCTTTTGTATGTGTAAATACACGCGTCACTTCAGAAGTTTGCCAGCGATTCAGCTGCCGAAAACTTGATAATATACCAGATCTCGTTATATTCTGGAACGACAGGGGATTTAGATTTATAATTTACATAGAAGAAAAACTGTGGGTAATACAAGTTTTTGTTAGCGTGCATGTTAATGAGTCGTTTCGCTTCAGATCTGCAGTATGACATGCTCTCATAACTATGCATCCACCCCTGGAATCCGTACACCAAGGTGCAAAATGACGGCCTGTAGATGACTCTCACGGAGGGATCTACCTCTCTGGGCACATTCTTCCAAAAATAGTTTGGAATGTAATATTCCGCACTGTATGTTTGCCTTGATTCATCGAAGACATGACTTGTGAGTGGACCCCTCGGCACTTTTGCTCTCTTTGTATTGTTGCCATCAAAGAACTGGTGGAGTTTCCAAACTGGAAGATTGTGATCATCAACAAACAGCTTTCCTTTAAGTGAAAGAAAACATAATGAGTTTTTGTCATACTTGATGGCTAGAGAGGATCAGGGAAACAAGACGATGGCTAGAAGAAGCCCTTGCCGGGAATGTAGATGGTACATTTGTCTAGAATCCCCCCCCCCCCCCACTCAAAAAACACCCAAAGCACATAAAATAGCATTTACGACAGTGGGAGTCTTGAGGAACCTCTTCATAAGCTCACACTAAATACAACTAAAGCAGAGCAATACATTACAATTTTAATGACTATTTCAACCAATCACTATTCAGAGCGTCGCTGATTGGAAATTTTGCTGTCGTCATAAACTGAGAGTAAACATAAATTATGATAAATTGCCAACTTGACTAAAAGTTAAGTGGAAGTGGCAATTGCCTTTACTGAGGTCAGCGGATCAAGGCCTATGAGCAAATTTAGAGTTTAAAAAAGATGCAGGGTTGGACAGTTCCGGTAAAAACGTGGTCCCCCGGTGAGAGACAAGCAACACTTTCAGTGATCTCCCGCACAAGACATGTGTCCTCCCAAAAGGGAACCCTGGTGACAGGGGTGGACAATTCAAGTAAAAATGTTGTCGCCCAGTAGAAGAATCGGTGCGCGGAAGACGGAAATTTCCATCCCTGAGATGCCTTGTCTTATGAATCCGCATACGCCTATTTATGGACCTACACTATATCCCCTGGGTACCAGACTCACTATATATAAATAAATTATTCTGGTACCCAGGGTATACAATATACAGCTTTAGATTTCATCAATAATTCGAATATTTCAGTAAGCGGCTAGCCATGTATCAAAAACCCATGTTCATGCAATGTGGGTGCAATTAAAAGCTTGTGGTAAACAGAGAGACCAATTGGGAAATATGCTAATAACAGAAATCAGCTGATAAAATCATTCTTGTTTTCATTCTTCGTACAGTGTTGAGTAAAACACGCCTTTTGCTGTTAGTCACGCAGCTTTGGGAAACTTTGTGTTAACGACTTGTTTTTTCTTTACGGATCGTGTAAGTGTAAGAGGTTTTAGTTGTTTCTTAAATACCAAGGCCTCCAAGAATGAGCACAAAACCTTGAAATTTAGGAATAATTCGATAGTAATGCAAGGCTCAAGATTCATCAAGAATTATTTGCTTGCTTATTTGGGTTTTTTTTAGAAAGCAAATCAAATGTGAGTTTTAAGCTATATGTTTTGAAATAGATGTATCCGGCCAGAGCCGACACAAGCAGTGATATACAGGGAAGCGGACATTACAATATTTCCGACGGTATACAGTATACTTCGCATCCATATCTATTTGTCTGTTCCCATTTGCTAGGTATAGGTCTTGTGACCCACTGTGCAACCGAATTTGCTATTTTTCAGATGCAGATAGACATAGATTTGTCCATGATGTAGTTGCTTTCTTGCCGAAGTGAAAGCATTTTTTAGTAAAATTCAAAAGGCCATAACTTCTCTTCTCTTCGGCATGGTTGCAAACTTTGCCAAGTACCTCGTCGTGATTGATTTCAGTGTTCAGTCATCAGATTTAACATGCCTTTAGTAAAATTTAGAATGCGTTTTTTATGAGACCTTGCTTTTGTCGTTTCTAATAATAAAATATCGGAAGCTAGGAAGACTATCATCAGCCAGTCTTTAGGATATGACTTGTGGAGAGTCCTTAAATTTTCCGACAGGCATTCAGATTTTCTGACAAACAGCTTTATAGGGGGGCGGCGCGCCATCCCATGTCCCCCATTGGCATCGGCTATGCATCCGGCCTCAGAATCTTAGACTCACAATCTTAAAAATTTAAGAATAATGAGGCTCAGAAAAAAATTGAGTATTCTTATAAATGATATAAGATAACATAATCAAATATAATTAAAGCAAAACATAAACTGAAACACTAAACACCGAAACAACGATGTAATGACATCTTATTATAGCAGACAGCTTCCAGCGACCTTATTATATGCAAGATTATATGGTTGTGCCACTGTAAATGGAGCCTTTGACCGCGCAATCCTGGGACCGACCCACAAAGTCACGTGATAATTCTAAACATGCGCGGGAATAAATTTAGGCCGAAGGAAAATGATTGCTAACAGACAAAAGAAAACATCGGGCATTGAGTTTGATTTCAAGAGTTGTAAATGAAGTAAAGAATGTTTTATTACATTTGCTACGCAAGCCTGGTTCTTCAAATTTTGCTGAGATTGAAATAGTATTTGGAGTTGTAAGTAGCTTCAAATAGCCTGTAATTTATATCACATCAGTTCTGACACTGGAAGAATGTTTACATTTTCCATTTAGATTTGAGCTGTCGCTGCCAATCATTATCTTCAAATGGAACAAAGAATTGGAATCTTCATGTTGAAATAAGTCTGTGTCGAAGATTTCATGGTGTTTGGTTTGGACAACCAGGCCGCGAGCAGCAAATTCCTGTCAAATCTTTAGAAATAACTAAATATTCAAAATGTGGTAACTCGTGACTTGGCCTTCCAAACAACATTGAATTTTAGAGTAAAGTGATTTTAACACGACGGTCGGTTTCAAATCTGTGGTCCACTTTGAAAATGGTCTGTAGACACAGCAAGATGCAAAATCGTTAACGTCAACCTTAAAGGGGGCCTATTATAGCGGGACCAAAAGCCGCAAAACTGTGCAAAAATCAACCAAATACTGCAATCCGCAATGAAATTAAGCGCGAAGACGCGGCAGCGATTGCCAAAAAGCCCTATACGGGGTAATTGAAATATGAAATAATTAGAAATATGAAATAACTATATTGAAATATGACGTTTTCGGGAGAAAATATAACTAATTAGATTTTTGGCTTTGAAATATGAAATAACTTTGGATCTCAGTATGAAATATGAAATAACAAAACAACTGAATAAATCTTTTAATGTTGTGTTAGAATTATCTATTTGATAACACCTGGTTACCATATTACACCTGGGTTGCTCTTTTAAATTTTTTCAAACTTTTTCGGGGCATTTATGTAATCTCTATTCTGCGCTGAGAAGTTTTTCAGCATCTTTTCGGTATGGGAGGGGTGCTATTAAACTGTCAATGATATATAAGCGACGAATTGGGTGCTGTCAATGAGAATTCCCTAGTCATGAATATTACATCAACCCCTATTATTATGAATTAATTGGGACTGACCATCCCATGAATCATTCTGAAAACTGTACGTATATATTTTGTCCGCCTTGTGGGAATATTCTTCGAAACCATTTGACTCGTGTAAGAGAACACTATGACACCATATAAAACTGCCGAATATTTCTTGGGGATCCTATTTGTTTGTTGGCCCAGTGAGAAGTACGGCCCTGCTTACACGGCCATAGAGGTGCCAGTTACACCGAAGCATGGGCACGATATATCACTGTGTTATCCTTCCCTTTTTGGTATGGGCACTATTGTACACATTTCCTCTCCCTCTATTGTTCTAACTGACTGATGGAGCTCTTTTCAACACATTTGGTGTAAATGTAAAGTGAAAAGCCTTGCCGCGGACCGTTATTTCATTTGAAAGCCGCAACCGTATTATAGAAGCCGTATAAGAAATTGGCTATAAGAAACGAGTACTGGACAGTCAGAACAATTAAGAAACTTCAGTACTCGAAGCAAAAAAAATTAAGAAACTATTAAATCGTGATAAAATTGAGAACAACGAAATTTTGTAAAATCCAAGAACATGATTGCCCTGATGGCCTAGAAATTAAGACACAAGGGATAAAAATATACTTCTTACGTCTAAATACAGCGTCAGAACGGAAGCGAATCTCTTGACGTGAGAAAAAAGGTCACCAGCATTTCATAACATCATTCATGACATCATAATTGAGAAACTCTTAAGAAATAGTGAGTATTGAAATTTCCAGAACATTAAGACACTGGAGAACCCAACATAGACCTTTGTTTCTTTAAAAAAATGAGTGTTTACTGAAAAACGCAAGAAGCACCTTTTCTTGAAACCGCAATCCGTAGATAAACCATGTTTAAATCCAGAGGCGGCGCGTAAAAATAGGGACCAGGCCGTGAAGCCGCAGACTTACCCCCCTTAAACCAGGAATAAGTTGTCAAGTCTTTAGTAATTCAATATATTATTCATATTCCCACATAAGTTAGAAAATCAAGCTGAAAGGCCTAAAACAGTTTTCAAAAAACAGGTTCACACCTTGAACTGGTTCGCAGGTTGACATTGACAATGTGTATTATTTATCGCGGGTACAAACCGCATAAACGGGTTTGCTTGAATTCTGTCAAAAGGAGGGCTTAAAATGTCGACATTTACTGCATTTATTAAGCAATCTCGACAGAATCAAATGACTGCGCAAGTTTAGGATCTCTCATAAAAATGAGCAGCGATTTTTTTCATTCAATGATAGAGTTTCAAAATTGCACAATTCTGACCATTGATTGGCAGCATTCCTTTTCAGTCGATTATACGAACTTTATTTATGAAATTATTCGCGACTTTGTTAACAGCGATGATAGCCAAAAAGCCACAATCACTTTCTGGTGTTGCGTTTGTTGTGTAAAATTCCACAAAACCAGAACCCGATCATGAAAAGGATTGATTTGTGAAAACAGTGGCAGAAATTCAGGCTTTCATTTGGGGGGGGGGGGGCCAGGCCTACGATTTTCCGACAAGTTAACATTATGGACTATGTCTAATTTTGAAGAAACTGCACATTTTGATAAAAAAGTTGATTTTTTAGAATAAGGGACTCTTCAGAAATATTTGCTGACCACGCCATATTTTGATATCAAGATCGATATCTCATCTAAGACGATTGATGATACAAGAGGTAGACCGATTACACTTTTGACAAGTCGCACGTTCATTTTATGCATTTTATCTTGTTTTTTTCAGTGGGAAATACGTTTTAAAACTTTTATTCGGAAGAATCCGATGGAAACTTCGGCTAATCTTTACGGAATTGAAATTAAATATACAATTCGCAAGCTGTTTTGATTTTGGTCAAGTATTGTTTGTTTCATTATTTAGTACTGGCTAATATTTTATCAGCTATGCTATGTTCAAATTTTGCAAAAGGGCACAGAGAGGTTATAAAGGCCCCTGGGGTAAAAAAGGAAAATGTAGATCACCTGCGAGCGAAGCGAGCCGAAAGTTTGCTCTTAGATTAGCTTGAAATTCATTTTCAGAACGATTTCTTGGAGTAATTTCGACACGTTAAACGGTTGTCAATTATCAGACAAAAGCCCGAATTTTCCGACGACATCGCCGATTGTGGGGGGGGGGACCGAGCCCCCCTAAACCCCCATAATTTCCGCTACTGTGTGGAAAGCAATCCAGATCATCGCCCCACTTTCGTTCAGTCAATGCATGATTCAAATTGTTAGGACGGAAAATTATGAAAACCAGTTCATTTTAATTTCTTTTGAAGCAAGAAAACACAAAACTTGATCAGCTAAAAAGATTTTTCTGGAGAACAACAATCTTTTATTAAAAATTCGAACTATTATTTATATCATTTCATTGAAAGTTCGAAAAACACGTCATAGTGTCATTAAAAAGCGAATAAACTCATGTCGAGTTTTTTTACCGCAATTATAAATAATGGAAGCAATTAAAGTTGAAGTAATTTTAATTTATCATTGTGGAAGTTGGCTCAGGATTGGTTGTATCATAATTTCTGCTACTTCGATCTTTGACGATCTTCCTACGTCATGATTTTTCTAGGACCAGCTATAGACAGGGAGCAATGGCCTCCCTTCATCCTATGGTGCCCATGCTTCGATGCTTGTGCCTCTTTTTTACTAACAAAATTCAACCCAGTAGCTACTTTAGCCCCGATCCACCCTGTTTTCCCCCTTTAAAACTCAAATCACGAAATTTGATTCTCTGCTATGAATCTTACATAAACTCAGTTCATTATGAACTACATGTCTGGTCCCTTGGATTCTGCCTAACTAACTCCTTACAAATTCTCTCGGTATTAAGAAACCCCGGATGTAACGAACTCTCCCTATTACGAACCGAATTTTAGGTCCCTTTGCCATAATTTCCCTTGATTTAACGAAATTTTCATAAATTTTTCATCTGTTATTTTTATTTGTTTATTTCCCTGTTCATTTATCACTTTCTCTTGGGACAAATCATTTTGCAATCGGCAAAGAGACATTGGTAATGAGCGACGACAAAATTTTGTTGAGAGTCCCAGATGGAGAAGCAGAAGAAAACAAATAAGAATTTGGAGTAATCGAAGACGTCATTCAGCCGCGAAAAGATTCTACTGTAATTACATTAAAATTGTTAATGTTCAATTTAGATTACGGGCGATTTCGGCTTAAAGGTTCCTTTAAAAAGAAAGATATTTACCAGGTAGAAGCTATCTCACACGAATCGTGTAATAATTCTTGCAAAATAAGCATCAAATATGCTTCATGTTGAAATATATTTGACGGACTATGGAATTATGGGCGGTGAAAGAATTGTCCCATAATCCCGTTCACAATAATTCCCACAGATTTCGCGTCACAGAAAACTGTTGCGGTCATTGCGGTGTTTTCAAAAACTATAATGGCTTTCTGTGACGTAACAGCCAAGGGATCTACCAGTTGGTATATCCCTTGGTTGTTACCTCAACGTAACGTAACAACCTAGTTCGTCTTAAAACAAGAAATCCGTTTAAATCAACTGGGTTCTAGAATCGATAAAAATGATCGCGAGAAAGTCTGATTTTGAAGAAGCATTATTCAGCCAACATTCTTTGGGATCTCCCTTAACCTACCTGAAAAATAATCCTGGGATATTTTACTTGACGAAGAAGCATCCAACCTTCCAGACGTTTCTGGGCTTTACCTTATAATTGTATGGCTATGTTATTTAAGGGTTTTGGAAACAGTGAATGTAGAAAAAGATTTGAGAAAATAGAGGGAAATTATGGGTTAGTGAAACGACAAATGCTTGACTCAAAGCTGTGACCTGCACCTGGACGTTGCTCTACCAACTTGGTCTTTGGAATATAATTCTTAATTAAAGCGTGCTTTATAAGAAAACCGAGGCTCGGTAAGATCACCATGGTAATAACAGACATAGCAACTGCATAGCGTCTGGTGGAAAATCAGATGCAACAGCAACCAGTGTTTAGAGTTTACCTCATGTTAACAAAACAGAGGAGATTTGATAGGGTAATCAACCATGTGTTAAAAATGTCATGCAACAATTTTATTGAAGGGCCTGAAAAACGATATAGGTATGTAAAAGTAAAAAATCCATGTTGCAATATAAACATCATTGAGAACGCCAGAGGCTCAAATTGCCCGAAAAATAAGAACATCGAGGCGCAGCAAAGGTTGTCTGGTTCTTATTAAAGATAGTGTTAGTAAGAGATGTCTTTCCAAAGAACATGCGGTGTGGGAAAACATCGGAACTTTTATATATCGCAGTGGAAAGCCAAAGTTAAGGAGAATAATGGAATGTTTTTAGAAATAATGCTACGCTTCTCTAAACATGCTAGCTCAATAAACCTTTAAATAACGATGGAACTAATGAAATCAGTAAAAGGTAAAAATACATCTCTCCTGCCTCTCAATAATTCTGACCCATTTCTATTAGTTCAACTTCATTTGCACCCATTTCTTAATTCCGTAAAGTAACCCTCTGTACCTCTTATCTGCGATGCTAAAGAATTAGCTAACAATTTAATGAAGAATCTGTCTTGGTTAAAAGCCGATGAAAGGAGCTGAAAGTCATTCCAGTCAATATGTACGTACAGTAAACTCCCAATAACTCGAACCCCCGATCACTCGAACATTCGCTATATCGAACTGATATTGCATTCCCTTTGCCCAATACATTCAGTAAAATTTGCCCCCATTAACTCGAATATTTGCTATCTCGAACCATTTCATTAGTCCCTTGGAGGTTCTAGTTATCGAGAGTTTGCTGTATCTGGTTTCTTTTGCACTGTCTGGGAACAAACACTGTTCACATTCCAGCCGTAGTTCCTGTAACGATAAGTGTCTCGCTTAGATATTTAAATGCGTCATTTTAAGGTCATTTATTTGGCCTTTGGTTATAATACTTTGTAGCTATATTGACATTTGTCTGTTTCAGATTTGCTGTTATGCTACTCATCTGGATATTCTGTCCCAAATTGGCCTAGATCAACCTAAGCGGATCTCATCTTGACTATAGTAACTCTTTGTCTCCAAATGATAAAGATAACATAAGAAACAGGATATAACTTTAGGATTTAAATTTTTTTGGTTAATGAATATGTGAGGTTATTAGTGTTGATGCTGAACTTGACGGGTCATGTGTCTTTTAAATGCCGTTTAGTTCATGATATCACATTATGTAACCGAATGTTTTACGGCTTTCTAGACATTCTTAACACTGTACAAAGGTGAATTATTCTGAAGGGTGAGGCGGGGTCTTGAGTTAGCAAATGCAGCACTCTAAGAAAGTTAGTTCGTGGGGAGATTCACTCTTGCAAAAAGTACAAGATTGGGAAAAAATAATTTTGAAAGATTTTTCTGATACTTCAATAAGATTTCTACCAGCGATATTTCCACTACTAGTGATTTCCCAAATGTGTATTTTATGCTGAGGCTTGGATATTTGCAGAATTACAAAAAATTGAGGAGAACAACTATCGGTTAGGAATGACATTTGTTACCTGGCTTGTCTTTGAGATTTGTTGATTCGAACAAATTTTGCCCGAAAAGTAGTACCCTGCTATTAAAGAATCCACTCAAGTTACTTTGCTGAAATCACATTGCTTTCCACCCACACTTGGATATAAATTTCCGCCTACCCTTTGCTCATTATTCAATGTTTTATACTTGGTGAAGTGTTTGACGAACAATGCTTTGATATAATATTTTTCTGTTCTTTTCGTACCATATATTAAAGGAATTAAAGATCTGTCCTGGGCATCCTCCAAACAACGTGCAAAACAAAATGATTGGTTTGCGACTCTTTCAAATTGGTTTTTCCACGATGAATATAACAGCTAGAGGGCAATTTTAAGTTAAGATTGTTTTTTGAAAAGGCACAAAAACACGATTCTCCACCAAGTCTCTTGTCACTTGGGGTTAATTTGGCGTTCCTACATTCAGCTTTTCTTGGCTGTATAAGGATATATAATGGAGATACATGAAAGCACAATCTGCTCCATCCGGTTCACATTATATATAAGTATATTTTGTCCCAAAATTCGAAATCTTATCACTAATGGCTTTCTTAAAAGCGATTTTAAAAGCTATAATTTTGCTTTTAATCATCACTTTCTTAAGATGACACTTCAAAGGGAATGTTGTCATATCTCTTACCTCGTCCAGAAACTGACACCCAAATAGACGGCTTGTAACATCGTAGCTCCAATTTTCCTATACGCTTCACAAGCTTGAAGTGTGGGCATGTGTCTTCTTTACAGTATGTATGAATATCAGTTGGAATAGATAACGAGCCTATTCGCTCCACAACAAAACAAAAAACAAGAAAGATCCAAACTGTGTCTTTCATCTTTAAGAATCCCGAAGGAAGAATCCAAAGGGTTTTAAACGTAACCTCACCAGATATGAGCTGCACGATGTATGGTTTTATCCAATATGTGATTGCTTATGCGGTGTGGATTGCGTTTTATATCTGTGGATTTTGTTGTTTCCTTGATTGATGGTGGGTCAAATTACCAACAGACCTTATAGTCAAATCTGTCTTTGATACACACTGACAACCAATCTCGTCGTAGTGAATCTTATACTGCTATGCTGTGAGTGAGTCGTAGGCTTGATGACCGCTCTGCCTAAAGCTCGTCGGGCGCGACAACCCAAACAAAGACCCATATCGCATTAACATTTTAAGTCTCCACTGGCATTTCATTCTGGGAAGAGGCCTGTCTTTGTAATCATAATTGGAGCGTCGTCAAACCTTTTCAGCTGTTGAGCCTCTGGTATGGTCGTAGTGGGTGGTTTGTCGCAGATATAAAACTCTCCATTCCATTAGTCATTCACGATGTATATCAATAAGATCGGCTTCAGATGACGTATGGAGGCATGCGACACCGAGGTTTTAGGATGGAAATGATGAAATGATGATAGACGATAGAACTAATGAAGATGATGATGTTGTTCTAGTTAATTTTGATTACAAACAAAAAGGTTTTGTGTGGGTATTTTTTTAGAATAAAGAAAGGGATATCGCCTACCAGGGGTACATCCAATGCTTCCAATATATTTGCAAGTTTTATTTTTCTGAGCTAATAGGGTATTGCAGTAGCAACCCATTAATGAAGGAAATATTTAGTTAATTGGCTGTTCATTTTAAAAAGCCTAAATGACATAAATGAAATATATTCATGCATCTTTGATATCATGTAAAGATTTGAAAAGGAAACCATTTTCCATTTACGTATGTCGTCCTCAATAGTACCATGAAGCTAGAGCCTCAAAAACGAGTGGTGTGTCACATTGGAAGAGTGGAGTCGGCCAGTGGACGGCCATAAAACAAGGGGTAGGAGCATCTTTCTTCCCTCTCCTCTTACACTATTCGGCTCCACTCTTTAACTGAGATTCTGGTACCTAGGGTATCTCAATAGATAAAAGAAAAAACAGTGGCAGGTGCTGTACGTTTTAACTGTAGCAGAGCCCAGCATTAAACTGAAATTGCATTATCTAATGCTTTGAAACTCTCACTTTTAATATTCAGGATTCTGAATCTTAGACGTAGAAGATGTGTTTGCAAGGTGTGGAAGAACGTTTTTGAGAGAAGATTAGGAAGCCGGAAACACCTCTTTTTGTTAATACTTGCTTCTTTCAAGTTACTTCTTATAGGCAGTCCGATTCAGAGAAGATGTAAATTACTATAAAAAGATATTTAACAAAATAAGGCACCAAAAAGTGGGGGGGGGAGCTATAGCCCCTGCTAGCCCAATGGCTGCGCGGTGCCTGACGAGACGATAGCATTTAAGGGCATAGAGAGATCCACAAAGATCCAATCAGCAAGGTGATTAAAAATGCTCTGAAAATGAACACGCGCTAGGCTGAGACAGCTCAAATACAAAGGATAAACCTGTACGTAATAGGCTTTCTGTCTTGAATGTCTTTAAATTTAAGAAGGCAATAATGATATTTACAATGATGAATAACCTTTGCGCCTGATATCCACTGAATCCAATGAAGAATATTTATGCAAAGTTGACCTTAGATAGCTTTCACGAAGCTGCAAAGAGTAGTAAAATTTAATGAGAAGATTTTTCATGAAACCTGAAAGGGCCTTTTTAACTAACTAGGGAACAATCGCCCCTCCAGCCCTAATGATTTCCCATTGTTTTAAACTTATCGTCCTCCTCTTGATATATACAAAGGTTCCCCCCCCCCCCACAGCTAATTTCCTTTGGAAAAGGCTATGAAACTTGTAACATTCAGTACTCAATTTTGGAATTATTTCAAATTTATTCCACTTTAGAACTGTTTGTTCTTTTCTAAAATCTGATTGTTAAAAACAAACCTGTTTTGTGAGATGCGACATCACGTGATTTTCAAGAAAGCCCAAGGAGCTATATATAAAAAATCGTTGGGTGAGAGGAAAATTTGACTGGTATACTAGCATTAAAACTGTTTTGTTTCAAACCTTTCTTCTAATGCTGCTTCTTTTTGCATTCCAAACGAAGAGCTTTACTTATTTTCTTTAACTGGTTACTTATATCAAATAAACTTATTTTTTTATAAGAAACAAAGGTCGATGTTGAGTACTCCAGTTTCTTAATGTTCTGCAAATTTCAATACTCGTTGTTTCTTAAGTGTTTCTTAGTTATGATGTCATGAATGATGTTATGAAATGTTCGTGACCTTTTTTATAACGTCAAGAGATTTGCTTCCGTTCCGATGCTGTATTTAGATGTGGGAAGTATATTTTTATCCATTGTGTCTTAAGTTCTAGGCCAACAGGGCAATCTTGTTCTTGGATTTTACAAAATTTCGTTGTTCTCAGTTTTATCACGATTTAATAGTTTCTTAATTTTTTTGCTTCGAGTACTGAAGTTTCTTAATTTTTTCCGACTGTCCAGTACTCGTTTCTTACAGCCAGTTTCTTATAATAAAATGAGTGTACATATATATTATACATCAGCATCATGGGGAGGTCGTCGATTTCGACGGATCCAATCACTGCGATGGCAGTAATGTGGTCCACCTTAGATTTGATGGTGTAGTTTCGATTGTGGGATCTTAGGTGACCAGCCTGGGATGCACATATAGGACCACAGATGTTACAGTGGAAGCACCGCCCAGGGGGTGGCAGCAGGGCCGCCGAGAAAATTTGGAGGCCCTGAGGCAATAACGGAGAATGAGGGCCTTGCAAGCGAAGCGAGCAGAAAAATTTTGCGGCCACGCCCATTCTTTCAATTCGCTCATCTGCTTAAATTCGTTCATTCGTTTGAAATGTTTCACTGTTTGCGGGCATAATTTTTTTAACTTTATTTAATTTTACTCCAAAACAGTATTCATTACTTAATGAGGCCCCCCTATACCTCAAGGCCCTGGAGCTATTCTCTCCCCGCTCTGCGTCCCACTTTGCACCCCTGCGTCCCCTGTATCCCTCTTTTCTCCGGCGTCGCCTTTTCGTTCATTCGTTTGAAATGTTTCACTGTTTGCTGGCATAATTTTGTTAACTTTGTTTAATATTACTCCAAAACAGTATTTATTACTTTATGAGGCCCCCCTACACTTCAAGGCCCTGGTGCAATTTTCCGCCCTTGCCCCCCTCTCGGTGGCCCAGGGTGGTATCCCTCTTTTCGCCGACGTCGCCTTTTCTTTACCTCGCCCATCCTCTTCGGCGAGCTCCCAGGTAGTAGGGTAGTAGACAGCATATACTATTGTACTAAAATAAATGAGTTTCTCTAGAGGCACATCTCACAATCTATAACAAAATAATCAGCTACAGACACTAGAAGTTTTCGACCTTATCACTTGAGTAAAGGCAATAAGTTTGGATAAAAATCAGTGATTCTAGTAGGAAAATAGAAAATCAGAGAAAAATTGAGCTTGAAAATTTAACAACCAATAAATGCCCATGAATCACCCTGATTTACAAGCTGGGCTTTGATGTCAATCCCAAGCATCATTCTTTCTTTTTGCAAAAAATTCCAAGCTCTATTGTGTCTTTATTTAGCTACTTATAACTTCAGTTAAATTCAAACTTGCCCAGGCAAAGCCAAAATTTCCCTTAACAGTTGGTTTATTACGGAAGTGAAAGTAAATGGTGCAATATAGAGTATTATTACGACAACTTGAACCTTCAAGGGAACGATAAAAATGGTTTGAGTCAACATATGTTCCAGTCATCGAAGGTTTAATCGTGTTTGGGAAGGTTCAAGGGGAATGCAAAAACACTTCGAGTTGATAAAGTTCGAACTACCTTCAAGGTCTAGGCAGTGTTAAGTTAAGTTCACACATGTAACAAATGCCCCCCCCCCCTACTCTAGCAACACTATCTTGCCATACCTATTTAGCTGGTAGATTCTTATGGCTTTGAAGTAGCTTCGATACTCATGCATTTCTATTCTCACGGTTTAAAAAATATTCACTTGCAACTATGCTATTCAATGTTCAGTAATTAAGAATGGTTTATTGCTAACAAGGTGAATATATATAACGATCATTTTTCTCCAACTGAATTCACCAGGCTTTTGAATTGCATTTTTTGTTTTGGCTTGCTTAAAACATGAACTAGGCTTGCATCATTCGAAAGCAATAAACACTTCAGCATTTAACATCAAATCGTGGGTAAATATATAATCTGCATGTCAGATTGTTTAAGCCTTTCGCCGGTTCAAATCAGTCAAAGTCTTTCCGATCTGTTTATTCATTGTTTGATGTAGTATAATACTAATTTTGATCCGGTTTCCTCTCTATCCCTATAACCTTATAATAGGCTGGCGTCTATGCTTGATTGCAATGAGAATCTTTTAAGCTAATGAGTAAACTTTTTCAAAGTCTAGTTTCATGTTAAGTTTATACACTGGTATTTAAACGTACTGAGTGGTAGGATCCGAGTCTAAAGGAGCCTCCGCAATCACACATCCTCTATGGACGTATGCCACTTTTCCCTACCACCATGATTATCTTACTTCATTTTGTTTGTACTTTAGCTTATTTGGAGATCCGCTAACATCCGCTATATTGAATTCGTGCTATCTCGTATACTCGCTATTTTGAATGATTTTTCAATAACTCTTTGCTTAATCATAAGGATATATACAGAAGAACCGTTCACTGTCTTAACTGCCGAAATGTTAGCTTCTGGATGCCGCACTGACGTCAAGCATGGCGCTCGAACAGAATTGCCGCCCCACCACAGATCAGTGCGCCCCACCCCGTTATGCGAGTAAGCTGTGTTGTGAGATTTTTCAGGAGGCCACGTGCTTTGTCAAGCCCTCTGTAACATTTACTTATGTAAATCCCGTTCTCCTTCAAGAACCAAGCAGAATTGCATCCACCTTAGTCAACCGCAGGAAATTGTTGAAGAAATAATTCTCATTTTTGGAATTTTCAGATTTATGAAAGGTGCCACGGCTACTTTGACATTAACATAACCATTTGCTATATCGTGACCATTTCACCTTCAATCTTTAATAAAGATACACCCTTTTTTATAAGAACAATTTTATAAGAACACGAGCCTCAAAACTGGTCAAAAGTTAAGAACAAATTAAGAACAAGCTGAGGCTGAGCTTCCGCAAAATGCAATTTTGAACAACGTATTTTCTCAAAATCGAGGATTTTTAGCGATATGTGAGTGCTTTTTCGGTGAATACTCAAATTTGTCAGCAAATTAAGGCTGTCTCACTCACTTTGTTGGCAAATGAGGCCTGAACACCTCATTAGAGCGAAAATACTAGCAACAGCACTGCCTACACCCTCTTAATTTAAGAACAAATTAAGAGCAATCCAGCCTAAGATTTTCGAAAAATTAAGAACAGTCAGCCTGAACCTAAATTTACTTGTTCTTATAAAAAAAAGAGTGTAAGTCAAGGGTATTTCTTTGTTCCCTCGATTTCAATGAAACTGGAGAGGCATCTGCTCCTCTGGTCTTCATTGTAGTCTTTAGAAATGAGGAATATGTATCAAGCAAGTATTTCAAACCTAACGCTTTGCAGTTTCCATCGTAAAGAAGTAGAAACCAAAGAAAAATACTAAGTTCTAAAAAATTTGCTTTTTGTAGAAAATCAATAATTATCATTATAATGACCCGCATAATGTAATAAAATAATATAATTAACAAAAGTTGGTTACTCATGCTTTTTGACAATATTTATCAGTGTAAGAAATATATTGTGACGAGCGTTAATTAAAACTATGTTATACGTTAATGCGCAAAGTTGAATTACTTTTCATAACATTCATAACTTTTCATAATATTTTCAATCATTTAATGATCTGAAATTTTTAAACTTCCATTCTAAATGCTGCATTTAAGCCAGAAACGTCCTTTAGTGGCCCCAAGAAGAATTATATATATCCTAATGCTGTATGCGAATGAGAGGCTTGCCAACCAGTTTCATGCAATGGTAGAGCAACAGGGGAGAGAAAGGGGTGAAGGGAGGGGAATGGGGGAGAAAGGGCAAATCTTTTGGGGGGATTGATTTTGATACTCGTCAAAATCTGACGAGGAGATGTTAGGGGGGGGGGGTGAACCTTTGGTGAAGTACTTTGCGCTTTGTACTTATGATTCTCAAACTGCCACAACATTACCAAAGTTAATCATGGGGGTCCTCTATTGGTTCAATGCGTCTTTCTTGTTGGTAAAAGGACATTCTCGGTAAGTAACCTAACAGTTGTTATTTTACCCACCCCCTCCAACAAATTTTGGAAGATGGCGTCATTATTGGTTTCAAAGGTCAATGTGCGACATTCACAAGTTCCAGGTTAAAAGCAAAGTTGTGCTAATTTGAATCGAATAACTCTTACATTTCTATTAGATATTATAGTAATCGACCAAACAGACGTTCCAAAGGACATGTGAATTTGCAGGGTCCTGGAAGTTTTAGGGTCCGGCTTGGCTTTCTATCGCATACCAGCAACTAAACTTAAAAAGATTAGGTTAGTTTCAACTAATTACCAGACTAACTTTTATAAAAATTCCTAAACTGCTTTGCTTAAAATTAATGCTTTTTCTTTGTGCTGACAATTGAAACAACATCGACTATAGCCCAAGTCAAAAGAGAATCTTTGCTATTGGAAACAAGGCATGAATACCGGCCAGCAGCATCCATGTTAACCTTGCGTAGGTGCAGCGTATCTGAAGTCTGAAAACAAATAACAAAGTTTACTTTCTTACACATACAGGACAGTTCATCTCATTGTTGACAGCAATCAGCCCTACTGAGAAGGTAGAGTAAAATAGACTGTCTAAATAATTTTTCTATACGATATAACATGAAATGGGTCTTCAAGAGGTTCATGGTATCCCAAGTCTGGTCAGATAGTTTAGTCATATGATATCTATGCTTAGGCAAACTTTTTGATATATTGATATTCTGAAAATATGTTGTTTACAATATTCATATTTGCTGTTATTCTAATTAACTTGGCCCTGAACAATATTGCAATTAATAAACAAATATAAGTTTGCTTTGAGCGTTTTCTTGCAAAAACTTAACAACGTTCAAGTTAATCGCTGAAAAGCTTCTAGCGGAATTTGTAAAACGAGCCTTTGCTAAAAAGGGTGTGATAACAACCCCTGCACTTATCTTTTATAACAATTCTTCTTCGTAAGAGTTCTTCTTTTTATTAATAATGTCAATTTAACAGGAAAGTTATAATGTTCTGCATTTTGTCAAGGTGCTCTTTAGCTTACAGGATTGGACAACAGGAATAAACCCTTACCTCTCCAATAAGGCATTTCGTATTTTTGTACCAAGTGAAACGAAGGTTTTTCCCTACAGCTTTACAAAACAGTGTCAGATCTTTTCCAAGTTCAACCATGCCTGATTTGGGATGCTCTTCAATAATTGGAACTGGCGAAGAAACGCATATTATTAATAATATTGTTGATAATAAAATAATATCTTTTCGTTAATAATACTTGATAATACAAATAATGAAAATAGAATGTCTTATTTGCGATTAGATACGGCGCTAGTTTGTGCTATAGCAAAGCTAATGGATACCAAGTGAATTTTATGCTTAGCATTTTTCACTTTGATAAGCATCAAACCAGTAGCGGCGCCACGGGGGGGGGGACACGTCCCCCCAGTTCTCAGCAGACTGGGTTTTTAATTTGTCTAAATTCGATGAGAAACGGTTGGGGGAGGGGTAATATTTTGATACCGTACTTTTTGTGCTGTAATCCTATGATTTTCAAACTGCCAATTTTCAAACAAAAGTTAGTCATAGGCGTTCCCTTCGGATAAAATTGGCGTTCCCTGTTGGTTAAAAGGGCGTGGCTTAAATTTTTTTGGTTTGTCCCCCCAGGCCTTAGTGGCTGGCGCTACCATTGCATAAATCCCCACAATGTTGACGAGAAGAGTAGATTCAAACACTAGTCGTGAGACTTCGAGGCCATTCATGATTGAGTCATTTCAGTGATGAAAAGAACCTTTCTGGTCGCAACCCCAATATAGGTCTACATATTTGAGGTAGCTGGAAGTCCTAATACGTCCTTGCTAATTATACATAAAAGCTCTGATGTTATGAAATTTGTTTAAACTCAATCCTTGCGATACGAAGAATATTTTTCTCTGTGCTTTACATGGCTGTTGGTTAGCTCACAGTTCCTCTTTTAAATGGAAAGTGGTCTCCTGTTTGAAAATATTTTATCCTCAAACTGCTTAGTAGAAAAGTATTCTGGAAATCTACTGCTTTGCCACAGATTGTTTTTCATTTGCTCATGATTTATGCGATGACAGGAAAAGTTTTTAAGTTAATTTTTAAGTTTTGCGACTATTTTTGGTGTTATATTGAACACTATCATAATCTTCTTTTCAGAGGAAGGAAAGTATTCAATAATCCTAACCATGCTGATACCTTCTGTCGTGAAATGATAACACTTGTGAAAAAAGTTGATTAACCCTTGGCAGCTTTGTGGAGAAAGCTGATTACATTTATGTGATAACAAATATCATAGTCATTTCGAAAATTTGCTGAATGTATGGTTTTGTCTGAAAATCTCAAAGGTTATTTTATTCGTCTATAAATCTTGCCAATAAGAATTCAATGTCTCGTGTTTCTGGAATTCAGTCAGCCAATTTGACGGGAGACTGTCATGTGATGATTTAAATTTGGTTTAGTCAACTGTAACTTATTAAATGATACAAATGGAATGGGAACAAGATTAGTCGGGAAGGATGGAATCGAGTGGAAGTGTGACGTCATCAAAAATCAATAAACTTCTGATTAGAATTTCAGAATTCTGACCCCATAACCTTAAATAACGCCAAAAATATCTCTTTGCTACCCGGAATGAGACAATCAATCTGGTCATACATAATAACGCTCAGTTCCTATAGCTCCGAGTAAACATCACGGATGTGAAATATTTATAAGTGCCTTTAGGCAAATGTTCACAGCTCCCACTCGTTAACTACTACGCAACAGATAAATTCAAGTTATTTTCCGCGATAAAACTGAAGAAGATATAATCGTTACTTAACAGCCTTGTGTCGACTTTGCTATAACATTCAGAATCATATCGTGTCTCTGGCGGTTTGCATTGTGCTAGAGAGTTCTCAAATAGCTAAAGAGAACGTGTGAGCTATTTTCTTCCCATGCAAGTGTCAAATTATTATTCTTTAAGTTCCTAAAAGAGTTGGTTTCTCATAGTCTCTGACCTTCGAATGTCTTCTCGTTGCGAAAGGAATCACTTTAAAAGTAATATCAATTTTATGAACGCTGAAGTGTTTGATATTGGAGTGTTTAATATTGGAGTGTTTGATATTGGAGTGTTTAATATTGGATTCTTATGCTAACATGAACTTTAACGCCAATACTGAGCATAGTTTCACTATTAAATATTAGAACAAATCACTTCGAAGGTCAGTTAAAGCTTTTTTGACAACTTTATATCTATGGCAACGATGTTGAAAATTGAGTGATCTAAGTGATTCCTTGCTTCAAATATACTATCTAAAATTTGATTTTTGATGTTCCTTTCACAAATTATAGCTTAAACTAATCTACAAACTTTTCTCCATGTTCTCTCCAGCTTTAGCGATTAATAAATAAATGCAAAATGCACTTTAAAATAAATCATTGCCATTTCCGTAAGAATGTTTGCAAAAATTGAAGGATCAAATATTTAACTGAAACTTCTTCTGTAGGTAGCACGGCTAATTGACTTCGATACAACAGGAAGAGAATTGGAGGTGTTTACGAACCATACAGGTAGGCCTAGTCCCACGTTTACACAAAATCGAAATTCTTCGCATAACTTGGAGTTTGATCTTAAGCCGGTACATCCGAAACCGGAAGATTTTAAAATAAGAATTTCCATGTACTATGTTGATGATCACCTAAGCAGATGCTTTCATCAACATACATACCTTCGCTAAGTCTTGTTGGCATCTGGACTTTTCTGTTTATCAACTAAACCAACAAGCAAATATGTGTTTTGTGGGTGAATATAAATTCTTCTGATAGACAGCCGATATCCCAGTGTGTCAACTGCAGTAGGTTGGCTGAAGCGAGATCCGTATTCTGCAACACGAGTTTGAAGATGGTGAATTTTAGGCCATCAGTGTTGCTTGAGCCTAGTGAGTGTATAGATTAACGAAGCGACAAGATGCACAAAATCGTTTGTTAAGATCAGTTAGCAGAATCTGACCTGTTCATTAAGCACGTGAGATTTTCAATTCGAATAAAAGATCGTTAGTACCTGCGCATGCATTTAAATGCACTGCACAAAACTAGGCTGAATTCACGCTAATTAACTATGCATAACTATGGCAACCATTGCAACTTGAACGTTCAACACCAGCCGCGTATTGGCTACACTCTCATCTTCGCCTCTTCTTCACTCTCAAAGGATTACGAAAGTTGCTTGCTTTCCCTTAGAGATTTGTATCTCCTGAAGAATCAAAGAACAAGGGATGAAAGGAATCTGAAGCTAAATAAATTTACTGGATACACAAGATGCGCGTAGAATTCCCTTGGGACTGGCAAGCTGCAATCTTGTTTATCTGGTTTCATGGTACTATGAGAAAGGAGATAAACGATTGTTTTTACAAAAACAAAAAGGCGTCCCAATTTGTCCGAAACGCTTTGTTGAAGATTGCCTGAAATTTCTGTCCAAAAATTTCACTGTAGATTGCTTACTGTGAAAAGTTCTTCGGGGCTATTCTGAAGCCACTTAAAATGAGGGACAAACTCCAAAATTTATTGACTCTGAATTTCCGACGCAGATGGTAGGACGTCTTTAGGATACAAGGTAAAGTCAAGATATGATGTCAAAGTAAATGAGAAAGCCAGTCTCACTAAGATCTTATAGCCGGATGAACAAAAACCTACAGCGGTTTTCGGAAGGGCCATGAAAGTAGATATGAGGATAATGAGAGCAGGATAACTATGAACGACCATTCCTATTTCGTAGTATCTATCTTCTTACTTATAAATGTTTTTGTCACGGCCCCCTTAAAAACAGTTCTCATGGACTGACTACCGTGCCTAAATAAATAAAAATGTAAATGTGAATGTAAAGGATTGATGATATTTTCTTTTTTGACCGAGTCAAATCTGCAAAAGTTTTGCGTAAACACCATCAGCATATAAAATTCACCGCTATATGACATTTCATTCTTTATTCACGGTAACCCTGTCGGCAAAGGCCGCTTTTCAGGAGACCGTGATAATGAACTTCTAAGTATGAATTCTAGCGGGTTCATACCTTGACAAAATTTTAAACAAGTCAAGAAAATATTTTATTTGCTATTAACTTTAGATAACTCGTAATAAACTACAACAATTACGAGGACAGCCCTAAGGTTATCGGCACATTACCACCAACCCAGGTCTCTTTAATGATCCGGCAGTGCGAACCCAGTGACCTACTTGAACAGTTCATGTTGAACACAAGCCGTGCGTTTCAATGGTTTAGTCCGGTACCATCCAAATCTGGTTCACGCCCTTTTCATCCAAAATCTGCAGGTATATTCCAACTGAAACACTAGAACAGTATGATACACTAGAGCAAAATTATTCATTAAAAGTTTGTTCAACAATAGATTTAAAAAGCAGTTTCGTAACTAAATGTGTCCTTGACATTTGCTATATTCTAGGGCCTAAGGCAATAAGGCATAAAAGCTGTGATGACTGACTGACCTGTTTGACTTAAGAACAATTCAGGGGCCTAAGACCTGTATGACAGAAAATGATGACGCGAATTTGAAGGTTACTTCTGCCAAAAAAGTTGAAGACAAGAATCACTCTTCTACTGCTGAAAGATAAAACAATATTTTGGCATTCAAGAATTAAGGTAAATAAAGATTATTAAAGGAAGACAATATAATTGATTTAACAAGTAGTCAAGCGATATTTCTTGGTTTCCATGAATATTTTAATTCTAAAAGGAATCCGAACCATTTTTAATTTCCTCATTATCATTGTATTGTATATCGAAGGTATTGGTCAATTATACTAAAAAATACAAAGGAACCTTTGTAGAGAGAAATAATTTGATAAATCTTCAAATATAACAGTTTGAATTAATCTTGCTCAAAACAAATCTTGAAATATTATTATGTAAGTTAGGAAAAAAGATTTGTTACTATTAATGTACAATAGTTGCAATTTCATACAGTTGCGTTTTTAGTGTTTGCAATTTGGAGTCGTAATATGAGGGAGTTGGGAAATCCTATTAGCAAGAAACTTGCAAACTCATTCATTTAGGAGCAGGTTTTAGAACGTTTTACTGGTGGAACCAGGCCTGATCTTTTAAGGATTAATTGAAATCAAGAAGGTCAATAAAACGAAAATAACTTTGCAGAATTTCAGCATCAGTTTGAACTTTTCCTCAACATCTCTAGTTGTCCGGTAATTAGCATGAGATGTGATAAGAACACTTAACTACTTTTAATAAAAAATAAGATGTTTTATGAGACGCCAGTCAATTTCAGGGTTCCAACATGGCTAGTCACCTACTCGATTCAATAATAAGTACAATAAAGACAAATGATGCTGGTTTTCGAGATTTCCTTCTCAAATACTCTTTGCTATGTGAATGATTATGATAACGACGTTAATGTTGATTAAAGTAATTATGATTACTATAATGCCGATTAGTGTAATTTCAATGTAAAGAGGAAAACCTAATAGATGTTTATAAGTACAGAGTGTTGACCAGATGGTACGCAAGGATTACAAACAAACTTTCCTAAATTTTCAAACTGATAGAAAAATATCAGGATCATGTGTTCGTGTATACAATAAAAAACGAGTTCATATAATCGATTGTGAAAATTATCATAGCCACCAAGTTATACAGAAAAAATCATTCAGTTTAGTTTAGTCACTCGAGCCAAAAAACTTTACTGCTCCTTGATGATTTGTGGCTTGAAATCTTCTTTTGTGGCCTTTCCCAGGCCCTCAGCATAGAGGGGAAGCCTCTGGGTCATCTACAATAAATGAAACAAATTTTGCATTAACTACAATCCCTTATACAAATATTTATAGGGTGTCGAAGAGATAACTGCTCTGGAGGGACAATTTCCTTTAAAAACACCAATCAAGATTGAAAATGCCAAACAGATAGAGCTCCAAATATGCAATTTTATAGCCACGAAGAATGCAATTTTAGATTCTAACTAACCGTAAGGAATTGGAAAATTGCAAAACCCAGTCTTTCCACTGGACCAAGTCTGTTATCATATGATACATAATGAAACTTTACTGAATCTTAAAATTGGAAATGCTACGATGGGATAACTTTTGTGGATTGAGCTTGTCTAGAGTTTATAGGGAAACGGAAACCGGAGTTGAAATCTTAGACTGTGGTTTGACTTTGGGAGCCTTAAAGTTGGCGTTAATAAACTGACTGCAACAGATATCCTAATTATTCTTCCTGTCTTGGGGGGAACAGTGAATTTGCACGTATTTCTATGCGCATTAAGGTAATATCTATCAAAAGTCATCGGCAGTGTTGGCTGTTGTTTGCAGGCTGTCAAAGCTCCAGAGGTAAACCGCTCACGAGACAAATATAATTAGCGTTAATCTTTAACAGCCACACCCTAGATCTAATCATCTGAACGAACAACGAGCCAATGTAGAATAAAACACGTATTTACACGGTGGCCAGATAGGGCCTGTTTACATGAGAAAAATCATCCTAGCTTCTAGCAAATGGACTGGGAGGTGCAATCCCGCCTTCCTTTACAAAACATTGTTATTCCAATTTTGTGTTCATAGGAGAAATGCTACATTTCGTGGCAAATAAGATCCTCCTATCAGCTTGCCAGATCTCACCTCTTTGGATGAAATTTTCCCATATAAACACAAGACTGTCAACTATGCGCATGCGTTCGCATTCCATAACGAAAAAATGACGTGTTGCGGTATCCGGGTTAAGCTAAGGGGTGGGATAAATAAGCTTGTAGGTGGAAAAGAATTTGCATGTAAACATGTGATGATTTCATCCCACCTGCCAGCCAGTCCTGGTAATATGAAATTTATTGGCGTGCTTGAAATCGCACGCTTTAAGATGTGAAGACGTGCGATGGCATGCGATTCATAAAATGGAGACCTTACAGTCTTTATGAAGACCTGGTAGTCTTGAATGTAGTATATGTATTTGAAGGGGTTTATCACTGTTTGAGAAGTGCATAAGGTTTTAATAGACAAATGATTTTTAATATAATTTTAGAAGAAATCACTTGAAAGGACAATGATTTTTTCAAAATACATATACGTTTTTAGGTTCTGTTGCCTGATAAAACGTGGCCCGATAAAAAGCACTGCGCAGTGTGTGAAGTTGTTTGTGGAGGCATGCGCGTGCGACCGCACGCCTACTTTAACCAGGGCAGCTGCCAGCTAATTGGCTTCAAGGTGGGATAATTTGGCTACTATAAACAGGCCGTAAGGGCCCGTTCACACTACTCCGTTTTCAAATGAAAACTACACTCTTTTTTTATAAGAACAATTTTATAAGAACACGAGCCTCAAAATTGGTCAAAAGTTAAGAACAAATTAAGAACAAGCTGAGGCTGAGCTTCTGCAAAATGCAATTTTGAACAACAGTTTTTCTCAAAATCGAGGATTTTTAGCGATGTGTGGGTGCTTTTTCGTCGAATATTCAAACTTTTCGGCAAATGAAGGTTGTCTTGTTCACTTTGTTGGCAAATGAGGCCTGAACACCTCCCTAGAGCGAAAAAGCTAGCACTCGCACTGCTTACACCCTATTAGATTATGAACAAATTAAGAACAATCCAGCCTCAGATTTGCGAAAAAATTAAGAACAGTCAGCCTGAACTTAAATTTACTGGTTCTTATAAAAAAAGAGTGTAATCCGTTTCTGCCTTGCGTTCACACTACTCTGCTATGAAAACGGAGTCGTTTGAAAAAGCTAATGAAAACGGATACTTTCAAATACGGTGCGTATTGAATACGGTCCGTTTTCAGTGTGAACACAAAAAACGGAGACATTTGAATACGCTAACAATGGCAACATAAAAAATTTTGAAACTGAGAATTCAAAATGCACTGGTAGGTGTTACAACAAAGTTTTTCACGATTTGCTTTGATTTAATTTCATTCATAATGACGCCAATTTGTTGAGGATTCGTGAACGCCTCTTTTCAAAAATGAGGCCACCAACAGCGTTTTTATTGGAGCAGTGTGAACACTTACCATATTCAAATCATATTCATTTGAAAACGGACAAGTGTGAACGGACAGCGTTTTCATCAACGAAAACGGAGCGAAACAAATACGGAGCAATCCTATCTGCCTGTTTTCAGCGGCGCTCATGCCTCAGGATGGCATAACCAGTATATTTTGTTGTGCAGGGAACACTGCAATGCGGCTAAAACCGCTTGGATTGATTCTGAGTAATACTGCAGTGGTGTGAATCAAGTGACAATGTTGCCTGCTAGTGATATTTTTATTTAAATTGTAGGTTAGCAGTAAGGCTACGATCAATCAAAATGGAAATTAATCAAATCTAAAAAACATAATTTAACATGACCAAACGCAAGTGGTGTGGGGAATCCAAGGTCGCATTAGTTTGAATAGATTCACAAACAAACAATCTCAAGACACACTGAATAGATTCACAAACAAAGTGCGTCTTTTTCAACGCTGTGATAAGGTACGTTTTCCAGCTTAGGCCCGTAAAGTTTTTCTCCAAACAAATCAACAATGCGTCGTATTTATGTATCCATCAAATTTCACAAAACAGATCCTCAACTAAAGCTCCTAAAATGCAACCTGGTTATAGCATCATAAGATTATATTGTGTGTGTGTGTGTGGGAGGGGGGGAGGGAGAAAAAAAGGGTGCAAAACCTGAGCTGCTAATCTTTTAAAAATAGATATCTTAATAAAGGTCGGTAACAAAGCCGATTTGATGACTATGAATGTAATCTAAAATTATAAGGAAAACCAGACGCCTATCATTTCATATCAATTTTTTAAAGGTTTGAGCAGATCTTGATTGTCTTTTGCAAAATTGCCGGTTCTGTATAAAATTTGCTCTTGCTGAAGAGTTTCAACGAGGAAACACACCGCCGTCCAATCGAAAGTATAGAATGGAATCTTTACCTGAAATCCCCATTTGTCTTTCACCTGTCGACACATGTTCAGATCAACTTCAGTGATAAGGAGGCCGTCCTCGTTTCTAGGCAACCCCTATCACGAGAAATCAAGGAACTTTCTTCAAAACATTAGATTAAATAAAATGGTAACAAAGAACCCTTACAAGTGAATACTTAGATATGATTAAACTTGGTTTGTTGAATGGAGTTCTTCGTCTGAAGATCAGCTTAAACTACTGTTCAATGAGAAAAAAGATAACTTCGTCATTAGTGTAACCAGAAGCAAAGAAGTGTCAATTGTTGAAAAGAAAAAGAAATGACATTTAGATAAAAATCCCATTTCATTGGATACAGCTAATGTTTGATAAGTCACTTTCGATTCAAGGCACTTGTCAACACATGTCTTTTCAAAAGAAATTCAAAAGAAAATCACTTCATCCTCAGATATTACAACCTTAAAAGGAATAACACCAAGCAAAGGTGAAAGAACACTTCAAGTAAACAATGTTTCATTATGTTTCCTTAGGAATTTCGCCAATTGATCACAGTGGTCACAATTGAACAATCGATAATGCCAAGATTGATGTTAAATAACGTTAAAAAAATGTTAAAAAAATTCAAAAATCCACAGAAACTGGCAGTCCCCATGCAAGTTCCCTTTTATTTCCTATGCTACTGAAGCGATTGAATTGGTAGGTATTTTGAGGACACTCTAAGCAAGGCATTCAAATAAAGTAATGAACATTAAAATCATCATCGTTTTGTTGCCACATCATTATCAGATGAAAACAACTTGCAAATACCTTAGTTTCGAACACTGTATACAAAAACTCTTGATTTTTTCAAATGGCATGTCAAACTCTCTTCTGATTCCATCAAGCTTCTAGCAGTACCGCCAGAAATGAGCTTTTACTGATAAACAAAATCGAATCAAATAGTGCTTTTTGAGTAGAATCCAGGGAACTTGATTATTATCCTAGGCGAAGTATCAGGGGCGGACACTTGGTCAAATATTAAGGGGGGCAAGCCTATTGTTTAATAAGATGACGTCACATTTCCTATTGTTTTAGAACAGAAGGTCATTGTCCTCTAAAGTATTTGGGAAGCGACCCCCCCTCTTGCCCCCTTGCCCCCTAGGTGTCCGCCACTGCACAGTATAATTACATACCTTGGTGCGAGAACCATCCGGTGCTGCAACATAACTTGAACCTACAATAGCATATCATTTTATATATAAGTATGCCACAAAACGGGATGAATGAAATACTTCGCCTTGTATTTGAGGAATTGTATTGAACAAACGCATTCTAAGAATAAGAAAATCTGCAAACTTTTATTAGAGATCACTAAGCCCTTTGCAAGAGAGATGAAACTATTAGATAGAAAAATTCTCATAAAATCTCAATCAGATTTTAATGAAATCAAGTGATAACTGGATAAATTTTCATACTTATGAATAAATAATTTGTCATATGAATAATTTGTTCAAGTATTTCAGTTCTTACCATAAAAATTCCCGAAATCTTTGTGGGCTAGAAAGAAACATAATTTTTGTTATGCTCGTAGCCATGCATGTGAACTATATAGGATAGCGATATAATTAGGGAAAATCTTGTGCAAAGGCTTTATTGCGTTTTCCATAACGGAAAGGTTTCCCCGGGTTGTCTCAGTACTCCACATACCTAATTTTAAGGTGCAGTGATTTGTGTAGTGATTAAAGCGGTTATTGTGAAGTCATAAACAGTAAAAGCGAGCAGTAAGAAACTATTTATAGTAATGGCGCGGTCAGTAAAAAACTCTCAAACGCTCCGCTGGAAACCCCCCATTTCCATTAAAAAGTACTGTGAAAAATCTTCCTTGAAATTAGGTACGCCTTACCATTAGCCTAACTAGCTACCAAACGATATTCCATGCTTTATTCCGTGCTCCAGCAGTTATGAATAATGAATTCTAGACACAATATAAGTCAGTGACCTTGAATTAATTCATTTACTATAGCAAAAACTAGCTAGTCAAGGGAAGAAAGTTTTACAAGATCGGATTCAATTCCATCCCCAACCTTGTCTTCTCACCTTTTTGACAATGATGAATATATAAAGACCACCCATGGCATTCATGAAATCATCATACCATATAGACAACTTCATAAAGCAACGAATGTCGGATAAATTAAGGTATACTAAACTAAAACTGATCATCGCAATTTAGGAAAAAAGATTCCTGTGACTTCTGTCAAAATATGACCCAAGCCACAAGCCTTGTGCTGACGGTGTGTTTGACAAAGGCACTTTAGAAGAAACATCAACGTCTAGTCCTATGTCAACCTTTAGGTGCAAATTTCTTGAAATGTGTCTATTCACTACAATCTTGGCAAAAAATGCTGAGACACTTGCAAAAAAAGAAGCTACTTACAAATCACCCACCCCCTTTTCCCCCGAATCAATGTTGTGATTGGATTGGTAACTAATGTTGTAAACCCCAATTATTCTGAAACTGTAGCTCAAAACTTCAAATTTCCAAAATTTACGGTGTCTGAGCACGGTATGTTCAGTACGGTAGAGTCGTTTTGTCCGCGTTTTCTTAAAAAATTCCCATTGTTTCAGCTAGTTTATTTACAACAAAAAGGGTTGGAGGGCAATTTTGAAGCTTGTGCTTCATAAAATGCTTAGTTAACGGTAACTAAATAGTGTCATAATATTTCTAGTTGCAATAAATCTGAAAACCTTGTTAAGAAAGATTAAAAACTTGAATTTGAAACTTCGGAAAATCTAATCCAAACTTTAGGGACAATGATAGGTTAAATCGAAAACATACCGCTTTTTCCATCTGCTGACGTGAATTCATTAGGGAAATGCTCCTAAGAAAATATCAATTTTATGAACAAAAAGTATACTTTACAAACAAAGACAATTTGAAGATACTTTATGGATATTCTGAAAAACTTAATGGAAATTGCAAGATACCCTTTAGCACATTATACATGATATCGTTACGAAGAGAGGGCCTTCATCACATTCATTACTAAAGTATTTTTACACAATTCTCATCAATTTTTTCTTAAGATATCAACTTAAGATTAGTGAGTATAGAAGATACTGCAAAGGCAATAATTTAAGGCTCATGAAACAAGAGTAAAATTCTTCTGGAGGAAGATACTGACATCAAGGTAAATTGTTAAGCTTACCGTTCCAACTCTGTTGATGGCAACAGAAAAGTAGCCATTTGCAATGGCTGCACATCTTGCTTCAATTGGCCATAATGGCTCACTGTTGGGTACAAAAAAATAAAATTGTCTATTGTATTGCAAAATTCTACTTAAGATCAAAGAAACTGAACTCTAAAAATATATCTCTCGGTTTGTTAAAGATAAAATACACTCTAAAATTGAGAGGCGTTTATTAAATTTTCAAATGTTTTAGGGGGCGCTCATTTGAGGGGGGCACTCATTTGAGGGGTGCGCTCATTTGAGGGCGGTGCTCATTTGGGGGGGGGGGGCGCTCATTATATTTAAGTTTTTCTGTAGATCATTTAACCAAAAAGAAAAAACTGTTAGAAAATTTGGAATGATGAACTTCGAAATATAAAAGTAGAATGCTCAAATTTAAAATTAATGTTTTAAATACATGAGCAGCTAGAGTATGGCATTTCTCGTAAAAAATTAGTGTTAGACTACACGTACACTTCAGGTCTCACCTTAACAACAAACTTCTGGGGATTTATTTGCGAGACAAGGAGCATGCATTTAAGAAGGGGGGCATGAATTACATTTTCGACTGCTTTAGTGGGGCAGTCATTCGAACAGAGTCCTATTTTACAGGGGGGCATTCATTCAAGGATTCTTAATGTATAATTAATTCATAATTACATTTGCTTGCATATTAACTGTCTGTTTACTGCAGGCTTTGCATACTCATAAGTTATCTGCATCTTCCTCAATGCATCTCAAGTCAATAGTGAATTTTCATCAGCCTTAAACAGCATTGAAACTAAATGCATTAACAACTTATACACTATACCTCAGAGAACCAACAGTTGCAGAAGGATTGAAAACAATTTCAGCTCCATTGATAGCAAACATAAGCCAGTTGAGAGGATGGTGCCTTCCATAGCATATATTTATTCCAATCTTTCCTGGAGTGATTTTGGGTTGATTATTGTTTCAATTAGTTGCAAAGTTATAATAATTCACAAATATGTATTTTTTTTGTTTAATATTATTAATCAAGTGTCTTTTCATTATGTGGGTCCCAACAAATTTATCAAAATATCAAAACAGATAATATGTATACAAATAGCAAACAAAATAAGGTTTGCTTAGCAATTAGGAAATGAAGCAAGATACAAAGATCAGAAATACTCGATGCTTAGTATTCAAGGGGTATAAATGACCCATCCCTTTCCAAGAATAATGTTAAAAAACATACTAGCAGTGACATTACCAGTTTTGAATCTTTTTTAAGATGTTACTTCAAACCTTTGGTAAACAGTACTTTGTGCTGCTTTGGCAATCTTTTTATTTCAATGCTCAATAAATAATTAAATGACATTAACGATTTTACATCAAATTTTGAAATTACCAAATTGTGTCTCGAAAACTGGATGTCCAAGGTTTCCTTCCATGTAATAAGTGGACTTTAAAGCGAAAGAGAAAAATCATTAAAAAAATTGAAAAATAAATAATTGTAAGTTATTCTATAAACTCTAATATAGTCAATAAATGAAAATATTATTAATATGTGCATATCAACAAAAGCAGAAAAAATCAGTACCTCATTGAAGTCTCCAACCCTGGGAATGTGATTCTTCCTTGATTTTCCAATAACACTTCCATTGTTTGATATCACAACTAAAAAGATAAATCAAGATCATAAAAAGATCAATTCATGCTCAAAATTTCTGCCAAATTTGGGAGGTTTCAGGTTCTTTGAAATTAAAAAAAGGCATTCCCTTTTTTCCTTTGAAGAACAAATTATAATTTAAAATATTAGGCATTAAATTTGCCAGACAGTTTATATAGAGAACACAGGTTCAGGAGCAAGACAGATTAGCCAAATTGGATCAACTTTGTATTTTAGAGCAATGCTAATTCTTACCAGCAGTATTCCACAAAACACCTTGATGGGCTTCATCTCTTTCAAGAATCGGAGAGATGATTACCATATTATATTGTTTTGCAACCTAAAATTGTAAAATTTGATTTCTGTTTATTTATAAACAGCATGATTTCTATTACTTTTGTAGGAAGGTTGACAATGCTTTAGATATTGAATTTGTATCAATTTTGAGGAAATATCAACAAAGCAAATTTCATGAAATTACTATATTGTGTGTGGTAGAATATAAAGCTAAAATAATGATCAATGTAAGTAAATTGTACCAGGAAAATATTTTTTCAAATAAATAATGATGTTTCAAGCACAGTCAGTTATCATAAACATATAAGCTATTTTTTGAGAATTTTTTAAACTAGATAGATACTGCTCTTTTGCAGGTGAAAGTGGAAATGATCAAATGCTTCTTGAAAGGCGGGATGTACATAAACATAGAAAGCATTCAATGATGATGTATCTGTCAAAGAAGATCAAATGAAAGAAGGGATTCAGTTACCTCTTGTAAAATTCTTGTAGTTGGCCCATCCTCGGCAGATTCAGAGAATTCATTCCAAGGTTGCTTTTCTCTTGTGCAGAAAGCAAATGGCATTGCTAGCAGAGAATATAACAGGTAAAGCTTTCATCAAAATGTACACATTTCAAAATATTAAAAATTTCTGTTAGTAATGATTGAAATATTTTATACTTCCTTGTTAGTGTCAGCAAACAAATTATTTCTAAGAGACTTTGTAGCAAACTGCCAATATATCAACACTGACTTTTGATAATCTGACCTTGATAAAGAGTAGTTCTGCAGTTTCAAAAAAATTACTTTACTATAGTTTTCGAAGTATTTCTTAAAGGTTAACTATTCATTAGTAATCAATAATAAAAATAAATCACTTTGACTTGCACTAATGCCTTTTAAAAACAGAATATTTCTTACTCCATGCCTCTTGTAAACAAAGAACATTGACACTGGATTCAGCTGCAGCTTCAGCGATTTCCTTTATTCTGTTATGCAAAGCAGTTATCTGTTAAATAGAAAATGATATTGTTGAGGAGAGCCACACACCAAAACATTTTGTTGAATCTGCATAAAACCCACTCACTTTTGGGTATGCCCATTTCCTGAATGAAGTAGGAATAGCTTACTCATTAGATCACTCAACAGAAGAGCTTTGTATGTCCATCTCTCCAAACAAGATACTTTAATAACTTTTATAAGAACAATTTTATATGAGCACAAGCCTCAAAATTGGTCAAAAGTTAAGAATAAATTAAAAACAAGCTGAGGCTGAGCTACTGTAAAATGCAATATTGAACAACATTTTGTCTCATAGACAAGGATTTTTAGCTATGTGTGGGTGATTTTTCAGTGAACATTCAAACTTGTCAGCAAATGAAGGCTGTCTCACTCACATTTCTGGCAAATGAGCCCTGAATACCTCCCTAGAGTGAAAAAGCTAGCAACCGCATTGCTTGCAACCTATTAATTTAAGAACATAGTAAGAACAATCCCACCTCAGATTTTAGAAAAAATTAAGAACAGTCAGCCTGAACTTAAATTTACTGGTTCTTATGAAAAAGAGAATCACATGAATGGATTGCCAAAGATTGATGCAACATGTTTATATATGATATGAGAAATCCTCCAGTTAACATATGGGTCATTTAAAGGCAGTATGTCACACTGTTCATTGGTTTGCCAAAACAAAAAACGAAATATTAATTTCAGTGAGTTTTCATTTCGTAACAAAGGATGCCTCTCACTTGCTATTGTTCAATTTGTCATGCTTCTCTAATTTTGAGGACCCTCAAAATTCAACTAAAAATCGCAAATTGACAGCGCAACACTGTCTTTAATAAAATTCTTGCTCTCTACAGATTAATTGTTAAATGGAGGAAGAATTCAAATAAGGAAGATGCTAATTAATTGTTTTAACAATGAAGGCATTCACATCAGTGTTTACTAGGAGTTTTCTATACATAAAGAAAACAAAAAGAAACATGTAAAAGGTTTGAGATATAGTGTGTTGTACTCTCTTTGAAATGATAAACCACATATTGTTATCAACCTTTTAAATTTGTTGAGTGTCTGTTAGTGGCATAAATGAGGAGGGATTATTACACTTAGCTTAAATAAATGGCTATGAAACCTGAAATGTTCAGAAATAGCTATAACTGGGTTTGTTGTAGTGAAGCATTACCTGATCAGAAATTGGTGCATCAGTTGGTAAAATGATTTTATTCTGAATGGCTCCAATTCGTACAACCCTAGGGGCTCGTAGTTGCTCTACAGCAGCATTTATCTTGTATCCAGCAATGGCAAATTGCTTTGATTCAGCAATTTGCTTGGCTTTTGCTGGAAGTTCCAATTCACTTAAATAAAAAATTGTCAAATTTTTTTACTTTTTCAGCTTGAGGTTTGATTCATAATTCTATATTCATGCAGAAAGTATATCTCACTTAGCATTTTACTTTAAAAGAATATCTTACTAAACATTTTACAATAAGTTCAAATAAAGATTATTTTGTCATGTATAGACTGGCTCAGTGGTTAGGGTCACAGACTACAGGTCCAAAAGTTTGGGGTTCGACTCCTGTCCATGACCAAACTTTCACTTAGTGAATGTAGTTACCAGCTCTCTGTGTAATTCCAGGTGTACGGATCACGACCCAGACTGCAGAGTAGGGCAGTTTCCAATGAGATCTCGAGTGTGTAAGAGCAAAATTTCAAATGTGCAAGTTTGCATTTTGGTATAAGTGGGCACTCAATTATTTATATAGTGCGCACAACATCGAGAAAGATAGGGAAATGGACATAATTGATAATTGCTTTGTATCTATCAAACCAATACAAGATTATGTAGATCTTGAGGAACCATGATTCTTTATTTGCCCTTTGCAATAGGACACACCAATGTTATGCCCAGATCTCAAAATGCTACACTCTTTACCAAGTGTGCATGGACATTTTAAAAAAAATATCTCGGGTGTGCTCTTGCCATACACTGGTGTCTGGATCGCGACGAGGTGTGACCACATTAAGAGGAAAGACTAAGGAACTGCTGGGTAAGCATAGCTTCTAAGTGTCAAAAAATGAACCACTTTCAAAAGCTCGGCTATAGTATGCAGTATCTGTACTTATTAGCCTAAAGTGAGGAGAAAGGCCCAATAAATGCCAAAAGTACAGGTAAGTACGTCGCCAAGCAATGGGCTATTCCATTTGATACCTGTACATGGGGATGGAAGTAAAATTCCAGGGGGGTCTGGCACGAAGGATAATCCAGGGGGTATCAGACAAATGTATGCTTTTTCCAGGGGGTTAAAAGAAAAAAATATATGAAGTTTTCCAAGAAGTATTGAAAAATGTACGATGTTTTCTCAAATGGGTTAAGAAAATTCATTAAAAAGAATGACATTAATTTTCCGGGGGGATGAAAGAATCAAAATCAGAGTGGTCATGATCTTCAAATTCACTTTCCGGGGGATATATGATTAACAGAAATTTTACTTCCATCCCCCTGTATGGAGAAAAAATGGAATAGCCCAATGATACATGCAATGATACAAAGCAATGATTGAAGAATTGCATCCTAAGTGCCATTCATCCTTTATCATTCTAAGCCATACCTGGTTGGCCTTCCATACAGGAGTCGGTTTACCTCTTCTAGTTCTTCGGGGTCCAAACGTTTAGCTAAAACATCATCCAAACTTCTAATGTCAGGTTTCTTCTTTTCCGCCATATTGCCACTGCACACCTTATTCGGCCTCTTTTCGATGTTGAGCTCAATATGAGCACAGAAATGGGTGGAAGAGGGAAGTACAGTGTGATGGGATAAAATTGGGAAAGTACGACGACAGTGTGCCCACAAGATAAAATAATATTTGAAATAAAATTTTAGAGATTCTTTGTCTATTCCTTCGGGTTTTAGGGCCTTTTAGAATATTGGTTGAATCCCTAGCTTGCTAATACACTTTTTTATAAGACAGTGCCGTCTTGAGGGGGCTGCCCATTGTATTCCTTCTCACTTAAGTAAACTGTTTGAAAGGAAAGATACTACAACTTGGCAATTATTGGGGGCTCCAGCCCCCCAGGTTCCGACGGGCCTGTAAGAAGAATCAATAAGAACACAAATTGGTCAAAAGTTAAAGAACATGTAAAAACCATGTAAAAACCATTTTTCGGTAGAACTTTTGTCCCCACTTCATATCGCAGAGGCGGATCTAGGGGGGTGCTATGGGTGCTTGAGCACCGGTCAGAATTTTCGGAGATATAACATTTAATGCATTTTCTCTAATCTCTGAAAAACGTCTTGAATTCTTTTAGATGATGTAAATGTATTTTCCAGTAAACTGATGACATACGGTCATGCGTTAGTTAGCATAACCTGTATCTGCTTTAAACTATAAATACCTAGAAATTTAATGTCGAGCTGCCCTGGAACCAATTTTTTTACTTGTCCATCAAACCACACTCTCGGCCAATGAGCTACTTCAATTCTACGGGTGCTTGAGCACCCCTATCAATCAACCTCTATGGTCAAAGTTGCAACTGAGCCAATCACATCACGCTCTGATATGTTTTTCTGCAATGTCGAGCACCCCTATCAATCAAAACAAGGCTTCAACCAATCCGTTTGACAAATTTCGGCTCATCTGAGCACCCCTATCAATCATTTAATATACACTGGTGCATACCGTCACTGAAACGACTAAACCTGTTCGTGTAGCAGCAATGGCGGACATAAAGTCGATGCTGTTGCAGGTGTTCTCGATTCTTAGTTGCCAGTCGACTGAGGAAATTGAAACAGAAAACGAGCTTTTGAGTATTCAGTCAATCGTGAGAGAAGTTTTTGATAAGAGCGTGGTGAATGGTGTCGTGACTTGTGGGAATGCACAGATCGATGAGTTCGCTGAACTGCAAATGCCAAAGGTTCAAGTACTGTCCCGTGGAAGTTCTGACCTTCGGCCTTTCAGGTTGGTAGTTTCCTTTACCAGGCTTTAAATGCAAAACGTTTTAACAGAATATTTCTTGGATTAATTCGACAAAAATATCGAATTTTACAGAGAAAAATGCGCACCCCCAAAAAAGTGGTGCCAAGGATTTTTGGTTGTTGGGGTGGTATGGTAATTACTACCAGAATGAATTCGATACCCATTTCTTGCCAAATGCAGATGACCCTAAAAACGTACTACTTCAACACAAGGTACTTAGTAAAACAATCAATTTTTATAAACAAATTCTTACAAGTATTGATTTAAAGGCATTGAGTCATGGTAATTAGGCCTTCTCTATAGGGGGTCATTTGGATTCGGCGTGATCGCTGCTGTTTCATGTGATACTTGCATCCGTTGTTGACAACTTGCTATTGATGGAAATTGTTTTGTCAATCAGTACGAGGTGAGTTCATGTGACCAGTTCAAGGTCAACCAATAGCATGGCATTCATGAAAATCATGACTCAGCGGATTCTGGCACTTAGGGTATACCCAATCCATTTTATCATGACTCAATGATATTTAACTCAATTTTCGTATAGTAATGGTCAGTTAACGTATCAATGATTCATTTTGCTTTTTTTGTTTGAAACATTTTAGCTGCCTTTTTACAAAAATGAACCAGTGTCTGAATATTGCAGAGCAATCAAATATTGACTAACGACCTAAAATGTCATTCATTGATTAATGTGATGTACAAACTGCGAAGGTAGCAGTGTTATTTTTAACTAGCATTGCTAGCAAATAGGCTTCTAACAAAAGAGATAATTTGTTATATAGTTATGCTTTAATACCTGAATTTAAAAAAGATTAATTTATCAAGATGGGTGTTGCCTTCATTTAACCGTAAGTAAAAGTGAGGTGTGGCATTATTATGGCTATTAAGGCAACGCCCTTAAGCACCCCTCAGATTTTCCGCTGGATCCGCCTCTGTCATATGACCGAAATCTTTTCAGGGGTTGAAATTTTGCGTTGGTGCCTCGTTGAGAACAAGCTGAGGCTGAGCAACTGTTAAATATAATTTTTAAAATTTTGGCCTCTAGGGGATGTTTCTTCGGCGAACTTTCAGCAAATAAAGGATGCAATGGCGGATATAGGCCAAATTTGAAGGGGGGCAGTTGATAATGCGAGCGCTGAAAAATTTTCTGAAATTGGTGACGAGAGTATGGTATAGTCTACAACAAATTTCCAACCCTAACTACTTAAAGAAAGTCCTCTTTACTCGTTCTGTGAAATGATTTCAAAACAATTGCATCAAAGAAGTAATATATAGTCTGAACATAACTGAAGGTCTCTGACTTCAACTTCTCTCCTATTCGGTAAATTTGCTGGCTGCAGTGGCGGCGCCACCTACATCAGAGTAGGGTGGTAATGGGCGTGGCCAGTAAGACCACGCGCCTTTTGCCTTGTTTCAGTGCTTTGTACCAGATGAATTTTCCTTAGGCAAAAACGTGATCTACCCCTACCTATAGCTTTTTAATCAATTTCTGAAGAAGTATGTGGACCATGTTTGGTTTAAAATGGGGGGGGGAGTAGTTACCCTCTCCCCCCATACCCCTTTTGGCGCTGTCGCTTATGTCAGAACGTTAATCTACTACCTTTCTTGGCGTAGCGCTGAGAATCATGTTCCTGTAAACCTGTAGAAGTATGAGGCTTTCTATTTGCAGCTCCATCATTGTTGATCGAGCTGCTGTTAGAAAACTTTGCAACTGAGTTGGACTTAAATGGTCTTACGGGGAAATCCAACTTCAGGGGCCGAAATCTCAGAAAAGCGTCACTATTGAAAAGGGTAAAGTAAACGCCGCAATCTTGGCTGATAACAAAAATACTGAGACTATAAAATTAAAGGGACCGCAGGAAAATGAGTCTGGAGTATTCATATCATTCTAGGCAGAGTGGAACCAAGGATTCTAGGCACAGTAGACAAACATTGTATTATGATTATGCTCCATAGATCTATCTGGTTTGATTTCGATATTAAGATTGAAAAATTTTATTAGTGCAAGAAACTGAGCACGATTAAACCATAAAACATAATCATCAAGAAAGATTAAGCGGCTTTGCAATGGGCAGAAATAATTTTTGCTTAAGTGTGCTAAACATTGGAATTGATTAGATACCGGAGTTAAGCGGGCAACATCTCTGACTAGATTCAAAACTTTCCTCCTAAAGTTTTGTTTTTATATTATACTTCAGACTTCTAGGAGGGGGTAAATATTATAAGTAAAACATGACTTATTTAGGGAAATGGAAATGAAAATATTGTAAAAGGGTATTGAAAATTGCGTGGGTATGGTAAGGAAAAATTGAAAGGTAGTGTATTACTTTTACATATAGCTTTTCTACTATTTTAGATGCACGACTCCTTGTAAACCAGCATTGCTGAATTTGCTACCATGCCTAAATGGTTGAAAATGGAATGAAATATAAGTGAATGCAAGTTTCATCATTTTTTGCAAAATAAAATCGCAAAGTTTCCACTATCCAACCTTTTTGAAGTCAAGCAAATCAGCCCAGCTAATCGTTCTTTTGTACAGTCACGCTCTGCCCTAGCCACTCCCAATCTAACCATCTAGACTCGCATCTCACGCCCCCCCTCTTCCAAACCTTTCGTCCAACTCCTTCGACCCCAAGCTCAGTAAATCATGGTTCAATCGATCTTGGTGCATCCTTATACTTTACTGCAATGAGTAACTTGTCTCGGTTACTTGACATCGCCGAAGTTCCGTCATAACTTGCCCGTCGCAGAAGCTTTAATCGAATCCTTTCGGCTTATCTCCCTCAAGATAACCTTTCCAATGTTTTCCCCAGACACCTCTATCTCTTCTATTGCCTTTTTACGATGGGTCGCAGAAACATATTTACCTGATTCTCATTCATCACAGGGGCACAAAATTTCAAAAAATGTGCGCCAGGTCTGCCCCTATAATCATCTATGATCACTTAAAACCCCCTCTCGATAATTACGCAAAGTATGAAACAATTTTCTATGAAATCACACTAAAATACCCATTATCGTGCTCTGCAGAAAAATTCAGGGCGCCGTTATTGCTCAATAAAGAAAAATAGGAAAATATGATTGATTTACGAGTATAGTTTTCATAAAGGAACACTCAGTTAAAATAGAAGAATTATTTTTAGAAAATTTTGGGAGAAAATTATGAAAAATTAATTTTTCCCTATAAACCGTGAGGGACATTATGATGTGAATGCTCCATATTCATTTTCCTGCTGTCATTTGAATTTCATAGTTTCAATATTTTTGTTACTAGCCAAGATTGCGAATCTTTGCCCACTAGAAATCGGGAAAATATGTTTTTCTGAGGAAAAAATTGCCAGCCGAAACACTTAAATGAACTCGTTCCGGACGCCCTGGGCCGCCGAGAGGTTTCGGATTCAACATTTCAAATGTAGCATTCTCCTAGAAATGTTGCAGTTTTTGGAAATGTAGTAGATTGGCGACATTTCCACTATAATGGCGTGCCAGAAGCAGATATTTCCTAGATATTTACGCTTTGCAACATCATTTTACCGATGCAATGGACTTAATAAACCACACTTTGTTACTATAGTAACGAGCAAAAATACAAGCAATAGTTCTTTTTTCATTCTTTATCATCAACTGAGTGGCTTTACATTAAAATTTAATCATCAACACCAAAAGAAAACTTACCTCTTTTTTCAAATGAAAAGATGTCAGCAATACCGGAGAACGTTTTCCCTAATGAATACAATGCTTTTTACAAGTAATTACTGTTCTTCACACAAGTACAAAAATGGTACCCATTAATTCTACTAGATTAATTAATCAAACGTCCAACGATTTTTAAAATAATTTGTGATTGATTTGTTGCCTCAACTTCATATTCTTTTCTTTGTCAATGAACAAGGAATTAACTTTGATTTCGATATCCTCTTCCAGAGATAGCTGCGTGCGACAAAGTGCCTTTAGCGAGTTTTCAGATTCTGCAAGCATTTCTCTCAGCCTCTCGATGTTGAAGCTGATTTCCCCTACTTCATTCACAAGTCGATACTGGACACGATCACGGCACAATTCCACATTTGGGCGCAGTGTTCGGTTGTCCAGTCGCGTTTGTGCTACTTTCATTGGAGCTTCTTTTTCAGCTATAGCATGCTCGAGGCTAGCAACGTTGTCTTCCATTTCTCTAATTTCTTCAAGCACCTGGAAGGTTCATTTAGGTCAGTATAAGATTCGCCGGTTATGTGTAAGACAAAAAGATAGCCAGCACCAGGGGCGTCGAGAAGGGGGTTAGGAGGGGGCAAAATGCCCGGGGTCCGTGCTCCGATGGGGCCCCTTATAAAGTAACAAGATCTATTTAAAAACTATTATTTCAGCTACTCATACGGAATCAACGTCTGTAAGTTTATCGCAGAGAAATGTCCACATGTCCTTGATTCATGTAAAATATTTTTGCACATTCTTGTAAAAGCTCTTAGAAAACCTTTTCTTGGTTTTTCATTAATTTAACACAAAAGCATAATTTTCTTGCACATAGACTTGTTAGTTTTTAGAAGGAGCAGCTAGCATCTCCTCATGTTTGAGCATGCTAGCCTTCCTTCAGAGAAGGATAAAATGAAACTAGTTTCCCCCCTAGATATTTAACCCCCCTAGCTTGATAACTCAACCCCTTTGTCAGAAAATTTCAGGGGCCAACTTTGACGATATTGCAGGACTGAAGATTAATTTACCAAAAAGGTTGTAATAATCTTTGTAAGAGATTACCTTATTGAGGTGATCTTCAAGCTTTGTTTTGGCTTTTTCAGTTTCTTCAATTCTTTTCTTGAAAGCAAGATTTACAGTGGTACACTGCTTTTGCTGGTCATTGTAAACTTCTTGAAGAATCTCATCAATCATACTCCTTAAAGTTTTTGATGAGTTGCATTCTCTCTCTGCCTTTAGAAAGTTTTTATTGCTGAAGGATTCCCATTCTTCTGGAGTGACAGAGCTGAAATGTTTATAAAAGATAAAAGTTAAAATTTTTGTCATTTCTTCAGCTGGAGCACTGAAACAACTCATTCTGTATAAAGTGTTCACTAAAAACGAAATTTCATGGCAAGATAAATTGAAAAGCTGCAAAATGAGGTAGCCAGTTTAGCAATTTACCAAACCTGAATAAACTTCTATAAAAGAAACAGGAAGTTGGTTGTATAATTGAAAAATTTCATGCATATTTTCACTTAAAGAGTGTAATACAACCATCAACCATTGCAAAAATTGATAGTTTACACTCATCCAGAAAAATAAGACATAAAAGTTGATAAAAATTGATCAAATAATTGATCAAATTTTGGATTCTGCAAAACTTAACAAAACAAAAGTTAGTAAAAATACATGCATTTTGTCCCAAGAAAGAAACCTTAGACATACTTTGTTTCAATCTTGACAGACTTTGGTGCATAGTATAAACCTGGACTGTCATTCTGAAGGTCGGCACATTTGTTGTCCAATGAGAGAGCTGTAAACTTGTCATTGATATCTTTGCCTAAGTAATACTTAGCTGATCGAAGCAATCTAAAAAAGACAAAGAAGTAGATTGTGATATTGAATGGAATTCAATCAAACACAAGTTAATACATACATGACAGCCTTTTGACTAAAAAGTGCATGACAATGTACTACTTCCTACAGGAATGAACTGTAGCCACTTTTAAACTGATTGCTGAACTTTTTAACTAAAACTACGAAGCTATCTTAACTGGAAGATCAGAAATTCAAAAGATTGAAACATACCTGATTTGCTCTGTAGCTTGGTCCAATGTTTTCTTTAAAAGTGCTTGAACACCCTCTATGACTTCTACTTCCTGTAAAAATAAGATTAAAATTGTTGATGTTATCATAAAACTAAAGTTTTTATAATAAAAGCATTAAGTGTAGGTTTGAAATTCAATGAAATTCGTAAGTTCTCTTCAAAATACCGGTTTGAGATGCAAAATAACTATTTGCTGGATGTTTATTGAGATGATTCATTGTAATAATATTAGCTACAAAATAGTTTGCCTTCAATTTTTGGTTTTACATATAAAATTAAAACTTGAATCTAACCTTGATAAGCTGAATTTCAACGTCATCGTGAACTAGATCGATTTGAAGTCTTTCATTTCTGTTGGCTAGACACTGCTTCGCAACATGAAGGGGGAGTTGTGTTCCATCCAGTGCCTTCTCGAGTCGTTCTTTGTATTGAATCAAGGCATTGATTTCATCGTCGGTTTCGCCATGTAGGCGGTCGATTTCAGATTTCCAAAAGTTGATGTCTTGTATCCGTTGATCTAATTTCTTGTTAACATCGCTTTGTGTCTTAATTGTGGTGATATGTACTTCGTGTTTAAGCCTGTTGCTTTCGTCGCGTATCATTTCCGCTGATTTTCTTTCTCTTTCTGCACTGTTGTAATTCAGATGATTCGAGCGATGCCATTCTTCTGGCGTGTATTTAGTAGGATGCTGTACTAGCCTTGCCATATTGTAGTTTATTGTTCTCTGCGATGTATTTTCTGTCCGAAACTTGAGTTGCTTGGAGAGAATGTGTAAAGGCCTCTTCAAGTTTGTGATTAAGTTTATCGCGTAACTTAGCAACGACTAGTTCAATAAAAAGTATCGAGGCAAAATCCACCGCAGCTTGTTCAGTGCTAGGCAAGCTCACTGATCTGTGGGCAGTGGGCAAGCTAGAGCGAAGGCACGAGGTGTCACAGGCAAGGCAATACCTTATCTTTCTTTTTAGCCATTATCTGAAATTTAACTATTGAGAAGATTCGGTCAAAGATTGTGTTCAGTATGTCACAAATTGTTTATCTCCATTTCTTACAAAATTTCATATCATCTCCTTTGCGTAACATTTTTGTCACATTGAAATCATAATTGAAGCGTGATACCAGTGATTCCCATCCTGGGCCAAAGGGTATAGCTAATGATTGTCCGAGTGTTTACTCTCGTTAAATCGCTCCCAAGTAACTTTTTCATTTTGAGGACAGGGACCGAGTCAAATGTTCCAAAAATAGGAAATGAGGTAATTCATAGTCCTTGTTTCTTGGCATGACATTTTGAACCACAGATAGTATGTGATTGTTAATTTCTGGAAACATGGATCTGTATGCAGTCAAGTCAAACAGCAAAAGAACACATTACCTTGGGGTATTCAAACGTAAAAGGTAAACTAATTCACGGAATTGGAGTACCAATACTGTTCTTATTCTTTTGTGGTAGTCACGAGCGGCTCCGTGTTTTACTCTACACTACTGGTTTTGATTTCTTGTTGTAGGGAATAACTCTTTCAGTCTTCACGAAATCTTAGCTGATTTTAAACATCAAAACAATCTTCAATTGCGTTCGTTTATGGGATGCTAAGCATTCTTTGCACCCTTGACCTTTAGTGCTTTTCCAACGGGGCTGTCGTACTCTGAAAACGGGGGCTTTTGCAAAATTTCTTGAAAATATGATAAGTAGAAACCGGTCAATTTTTTGATATCAGTTCAGCCTCTCTTAGCCCACACTTGTAGCAATCCCAAACTTCCAATGTGTCAAGTACGTGCATTCTCAGTCCTATATTGCAATACCATCCTGTTTTTCATTCTGAGGACTGGGACCAAGTTCAATGTTCTAAAAATAGCTTTTAGAGAAGATTTCAGCTTGGGTCTGTTTCGCATATTTTTCTAAAGCCCTACACAAACTAACCTGGGTTCGCCCTGGGTTAAAAGTTATCCTGGTCGAACAATAATTGCGGGCTTCGTACAACTTCGTACTTGGGTTGGCGCTTTGCTTTGTTTTGCATTCGGCGTTATTTCCGCCACTGTGCATGCAGGGGTGGCGCTAGAAACTAAACCACGATATACCGAAAATCTTAGAAAAATTGAAGTGCCGACGACTAAAAAAGATGGTTGACGACAGGGACGCCTGCACAAGATTAGGGCAGGAGGGGCAGTGTTGGTGCCGAGGGCAAATCGTTGAAGTTTTCTATTAAAATTATCGAGCATTTCTAGGTTGGACGGGCGCGAGGGTGGGGTAACATAATAAAATATTAACTTTAAAATATGCCACCCATACAGAAACATAAAGAAAATTTGGACGAAATTATCCATAAATGAAAATGGTTATTAAATGGCCTTATCGCTATTCACAATAATTGGTTTTACAAAAATCATGGCTTCTATAAATGGACTGGTTGTAAAATTTTGATTGCCCGCTAAGTTTTATACCGATTTATCCTCCTTAGGTTCCTGGAGTACATCTGAGGGGAGTACACATCTTTTGTTTATCATATATTATATTTGCCGCTCTCCCGCTTGTGGCCGACCTTGTCACAGACAAACTTTTCATTCTCTGCATTTTTGTGCTGGTGTTATCATCTTTCTAGTATTTTCTAATAGATATCAACATAACGAGAGTAGTCAAAGTGGTGAACATATTTCAGGTCACTTCTTGCCCCCTCTGCCCCTCTTCGAAGAGCCCCTCCAGCCCCCCCTGTGAAGGCGCCCCTGGTTGCCGACATATTTCACGAACTCCCCTTTACAGTATCTTTAAATCTTGAAATGTTTTGAAAATGAATGAATGGAAAAATGTTTTGATTTGTCAATCAAATCGTGTATCCTTCTTTTAAAAATATCGACGACAACGTTAAGGTCAAGCATCTTGCCCCGCTTTGACTGAATATCAAGGAAATATCTTGCTGACAGTGAAAATGGCTACGCATTTAATAGTTGTCACAAGCCCTGGGACAGGACTACAAAAAAGGATTACCTGCGAACGAAGCGAGCAGAAAAAATTTGCGACCACGCCCTTTAGTTTTGCTGAAAAGACATTCCAGAATATTTCTTGGAGCCATCTTTCAATTTTTTTACTTTCCTTTGGCATAATTTTTTTAATGGGTCGTTTAGCACTTGGAAAGTATTTCAAAAAGGAGTCGCACAAGGATCAGTGTTAGGGCCTCTCTTATTTAACGTGTATATTAATGACCTTTTTCTTCTGATGAATAGAGCCGAAATATGTAACTATGCAGACGATACCACTATCTACATATGCCACTCTGAGGTCAAAAATGTCATTGGCGGACTAGAACAAAATGTCATCCAACTATCAACCTGGAATCCTGAAAACTATATGAAATTAAATGCAGACAAATGTCATTTTATGATTTTTGGCGAGAAAAAAGAAAAGATGAAATTAAATGTGGGAATGGCGGTAATAGAGGAAAGTGACGAAGAAACATTACTTGGAGTAACACTAGATACAAATCTTAACTTCAAAACTCATGAGCAGACTCTTTGTAAAAAGGCCAGCCAAAAACTGCATGCTTTATTTCGCATTTTGATTTTCATGGAATCCAAAACATGAAATTGATGATGAGCACTTTTATAATGTGATAATTCAGCTACTGCCCATTAATCTGGATGTTCCATGACAAAAATATTAATAACAAGATAAACAGGATACAGGAAAGGTCCCTTCGAATCACATACAAAGACAACACTTCTCCTTACGAGAAATTGGTAGAAAATGATATTTCGGTATCTATACATCAGAAGAACCTACAGTTGCATAATCTGGATTGCCCATGGTTGAAATTTACGAAACAAGGAATCACTTGAATTCCTCGTTTATGATGAAAATTTTTGAGGAAAAGGCAATGCCGTATCGACTAAGAAGCTCGAGCAATTTAAACCTACCAAAAGTGAGAACCACATGCTATGGTACAGACACCGTAAGGTTCATCGGTCAAAGAATATAGGCAAAATTACCTATAGAAGAGAACACTTCAGTCTTTTTGACTGTTTTTAAAAAACATCTTAAGACAACAAAATGCAAACATTGCAATTGTAGGATTTGCAAAACTTTTATATATGGTTTAGGTTTTTTGTAATTATTAAATATTTCTTTTGTATACACCTTTTGCAAATAGTTGGCCTTAATTAGCTTTTATTTTTAGCTATTTCGAACAGCCAACTTTAAATTAAAGTATTAGTAATAAGGAGGGCATGTCCTCGGTTTTGCCGACCCTGATTGAAATAACAAAACTGACTGTCCAGTTTTAAATGGCTTGAGGTTCTTGAAATTCTTAACGTTCAAGATTGATTAAATTGTTTAAAATTGATATTGTTTTTTCCTAACACAGCATTATCTAGGCTTCTACGTGCTATATCATTGGCATATTGAATAAGGTCTGTGACTAAATGACAATAATCCGAATGGCTAGCTGGAATGCTTACAGGAGGTCCCAATCCTTTTTCTGTAACCAACTTGTTGTGGATTTCGGTTCACATGAATATTTCCAAAAAGAACACACCACGTTTATGTAGTTTTCTCCGATTCCAAATAATTCTTTTAAGCAATCACATGCTATATTTTAAGATTTAAATCTACACAAGTCAACGCATAGGCAAGTAAAATGAGAAAGAGAGAAAACAGATTTACCGAAATAAAAGAAACATATTCACCGAAATCTATAGATTACATCAGTAAATGGTGAGAAAAGGTGCCCATGTCACAGATCAAAGGACCCATGGGTGAAAGTGAAAGGATGGGCACAGTGCGATCGCGTTCCAGTATCCCTTGCAAATCTTACCGCTGCTTATCTAAAGTTCATCAAATTTCTATGATCAGATTTTGCAAAATATTACCTCAACTTTACAAAGCTTCTTAGTATTGCATTTCTTGTAGCATAGTTCGCCCCTCACTAATGCTGGCTTGTCAAAGAAATTTCACTTTTCCGCGTGTTCCACGTGTTCCGCGTATTCCGCGTGTTCTGCGTGTTCCGCATTTTCCGCGTTTTCGACCTGGCCTTGCTTGTCAAAGAAATCCAGCATCAAATCCAAATCCAGTATATAATCAAAAATGAAAGCAAAATAAGTTTCTCCACGGGATGATGTTTTTAGATAAAAGATCGATAGGCTGGAGACTGGGATAAGCCGGTCAAAAATTTCAAATATCGAATTTTCGTAAAAACAAAAACAAAAGTCAAATAACTAAGTCAAGAAACGTAAGACAAACAAAAGCAAAGGTCAAGGAACACAAATTGATTAATTTATCCTAGACCAAAGCAGGTTACTTTCGAGGCAAAAAGTCTCCCATCGTTAGGACCACACATTTTGAATTCTTTGCCTAAAGAAATTTAATTAGATAAAAATTCCAACATTCGAGAGACTGATTAAACATTGAGTTGGGCCAACTTGCGGCTGTAGTACTGTAGTTGTATTTGTAGCTAGCAACCGAAATATGCCTATCAAGTGTACAGTCTCAGTCGATTTATATTATTTTGTTTTTAAATTGTGTGAAATTAAATCAAAATAAGATGGTAAAAAAGAAACAAAGTCCAATTTTCGATAACAACTTTGATCTGTTTGTAAAAGGCATGGTTTTCCAATTGTTGAATAAGGAACAATTAAATTTTTTACTGACTTGTCATTAAAACAACTTCAATTTATTCGCTTTCATGTAAATGTTCTGTAACGTTCCAGAATACACTTTTGAAGTCGTGTGCATGTTGTCAAAATGGCTAAGAATTCAGTTATTACGGGAGAATTGTTTGAGGCACGCCTTATACTAAAATCTGGCTAAGTACACCATATTCTTACAACCTGGTAATTATATCACAATGTGACCAAGAGCACAGTTCAACTTGAAAAATATTGCATTTATTGCTTCACTCTACTGATTCGAAAGAGGTTGCAGTAGTGAACCGAATTTTTCAAGGAAAAGACCATATCGTTTTCGTACTTCTTTAATTTTCTGCTGAATTCCACATACAACTGTTGCGTGACTCTACTTCACTCATCCTTTACCTACACGTAGCGCGACACTACTCTACTTTCTTTAGTGTTTCTATTTTGATCTTTTGTATAAAATTGTTCCATTTATCTAATAATGCTGATTAATATACCAATATTCTTAACTTCGGGTTTTTACTGCGATTTAACCATATACCTGTGAATCATGCATAATTTTGTGTGTATTTATTGTATGTTCCCACTAGGCTCTCAAACTTACTGTATCCCTAAGTGTTTAATTTGGTTCCTTAAACACGTGCATAACTAAATCTATGCATACTACTACTTATAATTTAAAAATTTCCACCAAAACACGTGCGAGCACGTCTGCAGCACAATAAAGGGGCAGGGCTAAAGATCAAATTTCCATAAAAACTTCCAAAAATTGGCAATATATCTCACACTCTTTGAAAAATTGTGTTGTTTTTGGGCGCTATAGCCAGCCTGCCCCCAACCACTGCGTCTCTAAGTGAAACAATAGAAATTTTTGCAGCATTAATAAGTAGTTTTCCAGCAAACAAAAGAAACGAAAGTAGAAAAACACTCCTTTTATAGATCAATTTTGACAGATCACGCACTTTTATGAACTTACTCGGACAAGATGCAAACGCAAAGTTATATATTGAACTACCAATGTTGAGAAAAAACAGCCACATTCGCATACTAGAGCACGTCCAGAACAAACACTGTTAATAATATCACGGAGCAGTCTAATGCTGTATATTCGACGTTGCTCAATAGATTATATCTGGACAAGAAACTGGAAAAAGGAGTCAGGTTTGTTGTAGTTCTTGTCTTTTGCTGCCTTTTGTCAGGTGGAATAATACATAAAGCTTCGTCTTCAGTGCATTGAAGTCTTTTTATTTCAAAAATGAATAATACAACGCTTGCCGAAAACTACAGTTGCAGCTCACTCTGGCCACTTGGTATGCCGAAGGCCCATCTTTTCGTCTGGGCATCACTTCTTGCCGTACTTTCTCCAGTTACGATTGTATCGAACCTCGTACTTATTTATGCTCTACAGAAGACAAAGCAGCTTGCAAGTATTACAAACAAACTTGTATGTATTATGTGCATTTCAGATCTTTGCACAGGCCTATTTGTCCTTCCTGGTATCACCGCGATGATTGCATTGGAGGACAAACTTCGAAACTGCACCTTTGAGCTGACAATGCAATACATGGCTTTTGTTCTGGCATACTTTTCTTTCTTCATCCTGATGAGCGTATCGCTTGACCGCTACTTACACGTAACGAAGCCCTATCGCTACAAACAACTTGTCAACGAGTTCCGCATGAAGGTACTTGTTGCGGCTGCGTTTCTAGTATCGTGCACAGTTGCGGCGATTTCAATCACATATCCATCATTCGTGATTCAAGTTATTTTGAACGTAACGGATATTTCTTGCGTGGTTATCGTCTTCATCCTATATGTTTTTGTTTTTAAGAAGATTTCCAAACACAAAGAAAATATTCGAAAGTTCATGCGTGAAAACGGGGCCAAAAAAGCTAAGAGGGCCGCATGCCGTGAGATTTCAGCAACAAAAACAATTCGTGTGCTACTCGTTACTTTGTTTGCGCTTTACCTACCATATAACTTTTCATCAGCAGCCTGGACTTACTACAAGTTCAAGCTGGTGACTGAACCCGGTTTGGGGCTTGATGTTGTCGAGTACATTTCATACATAATTGTGTTCGCAAACGCAAGCGCAAACGCAATAATCTTCGGGCTGGGAAACACGAGCACTAGAAGATTCCTGAAACAGCTGGTTGGTTATTCTTTAAAAAGTCAACAATCAACTCTGTCTACGGATGGTATTGGATCAGACGCTACAAGTGAAACATCTAACGCTGGGAAGTATAACGTCTAAAGTGACGTCAAAGGGATAGGTACTCGATGTAATCAGGCCCAAGAAACAAAGCAAACCTATTCCGCATAGTCAGTGGTTTCGGATTTACGAAATGAAAGTGAAATCAAGTTGAACGAAAAGATATTGTATTAGGATTTCTTGATCAGATTATTTTCACATTTAATTGGCTATTATCTCGTTTTCTTCATTCTTGGAAATCAGCTGGCAATAAAGTCTTGAATGATTTTTCTAGCAGCGGATCAGCGTTTAACAGTGGGAAGTTTGAAGGCATGGGAAATGTGAAAAGGAAAGGGCGGCGGTCACTCTTTGCAAGGCACGCTTAAGTTTCACTTTCCGTCGTAAATAAGATTAAAAATAGACGATTAAATGAACAAGGCTGATAAGGTTGGACCGTAGGTGCTTTGAAAGTGCCACATCATTGTTTAGTAGTCGTCATAACTAAAACAGCCGGTCGCATAATGAAAGAGTCATCGAAACTGAACGAGGGTCGTTTACGCCAGTAGTGTCTGAAACCAATGGAGCAATGGTGAGGGAGTGCCTGATATATCATCATTTCTATAGCTTGCAGCCAAATTAGCGAAAAACAGGGAGAAAATAACTTGAAGTTGTCACGGAAATTAAAGCTAAAATGTCGCCGAAATGTTCTTATGCAAAATATAAAAATTAACGCTCTTATGCAAAAGTTGTTCGAAAACAGTCTTTTAACTACAGTTAACCTACAATTTTGATTACAATTCCTTTGTTGATTTATATGTTAAAATATATGTTAACCTATTTAAATTAGCTGTAATCAAAACTTCATCTAAAAAATCTGACTAATCAAATCAAATCAAATCAAAACTTTTTTTCAGCAACAAATCAATTAATTACAAGATACGTCATGCTAGTTGTTAAAATACAATCGTTAATAACAATAAAGATTACATTACAGGGACTACCCAATTATCAAAGCAATCGTCAATCAAAAAGATTCTTACCAAATCCCTTCTACAATTTGCATGTATATTTCTTTCTACTTAGCATCAGAAGGTAGTTTTCAGGACACTGAAAAGCTATGCTTATCGAGCAGTGTCATGGTCTTCTGCACAATGTGACTATACCTCATCATGATTCCTACGCCTAGAATTGCATAGAGCTGGCGACTCGTCTCATTGTTGGTCAATGTTTGGGCATGTCAGGAAATCAAACAACAGATCTTTGGATCTGTAGTCAGTGACCCTATTCACTGAGCCATTCTCGTACCAACACAATTTATTAACATCAGAACAAATGTGTACCCCACTTTCAAAGACCACCGAAACATGATGGCGCATATCTTAAAGAGAGGATTTTCGATTTCTATTCCTCCACAGCAGTAGCGAATGTAGTGGTCCTTTGAGACTTTGATTAATATGGAGATTGAGGACCAGGTTCTTCAATGATGAATTATCACAATCACCATAGTTTCATGACCACCGCACACGTGCTTTGAATCTGACAAAGGAAGATTCTTAGACCTCATTATAACTAACAACAATCCTAATTTTCTTTAGAACCAAACATTTGAAACAAATTATAGCAAGGACTGCGGATCATATTACGGACTGAAGAGGTTTGAACTTTTCTGCATAATTTGAAGAACATTTTGGAATTTATTGGGAGGCTATGGCTATAGCTTCAGTGCCCCCTCCCACGGTTCCTGGATTTTAATGACTTTCGTTATCTAGTTTACACTGTTTTCAAGACTATCTATCCATTAAGTAAGCTCATAAAAGTATGACTCACAGGTGTTTTAATATCTTATGTTTTAATTCAGTTCTAATGTAGTTATGTTATGTTCAGATTTTGTTCAGATTATGCTTCATTCTACGAAAACATAGAATTGATTTTTAGAATTTGTTGGGAAATCTTGATTAAAAATTGATTTCAAAATTGATCTTTATGGATTATCAAGCCCGAATTCAGGGAAAACTTTCCGGGGGTAGCTAGAGCCACAAAGTGCAGCATAGTATATAACCTAGCAATAGAATTTGGGTGGTTTTGCCCCACAAATTTTGGCCTCGGGCTTGGGGGTCACGTAACACACATTTGTAAAAAGATCATGATTTACATAAGGCCAAAACACTATACAATGCATTTATTCTCTCAAACTTCAACTAAAAATTTCTTCTTCAACTTCAAATATTGCTCGCACCGTCTGTAAATATATTGAGCGCTGTCGTTTCAGTGCCGTCGAAACAGGGGGCATCTGCCCCCACCAATAATTTTTTGTGGCAAAGGATTTGAAACAAAAGGATAAAGCAAAGGACTTCCAGACCAGAGTTTTTTCTTTTGACTACCCTATGGTAAAAATTTACATGGGAACTTGAACTTTGCAAGACCGAGGTTCCAAGACTCACTGATCAGTATCCAGACTGTAGTCCCCAGACTCCCACTTTTTTGCTGCGGCCAAAATAAAAAAATGGCGGGAAGTGATCTGGCTCAGGAATCTCTCGATTTGAAGCATGTAAAGCTTGCGTCACGCAACATACGATTCATTATATTGTCAAGCAGCCTTGTTTGCCAACAGACATCCGAATTTAAGGATGTGCCCTTGTTTCTAGGAGCAGATGTGTTACATAAATGCGGCAAGTATGCTCTAAAGAATTTAGGCAGACTTCATTCAAAGTATGCCTCTGAAGGTCTAACTACAAAGGTATGTTTTCCATCGAATTGCAAGATAAAAGGGATACGTGGGACAGCAGATACAGCCTGGTTCTATAGTATCCAAGGCCTATTCAAGGTTGCATTTACTTTTTATCCAAAAGACGTTTTGAAAATGATGCTTAAAACTCTTCAGGACCTGTGGATGATCTATGTGGAGGAGCCAGCCCTGTTTGGAGATCTGACCATTCAAAATCTTGATCATGTTAACCTCACAGGAGATTTGTGTTCAGTGTTAGAAGATGCAAAAGAATCCATACACAGACAACATGAAGATTCTTATTCACCTAATCCTGTCATTGATGACAGAATATGCTTAGACCATGAAACACAACACCTAGCAATGGATAGCTGTTTCCATAAAAAATGCCCAATGTCTGAATTTCCTGTGTTGCAAACAGTTAATCAGGCCGACATTTTAAGTTCAGAAACAGAACCAAAAGTAGCAAAAAATAGCAATTTGATAAACAATGTTGATATTTCAAGTAACATAACACAAACAGTGCAAACTAAATCAACGGAAAACAGAACGAGACCTGAATATGAGATTGAAATAACGAGCATTGTTTCAAAACTTCTTTCAGAGTTTAGAGAAGAACCAAGTTTAAGCATTATCACATCATACATAGAATCTTTTGTTGACTTGATTATAAATGAAAAAACAAATATCATCGAGCAGCAATCAACATCATTTCCAATCAAGCTTATTAAAGATTATATGGAATCAAAGAAGGACAATGAACAATCAGGTGCTCCTCACAGCCATGAACTGGCATTACACATAGTAGCAAGCTGGGTTGGAGAAATGTTTTACTTATTTAAAGGTTTGATTAAGCACAATGTTGACACTTTTAAACAAACATATATAAATTCTATTTCAGAGCTGCCAAGCCCTGGGGAGATAGTGAAAATAATTTATCCATCAGCAATGTACAATTTTGTACACCTGTGGTTAAGAGGCTCTGATGATGACACACCTCATGAATCAGAACAAATTGTGGAAGCAAATAGATTAGCATCTTTATGTCTCTTAATTTTGGAGTTGCTAAATGGGCATCCTATTAGTGGACTTGGTCATTGGGTTTACTCCTATCTTTAATCTAGGTACAATGTATTAGCTTTTACCAGCAAATTAAAGTCCACAGGCACCTGGACTGGAAAGCCTTTGTGACTATAAGGAGGTCTTTGTTTACATGTGCAAACATCAAAATCTGGAATGATTGTAAACTTAAAAACAAATATTTACAGAATATTTACAACCAAATGAACTGTCGACATGAGAATTTCTTCCAGCATTTGTTTTCTGTTCTGAAACATTAGTAACCAATATCAGCAACATTTTGCCGAGAAATGTCTTCCATTTCAATTAAATCATCAAACTGCTTAAGATGAAACTTTTTAACTTGATGTTCTGTTAAAGCCTTAACTGCTCTATACCCTTGAATCAACTCAAAAATGATGAAGCAGAACAGGATTATTGTTGCAGCTCTTTCCATGGGCATGACAAGTGCAGTGTTATTTAACAACAATAAGCAGGAAAGGGGTAGCTGCAGAATAAATGTGACCAACCAAAACCCAGCCAACTCTGGTACCTGCAAATAAATGATTGATAGTGAAATATGTTGCAAACTTGATTAGCGAAGATGCAAAAAGATTTTACACATAAACTGCTACTTATTCTAGTATTAACAGTTAACTCAAAAAAGTTTAAAACAAGCATTTTGTGCTTATTTGTCCTTGGATCATTTCTCTGATCTCTGAGAGCAATGGTGGTGGTAAAATCCATAAATTATGGCCAGATCAGCAATAGATGGTTTTTAAATAATAGGAGAAGAGAACAGTTTTCATGATACTGCCCAGCAAGACATAGATGCCAATACAATATCATGGAAATTATACCACTCAAACTGACAACTTCCTAATTGTCCAAATAATGCTTAAATCTGGTTCTGATTCAAGCAACAAATCAAACAGCAGACAGCTTTAAGTCAACAGGTTTATTGCTATTTTTTGTTAAAAATCTGTCCCTATGGAACCACTTTTCTATTTTCACATTTAATTTGATAACTGCACATGACTTGTTAAGTAAATGATGCTAACTTACCTTCTCTTGCAAATTACCAATGTAGCCCAGATATAACCGACCAGCCTCTAAGAACCCCATGATGATGTATATAACAACAAGGACAAACTTGTAAACAGAGTCTAGCTTGTCATACTAAAAAGGAAATTACCAACTATAAAAATGACTAAAAACTAAAAAAAAGGAAACACTGCCACATGTATTTTGATACAGTTGGATAAGAAAAAACAATACATTCAGAGCTCATCTTTTCAAATTAAAATCTCTTTTCTTTATATTCATTTAATAAATAGTCATCCTGATTGTCAAAATACTTGAAAAGAAAGCAGAGCCAAGCAAAAAACAAGGCGTACAACCTGCCTAATTTCTGTTACACTTCAAAAATTTAGACCAATTTTGGTTTACTATTTGAAAGCTAGAAATTGATGAGAATTTCTTATCCTGGAAAATGGCAGAGCTTTTTTAATGCAATAAAAATGCTGCAAAATACTGAAAAAAACTCACCTTAGCAACAAACGTAACCAAACATATGACCATCCAAAAGGCTGAATAGTATGCATTAAAATACAACAGTACTTGTAGAGGTAGGTTTGATGCAAGGTAGCTGTCTGGAAAAAATACGAACCTCCTTTATTTACAAATAGAAATAATAAAATACTAGAAGCAATAGAACTAACTAGGAAGATCAATAGATCTCATTCTTTTATGAACATAAACTTGATTCTTGATAGATAAGTTTGGGCATCCTATAAGTATTAGACGACGTCATTGCGCCAGTTACTACAAGACCACGGAGATCGTTACAAAAAAATCAATGATATAACAAGCTAAGATAAAAAGCTACGTTTTCTAATTCTTTAATATCAAATGCAGTAAAACTGAAAACAAGAAGCATGCCGTCGACGAAGGCATACACAAAATTGAATTCTGTTTTCTCAGTCTGAAATATTGTAAAGCTATTTGATACAAAACTGGCATCTTTCTTGAAGTTTGAAAAAACCTCACCTACTGGCATCAAGCGACTCCTGTCTTTGTTACTGTACCCTTTTGTTCCAGGGAAAACAGTTTCTGTGACAGAAGAGAGGGCACCCCTCCAAGCATCTGCCATCTTTGTTGTCTTAAAAAAGCTAAGGGAGGCTGTATTCATGATAAAGAGGCACTGGTCAGACGAAGATGGCGCTGTATCGGCTCTCGAAGTTCAGAAAGATTTTGCCTGGTAAAAACATGTTATTTTATATTGAATCATCGCAGTAATGACATCTCTCGATACCCATTAGAAAATTGTTTTTTTTTGATCGGCTGGTTGATGCTGCTAAAGGTTTATCCCCTGATAAATATTTGTAGCAAGTGCTCGCTTATTTGATAAGTAAAACCCACAACCCAGGAGCTACAAAACTGTTGTTTGTGATTTCTGAAGCTTAGTCATAACAGGCCTTTTACATCTGAGACTAAGTCGAGTTCTTCCTTCTATGCACTCAGCACAAGCTTGAATTGCTCCCTTGAACTAAACATATTTACCATAAAATAAATAATTGTCCTTCAGAATCTATTACATCTTTATTTGATTTAGTTTTCAACACCCAAACATTTAGTTTGTCATTATCAAAGATACTGGCGTTGTACTGAAATATTCCAAACATGTGACTGATGTTGCTAGTTATTTTGTATAAAAACAATTTGCAGTAGTTTCTGTGGTAAAGGTAAATAACTTAATAATGCTTCTTAAGTTCTTATGCCCCGCATATACATATATAAAAAACAACAAAACTGGTGTTCAGATCAAGGGACAAGTGTTGTGCAAGCACAAAGTCAATCCTTTTTTTAAAAAGTTGGATTCCATTTCAAAAATGAACAAGGCTTGTCATGGCTACCAATCCTGTATTTGTGACATAGCTAGCCAAATAGCAGTGGTTATACCCTCCCCTCAGATTTTGAATAATGCGGGTATGGTCAAATTCTGGCATGCTTAATTTTAGAACTGATGAATTCCTTTTGAATAAAAAATTTGCAGCTAGTGACTAATGGAATATAGTCTGAGGAACCTTTGGTGTGAGCCTTTCTTTTTGGTGAGAAATTATCTTGTTACATCATGAAATGTTGTTGTGTCTTATAGCTGTGACACTGTTATGGTTTGTTCGTCAATTTTTATAGACAAAGTTCTGTCAATTAGCAAACAGAATTTTAGGAAGGACATTATTGAAATAATGAAACTAAAGTAAGGGATAGGCCTAGTTGTAAAATGCTTTCTGAAAAGTTAAAGTAAATAGAAATTTACATTTTGAAGTTAGTTGAGCTAAACAGAAAGATTGAGGTCTATACAACGTTGTGATAAATATCCACATGAACGGATTGATTCTTATATAATAATTCTAGCAAACAAGGGTTTTTAACTATCATATTTTGTCTGGTAAATTATTGAATACATGAAAAATTGTAATGAAGAATATAGCACTAACTAGCTGGATCAACACATGCTTGACTTGTCTCTTGACATTTTATCTAAACAGCTATAAGTAGTAAAAAGGTACTTTTTAACTATAAAATAGTCAGTAAAGCTTTGAATTTGTATTTAATTGCACAGGAAAACAGTATAACTGCATGAAATAATCAACAAACAATTCAAGATAGAATAACTTTAAGCATAAGTATAGGCATTAATCAAATCAAGAGAATTCTCTGCAAAAGTTCATCTAGCAACAATTGATTACTGCAAAGGCTGAGAGTTTTGTCTGGTTGCATAAAATGATCCTGCTGACTGATTGCATCTTTGTTGGCACCATGTTCACCAAGGACTGAAAAGGGTCCTTTGTGCTTTCACTTCTCCGCATAGAGCAACAGTATCAAGCTGAAAAATTCTGCCATTGTCATAAAAAGTCATAGGTTTCACATGAGCTGTGGTTGCTGGACAATAAGCTTTTGCATGCAATTTACTTCCAGAGAATTATCTCCTATCTCATTTTTCTATCCACAGCAGCTCTGCCATCATTTATAAATAGTCCTTTGTATTCTCATTCACTAAATAACACAGGGCAAATGATAACGCTTCTCTATGTATTGGATCCTTGGCTCTGATGATTATAATGATCATCAGGCCATCTGGAAATGGCATGACTAGCCTTTGTTCTCTCCTGCATCACTTCTATTGTTAGGCATAACCAAACATAGGAAACCAGCATTCTAGGCATGACCAAACATTATAGCCGTGAAAAAAACACAGAGTTTGGTCATGCTCATAGTTATTGGCATAACTAGATTGGAAACCCTATGTTTTGCCAGGCAATATAATAGCACCTTCAGAGGGTGCCATTTACAATCTTTTTGGCACAGAGAAATGTAGAAATTTGAGAGCCTTATTAATTTTTAAGGATTTGAGATTCATTTTAATGAAAGTAAACATTTTCTAGAAAAGGATATCCCTGTGTTTGGATGGTCATGCCCAGCATGACATACATGGTCGCTAGCTTTGCCACTGTCCTATATAGATTACCATTTTGCATTCCATGTAAACTTAACACCTGAAGTATGCCAAGATTAGGCCAAGGTTCAATGCAATAAAAAACAAACAAAAACCTTTCACCAAATAGAACCCCCCACTGCCTCCCCCATACTTCTCAGGCAAGTTAGTTATACATTGAGGATTATAGATAAAATATTTTTGATGTCTTATGCTTTAGTAATATTTTCACAATTTTGTACAGCCCACTTTGTAAAATCCAGTGTTAAGATTCATATATAGAATCACAGAAAGAGCTTCCCATCAAGCAGCTGTGCCATTTCACCCAAATTTCAGTGTACACCAAATGCCACATCAAAAAACATAACTCCACTCCAAAGATCTTGGGGATAGGTTTCAATGTAAACACAGGATTTCAAAATATATCCTTTAGGCTGATGTAGCACTAGCAAAATCAATAGCGAAATTTAATTGAGAAGACAACTTGTAGAATTTCAATTCATGAAATATCAATTGTGGGTCACCTGAAGATTTAACTACCCTCATTGCCTTATGGAAGGAGAAGAGAATTCAGATGATTATTTGAAAAAATTAAAATAATCATTTAATCTAACTCAGTATGCAGCAATTCCTTGACTGTGTCAATTTATCCTCTGTATTTTTCTGATTCATGCTGATTTAGAAGGGCTGTACCATTGCAGAATAAAGAGAATTTTTTTTAGATAGGACAAAGTGAGTTTACAATAAAGACTTGAAATAAATAATAGAAATTTGTGTTCCTAACAGTTTTTGAAAACAGTACTCACAGTTTTTATATTGATACAATTGTATTTTCATCATCAAATATTATCGTTGTTATGATTCAAAGATCTGTATAGATTAACAATCTATATACATAAAAAAGTTGCAAAGTTTGAGTTGATTATCGTTTGAAGGCAAAATGATGACTTGCATTGACATTCTAAATATAACTGTCTTGGCTTGATCATTTTCTAATAATTAGTAAACATTTAATGCTGAATAAATATCTCTAGAGAATTTTTGGAAGTTCAAGTACTTAAATTCTGTTGTGAAAACCCCTGACACATCTTTCTTAGCCATTTGTTTATTGAAAACCAGTTACTTTATTTTTTTTCAGTGACCAAAGATGGAACTTTTCAACAGTTGAAATTATTCAGTGTTACAGCTCAACAAAGTGCTTACAGTAAGTCTTACACAAGAACCACCTGTACTTATGTGTGCAAAAAGACTGTCCGCTAATATAATGTATCCATAGTTACTTTTTTAACTCCGAAGATATAATCTCCTCCAAAACTCAAGTTATGGATCATTAAGCTTGGGAATATCAAAAACATTGTTTGCAGATGGTATCTCCTACAAAAAGCATCGTAGAAAAGCTTACTTCTCACATCATGCCATATGTTAAGATGGGATGGTATACGCAGATTTTACAAGATGTGAAATATTTCCTCACATTTATTTTTCCATTTTCATTGTGTAAAGGTTTGATGAAACATTTGTATCAAAATCATTTTCAAAATAATTAGGGATGGTCAAGAAAATGGTGATTAACGCATTCTAGTTATGTAATAAATAGATATATTTAGAGGTTGCACTGTGGCATTGTATTTTTATTTTGTGAGAGAACATTGTGTTTGATGTACACTAGATTTTGTCAGTAGTTATAACAGATGGTGCTGTTGTATATTGTGTTTTAATTTCAATAGCAAAATGTTGATCGATTGCGTTATGATAAGGACGATAGCAGTATTCACAGATTAGCGCACATCTTTAGAAAGTGTGCACATTGTTGATTTGATTTAAAAGTATTGAGAGTCACGGGTTGTTTTTCGAAATGCGAGTAGTATTAACGTTGATTAAGTTTCGAAGAGCCTTAATTAGGTTATCTGTATAAGATGCTCTATAATACTACTAAATTAGTTGCTCTATAATATTACAGGTACAGAATTCAGAAAGAAAGTTGTTCATCTCACAGCTATTTGAATAGAGAAAAATAGTTCACTAGTAGTTCAGAATTTTGTTGAAACGTTTCAATTTAAATTGAAGTGTTATTGCAAAAAATTTTTTGCAGAGTATGTTACTGATGAAGACTGGGAGAGACCAACAGATTTGAAGACAATTACAGATAAGAATGCCACTACAATGTTTCTGTCTGAAATGATTAGAGGTCTGTTTGCATAGAATAAGTTGTGTTGTAATTTGTATAAATCTTGTGTTCTAACAAAAGTAAAACGTCTTAATAGCTGGACAAGAATGATATTTATTTTCTCATCATGATGCTCATAGTTATTTTGTTATCATTGTTTAGATTTCCTTGTAAATAAGGATTGTATGCTGAATCATTTGACAGGCCCTTTCTTGCAGGTAATTTCCACAAGTTAAAAATTTCCCCATATTGCTCAGCTTATCAAAATGATTGTCCAACCAATTTTATGAATAAAATAAAGCTCTCAATATGCCGACAAAAACATTTACGGCTACACTAGTTTTATAGCTAGCCATATTCATATGAGAACATTGCAAAAAAAGTGGATCTATCCATTAAATTTATGCAGTGCACCCATTGGTGGCCAATCTGCCTATTTGTGTTTTCTGTTTTATCTAATACTTGACCAAATCATTTTTACCTGTTTTTAATCACTGTTGTGTAAAAAAGGCCTAACCATATAGATCTCTAAAACGGCGATTATCTTCTGCCATTTTGTAAAAAAAATTCAAATTGAGACAGATATAAGTGACAGTGCTAAAAAGTTAATTCTATATTAAGTTAAATGGGTAGCAGCCATGGTCCCATTAGAAACTTAAATTGTCAGCTAGGTAGACCTCAATTTTTCAAGAAGTATTCTTGTGCTGTCTCTTTCTTCCCTACCCCTGTCTCTCAAACAGTCTTTATTCTAAGTAAACCTGTTTATTTAATAACAAAAACCTGATTTTCTTGTTTGTCTTCCAGGTCTTTCAATGACACTGAGTCAAATGTTTAGAGAGCCTGCGACAATTAACTACCCTTTTGAGAAGGGTCCACTGAGTCCTAGATTTAGAGGAGAGCATGCTTTGCGAAGGTATCCATCTGGAGAAGAGAGATGCATTGCTTGCAAATTGTGTGAAGCCATTTGTCCTGCCCAGGTATAGTATTCTTCATTTTTTGACATTGCATCTCCCCAACAAATAATTTAATTGGCATTGTCAAATCAAAAGTTGACTTATGAATTAATAGATTTGTCACTAGGCACTTTGAGTTTTTTGAAAATGATTATAAATTTTAACTTGACAACTAACCAACTCAAAGTTGTGATCTACTGGAGCTCAGTATCATAGAACAGTAAAGTGGCTGTTTGAATTTAAAATCAAAATAATTTTTAGTTCTGTAAGTTCCATCAGGTATATGTCTTATAAAAAATGCACTTTTCTTGAAAGGCTATCACAATAGAGGCTGAGCCACGCCCTGATGGAAGCCGACGCACAACCAGATATGATATTGACATGACCAAGTGTATCTACTGTGGATTTTGTCAGGAAGCTTGTCCAGTTGATGCCATTGTAGAGGTATTAAAAATATTTTGCTGTGTTGCATCAAAATTTTAATGAGCAGCCATGTGAATCATTTTCTGAATATATTGACTGCTTTTATGTTTTTTCATTCAAGATTGTTATTCCGTTTATCTAGGCACAAATTTTTTGTCACTTATTTATGTGATGGTATTACTTTATTGTTCTTAATTTTCATTGCTCATTTCCTTTACCTGTTCATCATTTCTATGTCTATAAAAGGTGAGGTTTGGGAACAAGCATTTGGTCTGCACCAACCCATTTAGACATAAAGAGCTTTTATTGTTATTTTTTATTCTTAGATTAGGAATGAAATTATATTAGCGGCTTTGGATTTAAATGCTGTGACTGTAGTTGGCATGCATTTTTAGTGCAATTTAAATTGAAAACTACTTAGTAACTTACAAATAAAGGACTGAGAATTAGGAAATATGGTTTCTAAAGAGTTAAGGATTTAAGAGTGCTTTTGATGATAGTGCCTCTATAGGTATTGTTGCAGTCAGCTTTTAAATCATGATGAAAATACGACTAACGCGAAATTCTTTAGAAATCTTTTTGAACACATAAACATCTCGTAAATTTTCTAACAACCTCGTAACAGCTTTTGCTGCTTCATTTGCATACATTTTCCCCTTTTAGGGCCCAAACTTTGAATTTTCAACTGAAACTCATCAAGAATTAATGTACAACAAAGAGAAACTACTAAACAATGGTGATCGTTGGGAAAGAGAAATTGCAGCGAATATCCAAGCGGATTACTTGTATCGATAAATAGACTATGAAATTTACGTTAGTTTTTCCAAAATATTTGTTCACTGATCAGAAATTGAAATGTACGTGCCATAGACTGACCAATGTGAAGTTTGTTTTCCCCAAGTGTGTCAGGCTCATTTTAATTATGAGTTTGCTTTTATTCAATAAAGTGTTTCCTTACAAATGGTGTAGCTTTTGATCTTCTTACACAATCACCAACATGCAAGCAGTTCTTTGTTGTGTTCTTTTTAAGCGAATTGGCGGGGGACGTCTACAAACCATTTGCACTGCAGGCAAACGAAGATGGTTCTTCTCATGAAAGTGTACAGTCCCATGATTTGGAAGTACGTTTCTCGTTTAGGTTGTTTGGTATTTTCTACGAACGTTGTTCTGTAATATTTGGTAACACAGGGGTAATGTCTTGATAAGGAAATAAAAAATGGCTTTGAAAAAGCAAACATTTTACAACATATTACATACATACAAGCTTTTTTGTCTGACACTCCTCAGAGCATAAAACGTCAGAATAAAAAATCAGAAAAAAATATTTAAAAATACATAGTTTTCCAAGTAATTTTGGAAGGCATTGTACTTTCGGTACACTGTTCGTAGAAGCAAGGTAATACAGTGGTAGGCTTGTTCTTGAAGGTAACTTCAAGCTTAGACTTGAGCTTATTTTATGAATTTAAGGTCCAGAAAGTTATTCTAATCAACCGGACTTGAATGGAACGGTTGATGACAATGTAGACTCCCAATTTTTTCTACCAGTTTTTAAAATCTCTACTTCAAGTTATCTACCGGCATTTTCCGTTTAGAAGGAATGGAATATTTTCGTTGGCTTTTAGAGCTTGACTTTATCAGACTCGTTTCCACGTTTCCATCTTTCGGCTCCATGCTACAAAACTGCGCATCCATAGGTTCTAGGATGCATCCATTGGCGGGTTTTTGGCCCATAAAGATCCATTGTTGCTGCAAATCCATAGTATGCCCGAATCCTAACTCTTTTCGTTTTGCACTCGTCGTTTTCTACATGCTGAGGATATTAGATTATAACCAAGCTTCATTTGCCATTTTACTGCAGGAAAAACGAAACCACTTCCCAGAATCGAATTTATGCTCCCCCTCTCCTTCCTTCTACGAAAGTTCGTTCGAAAATTTCAAGTACCGTAGATAACAGTTCAGTTCATTTATTACAAATTGATGATTAATAACCCAAAAATACACATAAAGTGGGAAAGATGTTATACTAGAGGATTTGTCTGAGGGGGAATTCTTGAGGAACTCTGTCAGTAGCCAATCGAGGAGAGAGCACTCTGTCAGTAGCTCAATCAGAGAGTCTTTTGAGGAAAGAATTAAAAATCCATGGGTAAATGGTGACTAAGTTCATTCAAGAGTTATTTTCAATAATGTATGTCATTTAATAGTTATGTTCAAACAGGAAAGTTTCTGAGGAAAGATCTTATCTGATGATGACCTTTTTATGTCTGGAAGAATTTCATTCCAGCATTTCGCTCTGTGGTTACATATTGACTTGAGACCATATTGACTAGTTTTTTTCTGAGGTAGAGAAATCTCATTCTTTCCAGCCTCTCTAGTATCATATTGACGCACAGATGTTACATACTTATGAAAATAGACAGGGAGATTTTGAGAACAGATTCATTTACAAAGCTCAGCAACTTTAGCTGAAAAAGATCATGCAGCTTTTGGATTTTTTAGTCAGAAATGATAGGAGTAGAGTGTGAAGTAAAGTGTCCAAAAGAGATTCCTCTTATAGTCTTCTTCTGTAGCAAGAACACCGGATTAATATAAGCTTCACGAGTGAGACCCCAAAATAAAATTCCATAGTGCAGAAAGAGCGAAAATAAGGAATTTTAGAAACAGACAAGAACATTAATAGATAAAAAAGTGTCTTTCGTTAAAGAACATACCACACGTTCTAGTCAGTTTTTTGACAATTCAGACAGATGATACGTCAATTTCTTCAAAAAGAACCCCAATAAATTTGACATAGCAAATCTTTTGAACAGGATGATTTCCAATTTTGAATAATTGATAGTGTCAGAGTAAAACTTCTGGGGTGACTTGAAATGATAAGATTAGTCTTATAAATATTTAAATAAAATTTATTAACATCAAGCCACATTTTGATATTCTTTAATTTTTTGTCAACTGCTCTTTTATAAAGATCGAGATTTTCAGCTTCATTGTAAGTCTCTGTATCATCTGCAAATAAAGACTAGTTTTGATGATGATGATTAGGTAAGTCATTAATTTAGATTAGGAAGAGAAGAGGACCAAGTACCGAACCTTGTGGGACCCCACCAGTGATGTTAAGAGTTATTTCAAGAAATCAAAACGTTTTTCGTGAGGTTTGAAAGATCAAAGCACCAACACGGTTGTGAAGTTAACCGTGGACTATTGATTGATGGTCATATATATATATATCAAATGAATCGTATGTCAAGTCATTCAAAGTTTGTGGCCCACTTCTTCCAAAAGACAGTTATGATCAAATACACTGTTTAAATGTTTTACATAAAAAAATTACAAAATACGCCATTTTAGGCAAGGAACTATTTCTGGAACAGAAACAGTCTGTGTTATAAACCCAACAATGGCAGATAAAGTCGTGCCACCTCTTCAATGGCGATGAAGATAGTATAATGTTAAGGAACTTAATTAATGTATAATGTTAGTTATTACGTAGTTTTGGATATAGCTTCGGTACAGGGGTGTAGTGCTATGGGGCTCAGAGGGGCTAAGCTGAAAACTGACAAATTTCTCCTTCTGCTAAATTTCTAAGCTTTTCGCACCCTTGCTCTCTTGTTTTTTTATACTACACCACTGCTTTTGTATAGAATTCAAACTTTAGATACCGATTCTTGAAAGAATTGTATTTGAAATGCAAATTACAGGGCCCCCTCCATGGATTTTAAAATGGGGGGGGGGGGGGCTAAAATATAGAATAATGTTCCTAAAAATGTTGCCCACTATGGTTGGGCGACGAATGAAATTTTAGTTTCCAGAGTCTCTAGAATGGCCTCTAAATCGATTTCTGAGGATAATTCTCACTAGAAATTTCCATTTTACTAAATGTGAAATGTTGTGAAAAACGCATATTGTCTAATAGAATTTTGGTTCTCTCTCGAATGTAATAACAAGGAAAGTGGTCCAGAAGTGTTATGGCACAGCCAGAACTCAAAACAGTAATTCTATGAGAATTCCATTTGTCTAGACTGAATTGATTGGTCAAGCTAGTAATTGGTATTGTGTTCAGCTGCGAATTTGTGTTTTGTGTTGATATTGCTGATGCACGGAGATTTGTCACTTTTAGTTTTTTCGATGCATTTTAAACTAGAGAAGGACTTCAACTCGTTATTTTTGTTTCATTTGCTTTATTTATGGCACTTCTTCTATATAACCGATTTCTCAATTCATACATAAATGTTTTAAGATTAAGCATAAGTAGGACGCGTCACAATTACCCCTTTCAATTTTAATTGCGTCATTTCTTTTGCTTAGCAAAATAGTGGGGGGCTATAGCCCCCAGCCACCCTTTGGCGGGGGCCCCGAATTAAGTTGAGATTACCTTCCAAAGTTTACATTTTTTGTCTAGGCTATAGTATATTTTAAAATGCAAAGCACAAAAGTATTTGACTACATCGGGCCATGTCCTGGTCACGTTCCTGGATGGAATACCTTTCACCGTTCACCTGTTACTTTTTCTATTTGATATTAAAATGGACTGACTTTGTGAAATGTGGACATTGCGTGGTAAATGATCGTTCTTTTTGCTTCGCACCTTCAAAGAGTTCAAAGTGGTCAAAGAGTTCAAGTATTTGTTGTTGTAAATAGTAGTGAAAAAGGATTTTTCAGTGAAAATGTAAAGCATAGATTTCAAGAAATAACAAAGTACTGGACAATAAGATCTTTTTACAGGCTGAAATCATCTGAAACCCAACCAGCCCGCCCAGGCCAGCGTGCAAAAGAGGCCCAGAATATTTTGGGCGCAGCCCGTAAATCGATCACTTACAGTTACCGTTCAAATAAACACAGTAACCATAGTTCAGACATACTCCATTCTGTGTTCAGGTTTCGTCGAGCAAGATTGGGATCAAGTTTACTTTTAGAGAATTTTCAAGGGCACTTGAAGGTAGGTATAACTAACAGTACAATATTTCCTTCCCAGCGACGGCGACTAAGGACTTTGTTTTGATTAGCGGCTTTTGTATCAGTAATGACTTTGAATCCGCGCAATCTTAGAATACTCATACACACATTTACATAGATCTTTTTGCTGCAAAATAAAAAGCATATTCAAAACGAATATGTAAATTGAAAGGGTATTCAAATAAGTACGAGAAGCCCGTTAGCGTTAGTTTTTAGGCCCCCCTTTTTATATTCTTTCACTACAGAAGCCTTCAAATTTGAACGGGCGACCGGCGCTCGCGCTCTTAAATTTTTAAAAAATTTATTGTTTTGATCTTTGAATGTCCTTTTTATTTGGCACTTCATTCCTCAATTCAATTCAAATCAATATATGGATTAAACAGCACCAGCTAATCGTAAAGCAACATCGTGCGATTAAATTTCGATTTAGAATAAAATTTTACTTTTGGGCAAATTCTGGTACATGTCGCTTTGAATGAACAGTGTATTTTCAGTGAATGAAAAGCAGGAGTCGAGTAGAAGCTGCCTCAAATAAAAGTTGCATTTATTTCCAGCACTTTCAGTTTAAAACGAAAACCTTATAGGTAAGAGACATTAAAAATAGAAGTAGTAACATATCTAATTCATGTGCTTATGGGCTTCCACAAAAACAATTAACAGTTTTCCACAGGTGTCTATTACACCCTATTGTATTATTTGTTGTGTCAGTTGAGTCTGTTGGTTTGACAAAAGTCTTCAGAAGCCCCCTTTCTCAAATAAAAACAAATTTAGGAATTTTCCATTTGGGAAATTTGGCATAATCATAATTTGAAAATTTCCTTTTGGCATAATTTGGCATAATGGTCAAGTTGAAACTCAGAAACTCACACTGCTTGCAGCCCTATTTAGCCAAAATCATAAATGTTTCCCCATACCCCAAAATTTGCTCCAGCATCCCTGATTACCAATTTGGTTATAAACAAAAAGCACCCATTTTTGCCAGTTTTTAGGGCTTTAGATCTTATACAATCATTCATTTGAGAAAGAGAATGTACATGATGTGCAAAGTTTATAATCACTGGCCCAAGGTATTTAGAAGACAGGCTTGTAGTTCAAAGATTCTTCAAACTGATTTTTAGTGTAAAGGCATTGTCTTGATGTGATTTATTTCAAAGAATGCAATAGACACAGACAAATGGGTCTATATATGAAGACCAGTGTCAGGGCAGTAATGATCACAAATATAAATTATGTATCATTCAATTTTTTTAGCATTTATTAATTGTAGGTGTAAATAGAGAAGAGGGCTAATTTTCTTACTGCTTGAAAACCCAGGGGGCATATTAGAGAAAGGGAGCTTTAAAGAAAATTGGGGCTTAAATTTACTGCATCCCATGTAGTAACATGTTCTGATGACTCCATTGGTCCTCTTCTAGCTGCCCTCTGGCAACTCTCATCACAATTTCTTTTATACTTGTTTCTTCTCACACATGCTCCTTGTAACTCCACTAAGCATTTTCTATCTATGTCATCAAATAATCTTATATTTATTCCTTCACTGTCACTTTTTTCCTGCTGTCAAATCATGTCCTTGTGTATTTTCCTTAGTAGGCACTTTTTCCATGACCTATCTCATATTACATGACTCGTGTCATTGTCAATGTATATCATTGCTCAAGTGCTCTTTTCAGATTTCCCTTATTTGTAGTTTTCCTACTAGCAACCATTCACTTCCTGAAGTGGCAATGACACAACAAACTGAATATAAATACGTCTTAGCTTGAAAACTGTAGACTTCATTCTTAGTTGGACTTGATTAACACAACTGTGTTGTGTTTGATGTGAGCTCTCTGTTCATCTACCAAACAAGCTTTCAAGGCATTTTAGTGGTAAGATTTAGTTTAAATTTAATGCAATTATTGCTCAGTATTATTTGTAGTCCCTGGGTATCAAATTAAGATATAAACAAAAGGTCCTAAAATTGGCTTCAGTTTAAATATCTCTCAATATGAAGCACTTTAACTATTAGTATCAAAATTTTTGGCTTGTGATAATTTCCATCCCTGCAGATGCCTGGCTGAAATCAATTATTGAATTTTTTTCAATTGCAGTAATGGCCCTGCATTCGAAGTGTAGACATCCGCATCCTTATCCAAGAGCATCTGTGCAGAGAATTCCTGTTCCTGATGAAAAAGTTCCATGGGATGTCAAATTTGAGGATTATAAACCAGTAGAATATACTTCTGAATATGTTTTGAAGAAACCAATTTGGGCAGACCCTGATATCAGGTTTGTTTTATTTATTTTATGTACTATGCAAATGATCATAGAAATGTTAGCATCTTTTAAAGAGTTGTCTAGAGTTATTGTGATCGCTAGATGTATGAACTTCAGCATGATTATCAACAAGCTTTCATTTGGTAAATTTAACAAACTGGCTCTTGTTTATACATTTATCATATTTGATACCAAACCTTTTTTCTTCAATAGCCTTTACTCAAAAGCGATATTTTTAATTTTGGAAATATAAAAACCATCGTTGCCTCATTTTAATCATTTTTGTGTTTATTGCAAATTTGGTAATAAAATTGGATCATATTTTTGTGTCACAGCAAAGAAGCAGCAAAACCACCATTTGCATATAATGACATTGATGCTAACTACAATGTCAACAGGAAGAGTTATAATGGGAAGTATGTAGTGGAAAATGGTAGGCCAAGGTAAGCATTCTCAAATATGATCCTATTCTGAAATAAGTTCCTTATAAATTTTTAAGAAATGATTAAAATTACTGGATGTTGAATGACTACATGAATGCACAGCTATTATTGAAATGCAAATCTGTTATCTTGTTAAAGTTTTTTCTGAAGTTTTAAATTTTTTATCTATTATTTTATGATTTTTAAATCATAAAGGAGTATTATTTTTTTAAATCATTTTTAGTGCATTCTTGGAAAAAATGAAGTTGACATCTGAGTCACAAGATTCAGGAAAGGGTATTCATTAAACAGCTGTAAATAGATTATTACTGACTCAATAATTGTATGTTTGTAGTGACTCTTGTAGTGTCTGTAGATATTAAGAAAACAACCTTTGTTTTTCTTCAAAGGCAACAACAAAGCATTAATGGCATTTTGAAATTTTTGAAATTTCAAATTCCAAATTGTCTTCAACTAGCAGATCAATTTTTTTCTTCATAAGGATATATTCCGACCACAATATCACTACAGAAACTGGCAAATTAGTGGAAAAAACATATGTAATTGATATTGTAGAAACAATGCAGCTGACTTGCGAAAGAGTCTAGGGAATTAGATTTGTGAGTTAGAGCTGTTTGTATGACACACCTTACAGTGGGACCTTTTCAGGATGATGATGACTTTTTTGTTGTAGGAATCCAATGGGAAGAACAGGTATGGCTGGAAGGGGCCTTCTTGGAAGATGGGGTCCAAATCATGCTGCTGATCCAGTAGTCACCAGGTTAGTGATTTTGAGCATAAAAGTGCTTAAAAGTATTAAACGTTTCAATTTTGGAAGTATTACGAGATAATTTTGTAGTATTCAGGATATAATAATTCAGGATAATTAAGGTCTGGTTTAATCCTGCTCTAAATCCTAGTCAAGTACAGGGCCTTGGAAACAGTCTTGGGATTTCACTTGGAGAAGCATCTTCTTTCCAACTTTCTGATCAGATGCAAGTCCTGCAAACAATGACCAGGCAATATATCAGATTAAGGGGGCTAAAACTTTTTGGGAGGCTGAACATGTTAAAAACCAATAGCAAGGCGATTTTTTGTGTGGTTTTAAATACATTTTGGAAATTATTGGAGGGCTGAAGTCCACTATTGCAGTCCCTGCCTGCAGATAGCCAATATGCTTTAGATTTATTTTGTGATATGAACCTTATTGCACAAATATTTTTTTCTTTGTCCTTGTTCAAAAATTTTCTTAATTTATGTCTGTTAGCGGTAAAACGAGAAGATTTTCACTTTGAAATACATTGAATGGCAATATCTGAGACGATATAGATCAAACAATATTTTAATGAACGTTCTTTTGTAAATTTTAACATGAATAGTTTTGAAGATAGCCATAGGATTATGACTGGTGGGAATTTTGTGATAGGTGTTCCGCAAAATAGAGTTCGGAACTACGATATGTAGCAAAGTTGAATCTGGTTATGTTGAATCTTGAAACTGGTTGATAAATTTCGTTGTCAAACTTGATTTCAGGGATTTGCAATATTTAGCAATGAATTTTAGCGGTATTAAATCCCTCAAACAAAGTCCTTTCTTCCGGCTTATCTTTTTGATAAGCTGTAAGCTTAGTCGTCTGCTGTGGTGGACTTTCTGATTTTGAGGTAGAAATTATTCTTCACAAAATTACCAGTTCGAAAGCACCGTTTAATTGATGTATTTGCTAACAGGGAAGCTTAAGAAATAAATATGGCTAGAAATAGAAGACCAAAGATTTTTTTTTACGATTTTCTCAATCTTTTGTGCAGGCATCTTCGATATGTGCACACAGTGAAATTGACACTTGTTTGACAATTGCTAACCGCAATAATCTCCTTATACCGCCAAACATATAAGGAGTAGAAAGGTCACTTTGCAATTGCTGCCGCCTAGTATTGAGTAGAGTCGCGTATTTTTGTGCCTGGCTTAACTTCAATCCGCAGCTGTAATCCAGTAGATTTATAAGCAATATTTTTATCGTCAGGTGGCAGCTTGATGACAAGGGGAACAGAGTGATGAAAAATGGAATGCCAGTGTTAGAATTTGTTGCAGTACAAAGAAAAGACACTGGGGAATGGGCAATACCAGGGGTGAGTATAACTCTTCTGGAATTGAGGCTGCGTTACATACGAAAGGCGTTCTTTGCACCCCTTTGCTCCGCTAGAATGTCATTTGGCAGCAAGCCTGTCGGGATGGGGGCGTGGGGGCGTCACAACCGCCATTCTTAGAAAAATGCCCAGGGGGTACTCCCATTAAGGCCTGACAGGGGGGTCCTGTCGACTTGAGGGTCTTACCAAATGGCACAGTTTCGATAATAACACAACGGCTTAGTTTAGCTTGCGATTTATTATAGACAATGAAAAAGGCTTGATCTTTCCCGAATCAACAACAGTTAATGGCGAAGAAATTTGTCAAAGAAGGACCAGGCGCGTGCAAAGAAATGGATGCTACCAATGACATAAATTCCGTCCTTTTGCTACCATTTGAGGATTATTGTCAAAAAATGCTACCATTCGAGGGTAATTTTTTAACATTCTAGCTTTGGCCCTCATTGATCCTGACTGGACCCGCCTGTGAGGCCATAATGGGAGTAACCCCTCCCCCTCCACCGGGAAAAAATGCATTCCCTACATACGAATTACATACGGGATACACCTTTATCTCTACTCCATTTTTTTCTACGTCACTTAGAATCTCTGTCTTCCACATGAAACTGGAATTTTCGGATCTCAGTTCAATGTTTCAAGTCCGAGTTTGACGAAATTTAATGTATGGATGTTGAAGTATTCGTCAAAAGACCCTGCTGAAGAATTTTACTGTCTCTCTATCCTGAAAACACTGAATCTCTCATCGTATATCTTCTTCTCTCTTTTCTCTTTATTCTCTATGCACAATAAAATAAGCTAACCCTGTCTGTTTTTGTTGTAATGAAATATAAAGTATGGAATATACGGTAGATACGGTATAATATAAAGTATATGTTTTTGTTATCTAACCCGGCCTACTTTTAGAAACAATCCTTATTAAATGCCCTACTAAGACGAGATTGAATTAGCAGTTTTAAAACTTTCATTACGTTCTCAGGGTATGGTGAACCCTGGAGATGACGTGCCAAACACTCTGAAGGCAGAATTCGGGGAAGAAGCTTTAAATTCACTTGAAGCATCAGAAGAAGTTAAGAAAGAACTCAGCCAATGGGTTGACAAAGTTTTTGCAGCAGGAAGTCAGGTGAGTCCTTTGAGCTGTTGCTTTATTTCGTATTTTTGAAACAATGTCGCAAGATCAGACTCAGGATTTCAAGTGTCTGAAAAGCTCACTTTGGATGTTTGGTTAGAACAATTTATCTTCTTACAGTTCTCTTAGACTACCCTGTTTGCTTGCACACGCTGAGCAGAAATAGGGGATAGACTGCACAACCCGAAGCTCTGAGAGAAGCCCCAGCCCTGAAAAGACTGGATTTCTTCATAGGATTTTCATGGACGTTGGATATTTCTGTGATGATGCAATCAAATTTAGAAGAATTCGATTTTTTCAGCAGATATTTCAGATAATCTGCCACGCTACTTTAACCCTGAGAGCTTCATTTTAAATCATATGTTGCCTAGACATTCCTCTTGTTTGTATTCCCTTTTCATCTTACCTCAAGGTGAAACTTACCTCAAAAAATGAAGCTGATGCATTTTTTTTAACAATTCAAAAAATCTTTTAATATCTCTGAAGCAGTCTTTCTAACTAGATCTCTAAAGAAAAATATTAGTTAACCATTGTGAGGCTGTAGCTTTCCCATCCCGATACCAGATGTTTCAACGACCAACGTCGAGGTACTGCTTCTATTTTGAGGCGTCATAGCACCCTGGAGAAAGTTCTGTGGGCATATTGAAAGATCTACATTCTTACCAGTAGTATGTTAAAATGGCCTTGAAAAAGCAAACATTTGAGTATACTAAAGCTTTTCGTCTGACACTCTTCAGAGTATAAAACTCAGACCATAGATTGAAAACTCTTCATTCGAAAGGAAGATCTTATGACGTCATCGCTCAAAAATTCTATTTAGAGAGATCTAGGTTATAGCCTAAAAAGATATCCATAAATAAAAAGAAATGACTTTAGAAAAGGCATTGCGATATAGTCGTACTTGTAAAAGGAAATTAATTTTATCTAAAATTGGCGAGGACGTGGCCCCCCGAGGACATTCTTCGCCCGCTCAATTCATTTATTTTGCCCTGGTGCTTGTATTTAAGAAGCAAGCCGTAGTAACAATTTTTCTTAGGTTACATTTGTATCTTTTACTGACTGTATCTCAACCAACTTGTAACAGAATCGATAATTTTGCACAGTTAGAGGTATTCCATGGTGTTCTTTCAGAACTTTTAGTTCAAATACAAATATTCTAATATTAGATTTTTTGACAGGGATATTTCAATTTGTAACTTTGTGATTTTAATTTGATTGCTTGTCATTTTCTCGTGTGAAAATATTATATTTTATATGTTAGAATATTATTTGAAAATATTTAATTTTATCTCAAGCTCTGCGATCTACCTCTAGATTTACAGTGGTTACGTTGATGACCCCAGAAATACTGACAATTCTTGGATGGAGACCATGGTAGTGAATTTTCATGACGAAGATGGGAAGGCATTTACCAAAATTAACCTGAAAGCAGGGGATGATGCCAAGGATGTGCGATGGACTGCTGCCGACAGTAAGCTAAATTTATATGCAAGTCACTCAAGTTTTATTGCGGAAGCTTGCAAACTTCACAAAGCTCATTTTTGAGCCTGAGGGCTAGGCATGCTCTTTCGAGGAACGCTGTTTGAATTAACGCATATTTAGATATTTAGAGTAATTTCTCTTCAAGTTTTATATTTTTAAGATTTTTGAGACTTGAAGCTCCCAAGTTTTCTTTTATAAGCAATATAAAATAATTACTGGAATCTTAAAAATTGGAAATATTCGTATTGGAAAATGTAAGAAACGTTTTGTATAAAAGAAAGTTTTTCTTAATTGGTGTGACTTTAAATGTTCAGAATAGACTTTTTAGGCCATTAAAGCTGAGCATGCTCACTGCTATTTCTCATAAGTTTGGTAATCAATAATTCCTTCTCCCTAAATCGCCAAATACCACTACCAGATTTAAGAGACCTACAACACAAGCAGTTCTGAAATTGTGCCTTTTTAGAGCACCGGTACACGATTATTCTTGTCTGGTTTTTGAAAGAAGCAAAGGAATGGTCGTGGCAAATGTCATATTTGCACCAAATGGTATTCCATCAGGTTTAAGCTTTAATTTACCTTCTTTATTTAATTTGCTCTCCTTAATTTCTAGATATTCTTAGTTCTTGATATATTCAAGCCCATTCTATGGCAACACCCAAGTTAATACCATAGTTTCTTCAACGTATCGAAAGTTCGTGTAATCGAATGTTGGTCTTAGTTCTAATAATTTTGAAATAAAAATGTTCTTTTTCAATACGTAAAAGACCAGATTATCAGGTAGTCCGGTTATTTAGCATCGATTGTTGGTATTGGTATAGGTTGCTATATACGATTTTCCTTTTTGGTAATAGGTAGCTAGAACGGACTTGAAGTAGGGGTATATGACCGATGCACAACTTTTCCTAGGCTACAAAAGAACCGTCTACTGTCAGAATTTAATTTAATTGTGTAACAGTAGATCGTTGTGTAGTGACAGCTTGTTTCGCGGATTTTTAACAAAACTTGCAAAATGGTGTTTTAAAACAAAAAAGGAAATTTTAAAGCTTCGATGGATTCAGAAAGTTAGATGCAAACAGTTTTTTGTTTTCTTGCAAACAGCGCCGTATGTATGTATGTATGTATGCGCCCAGCTTCCAGAAAGTGGTACTTTCGGAGAAAATTACAAAGCGGGAACAACTTGTATTTTTAAACGATTTGTCTTGATGCTCTAGTAGTCCTAATTCGTACTTGAAATTCAAAATAACAACAGCCCATTTCCAAACCAACTTTTAATTTCATAAGAAAAGACACATACTCTGCAGCCACCCTATCATTTGAAAGAAATTTAAAACAAAAAAACCAGCCTATTGCAATTTCAATTATAGATTATATATCTGTCTTTCGATTGTTTGTAACTCTGATTAACTTTTTGCATTTTGCTTAAAGGAAGACAAAAATTAGACTACAAGTTTTTATAGGAAACCTAGCATCTCAATTTTCAAGTTTCTTTATATCTGATTCCTTTTGAGTATTAAAAGTTTTTTAAGGTTCCTTCTTTACAAAAAAATCCGCAGTTTTCTGCCCTCACTTGGCAAAAACCTTTCATTAAGTTTGCGGTCATCCGCAAATACGTCCCTCATTGACGTCCCTACGTTAATGTTAATGAGAGGCTGATTTCTATTAATGAGAGGCTGAGCTAATGACTTTAGAATGACTGCCTGTCACTGATCAGTGCTGCCGGTGCTGCCCACTGTGGGACAAAGATCTTTTGAGGCCTGCGGTAATTTGAACGGGAGGAGCTTCGCCGAGCCTCACTACATTGTTGCAATCACTAAATGATTATGGATTGAAATAAGAAAAGCCTTGATGTGTTTGCCAAAAATTGGAGGCGAAGCTCTTGTTTTACCATTGCAATTGTCCCATGTCCCCAGTCTAAGTTTCTTTGAAAGGTGTGCAATACACTAAAATAATGGTTTCAAATGCCAATTTCAAGAAACACAGTCAGTGAGGGTTAAAGGAGGTTTATTGATAGGTGATATCCCAGGGTTTTTTAGCACAGGGGCTTGAGGTGTTCACTGTTTCACAACAGTTTACCGATAGGCGCTGGTAGGACTACAGCTCCTCTAATCAGTCAAAATTTGTCGCATTTCAGACCCTCTTTCAGATCACATTCGGGCAGTTCTATCTCAATTTGGCAGGGTAAGATCCATACTAATGGCTTTTTATACAAACACTTGGCTCCAGTTTCTACCTGGCGTTTCCAATTTTCTGCATAATTTCAGCCTTACGTGTTTTTTTTTGTTTCTAATCTTTGGGTTCACTTAATACACTGACTATACTGGGATGTCCCTGCCTGCCATCAGGGTGTCATTTTCAGCTGAAAATTCTAAGACAGTATTATATCTTTTCTCTAATTTATATTTTCCGGCATTGGTATGCCAATTGAAGAAATCATGTTTCCAGGTATCATGTCTTCAGAATTTCATTTCAGGACAGGGTCATAATATGTTTTCTGGCAGGCACACCAGAGGGGCAATTCACTCTTGCAAATAGCGTACGAGATTTTCCCTAATACAAAAGGATTTCCAGGGATTTTCAGATAAAACAATAGGATTTTCACAAAAAGTGTACGAGATATTCTTGGAGTGATTTGTCCCTCGGTCACACCCCGTCATTTTTCCTGAAGGTTAACCGGTGTATGGTAGTGTCCGGACATCACATGTGCTTAATAAGGTATACAACTAATGTCTCTGTCTGGGATGTTGCACTTGTGTCTGCAGTTTTATTTCCTGCAAAAGAAATATATTTTATAGGACTACGTCAAAAATTTTGGTAAGTTTTTTATTGCAATTGTGTTTCAATGCTATTTTGCTTATTGCTTTCTGTTGCTATTCTTTTATTTTCCAATTTTTGCTTTTATTTTATTTCTTGAGTTTTGTTGAATTTCAGCCTGCCTTGTTTTTATGTTGTTCTCATTTTTGGGGCAAATCTCAGCCTGATGTTTTTGATAAAGTTTTTCTTATTTAAAAAAGCACGCAGGTCATAGTCTAACTAGTCCTTCCTTTGTTCTTGAGATGTGTTTTGCTGCCAGAAAAGGAGACGTTCTCCATCCCTTCGACTCCAGTTTTTTAAATAATTTTCATTGTAAGCCTAATTGGTTTATGTAAATTATTATCTAGAATCATACCTCGTATTATTTGGAAGATGGCCCGTGCTCCAAATCACCATGTCCTAGATTATTTGCCAGGAAAAACAAAAGCTTTTGAACAATTGGAAGTGTCCTGTTGGCGTTTTTGTTCGTCATCAATTACTCACGTGAATTAGAGACAAATGATATTGTTCTATTCAGGCGAAGCTTAAAATGCGGACCAAAAAGGCGAATAATTTGTTTCTGATTCGGCCACAAGAACTTGAAATGGTATTAAACCAGGAGTGTAAAAATAAAAGACATAGAATCTTCGTGCATTGTTCATGTACAGTTCAGTTTATAGGCTTTCTAGAATCTCATTTTATGACCTGTACTTGAGTTTATTTCCCTTTGGAGTGGTCAGAAGGGCTATCCTTCTTAAAAATTCGCAATTTTAGCCGCTCTTTGTTTGAAGAAATTTAAACCTGTGCATAATCCCAAAATGGTGCCAAATGACAGTAGAGAAACAATTCAAGGCATTTTCTGTCGTTAACGATTAGTGGATTTGCAATAGAGTTGTCAAGTGATAACGTCACAAAAATATATTTTTAGAATTTTTTCCCATAACCTGAAAGAGCATCATGAAATACCCCTAAATCTGCAAATATAGTTAAAAGTATTACAAATTGGCTGAAATCTTCTATTGGCCATAGCTCACCCGATTTTTGATCAATTTAACTGATTTTCCATATATGGGAGTATTTTATGAAGATCTTTCATGTTATGTGATCAAAATTTGAAAATTATAAAAATTATGTTTTTGTGACGTCACACTTGATAACTCTATATATAGCATGAAACATGGGTTCCAACACAGGTTGAAAAGTGAGGGGGGGGCAAGGGAAAATTTAGCACCCATAACAAAATATTTTGAAAAAAGCTCTATTGTTTTGCAAAAAAAGTGGGGGCCCTGTGAATCAAGCTGCTAGGCACCCGGCCCCTCTTCATCGGAGGCCCTGTGAATTAAGCTGCTAGGAACAATTTCTATCATTTTTAATGAAACATTTTTGTCCGACAAAAAAAATTTTCTAAGATTTTGAAGGGCCCAAACATAACATAGAAGAATTAACCGATAATGATTCTCACTTATACTTTGCATTTGGGTGTCAAACAAAATTACATGTTTGAGAGTTCCTCGATCCAAACCCTACGAAGAAAAGAGAAAAACAAGCTTAACTTTGATAAAGATCATAGAACAAAATCGTGCATTGGTAAACATCAAACTAATTTAAGCAATAAAATACCTAAAAGAGACATTTTTTGAAAGCAGAAGCTAGTCCAAACAATTGTGATACACCTTATACCAGTTGAGGTTTGATATCTAAAAATGTTGGTGATAACCCATTATCTTGCGTCATTCAGTCCGGGTTTTAAAATTGGCTTTTATCATGTGACATGTCAATTCCCGCGGCTTTTGAAGCGTGAGGAAAACAAGTTATACGCAAAAAAAATCTTGACAGTTGTGTTTGCGGATGGTGAGCGAAGATCACAGGCAGTTAACATTCCGCTCAGGTCATTCAGCAAAGAGAAAATGTCTCTTCTTTACTTAAAATACGCCGAGTCCAAATTGCCAGTCGTTTTTCATGGATTTTTGTGCATTTTGGCCTACTTATTTTGGGCAAGCTTGGCTGCACTTATGTTGCCGATGCTGTTGATTTATAAACTCTTCAAGCTTTTGGAGAAAGGAGTGATAACTTACCAGAAACTCGGGACAGAGTTAGCAACCTTCGATTTAGTTCTACTTCATGAATCTGACGGGAATCCAAATTACATTTCTGCTCTGATGATGATCAAGGGTAAGGCAGACATTGCCAAACTCAGGTCTCTGGTCGAAACGAAAATAATTATTGGACAGCTGGAAAAAACTTATACGAGAATGAAGCAGCGTGTTACTAAGTGTTATAATACATATTTATGGAGGGACGAAGAAAACTTCAATATTAATGATCATATTGTGGCATATGGAAACGATAATGTATCGTCGAAAGACGAGCTTGAAAAGATTTTCACTGAGTTGAGTTCTGTGCCGATTCCTGATAACATATCGCCATGGTTGTTTACGATTATCAACTTGGCTGGCAAAGAGGAAATGTACTGTATTCATTTTCAGTTACATCATTGTATAGGAGATGGTTTCGCCATGGTTGGCCTTTTAGGACAACTTGTAGACAGCAAATTGAAATTGATAGAGCCGAAGAAGAACCACGGTGTGATGGCCTATCCAATCCGTAGAATCATCCAGGGTATCGTTACTGGCCCTTTGGTACTCCTTGTATTGTTATTGTCGCGTTATGTTGGAAATCCATTCAAGACTGAGACACCACCATCTCGGAAGAAAGTTAGCTGGACAAATTCAATTGAACTGGATACAGTAAAAGCAATAAAAAACACCACCGGTAGGCATCTTGTATTGTCGTATGTTCTTGAAGAATAAAAAATAAACCACTTGCCCTCGTTTACAGGTGGCGACTTATCAGCTGATCAGCTGATCTACTGTATCGAAAAGGGTGGCATTTGCCTAATTGAATTTTTTTCTTATCCTGTAGGCTTTAGCAATCCATGTTAAAAATGTTAGATAATATCTTGGCTTTCCATTCAAATACTCAGTGAAAGTCGACAAAAGTAGCAAAGAGAAGCTAAAAAATATATGTGTGAATGAAGAAAAGGCCACTGTAGCAGGCTGCTCGACGGGCTCCAGGGAGTTCTTGCGGCGAAAAGTCGATAAAAATTGGCAAATATGAAACACCGCAATACGCCGAGAATGAACAACAATAAAAACACGTAAATCAGTAAAGGCTAATATTTCGCCCCGGCATACGGGGCTTCATCAGAGCAAAAGTTAACGGGCTCAATATATACCTTTATACCTCGTGTCTCAGTCTTGATAAAAATTATATACCTTTTTTATCCAAACCAATACCAAATTATGCATTCTGAATATGACTTTGAAATTTTTCACAACTTTTTCTGCCGAAACGTTTTCCCTGAAAATTCCCTTCTCTTTGGAATGAATCAAGTTGCTCTTTTTTTGCCTGTTGGATACAATTTTCTTTTGTTTGCATTATTATATGCTAGAAATCTGACCAAGATAAAATAAAGGGTACTGCATTTTAAATTACTGAAAAATAGGTCATTCTGACATTTTAGACTCCTCAGATACTTCACAGGGAGTAAGATTTTCGAAAAAGACGTTGTCCTAGCCAACCGAGTCATGTCATTAATCTTCTTTTAAATTGACCAGCAACTAGAGAATTTTACTTTCTCATGGGCTTCGACACAGGTTGGATTGTGGGGGGGGGGGGCAAGGGAAACCTTAACAACCATAACAAAATATTTTGAAAAAGCTCTACTGTTTTGGGAAAACATGGGGGTGCCATGACCCCCCAGCCCCCCTTCGTCGGAGGCCTTGTTTCTATGTAATTGAGCTAGATGAAGTAGTTTACGCTGGGTCTGTTCCCTAAAAACAGGGCTCTAGCAGTGTTTAGCCTCGAGTTACATATAATTGTCTCTGATAACTTCTTTGAAAAGCTAGAAGACATCTTCTTTTTCTGAAATGCAAATTTTCCGGGACTGCGAAGAAAAAGCAGATTTTACTTAAGCTGCAAAATTTTGTTATGCACCCTTTATCTGTGCGAAAATGGCCAATAGTGTGATATTTGTCAGTGTTTGAGCAAGCATTCACGTGATTGCCATGAGACATGATGCGCAAAGTGTTAATCATCGATTGCAAAACCATAAACCAATATGGACATCATATATCCGCACGTAACTGTTGTTGCGAATCTGGGCTAGACCCGGAGATAATTGAACAAAGGGGGCTAGAAAATGGAGCTGTATGTTAGGGGGTTGGATTGTAGACATGAAAAGTGCCAAGTTGCCTAAATTTAAAATGGCTGAACAACATATTTTTATATCTATTATTTCGGACTCTGGCTCCAGGTATTAATTGTCTACTTTTTAGATACATGAAGGGCTTGGAGTTTCCTAGTGTCACCGCGTAACTGAATCTAGAAAAAATTACCGTATATATTACGGTGTAGTATCATTTAGGATGTTATTTCTGTAGGTAGCTATTTTTGAACATTTCGGTTTATCTCTTTGCTCTGGTGGTTTGCCGACTTCTGACATCACTGAAATAACCGCTGGATTACCCGAGTCCAAGCTTATTAGCAGGATTAGTGTCCTTCCAAGTGCAGATTACCAAATTTTTAAAGTGAGATTGAGTATCATAGGCATTCACCTCGAAACCAACAACTCTTCTTTTCCTTGATGTTCTCCTACGAATCTGATCTAACCTGTCAGCGCCTGTACCTTGTTGGGCAGTGCGGGTAGCATTTAAGTGTGGATTCACTTTGCAATAACATTTTTGGCAAGCTCAGTTATTTTATAATGCACCCCGAACACTGGTATTATTCGTTTATTCAGTGATAGGCTATGTTCCATTTACATTTGTCTGTGATTTTTAGATTCTACTGTGAATGACGTCATTACATCATGTATTGCTGGTGCTATTCGCAAGTATCTGCAAAGCAAAGGGAACCAAGAACCTGAAGACATGCCGATAACGATGACGTATAATTCCAGGTCAGTTTCGATAAAAACGCTTGATTGCATTCCGCTTGGCAATCATTCGGGAGCGACATTTTTGAAGCTTCCAGTCTCGGTTGCAGACCCCGAAAAGAGGCTCAAACTAACCAAAGCAAGAATAGACGCGATGAAAAAGTCATCTGATCCGCATCTGTTTTCTTTCATTTACTCCTTTGTATTGGGACATCTGCCCGAATCTTTGTCAAGACTATCACTGTCTTTCTTGAACCGACATTGCAGTCTTGTATATTCAAATGTTCCCGGACCACTTGAGCCAATACACGTCACTGGCCAAGAAATCAAGTCGATAATGGTAACACCACCTTTAGCCTTTGATCTTGGTATATCGATTGCGGTTCTGACATACGCTGGAAACCTTCGCCTGACTGTTCTTAGTGACGAACGGGTATTAGAAGACCCTTCCAAGCTGACACAGATTTTTGAGGAAGAGATTTATGATCTGGCTCACAGGGCTTCGAAAAAAGATTAAGACACTTTGTCTGTCATTGCAACGCAACTATTACAAAACATGCATCTTTCGTAGAAAAAATTCATGCCATTCTTTAAGCACATACTTACAGGATTTTTAAGATGTTTTTAATTTTCTTACCAATCGTTTAATAATCGTCGTGGTATAACTGTAATTTTTATGGTATCGCATGCACCCAGCTTTATAAGAAGCATGACCTGCAACGCGAAATTTGGCACTAATTGCATTGTTAAAGTTGTTTTAAAAGCAGTTCTTTATATAAATTTAGAAGGTCGGGTATCTACTATAACTTTAGTTGCAAAGTTACCGTTGAAGCAAGGGGTTATCACTAATAAGTAGACACTGATAAGTAAGTTACAATAAAGTTCACCTACTGCAGGCACCACCGAGCAGGGGGCTGGGGACTTAAGCCCCCCACTTTTTGCACTATTTTTCAGACAAACCCCCCCCCCCACTTTTCTCAGCGCTCTGCGGTGCCTGTACTGACTGGTTGGGCAGTGTGCCCCGCAACATATGGTGGTACCAAAAAATATATACTAAGCTGCAAGCCAAGGCGAAATGAAATTTGGATTTTTGTTGTATTGAAGTTCTATCTGCGAACACGCCTAAAAAGATGAAAAATGAAATCAAGTTTTTTCCACGCCTACTAAGCTAATAGGTAGCACCTATTTGACCGATGGCAGAAATATCTTTTCGCAGTTTTGCAACCATTGATTTTTCAAGCAGGATAGCCAGCAGTTCAGAAGCTTCCTATAAAATGGATTCGTCTATAGCTGCTATCTAATAAAAGAGTGTGCATCGTATGGGGATGGATTTTGGAACAAATGCAGGCATATGTACCAGAAGTAGCCATCAACGCTAATGCCATTCAATACTTTATACAAACCATTACGTATATATGGAGTATAATATGGAATGTTATTTAATCATCTACTTGGCATTGCCATCTAACTGCGAAAATTGTCCCTGTTGTTTGAGTAATTTTTTTACACTTAAGGAATAAACACTTTATATTTACATCAGTACACAGCCGTAGATATTTCTGAGAAAGTTGACTTAATATAGAGTTTTATAAAGTTGTTTTTATATCGCCTGGATCGATCGTAACTAAATTCTAGTTCGTAGAAAGCTGTAAAATATACGATTTTGTAACAAATAAGTATTGTTTTGCTAACAACAAAGACGTTTTAACATAGAACTGGACTGAAGGCTTCTTCTTAATATCTCAGTATTTTGACACAAGGGTGTTCATTTCAGGCTCCTAGCTATGGTGGTGCCGTGGAGGGGGGCCACAGGGGTCCAGCCTCCTTGTTAAAATATAGATATACATATATTTTTGAGGGGCTCAGACCCCCCTTTAGCAAGTCAACATATGTTTGGTTGGGTGAATTGCTTACAATGGCAATGTGAAGTTACCCTTATGATGCTATCGATTTCCCATGAATGAACCATTTCTACTAACCTTTCACAGTTGGTGAATATTTTAAATGATTTCTTAATCAGAACAGAGAATTTAAAACAGATGTTACCCCTGCCAAGCTGGTATTTTCTCAGGCAGAGGTTTGTTCTCGTCGACATTTTCTATGGGTCAGTTCAGAGGAGTGTGGTCCGTATCCAATGCACCCCTTTCCATTGGCTAAAGGCACGATTTGTTGAGAACAGGGTTTGTCTTTTATAACCTACTGCATTTGGTTCAAGTTTTGTAAGTCAATTTCCTTGGTGGCATGTTTAGGAAGAAGCCATTATTTCCTTTCTCTAAGCTCAACCTTTATATCACTTGACTTTGTCTATCGTATATTACTTTGAAATGTTTTAAAAGTTGAATTAAATTGACTATTTTAGTAATTATGTTTGGTTAAACAAGCTTGATTTTTGACAATCTCTTCATGTTCCTTTTTTTGACAAGTCTCTTCGTGTTCCTCTTGTCGCCTAGTTTAAAGTAACATTACATTTATATTTGCTCTGAAATTTTTCTAGGACATCCATTAACAATTGCTTTTCTCTATAAACTTCATAAACCCGTCGTTGCTTCAAACGGTTTTTGTTGCACATGCAGAATTACTTTTCACTAGAGATGAAGATGTCGCTGATACAAATAATCTGTGATAAACTCCTTACGTAGAAATTACGCTTTATGTATTTGGTGGAATTATTTGCAATCTCGTCTATAAAATTTCGAGAGAAAATCTTCTTTACAGTCATAACTTATGCATTTCTCGATTTGTTTGTGAGACGGTTATTTGATGAGGCTAGTAGGCTATATATCATTCAGCTACTAATGACACACGACAACCTCTGTGGAAAGCCTCATAAAACCACACCCTTATGGCGGGATATAATTTATTATATGTTAGGGTAGCATTGTTGACTAAAAGATTTTACTCTGTTTTTATTTTTATAATAACACACTATATAAGGACACCGAAGATCGATTTTCCAAATACAGTATAACAGCAGCACTGGAACATGCCCAAACTCAGATGAAAATTTTCTTCCATTTTTATAGGGCAAACAGATGTTAAAAGCCAATAAACATTTATAATAAAAATATCACGCAAAACCGTCAATGATTTTAGAAACAATTAATGATATGGCTGTAGAACAATTTTCAACTTAAATAAAAGATCATCAAGCTTTGGCAAGAATTGTTTGTCATCATGTCCATTGGGATGGCAAAGAATGCTACTCCTTTTGATACTGATCAGTGTTATGTCATTTATCCATGGCAGATTTTCACTTTTTCAGACACCAGCTTTCTAGTGACCGATAGGGACCCCTTACCCCCATTTCAGATTCACGATGTTGTGACGCTCTGGACGTGACTTTGTTCTGCGCTTGCGCCAAGGCCAAGATTGTGATAGTTTGAAAGATGGCGTCGCTGAGGAATAGTGCGAGGTTCCTTGGACTAAAGGCGACGTCTGGCAGCCCATTAATGCTACAAAGAAACACCGAATTGCCTAAAGCTGCACGACTTCTTCGTGTCCTTAGTAGCAGATCACTCGAGTTTTCACGTTCATATGCGTCAGAAGAGAGAACAAGGGGCACATTTCTCTCAAAACTCTTAGGCCAATCTGTTTCTCCGCACACTGCTGCACACTCTAAAGTACTCACTGAAAGTCTGGCTTTGTATGAATTGCAGTGTAAGTGTCTTTTCAATTTGATTATTTTTTGGACGTATCAAAATTAACAGATTTTCTGATTTGCGTTTCCCATTTCTCCCAGTCTGATAAAAGAGATTAAAGATAATATTGGTTTGACTGAATTAGATTAGATTCCCGTGATCGGGGAAAGGTGGAACCAAACAATGACCGCCAGTTTCTATTTATCATACTATTTTGGTCGACTTCTGCTACAAGGGCAATGGTTCAAATATAAAACATGAACCTTAATTTGTTTCTCAATCATTTGATTCCGGGGGGATTTATTGAAACGTTACTTTGTGCTTGTTATATTGCAATTAAAAATCTAAAACCCATTGAAATAGTTTGTTGTGGAGAGAAAGCAAAACCTATATCGATAACAAAATACCTTCAACCTACACTTTTTGCATTTTCATTTTACAAGAAATAATGTCAAAACTGTCCAAACCTTCATATTTCTGTGACACCATCTAAAATTAGAAAGTTAGCAAGTGTATTAAGTCCAGCCAAAACTGAATTTTCACAAAGACCAGCTTGCAGAAGATAGTCAATTTCAGTAACATCTCTTGTGCACAAAAATCAAAATTTCTGCATCAGACACTGGTGTATGATAAAAAACTTTAATTGCACTAAACTTTCAGAGCACACATTGTTTATCCATTGAAAAATACCCTGTAAGGCCTCAATGCAAACTTGATTTTTCATTTTGAACAAAATAAAGGTTTGTCTGCAGTATTTTCCAAGAAAGGTTGCTGTAGAGCAGTGCTATTGTGCTTGAAACATGTAGCTTGTGACAACAGGAATGAGCAGCCATTTGTGAGGATTTAAGCCTCAAGTATCAGGTTGTTGGGGCAAAGTGAGATGTTGAAATAAGTTGATGTCACAGTGAGATGTCACAAACTGTAAATGTAGTCAAATATGTTTCATTGTGTCATTTTTTCATTACAGTCTTCATTATTTGCATGCAATGCTTGTGATCCAAAAAATCACCCAGCCAGACTGTCCAAAGATTACATCTGCAAACATAAAGAGTAGATTTCAAATGTGGGCTTGTACCAAAGCTAGTCTAAATGGCTGGAGTTGGAGCAAAAAGAATCTGCTTCTCATGTCCCTCTTTCTCATAGTTTAGTGAATTTTTATAGGAACCAATGACTGCCATAAACAACCTCATAAGAGCATATGATTTAAACTGGCCCTTATCACAACCAAAGGAACCCCTTTTTATGAATTAATTTCAGCCTTCAAACTAGAACATTTTTTAACATTGTGACTACATGGGGGATTTTGCCCATGTAGGCCCAACCTTGCTCTGTAGTGGAGAGAAAATACTCCTACATGTATGGCCTATCTTATACTTTCAACTTTAAATGGGCTAAAGTTTCAGATAATTTAAAGGTTAAGATATGCAGAAAATACAATTTTGTTTTTGAAAGAGTGTTTAACTTCAATAGACCTTTTATTATTTGACCCTGGAGAGGTTATTTATTTGTCATCTGTTCTGAAATCGTGGAAGGCCTGGCTGTTTGAGGCGAGGGACAGAATTGCTCTCCTAAACAAAACATGAAGAAAAAATTGCACCCCTAAAATTTTCATTCATTTGCCCTTTCATATTCTTTCCATTCATTCATATTCACAGAATTGTGACTTATAAGGGTCAATTGGTTTAATTTTGTAAAAGTGACCTCTCCCGTCATTGCATTTTTTGCAATTAATTTTTTGCCCTTTGGGTAGTTTAGTCAGGACAGGAACTTCAATCTATTTGGAAAAGGGTAGTGAATCAAAAGGTATGTTTGTCAAGCGTAGAACCTCTCAATTCTATGAAAACAGGCATATTCTTGGTAGGAAAGTTGAAGAAATTGGTAAGAATTGTTGATTGGGGGATAGAATGAAACAGTATGTCTTTTCCAGCATTAGCAACAAAACTTTCCCCCAAGGAGAACAGCTTACTCGGTCATGCAGAACAAAAACAACAACTAAAACACGAGATTCCACTATCGAGCAGCTAGAAAACCCAGATTACACAAACTATAATGGCAGCATGCTTCTAGCTGTTTTGGAATCTTTCTAGATAAACATGAAAAACTGATGTGGTCTAGACTGAAGGAGTTCGTTTTCAGCTTAGGATCCATTGGTAACATTTTCCATAAGCAAGCTGCACTGATTGGGTAACCTCAACAGTCATGTGCTTGCATTTCTGATCGGCCTATTTAATTCCACAACTGGGTATATGCATTTTCTAGCGTTTTCAATCTATGTTCTGACGTTTTATACTCTGAAGAGTGTTTGACCAAAACTTTAGTATGACTCAAAATGTTTGCTTTTTTCCAAGCGATTTTTAAGTTCTGTACAACAAAAAAATTGTTTGGTAAGATAATTGCTATTTTTGTGGTTTGCAAGCTTTACATGAATCTGGAAAAGTCTGTTCTGTTAAATCATGTAAGCAAAGGGGGTGCCTGAGCCACGGTTAATGCATTTGTAAATTTAACAAATGAAAAAAGTACTCCTTGACTTCAAGGCTATTTAAAGACAATTGACAGATTCTAAAGGGACTTATTTCATCTGCCTTTAAAGTTCATTTTATGTGTTACTGATTTAGCTTGCCTCAGCAAATGAGGAGAGGAGCAATTCACAGATCACCTATAAAAACACAAACAGCCAGGCTGAGTTAAGGCCTTTCAAAAATTTTGCCCCTGCATTGAAAATTCCATGAAACTACTTTGCTTCAAATAATTCCATTTTAATTGAAATTTGACTCAACACATGCACATAGCAGCACAGAACCTTTTCCCAAGAGACAACATTGTGTTTATAAGGTGATTCAGAATTAACCTAGTATGATTTCCTCTCTTCTTTTTGCAGTTCATTATGTAAAACCAGAGTGTATGAGTGACTATCTGGATTTAGTGTAAGTCATCTTTTTTTCTATGTATTTCATTTGATTTATTCAGTGGAATTCAAGCATAAAAAACCTTCCTTAGCCACATATTCATATAAGCCGATTCTGTTTAACTCCTGTCTGTTTCAGAGTCCTTGTTTCAGCAAAAATCTGTTTCAGAACCCAGGTACCCATTATTCAGCAACCTTCCAATAGTTCTCTTACTGATTTTTGAGATTCAGACTTTAAGTTTTGTATAAGCAATATTTTCTATACTGTTTGAACTAACTGTTTAACAAAAGTGGTTATCTACCATAAGTAATAGTATTAATGGTGTTAATTCTAAGCCATATGTACTTACTTCAAATTTTTTCAGGCCCAGACTTGTTAGTTGTTGCTTTACTTATGATATAATGCAATTTTTTAAGCTACCTGTTTTATGGAAGAAGATCTGCATTTTATTAACTGTGGTGCACCATAGTTTGTCTTCTGGTTTTGATGCTTATCAGATTTAGATCTCCCTAAATGGATTCTGGAAGTTTTTTGATCTTTTCTCTAAGATAGATGCCGCACAGTGCTCCTCGAACACAATCTCCAACTCAGAGCTCTGCCAGAACTATTATACTTTGGGTAACCTGTTCAGCTTGTGATAAGAACCCTTTATTTTAAGCCCTTTTATAAGACTCTTGTTTATACGTTTAGCAGTTTATATTGATCAGACATGATTAATGCGTAAGAATCACCCATTAATCATATTGTTTTGATGCAACTCTGATGTATATTCAATGTGCTTATTTTTGTGCAAGGATGGCTCAGTTGTTAGAGGCGCTGACTACAGACCCAAGAGTCCATGTTTTGAGTCCCTGGCATGACCAAACTTTCACCCAGGGTGAGGAGAGTCGCCAGTTCTCTGTTAAACCAGGCGTAGGAATCATGAGATGTGGTCAAATTGAGAGGAAGGACCAGGACACTGCTCGATAAGCATAAGCTTCTCAGTGTCCTCAAAACTACCTTCCTATGCAAGGTAGAAGCAAACAAATACAAATGTGTTTATTTTACTTGAGTTCAACTATTATCATTAGGTCAGAGGTAAACCCGAAGCTTGATAAAAATGAAAATTTCCCTGGAAAGCTGATTGGAAGCTGGACTACACAATATGGAGAGTTGGACCAAGTTGGTAAGTCATTTGGGACAAATATGAATACAGCTTTGTAAGAGAAAAGGTTCATTGTGTTTGTCAATGAGCCTTGTCCTTCTTATCAAAATTATGACCTACTGGAGATCTTCTTAGAGCTTGTCAGGATCTCACATAATTTTGTAAAATCTTCATAATGATGGGTAAATGTTTTCCAAACCACCAATAAATTATATGATTGTAGACTTTGCATGTAACAATAATATCAATCAAACTTGAGGTTTTTTTAATTTTTCCGGAGAGTCTCTTGTAGTTGCAAGTATCACCTTTTAGTTGTGATAAAAACAACAACAGTTTTAAATCTCTGAAGTTTGAAAAGGTCATAATTCTACTGTTTAGTTTACCGCTTTTTTATACCTCAAGAAAAAACTTTTTACATTAAGAACAAATTTTTGAGAAATCATGATTTTTTATGTTTAAGCTGTTCATGGATGAAAGCAAGCAGTTTTTCAATTTGTTCCAGAGTAATGAAAAATTGGTACAAAATTTATAGGTTTATTCATTTATTTATCATAACTTTTCATTTCTAGTTCACCTTTGGAGTTATCAAGGAGGATATAAATCAGCAAGTGACGCAAAGAATTTCCTTGCCACTGACAAGGTAGATTTTTGAAACTTATTTATTTAATGGTCTTGCTGTATTGTTAGATTCATGGTTGCACAAAATGGCATCCACTTTAATTTAATATATTTTAATGTTGTTTGTCAGAAATATGCTTTGGAGAATTGTTCATATTGTGAAATTAAAAGAATGTAATCAGAAAGTTCACGATTTGATGATCAATATCCAACAATTTTTTTAAAAACAATTTATTATGATTGAAAATGGTGAGTGAAATTACTTTGATGTGGAGTTTCAGTTTTGCTTCAACATTACGTTTTAGTTATTGTACATTAAGATGAATTGCTTTGGAGAACCATCAAATCAATTATTCTGTCTGTTTTTTCACTTCCTTCTTTATTTTTTCTAGGAATTTTTAGAGACAGCCAAGAAACGAAGCCTTTTACTTAGGCGACGAGAAAATCAACTACTGCACGAATTCTCTTTTTGGGGTCAGCCTCAGTTTAGGGACCCATCACATATTTATGAACTGAGAAGCTACTCTTTGAAGGTAATGGCATGTTTAAGTGATTTTTCAAATGGGAGAAACTCTTAGCTTGGACATTTATTTATTCCACTAGAAGATATTTAGCAATTTTCTATCAAACTTTGTTCCGTCACAATACTGTTGAAAAACGATCCTTGTCCACAGACATGATCTTTTATATTTATATATATATTTATATTAAAACCATTCCTGTTGATCTTTATGATATATATTTATTGCTTTTCCCATATTTAAAATGTTTTGAAAAAAATAGTTTAGTGAATAATTCTTTTTCAAAGGTAGTTAATTTTTTCAGTTACAACAGTCTGTTATTAAAACTGAATCTGAATACGATTTTATTAGGGTTCGTGGTCTAACAGCAAAGATCAACAGGAATGGTTTTAATTCCTTGAACTTTGAATCGAAAATCTTTCTTTCTTTTATCAGCCCTTTCAATATCTCATAGGTATAAACTGTATTGTTTTCTGTCGATATGACTTCCCTTTAAGTTATTAAATAACTGTAAATGTTTGAGACGAACTAGAATATGTTGACAAGACTCTTATTCACAGGGGCGTTCTAAATTCTGAGAAATTCTGATATGTATATATTATTTTACATGTATTATAAATGTTATATGATGAGTTTGAATTGCATTAAGAATTCAGCTGTAAGTTGAGCTCGCGTTTCATCGCGTGAAGAGATCCAGCAGTTTCTCGATTTCAGCCAGCTATCTTATTTCTTTTTTAACCCTTATATACATGTCCCTAGTTTATTTCCTTTCTTTTTGTTTTGAGTTTTTCTTGTTAAAAGTTTCCAATTTGCTTCTAGCCTGGTACACTGATCGAATGGGGGAATAATTGGTTAGTTCATGTTTCACCCTTATGTTGTTTGACAATAAATTCGTAAATGTTTGTGTTTTTGTGTCAAAGCTATGCGATAATCTTTGACAAGTGGAAGTGATTTTCCAATGCTATGAATATAACGCTATTGATTAAAGATTTAGGCTCTAAAAATGTATAAGTCTTTTGAAATCGAGGTAAAAAGACCGGTTCTTGCTAATGGCATTACTGATAGGCCGCGTTGAAAACTGATGAGAATCGAAAGCCAACATGAATGGCGTAAGGATGTTAAAGAAAGTCGAGACTTGAAGAGGTCATTTATAAGACCAGTGTGTTATCAATTTCGCGACAGTGTTTCTTCGAATCTTAATGGCATTATCTCTACAAGGAAATTTGAGCATCAAAGTTTTAGTCCATGTGCCAAAAATATTTGCACGGAGACAAAAAAAAGAAATATAATTGAATTATTAAGTCGCGCAAGAAACTTTTTTGAGTCGTATATATCGATTAGGACCAAGACGAGCTAGGCGAGGAATAATACAAAACAAAGATAGATTACATAAAGACATAAATACTTGGAAGTACATTTTATCAGAATTTTGCTATTTAGATGTTGTGTGCTTGTCGCGCAAATTTGCTGAAACAGGCGGTTGACAAAATGCTTTAGTGGGCTACTGTTTCCTGTTTATGATTATATTTTACTTTTATTCATTTTAAAGGGGGTTGGCAATCAAGATTCGACAGGACGATGCTGTTGGAGGATTTTTCTCTCAAATCGGAGACCTGTATCAAGTCCACCATATATGGGGTAAGTAGGGGCGAAAATGTTTTATATCTGATTTAAAAAATGGAAATGTTTTTAAAGATGGTAATGAAAGAGCTTTTTCTGGTATGCTGAAGAATTAAATTACTTTTTTGAGTAGCAAAAAGCTTCATGATTTTGTTTGCGTCTCTTGCAGCCTACAAGGATCTCAGCCATCGCAAGACAGCTAGAGAAATTATGTGGCAAGAACCCGCCTGGGGAGACTGCGTTGCTAACACTGGTAAGATAACTAGTTTTGCAGTGAACTGTTGCTATCAAATGCTACACTGCGGGTTTCTTCATTTCGTATTAGCCTTGCTACCCGAAATTTTGCAAGCTTTTGTGTTTTATCAACGATTGATGCATTGTTTAGCTGCCTTTGTGAAAATAATGTGAATTCCTTTAAAAATTTCTTACATTTGCCGTCAGGTTTTTTGTTTGAATCTGCAGATATAATGCCATTAAACGATTTCAAGTTTTATAACGAGGTGTTTCTTGTTATTTAGAACGGCAGTATTTAGAAGTCTATTTGCTTGGATGTTTTAGGAATTACTTTCGAGAACCCCTTAATTTTTGCACTTTGTTTGGTTATAATCAAGACTTTGTGTTGTCTTATGTAATCTACTCCCGGTTTTCTGCCACCCAAGAGTTTTAACCAAAGTTGACATTGTCGTTTAGTAACTGGTCTCTTTGTTTTAATAAACAGCACTTTTTCTTTTAATTTCATTGTTATCAATGCTGCAGAATTTATTCTCAGGTCATTTGTCCCTTATTATCTTCTCTTTTTCAAAAATGTTTTTCTTTCACAGTACCACTTGTAAATCACATGGGATCGAGGATTCTGGTACCGACCTCTTTTTCACCAATGCAATAAACATTTGATGATTGAGGATTGTGAAGCCTCGTTTTCAGGTTATATAATTTTCTATAATTTTTTATGTAAATAGAAAAATTCGTATGAAACAAATGATGTGAAAACAGTGACGAGAACAATCTTTGGACGAATTTGATAAAAGATATATTGCAATTCATCAGTTTTAATGTCTTTTGATATAATGCGTGGAATATTCAACAATGCTATTCTATATTACATTTGTTAGAATATCTAGGCCTGGTAAACCGAATTCAGAGTAAATGAGTAAAACTAACACTCATATGCAATTTCTCTAGGAACCATTTATTAGACTAGATTTGAACTGAGTCAAATTGTATTTCGTTTTTTACATCCTCTTTAAGATTTATTAAATCGTAATACACGATAATCACCGTGTGTATTGATAGAAAAAATTATTTCCTTTTTTCGGCCTAAATTATTTATTTGTCTTCTGTTATTGGTAGCTCCATAGTTTGTCTGTCTGTTCTTAGTGTTTTGCCCCTTAGTGCTTTCAGTATTGAATTCTCGCACCAGTTGCCTATTTTCCATCAGTACTTAAAAACAAATCGAATTATTTGATACCCTCCCTCCTGAATTATATAAGAGAATAGCTATTATTACATGAATACCGCTGCTATGAATTACAGTATTTCAGTAGAAGGAGGAGCCTATAAGTTACAGTATTCACATCAGTTACAGAATTCATTGATTGTGTTTCGAAGTTAGTCTTGGAGCCATTCAAACGAACTATGGACTTGGGTCCTACAGATTACGTTTTTACTGTACAAAAGTAAGTTAATACGCCCTGGATTATCCAGGCATTTCCTTGGTTATGTTAAACCTTTATTGCCAAAAATGTCCATTCATTTCTTCTGCGAATATGGACTGTTATGTCGGTTCACAAATTTTCTGACTATATTTCCTCAGGCATTGGAAAATTTTCACTCCTTGCGAAGTGTAAAGCTGTGATTCTGAAGCGCCTATTTTCTCCAATGAACTTTCCTTTTTAAAAATGAATAGATTTGTCACTTTTGGTCTTCCACCTCGCGTTTTCTTTGTAGCCAATGCTTTATGGAGCTTGTGTTTTCTAATAACCTTTCTGAAAAATAAGCGATTGTCTGCTTTGCTTACACTTAGGAAATATGTGAAGATTCCTTTTTTCAGTTTTTAGAATAAAATCTATAGTTCGAAACACCATTATATATACTCTATATTGCAAATAGCAGTTAGGATAATTTAGCAACCGCTAGAACATGACACGTTTTTGTCGATAAGCGGTTTCAGAGAGCCTTCGCCCTTGATATATTGGAATTGCTACTCTGAAAGAAATGATTGCTGAAAACATTTGTTGATTATAATTTTTAGTTGACATTTCAAATGCATGCAGCACATGAAATAATGACCAACCTTTAAGGTTAACCTTTTTTTCTTAATCGACCACCCGATGCTCGGGGTGTAATAAAAATCGTATGGAATAATTTGAATTGAGGTGGTTCTCATGGAAATCAGCTTAATCGTTGTCGTCTGGAGACCGACATTCAAGAACATAAATATAAACATGTTCTGGCACGTTCGTGAATAAATACAACAAAGTCAGCGAGTGCTCAACTTTCAAGTGTTGTAATAATCTGAGTGGTAAGCCGCGACGCTAAATTGTCTCTTTTGATTCCAGCATTACAATCATCTCGGTCTTTTTTACACGAGACGTTGGTTTTTTCAGGATGGTCATATACTATTTCTCTTTCGTCAAGTTTGATGCAACAATATTTAGTTACTTCAACGCACCTAAGTGTAATTCACAAGGTCACACATTTCGGTCAATCTGAAAGGACACATCCCAGCAACTTCTCAATCTCGATAAACTGCTCGCGATCCAATGATTCGTGGGTGATCTTTTTTCAACTTTTTTCAGACATTTTATGGGTGATTATTTTGTAATTGTTTTGATGGTGTCAACATAGCCTTAGACAATTTTCCATAGCCTTAGATAATTTCCTTGTTATTTTAACTATTTTTTAATTATTTCGGTTCATCTACAATTTTATACTTTTAGTTATTCTTCGATTTCAAACCCTTTTTGTTGCTTTTCACAATAACGTTGGATATACCATCATCAAATTGGCCCTGGAACCACACATCCTTCTGCAATGCATATTTAGGTTATATTCGTTTCTAAGTTTAAAACTTTAAAAGGTTGAAAACTAGATGTTAAATTGTGAAAGCAAAATGTTCTAACCCAGGTTAATATTTCGTGTTTTTATATAAAATTGAACGTTTACGGTAATGATCTTGAAAACAATCAAAGGGTTGAATTTGAAATAGATTGACAAGGCTTTGGATTTTATAACGCCGGTGGGATATTTTATAACATCAACTTTTTTATAGAAAGATATTATCCTCGTTTTTCAGTACTGTCATTGCCATTTTTACCAGTGGCGTAGCGTCTATGTATGCTAATGTATGCTAAGCGTGAAAATTTATAGACAAATTCTAAAATTCTTGCAACACTTTCAATGCATAACAATTTCCGCAATAAACGGCTTCTCTTTCTTGTCATGAGCAGCATGCGGTGAACTCTAGCGCCAACAGGCCAATTGGCCCCAATTGGCTATTTTTCCAAGTAAACAGATCGCTAAAAATTATGAAATTCGAAAAATCTGAAAAAGTGAAGCCCCTCCACATCACTCTTTTTGCCTGTCTAAAATAAGAGAAACATGTGATGCTCCAGTGCAGCTTCAGTGCAACTGGAGAGAAGCTTCTGAGAGAAGTGAGAATTTTCCGGACTGGAGCTTGCGGTCGGCCTGAGCGCAAGCCTTCCCAAATATTTGATAATCCACAACATTTTTCTACCTATAAGCTGCTTTTTGCGAATATTCTTTGCATGATACATCATTTCAAATCCAATTATTTTCCTTTCTTTACTTTGTGACTGTTGAAAAGAGAAAAAGTTTAGTCAAAGTGGGGTCAGAGTCTATTTGTCATGATCCGCATTCCGTAATTCAAGTCAAAAGGCTTGCCAGTATAGTCAGAATTTACGGACCAGGGCATGCGGTAGACCTGAGCGCAAGCCTTGCCAAATACATGATGATTTGCCGGGACTAACTTTCTGCAACTTTACACATGGAAGCATCTTCAATTCTAACAACTCTCACAGGTCACTATTTTCATCTTCGTTAACTATGAGAGTAAAAAAATGAGCAGAAACTGTTGCTCCTGTTCCCTTAGGCTCTGCAGCGTGTTAACAATTTCGCAATGTGGAGAGCTCCTCCTTGCGGGAATTCCCAGCTTCATTATAGCATAAAAAATTCTTACATTAGGTGGGCATTGGGTGACGCCTTTTCTTGAGGAATATGAATAAGAATAAAATCTTTTGCGAAGCAGTTTTAGCACTAGGAGGTATTCTGAAAATTCTTGCTAAACAATTGGACTTTTTTCAAAAACTCTCGCATGGGTGATAATTTTTCCCTTGGCCCCCCTTCACTTTCCAACCTCTGTCGGAGCCTCTGATGCTAAGAATAGACACCTTGATTGATTAGAATTAGAGTACAAATGATTTGTTACTTTCAAAATCAAAATTTATTATCACGGTTATCATTAATTACCGCTTGTTTTTTTAAGAAGCTGAAATTACGATTACATTCATTGAACATAGCCGTATATTTTATGTTACGCATGCCTAAGTTCTGCGCTCACGCTACGCCACTGATTTTTACAATATCCTTTACCTGTCAAAGTTTTTTTAGAATTTTTGCTACGACTAGACTAATATCTTAATTGTCAAGTAGACAACCATTAGATTAAAAAACAATACAGTTCAATGATGATTGACAATGCTCCTTTTAAAATCAACCCATACATAAGGAATTTTTGTACCTAATTTTACGCAGCAAAATGTCCCTGAAATTCCGAGCACGGTGACACGACTAAGGACAACAGAAAAACCAATACTTCGCCGACAGCCGGAGATCTAATATCATTTAAATGAAAATATTTACAAAGTTTACACAACCCTTCAATATTTACAAGTGGAAACTTCCAGAAATGAACCGGTATGTATTGCATCAAAACCGTTACTGTGTGAGCCCAAGTAGCCTCGTTGCAAATATCTCCGCCGTCACTTCCTCTGGGAGATTCTCTTGAAGCAGCGAAGAAGCATCCTTTGCGTCGAAGCTTCGCGATTCCACCGAGCCACTTGGTTCGGTTAATCCAAGCAATGTTGACATGTATTCTGCCAGTTCAGCTTCGGTGAGGTGCTCGCCTGAATAACGAAATACGGTCGGAATCAGGTTAATTTCATAATACTTCATTGAACTGATGTGGAATGTGTTGTTCCAATTCATCAAGTTTTTTATCGGAATTTTTCCTTCGTTAAAACCAATAATCAGGTCGCTGAGCTTGACACCCCCCCCCCCCATCCGCAAATAACAATTACCTTTAGCCCCCAAGACAGTGTATGAATGGTATTGAACCGGGTAAAGCCCTTCGTTCTTTCTTATAGAATCCAGTTATGTGGCAGTCATTTATTATAGTACCCCCAGTGTATTTGAAACCTAAAGGCCCCGTTTTTTAATCAAGGTCTTGAAGGTCTTGGCTCCCAGGCCTGAGAAAGGATTTGGTTGGGCTCTCATTTCAGGGCTTAAGAAGTCAAATTTAAAAATGGTAAAAGGGGCCACGTGAGGTTTGAAATATGGCAGTTTCCAAAACCTTGGCGGAGCAGTGTGAATCCCCTGTGAATCTTGTGTTCTATAGCGTTCAAACATTTGGGGGTACACTACCTTTATTCTGCAGCAGATAGAGCAAGTGACCCCTATCCACAACCGAATCTCCTTCATCATAGTTCGCTTCCGCAAGAGCATTGAAGGCTGCTTCTAGCTGGTCTGGGCTGAGTCCAAACACAGGGCGGTGGTTTATGTAAACTAGAAAGTAATTTTGAAAGTTAGCAACAGACATGGCACTGTAGCCTGGGTACCAGAGACCAAGAAATCGGGAGGAGAATGGAGATGAGTTTCTCAGTTTCTTAGGCTCTGACACCCAGTGTATGGCTTTTGAGTGTAGCCATTTATTTCTGATACATTTCTGAACAATTAATTGATTGTTGCACGCTAACGTAATCTCTAGGGAGAAAGATGCTGGCTTTCTGATGCAAATACAAGCCCTCAAGATCCAACGAGAAATGTTCAAAAGAATTCATATTTTAGGTCTTTCCCATGGGGTTTAGGTTTTAAGGTGTGGTGCAAAAGCAGTTCTGCGCCTTTTGGCTTTCTTAAGGAGATGTACGGACACACATCTGTTTTTAGTCGAAGGGTAGTGACTTAATTTGGTATATCACTAGTATTATGAAACATCGTCAAGAAAGTTTCATGTGGATACAACTGAAAAAGCAGATAATGGATGATTTAAATTGGTGAGTTTCTTTATCATGTCAGCTTTTTAGTTTTTTAAATTCTAATAAGACCTCACAAGAACCTGCACGTGCAGCAAAGACTTGCCAAGTTTTGAGTAGCCTCACAAAATTATTTGCGATATGTATTTGCCAGCCACATGTTGTCTCAACGAGCATTACACGTGAGTAGATAGCCTGGTCAGATTGACCCAAAGCTATAGTTAGCTGTTAAACTCAACCAAATTATGGAAACAAGTAAGGCAGATGCGGTACTAACAACTCAAGGCCAACAACTAGCTCAAACAAATAACAAGAAGACAAAGTCAAACCAACAAAACTTACAAATAAGAGATGAAATTTTTGCCCTTGAGATCGGGTCACCGAAGTTTAGAGGACCCCGAGAACTAGTCTGAGAGATGAGGTAACGGCAAGCAACTTACGTTTTATAAAATCCCCGATGGCAATTTCGGTTACGTATGTGCCAGTCTCGACATATTTGCTAAACTTTACTTCATTCAACATGTCATCGATCTAAAGGTAAATACAAATTGTTAAGGACAAGCGAACCTGAGGCGATTTCTAACAATGCCGTCTCCCTTTATAGATTGCCTAGGGCAGGGGTGTCCAATATACGGCCCGCGGGCCAGATGTGGCCTGCGAGAGCATATTCTGTGGCCCGTGCTACGTCAATAAAATTTTTATGATTCATTACTAGGCATACTTTCTAAATATGAGACATACTTTCTCATTATTGTAAGAAGACTCTTCCATTATGAAGCTGAAACTAAACTGAAAGTTCTGTGTCTTCTCTAATACAGATAAACTTTATTAAACATATGTAACATTCTCTCTTTTCAATTTTTAACAGGTATTTCGTAAACAGGGTCGTCGCTAGACTAGCTATTGTACGCCAACCTTTATTAACCGACAAATTCGAAAATTTACCAAAGAAGCACCATGAAAAAACTCCCAGCTGGAAAAAAATTTTGTATCGGAATTTTGAAACGGAAACGGAATATGAGCTTTCACACCCCCAATTCCCCCATAGCAAGGACCCTGTTATTGAGCAATGATTAATTAAGATAACATTAAAATTCCAGGCGAAAAAGGTCATTCTAATCAATAACTAAAATTGATCGAAAGGAATAAAGATCTAGATAGGACTTGCAGGACTATGAGCCGTTGTTACATTCGCTCAAGAGGTCGCTTTCCATTTCAATCTTTTACGAAGTCTCAATCTTTACAATCTCAGTTTCAATCTTACAAAGTTTCCAAAGTCTCAGCCTTTTACTGCATGCAAGTTGACCTAAACAACAAATACTCATTCACAATGTTAAGCAAACCTCTTGTTCTGTTGGGTAGTATCCTAAAGCTCGCATGATGAACGGAATCTCCGAAATAGGGATTGTGGTTGACACTTCTCTTTCCTCGGTGGAGTCCACGCCTTGACTGAAAAAGGCAAAAAAGACAAAATTAAAAATACAGTGTTTAAATAGTGTCCAGCGATTGTTAATGAACAGCCTGGCATTTATGGCAGGTTTCTGTATCAAATTTTTATCAGATCAGACCTGGGGTTTAGGCCGGGAACCAGACCTTCCAGTATTAGGACAATACACGACATTGTCACCTACGTATGCCCATCTCATGGTTTAGCCACCCGGTCCCTGCTTCAAGTAAACCTGCCTCGTGTTCTCTTTCTTAAGTATATAATTTCTATTATCGACCTTTCCACAAATATTAGAACTAAACTAAAATATTATCCAAACTTCGATTAATGGATTGTTACTGTTGATGCTTCATGTAAGCTAATTTAGTAGCTGGTTGTTAAGTACAAATGAACATACGTTCACTATCAGTGTTTTCTGAAAACACATTTCAACTGCCATTATTATTTTGTGATAAAAATGTGGTCGCAGAAACGAAAACGTTTTTTCACCTCTAGTTATAAGACGTTAACTGGCAACCAGGGATGTGGTTCTATGAAAAGAATGAGGGGGGTATTCTTACTTCATGAATTAACAAAGGGGCTTAACCCTGGCTCTATATCAAACTTTCTCTACCCCCTAAAAATATAAATCTAGTATAATTTATTACATGCAGAGTAGATCGCCTTGAAAGGCCTAATTATCATAGTTTTAGACATAATTTTGGAGATACATTTAACCCTTTGTGTCCCGAAAATGATGGGGTAGAGGACACGGAACATTTCCTGCTGCTCTGTCATTCGTATAACCGGCCTAAATCTGATCTTCTCAATAGTGTGAATGCAATATTGCTCCCTCGTGGTTTTTCGTCTCTTTCAAATGACGTTTTACTCAAATTCATTTTGTATGGTGACGAGCGATTAACGATTGACTCAAATAACAAGCTACTTCAGGCAACGCTCAAATTCATTCATGCTTCATAACACTTTTAGATATTCCATTGCTGCACACTCCTATACATAAGCATCTACTCTTTGTCTGTTTACTCTGTATTCGTAATTATTTTACCTAGTTTTAGTTATATTTCTTTATATCCTTGTTTAGTGTTGTGCGTTTTTATGTATCGGCCATGGGGTGGTCATTGTCTTTCGCTCTTCATGATATCGTCCCTGTAGTGTAGTACAGTAATTAGGGTAGTATAGTCAATGTAAAATTGTATTATTATTAATTTCTATGAATAAAAAAAGCTTTCATAATAGTCTTCTTTACAAACTAAAACTGTTCTAGGCCATACCTTCGCATTTGGGAATAATAAAAATAGTCTTCAAGCTCAGCAAAAAGTTCCCCTTCCTTCCCGCCTTCGAGCAGGCCATAAAATGGCACTAGATCTTCTCCGCCTAGCTTTTCCAAGATTTCCAAGGCCCTGTCACGCAAAATAGCAAAGCACGAATCATTGTCTAAATCAAATTGTAAACACAAACTCATGCCATGGCGCACCATTTAACGGTGATATACATGAGTAGTACTTAATTATTAGCAATTTGATTCACGCAATACATGCATTAATTTACATTGCAGATCAGAAGTAAAGGGGGTCCACCGTTTATATATTTCGAGACTTTTTAAAAACCCCTACTCCTATTTCTGACCCCTTGAAAATGTTTGACTAGGCATTCGAATCTAAATTTCCTTGCGATCACTTTAAACAATACTTTCACTCTACAAAAGGTTGATCTCCCCCTCCTCGACGTCTTCAAAGAGCCTGGAATATACTTTCCCCAAACTTTTGGCTCTAATTTTCCCTTAAATTGGACTTTTAAACCCACGTTTGTTCAACAGCAATGTTGACAAAACAATGAATGTTGAAAATGAATTTTAGAAGTTACAAAGAAAGAGCTTTTTCGCTCGATAGCTTTCTGACGTCACGCTAGTACCCAGAGTCCTTTATTTGATATGTAGTGCTAAGAGTTTAACACATTAATGTTGACTTAGTGAGAGCAACATATTGATGTTGAACGTGAGAAAGCAAAAGGCCTTTTATAAGTGCGGTTCAGACCCTTACCCCGGGTACCTTTCAGCGGAGGATCGTCTTCTCAGGAAGAATGGCAATCACCTGATTTAGAACTCTCTAGCTGAGACTGAAATGGGGGTAGGTCACACTCACAAAGTCCCTCTTCGGTTATCGAAATAACATTGAACTGAATGATACAGAAATGAACTCACGTTGTATTGACATCCCACATCAGGACCGAGCAGTCCGGGCCACCAGCAGTGAACACGTACTTCCCGTTGTAGGAGCATGCAAGATCGTAAACCTGGGCACACAATCAAAGCACAAGCGATCATAAAGGGGCACGGACCCTCCTGCAGATCAATCTGGGCTGTACATCTTAAGAGCGATGGCTTACACAGAGGAATTAACGAAGGTAAACAAATGTTTAAAAAGTACGTTCAAAAAATTGATTATCTTTAAAAAATTTGCCAATTGCCACTTAGGAAAAGATTCAAATTCTGCTGTTGGATCACAACAAATTTTTGTAGGACAAGAAGTTTTCGGGAAGCAAGAATCGTGAGAAACCAATTTTTGCTCAAGGACAGCTAAGGCGAACAAGTATATTTTGGAGTGTTCAAAGTGCAAGGTCATTTTCCATTAACTTCTCATGTTTACCACAAAATGCCGTTATAACAACATCACCAAACAGAAAGGTAAATAGCGAAACTCACTTGGCCTGGATGAGCAATAAGTGCCATCGATTTATGTGGATTTCCGTCAATCGGGAGCCTCTGCAGACCAACCTGAAGAGGAAAGGAGGTTGATGAAGCATGACTTGTTCACAAAAATAATAACGATTATGAAATGATGATACCTAAATAAACGTATGGTCAGGGGCGGATCCAGCGTCTGCGTTTGGGGAGGGCCATTTATGAAAGAAGAGGAGGCCTGCGAAAATTTCACAGACACGCCCTTCAAAGTCTCACCGAACGCGGGAAACGCCCCTTTCTATCAAAAAATTTCATAAGAAGGTACACTCTCAGAACACTGAAAATTAAGAAACTTCATTGCTGCGAGAAACTTCCAAGCAAAGTAAAGGCTAAAATACATGATGAAAAATTGATGAACTTTGGCTAATCGTGTAAACACGCGCTTCTTTAGTTAAACTGATGAAAAACGGATATAGAAATAACTTTGGGGAAAACTGACATAAAAAACTGATCGTGTATTTCAGCCTTTACAAATATTCATATTGAATATTTGGTCAGCAGCTTTCGCGCTTGACTTGGGAGGGGAACTATGACGCATCAGAGTTCGTGAATGACATTATAATTCCTGTGTTCAAGAAGCCGGCATAAGACACGTACCCTTAAGATGAAAAAAAGATTTAGAAAATGAGCCAAAGTCCCCACGTATTTGGTGCGTATAATTTGAATGGTAAATTTTCAAAATGGGTAGTCACCAAAAATTCATCGCAGCATAACAGGCAAAGCTGAGTAGTTATAGGTACTGTTTTGCTTTTGTTGGAAATAGTGACGCTTTTTGGGTATCACAATCGCAATAACACGATGAACAATGTTTGAACTGTAACCCATTTTAGCCATAACTTTCTCAACCATTAACGTTTGCAGACGTCATTCATTCATGATCGCAGTCATGATTTGTGTTAAACCATAGTCCATATGAGCCGCGAGATCCGGTCACATCTAATTTTGCATTGAACTATTGTTTTAGGCTTATCATAATTCTTGTGTTACACATCCACTTGCAACTTATTGCCTCACTGAAAGCGAGAGAATAAAGCCGACTGGAGGTTTGATTAAAATGTCTGGTCCGCCAAAGAAATCAAGAACTCTTGAATCATTCTTCTCAAAAAGTAGCCGCACCAGTTCAGTTGGAGATAACCCTGAAATCTCTAAAACATGTGAAACTACCACTTGCCAAGAATTTGAATCAAAATCTACTGGTGAAGAATTCGACACACAAAGCCAAGTTGCGGTAGTCCAGGATTGTCCTGAAGAGGAAACACACCCAGACCTCTGTTGTATGGCGACACAAGTAAATGTTGCAATATCTGATAGATATGACATTGGTAGAGCTATAATGAAAACAAAATGAGGAGAACAGCTGACAGATAACGAAAGGGAAGCATATTTATCGAAGAGGTGGGTGCCGCAGAGAAGGGATGAATATCCATTTTCTGAAAAGAAAAAACCAAAGAATCAGCTCATGGTTGGTATGTCCTCGACAACGAAGCGTTTTCTGGGTGAAAATCACTTGAAAACCTTCCCCTGGCTAGCTGTCAGCAGAGAGCCAAAATGTTGCGGTGCTTGGTGTGTGTATTGCGTTTTATTCAAGACGTGCGAGAGTGGAGGTGGAAGAGGTGCACAATACGGAGGTGGAGCAGGCCAGTCAATGGGCAAACTTGTTAACAAGCCTCTTGTAAACTTTTCAGACTTGACAGGGAAAAATGGAGCCCTCACAAGTCACCAAGAAACATCTTTTCATAAGACATGTGCCATAAAGTACACGGAGTTCTTGAGCCGTGCAACACCTGGGAGTGAGAAGGACGTTCGATCAATAATGAACATTGAAAGGCAGAAAGAGATTGAAAGGAACAGGACTGCGCTGGTTCCCATCATCGACACCCTTCTAACATGCGCCAGGCAAAATATTGCGCTTAGAGGCCATCGTGATGATGGACCAGTAGATTCAACTGGGATGGAACCCAAGCACAATGATGGAAACTTCAGGGCATTGCTGCGATTGAGAGTACGGGGAGGAGATACAAACTTGAAAGATCACTTGAAATCTTGCAAACGCAATGCTTCTTTGGTAAGCAAAACGATACAAAACGAGCTAATTGCCTGTGCAGGAAATATTGTCAAAGAGGACATAGTAAGAGATGTAAAAAATGCAAAATTCTGGACAATAATGGCCGACGAAACCCAAGATTGTGCGAAACGAGAACAGTTGGTCATTGCAATTCGTTACGTTGACACAAAAAATGTGCCAAAAATTATCAAAGAAGAACCGGTCGCAATTTTAGACCTGATTGCAGACATAAAAAGCAGTGACCAATCAGATGAAACAGAGCACAATGAAATTAAGCTATGTGGCAAGGCAATAGGGGAGACTCTACTCCGCCATATAAGTGAGCTTGGGTTGGATTTGCAGTACCTCGTTGGTCAAGGATATGATGGTGCTGCATCGATGTCCAGTGAGCGAGTTGGTGTTTGTTCCTTTATCAAATCTGCTGCGCCACTCGCTGACTACTTCCACTGCTGCATGCACGCGCTAAATCTAAGTTGTTCTCGAGCCGCAAAGATACCAGCAATCAGACATTGCATGGATGACATCAAAGATATCAACAATTTCTTCAAGCATGCGAAAAGAAACAGCTATTTGCAAGCAGTCATAGCACGAGAATCAATTGAAGAGCTTCAGCGACGGCAGTTGGTGACCCTCTGTGAAACAAGATTTGTCGAAAGACATGAATCAGTTTTGGTTGCACGACAGCTTTTGCCTTACATCGTTGTGTGCTTGGAATAAATGCTCGCTTGGGACTCATTAGATACAAGAAAAGATGCCAGGAGATTGTTAAAAAGTTTGCAAGACCCTCAGTTCCTTGTAGCGCTAGTATTGGCCGAGAAAGTGTCTGCTGTACTTCGCCCAGTGTCCCGTTCTTTGCAACAAATTGGTAGCGATCTTGTGAAAGCAATGTCGACGATTTCTGCGACACAGTCAAAGCTTTACACGTGGCGTAAAGGTGAAGAAAATGAGTTTGCTTCGATGTTTGAAGAGGCAATGCTTCTTGGCGAAAATATTGGAGTGACCAGAGAAGAGATGCACGCAATTCCTCGAGCAGTCAGTCAATCCAGGTTCAGATCAAATGCAGGTGAAGCCAATCAAAAAGCCATTGATTATTATCGTATCAATGTGTTTTTACCTCTTCTTGATGAAGTGGCTGGAGATATGAAAGCAAGATTTGGTCCCCATCAGCAGAAGATTGCGACGCTTACAAGAATTCTGCCTTGTTTCGTCAAAGAATCAACTTGGCAAGATATTTTGCCTGCAGCACTAAAATACGGAGTCTTTTTAGACCCCTTGTCCATTGTTGAAGGAGAGTATGAAATTTGGAAGCAGCAATGGCTGTCACGTGGAACAAGTACAGTAGCAAATACCGCTATCGGCGCTTTAGGCGACTGCCAAGGTGATGTATTTCCTAATTTGCATACATTACTCAACATTCTCACTGTGCTACCGGTGACAACAGCAGAACCCGAACGACTATTTTCTAAACTGAATAGTACCCTGACAGCAATTCGGTCAACAATGTCTGAGGAGAGATTAGAATCCCTACTTCTTCTGCAAGTTCACCGTGACAGAACACCAACGAGCGATAAACTCATTGACTCATTCGCAGCATTAAAATCAAGACGAATCCCATTAAAGCTGTAAGTAGTTAAAAGATGGACAAAATGACGTTGCTATTATATCGCAATACTCAACATTGAAACACACCACTTCTCGCGCAAAATGAGCTCGCATGTAGCTTTTCGTTTCAAAGGCAAAATCTCCGATAACGTTTTTGCTACGATATAGCTACTTCCTTTTCAAATTCTTTTCTGAATATATTGACATCAGTTGGGATCACTGATTTCCACAAAATTACTCAATCAAAGCTCTCATGTTTCTATGCTCGCAGTTAGTGTTCTCATGTAATGTAATAAGTAATTTTGGTTTGTTAGTTATATAAACAACTAGTTTCTTGTTATGCAAAAACTTTTACCTTATCAATTTACATGTTTAGTTAATGTATTTACTGTCTTTTCATTCAAAGTTTCTCGTTGTCGAATCGTTTGGGGGGGGCCATGGCCCCCCCGGCCCCCCCTGTAGATCCGCCAATGCGTATGGTACAGGTATAGCTAACAGCATTAAGAAGCATTTTCTTATTCTCGGCATACACAAGGAAATAGTGCTTAGAATAGCCAACGACAGTGAAGCCTCCTGAGGCAAATTGGGAAGGAGAGTCATAGCATCAGTGCCTCTTAAGCGAAAGCAACCCCAAAATCACAATCACTTAATATTTTTACTTAAAACTTTCAACCGGGACAAACCCTTCTAAAATCGGTAACATGGAAGCTCAATATTAACATCGATATAAAACATCATGGTCATTTAACCTTATCTGTAGTTATGTAAGCCATATAACCAGTTTCTTTTCCTTTGACCAAAGGAAGCATCGTGACCCTGTAAAAATAGAGAAGTGCCTATACAGAAACTTGAAGGAAAGGGTTCGGTAAAGAGTAGAAATTAAAGGCAATAGGAACGAGGGTATGAAGCCAGTTCAATTTTATCAATCAATAAGAAGAATATAGGAGACGTTTAAAGACGAAGGAACCTCGGGTGTATGATATCCTTTATATGCGCTATGTTAAAGCCTTCTGGAAGCTATGACAATATAAGCTGAGTAGAAGACTGTAAATCTGAGCTGCAACTTGGAGCTACTTTTATTCTGCACACAATAGCAAATGTTTATACGGTATCAAGTACCATAAAACAGAGTACTCTAAGGTCCTTAATAGAAGGGGGGGCGCTTATTAATTTTTCGATTTTTTTCTGACCCCACCGGAGCTTATTTGGACCCCCCCGCTTATTAATTTTTATATGCAATCATTCATATCCCTTATTTCATTTGTCCTTTGTTCTTCTGGTGTGAAATTTCTGTAAAGTTTCTCTTAAATGAAGAGGTTGCATTGAACAAAAGTTTTAACATAGAAAAGTAGTGACATCCTAAAAAGATTTACATAGGACTGACTGATGTACACAATGATAATTAGTCTGCTCATTTTAGTAATACAAGAATTCATTATTACATGGTGATAATTGTCACAATGCTATCGATTGTATACAGAAGAAAATCTCCTTTGAACCCAAAAAAGAATCATCACGCGATTTTTCAGAATTTTCACATTCGACCCCCCCTACTTACTAAGACCCCCCACTTATTTATTCTTTGAAAAATCTCTGACCCCCCTTCCAACTATCAAGACCCCCCTTCTATTAAGGACCTTAGAGTAGGTAACAGAAATTCTTGAGAGTAATACCTTGTGTATCAATCAATTTACAACGGGTCAGTAACATGCATGCAAATGGAGATACCAATAAAGAAAATCAATGGATGGTTGCATTGCTTTTAATCTGACAAAGCATTTTATTACCTTTTTACTGTCGATCCGTACGTTGGACCAAGTAATGTTTTTCTGCACATTTTCGTTGTAGAATTCAACAATTTCATTTTATACTACGAACAAGTAAACAAATAAGCAAAAAAAAGTTCCAGCAAAGTATGATTTCAAACGCAATAAAGTTGATTTTGGAGAATGAGGTAGTGGTCTAACAAGCCACATAAAAAATGAATCATCTGAGTCAGGGATATGCAAAAAATGACTCTAAATTTCTTGTCCTTGTAGCATTTTTCTTAATCCCATTTAACCCAGTGGAACTTTAGACTATCTTTTTCTTTTCATTAGATCAGGGCAACTATTTTATTTTAGCTAAATTTATATAAGCTGAAAATAATATCATATTAAATAAAAACATGCAGTAAGATATATTTTACAATAAAATAAAACTTAAAAGCTAATTAAAATGAATTTTGTTCTTAAATTTCATGCAGCAACACTGGCACTATAATTACTTGAAAAACTTTATATTTCAGGCAACAGCAAAAATTAAACTGCACATTCTTACCTGGTTGTTGACAATCAGCAAGAAGTCTTCTTTTATAATCGGTGGGTACCACGCAAAGCATGTAGGGACAGCACTTTGCTCGATGCGATCAGAGCCAATTAGGCGAAGGTCGTCTTCAGAACTGTTGTCGAGGTCGTATTCAACCTAGAAATTTAGGTCTTTTGCATTTAAATACGTCATTGGCTAATAATAAATTTGGCACGAACGATCTATGTTTTACAGCTTATAATGCAAAAGTATTCAACTGTTATGAATCGCCGTGATCTGCTATGATTAACTTTATTTTGAGACCTCTTGCATAGAAAAATTGACGTGGCAATCAAACTTGCATTTTAAAAAATTGAAACATATATGCTAAAAACAATAAATCGATCATAGATTCTTTTAATAATGAAATAGCTCTTACTAAAACCCTGTCTTCCCCGAGTGAAAGTAGCCTTGCTTTTTCCTCGTCCAAAGCCTTTCCGAAACAAATATCTATAAGAAAGAAACGTTGCCGAATTTGAAAAAGCATAAATATTTGGAGAGAAAGGTTGCAAATGAGTTCAAATTTAGTGTGATGACAAACATGTTGCAAACATTGAATTGATTTATCTCCTTTCCTATCTTAGGCCATCGACTTTAAAGTATATCAAAATCCAAAGAAAAATTCAAAATTACAGTGTCAACATTCTTTCTCGTCCCACAGGCTTAAAATCTTAAAAAACAGAAACACAATTAATAGGAGATTTGAGATAAATAACAAAAGTTATAGCTCATCAGCTTTTATATGATGCTTTTGAGTTCGACTTACCAACAATTCGTTTGTAATGGGCTCTCTGTTTGCCAATATAGACCCAGGGCTGACTCTTGCTGTTAGGCTGTGCTTTAAACAGTGTTACGCAACGGTCCATGTCCTGTCAAAAAATAACGTTGATTTTCAACTAATGGATACGATAAAAGGGGGTAAAAAGATTGTTCTGGTATGAATCCAAAATATGTTTTATTCATTGAGATATGGTAGCTCTGTATTTGCCCCTTCGATATTTGACCACCCTGTAATACACGTAACTCTGGATGCCTCCAAAAAGAGCCAAATAAACAAGCATTGCTAAAGCAAGCTTATCTAGCGGTTACACAATACCTAACGGCGAGAAAATAAAAAAATTTGCATTAAAAACATTAGGAAAATGGTTAGTTTGTGTCAAATGTTTTTAGTCAAGAAAAAGAAAACTATAAAATCAAAGCTAACGTTTCAGCTTTGTGTAAAATGCGATTACTCGTGAGATCGAGGTTGTGTTTAAGGTCTTGTGATTTCAATAATTGCAACATTTATATCTTATCGAAATACAGCACAAAGAAACACCTTGAACTAATCACAGAAAGCAAATGTCATGTCATAGAGCTTGAGATTGGTTATCGAAAACATATCAAATTGAAGTATCACACCAAAATAAGGCCATCTCATTGTTATTAAGAAAAGACTTTCTAAAGCTTATTCTAGTATAGATAGAATAATGACTTAAACACGTAAAATAAAGCATTTTTATGTACAAATGCCATAATTGGATATAATTATGCTAGAGCAAGGTTTGTTGACACTCACAGAGGTGGCTAGATATCGACAATCATACGAGAAAGCTACGTTCTCAATAGAGTCATGACAATGATAGAAGTCTGATTTTGTTTCATCTAGGCCAACATCCGCTAAAATCAGTCCATCAACAACCGTGACTCGGCCGGAGGAAAAACCAACAGCTAAAAGAAAATAATGACCAATCAAGGTAAATGTCTGGCGGAGGTTAAAGTAAACTAAGTTTATTAAGCTCATTCTCATGGAAAATTAAAAAAATCTTTTAGAACTGATACTTTCAAAACATATACTTCGAAAAAATTTGCATGATAGACCGATTAGTTAGAAAATTAAAGAAGAAAGGTAGAAATTCTTTAGGATTTAGTTTACTGTCTAAACCAAAATCTGTTCAAAACTTTTGCTGTTTAATTAGGTTTTCTTATTAGGGAAGTCGAAAAAAGATATGATTCTAAATTGGTGATGTCTCTTCACCTCTTTTCACAAAGGATTCTAAATTGGCGAAGAAGACATAAAATTGGGTATTTGGCATTTCCTTTCATGTTTCTTCTTATGATATGAGGTTTCTACTTTGGTTATATTTTTTCATGGACAACGTTAATTCCTTGAATACAAATGTTACTGGGACAGTCTGAATTATGATAATTATCCAAATAAAATATGGAATAGCATATCGACGTAATTGAAATGATAAAAAGAATTATTTGATCCGAACAAAGAGAATAAACAAAAATCTCTTTGGTCATCCCAACCGACTTACCGATAAAATTTCCTACGGGACTAAAACCAACACAGGTTATTTCTTGATCTTTTCCAAAGTACCTTGATGCGACCAATTTTCTAAAATTTAATGAAACTAACACATTAATTCAAAGCTTGCTTGTGAATAACAGAATAAAGTCGTAAAAAAGTTATAAATTTAACATTACACTGGGTGATTGAAGCCCTGTGGCAGCAAACTTGAAAAATTAGGACTTCCGGCCAAGAAATTGCCGTTTCACCTAGTTTAGAAATTTTGAGGAAATGAGTTACATCTTACGTCACACATGGCATTTTTTCCAAAGAAAAAAGTGTTAATGAAATAACGTTCAATCACAGAGGCTTCTTACCATGGTAAATACTAATTTAGAAAACATTAATGAATTTTCATCAAAAACCAATTTGCATCCAAAACTGTGTTACCACAACTAGGATTTCCAGGGCAATGATCCAGATTCTGACGACTTGGTTCTTAATCATGACAAATCAGAAAATAAACATAAACAGGGCACCATCAAGTTTAAATTACAATCTTGAAAAAGTAAGATGAACAAAAAAAGATGAAGTTCTTTACTTTTTGTCGTAGTCCCAAAGCTGAAGCATTCCGGTAAAACCTCCAATACATATTCTAGGTCTGAAAGAAAATACTAGCACTTTTAGTAATTCTCTAGAAAAAAGGTTTCAGAATTCAAAATTCAAAAGGCAAATCAGCATATTATCGAAAAAAGAATTTTAGAATGTCGATCGCATGCTAGACATGATTTAGAGAATCCGTTAAAATAAATTTTGCTTACTCTTTAGGATGGCAGGCAATGGCTTGCGCGGATTTTTCGTTTTCTTGTCTGATGTACTGCAATAAAAAGCATAAAAAAAGACATAGCAAAGCATAATAACTAGCCGAAATATCAGCAAGAAAAACTGAGTACGATCCATAATGTATTGGGTAATTCTTTGGCCACAGAAACTGTGTTCAGTGTGTGACACAATCTGACGCAGGTCAAAAGCCTTACCTCGAAATGACTGCCAGCAGCTTTGAAGTAAACAATGTTCGATCTTGTTGTACCAATCACCAAATCGTTTATTACGAAAGCATCCGCCTTCAAGGTAGAGCTGGAGGGGTAATCTCCTTTTTTGATTGGCCTGAAGGAAAACTATTTCTTTGAGATACTAAGAAACAAATCAGCTGATTTTGAGACAAAGAAGCGTCATTTTGCAGACATTGCTTTTAGAATTGCAAGCCCTTTACACTTAATTGGTAAAAACGGGAGTCAACCTGAGTAGAACTTTTGTTTTGTAGGCACAAACATCTATGATTGGTCTTTCATTGGGGGTAACCATATTCGAATGATAAGTTGTGGTGGAAATAATTTTTAAAGGGTAGCGCATCAAAAAGTGATAGCGTTACTTAAGCGCATGAATGAGAAAACGGAAGACATTTTTCACATGCATATAGGAACCTTAAAGTAACATGTAAACACAGCTGAGCTCAACTGTGGCCTGACTAACCCAGGCTGAACATAGATAGAACTCAAGCAGTGTAAGCAAAACTATACTTTTAAATAGTTTAATTTGTCTTTAAATTGTAGAAAACAGCATGACGGATTCTGACTCAGATACCAAAACATGTGCGTTTGATTTGCAGCATACCTGGGACTCTCTGTGTCTCTAGTTGAGTGCGAAAATGATAAAGCATTTATTGGTCCAGCTTTTTGGAATTGCTCATACCTATAATGAAGATTTCAAAGAATGAGTTTTTAGTAGCGTTCTTTGCAGGTATGTAGTGCCAGGGAGCTGAAATGGGCTGAACCCTTTTATTAATGCTGAAAAGAAGCCAATTTCTACTTTCTTAAGAAGAAGCTAATCTACAATCCAAGGTACTATTGCTAAGACAAACACTAAAGAAGATTCCAGGCAGGAGCGTGCAAATTGGGGAAAAGAATCGGATTTACAGTCAATTTTGCCCTTCAGAAGGAATGATATAGTTTGCCTCTGAGTAATATCGTTCCTGAAGTCAAAATACACATAGATTATAGATATATCATTCAGTCGAAAAAGGGAAAACGATTTTTCAAGATTTTTCAATAACTTTTTTCAACTTCTTTGATGGATGGCCTTGGATGGGAACATTACTTGACAGAATTGGCACAGGAAGGAGACAGCTGTATATGAGAAGAACCCAACAACGCTAATTATATTACTTCAAATTTAACCCACAAAGGAAAACCGACAGAAAACTATCTATAAATGGTATTTTGATCTAGGTCTCTTACCAATTTGACAATTTCAAATCCCTGTCAAAGAACTTCACATTTCCAGCAACATCGCCAGTAGCAATGAATCTGTAAATAAAAAAACCAAAACACATTTTTACAAATCAATCCATACTTCCATTAGATCACACTAAATAGAACGTGACAAGAGTGCATTAGCCCTTGCAATATCAAATATTGTATTAAACTTTAATGTTTGAACTTACTTGTCACACAATGTTAGCACAGTGAGGGCTTTCTCTTGCATCTTGACAATTTTGAATGCCTTTTTATTACATGGCATGTCACCATCAGAATGACTCCATACAACTATATTGCCACAACTTGTTGCTGTCAATGCTCTCTCAGTGCCAGCCAGAAAAACAGACTGACTGTAAGTGCCAACAGCTTTATTGAAATCCTATAAAAAAGATTCTTGCTATGAAAATGAAATTCTTGCAAGAATAAAGATTTTACTACCAAAGAAAAATGATAGAATGAGCAGAGATCTTACAAATTTTGAAAATATTGTTGCCTTAAATGATATGATCTTTATGTTAGTTGGAGCAGCAATAAAATATAAAATATCTTAACCAAACCACTTACCTTGTCTGAAAGGGGAGGGGCAACAAAGTGGAGTTTCTCAGAGTCAGATGTCTGAAATTAGAAACAAAACCTAAATAAAGAAAAGCTCATGTAATACCTTTGAAACACAATAGAGATGGTCACTTATGATGATACGTTTATGTCTTAAGAAAGGATGATGATTCCTGGGGAAAAGATTATGTATTTACATACATATTTCCAGTACTGCTTCTAGTCTGAAAGACCTGGTTTAAACAGCAAATTCACTGCATACACAACTGCCTGGTATCATGCAACAAAACTGAAATAGCTCAAAAGAAGTAGCTAACCCCGAAACAATCACAAAATTATGCTTAAACGGATTATGATTATTTCTTATGATCAATATTGTTGACAAAAAACTGATAAATGTGTTTGATGGGTGGCATCATAGTTATAAAAAGGTATTAGAGGGTGATAAAACAACGTTTATGTCTGTTCAAAGAGATATGTCAAGTATCAATAAACCTATTACAGTAAAAGTATTTTTATTATCCTTATAATGGTAAAAACTAACAAGGCTGCTCTTGACTCCTTTTCGTTGAAAAACAAACAGTAGCCTATAAATCAAAGTTAAAAAGAACAAACCCAATAGTAGAAAATCACTTGATTGCCATTGTTGGTGACAAATTGGTGAGGGTCATCAGGATGAAATGCGATATGGGTCTAGGAAACAATTTATTTCACACCAATTATTAAAAAGTGCACAATGTTTAATCAATACTACTGTGGTTTTCAGATAGCATCGGTTAGGAGTGGTAGCTCAGTGCTTAAGCCCTCAAGTATTTAGCCCTCTAATATTGCAATAATGCCCTCATAATCAGCTATAGGCAACTTCAATAATGTCAGCATTACAAAATTTCTTATAAACTTTTTAAATTCTTACTTGGGTAAGCAGACTGGTAAAACAATTAACTACTAACAAAATTTTGGCATACACCTTTTGAAAAGAAATTTTCTGTTCTATTCTTAATCAATTTCATTGAATTTTAATTATCATTTCAAAACTGCAATTTGTATAATTGTCTTTGGTGCCATCCCTGGCATTTGCCAATATCAAGATATAATAAGGTTCTTTATTTTGTCTTGCTAATACTAGTTCCAGATAGTTAAAAAGGTGCATTTTGATGCTGATGTATCCAAATGTTGAAATAAAAATGCTGTCAATGTATCTTGCCCTACTGTGTCACTGGTATTCATAACTCTAGAATAATACGGTCCAATACCTGTAATCCATGTCCCTCTTCTAATATTGCAGAGCAAATTGGTGAGGTCCTTTCAGTGGTCCAGTCCCAAACAGAGACAGTCTAAAATTGAAAACAAGAATAAATGAAATAAGAAGTGCCAGGTAATTTTGCTTTTTAATGGTTTTCAAGACAGTTTTATTTTTCAAGGCATATGTATCCTAACTAGACCTTCTTATTTGATGCAAGCTATCACTTGCAATCACATCAGCACTCCTGGAAACCCTACTGCATGTGTGTTTAACTGCACACGCAAAACAGTAAATTTTAGGGAATAGATAAATAATTTACAGTCATCTTTTGCAACCCAAGCAAGTAACACAGATAATACAAAAATCAAATACTTGGTAAATCAAAACATAGGAAGAAATACCCTGGGTACCAGAGCCTCAGTGAAAGACATGATCTAACTGTGCTCTCTCACTGACCCACTCTTTCACTGAGGCTGTGGCACACAAGGTGAGAAAACATAAGCAAGCTGCATTAACCACATCTTAACAGAAGAATGCAATGGAATAACAAATACAGCCTGAATGTTTAGGAACACTATAGGCACTTAGTATGGTTAGAAAAATTAATACAACAAAAAACTTTAAACCTGGGGCACTGAGTGACTGGCAGTTACTAGATATTTTGCATCATGTGACAGCATCATACTCTGCACTCCATCAGGATATGGCTCAAAAAATGTTTGGATCGGAATCCTACAACATTGGAACACAAAAAATATTTGTCAAACAAGCTGAACTTTGAAGTTAAAGATCCCACTGGTAGATTGTAAAAAGGTTGATAGCTACCAAAGTAGTTATCTTCAAGATAGCTACTGACAAAAAGGACTAGCCTTAAAATTTGGATGATCTTAACATGATGCAAAGCTGGATTATGTTATAAAATTGAATCATCACAGGTAAAAACCAGAATATAACATTTTACTTCCTTTACTTATCAAACAGTAAAGCAAAGACAATAAAGACAATTGGTAATTGTCCTCTATAGCAATGATTTATAGCTAGATCAACAAAATTTCTAACTGTAGTAACTGTTGACAAAAGAGCAAACTGAGTGAAAAGTTACTGGAAAGGTCTAACTGAATAGGCTTTTGAGAAAGTGGGCTCTAGAAGGTTACTCGGAGTATGTCAGGGGCTGATCTAATTGTCTCTTCCCAGTTGTTCATTAGTTTGTTGGCAAAGTCTTTAGTTTGAAAGAAAAATCATTTGTTGATCTGTAAAAGCTGGATAATATGTTCAGTCAGAACAAAATTGTCTTTCCTTTGAAGGTCAAGATACATAAAGGAATGAAGTGTTCTCCTGGCCAAACTTACCCAAAAAGTATTTTATTTTTAAAGAGGGGCTGGATAGTGACATTAGAAATGAACTAATTAATAATAAGGCAAATAATTCCAAAAAGGCAATTTAATAGATAAAATTTGACTGTACCCTGCAAGTGTATCCCAAATAATGACCATACAGTTTGGGCCAATGTCTGCAGTTGCAAGCCATCTTTTATCATTGCTGACACATGTGCAACTGAGACAATTACCCTGCAACAAAAGTGAAACATAATTTTTAAAAGGGTTATCATATTATGCTCTTTGTTAAATCATGCTCTTATCAATTTCTACTGCCGAATTCTTAAATTAAAGTTAGAGCAGTACATCCCTGATTGTCAAGAACTATGTAGCATATTACTAAGGTCCCTTCAGCCCCCTGCTCCCCCCCCCCCCCCTACTTCCACTGAACTGTTAAAAAAATAACAATACTAGAAAAAAGCAAACAGAATTAAGATAAAAAATGTCAAACACCAACTTACATGTCCTTGAAAAAGAGTTTGTCTATTTCTGTTGAAATCGTAAAGCACTCCTGTATGTGCGGTCACATAGAAAACAGCCTAAAATGAATAGGAAAGAGGAGCGATTTTAAGCACATTCAAGCCAGTTTTTTATGTTTCTATCAAATTGTATTCCTTCCATAATATATCTTAATGAAAAATATAATATTTTAATAGAATGAGGAATATTTATGCAACAAATAAAATGCACAAGGAGAGAACGAGATGTTTTGATAAATTCTGACTACACGTAAACAACAAATGGTTGTCCAAAACATTATCAAGAGCTGTGATTATGTGAAATATTTTAGATAACAAAATGCTAGGTGACTAAACCATGAACTGCTCAAAGTGCAAAAAAATTCAAGCATCAAATATATATATACCTTTCTATCATCATTAGATAGATTAAGAACTGGAACATTTCTATTAACACCAAAAGACCACACCAAATTCTGTAATGCAATGAATAACAAATGATAAATATTTTGTAGATTTATAAAATAAAATGTGACAACAAAGATCTTTATATTTTGACTAAAAACTACCAGAAAAACACAAGAATATAGGTTGCAAAGCAAACATGAAAAAAATTTGTCTATGTAAATTACATCAATACAGTATGCTTGGCGAGTAAGCTTATCATATGATCATGACATTAATTTCGATGACATTTATTTGTGGATCAAAGGGTTATTGATTGTGAGTTGTATAATGAAAGAATATTGATTTACTTACTAATGCATTTTTGACATGGATATCATTACTGTTGTCACTTGCGTCAATATTAATGCTTTCTGTTGGGCTAGTGATAGGGGTGTCTTCTCCAGCACTTTTAGCTTCTTCCTCCATTGCTAAGGTTTTCCACGAAGTTGACTAGGCCTAAACAACACTGTTGCCCAGTAACGAGGCTTATTGCGGAGCATAGTCTCTGGGCAGGAGCACTCATTTTTCACCAATTTTTGCTCCCTTTTTTCTTTTTTTAAACACAATTTCTTCTAATTATTAGATATAATGAATGAGGCAACCACATCAATCAAAGGAGAAATAACAAAGACCTATTTAAAAGTTTTTATGAATTATAATATTTTATTTTTTTCTTTGTCCCAGATAATAAATTATCCTTCACCAAATCCGTTGGCTTGCTGAATTTCTAGAAACTTTAGAGATTTAGCAGAGTGAATTTTGGTCTTGATGAAGCAACTGAAGAATCACCTTTGATTAAATTTTGGCTACTAGGGGAAATAATTTAAACCTCATAACCGACAGGAATTCGAGCAACTCTTACCAACAGGAGGGAAACCACAAAAATGTTCCGAAGGGGGAACAGAAATGACTTTGCCGACAAAAGGGCCTGCCCCACTCTTTATGGCTGTGATCATAAGACAAATAATTTCATATGCTGCCTTAATGCGTTTCTATTTCAATATTCAGCATTTCAAATGAATTTCAAGTTTTTTTAGTGCCATACTTTGAAAGTTCATATGTTACAAAAATTTTAATACGCTTCAATTGATAAGCGTGGCAAAGGGACAAAGTATTGAGGGGTCCCCCCCCCATTTTGCGACGCCCCTGCCTACCAAATACATTAACTACAAAAAAATTCGTCCTGGCAAAATTTCGGACAAATATTTTGACGAAATTTTCTTCGACTAAATACAAAATGAGACGAAATTTTTTCGCGAAGAATACTTTGCATTTAAGATTTTTGAGAATTCGTTTGAGAGTTGAGATAAACTTTTACATGAAATCAAGAATCAAATTTATTTATCCTTTAGATCTATTCAGTGTCAATGACGTCATTTACATCATCTCCATAATTGTCTTCATTGTAGGCATCATCATCATCATCAACACTGTCGGTTCTTGAACTAACTTAGTTTTCACCATTGTTCGATAAAAATAGTTCTAATTCAGTGGCGTAGCGAGGGGGCGGACCCCACCTTTAATGGCAAAAAATATCTTTGGTTTGGTTGAAAAAGGCGTTAACTTGGGTCCAAAAGGGTGAAGACCCCAATGTTCCCTGCTCAACTCGCCTTTGCTCAACGCCTTCCCCCTCCCAATCTTACAACCCAGGCTACGCTACTGTTTTCACTGTGTTTTCTCGCCTGTTTCAAAGGATTCCACATCTGTCTTTTTATATTCAACTGTACTATTTCTTTCATTTGTTCATGGTATTTGCAGTTTTCAACCCAAATTTTGAACTCTACGGAAAACACAATTTCGAGACCAACTTTTCCTGTTGGAGATTGTCTTATGCTTTCCGAATGTTATACTTATAATATTCACAATTATACTTTTAATAACACTCTTTGAATTCTAAAAGCATAATTTTTACCGAACCTTCGCATAAACTGAGGAAATATACCGCTTTAATTTGGTTTTCCAGACATGCGGTTCTGTGTGAAAAAGCTGCCTGGGGGGAGGGGTCGAGCAAATTTCCGAACGGGTGCTCAAGCTCCCAAGTCTCCACGAAGCCGGTACCTATGGAATTGAATATAAAGCTACCTGTATGGTTTTGCTTCTTAAGATTTTGGTAATATGTTGCTAGGTTTGTGTTAAAAATCCACGACGAAATTTGGTTGCAACGTGAATCAGCAAATGTGAATCAGCACTAAGAACTAAGTTTCTTAATTTGGCATCAAAATTTTGGCACATCGGTACTAAAAGTTTCTTAATTGGTTTCTTATTTCCTGGACATAAAATTGCCATATTGTTTTGAAGTTGAGCATTTTTGGAAGTTGAGCAGTTTTATAAGCCTTTATTTTGTGACCTTATACAAGTCAAATCGGGCATATGACCTAGATAGTTCCTTCTGAGTTCTTTTCATATGTCCGCAGCAAACACATTAAACTTTGAACTACCTACTGTATGTAGTTTTCTTTTTTGTAAAAAAAATTATTGTTATTTGTGGTTCATGTATTAAATAGTAGTTAATTATTGCTGTGAATGACAAGTTTGAGATTGAAGAATATAAACGCAGATCGTCACGAAAAAACCCAGGCGGATCAAAATCCAGCAGGTTCTTATAGATAAAAAAGTGTAACTTTTGCGGCCACCATCACTGTAATTCTGAACGAGAAAATGTTGAAATGAGATCAATAGAGATGTATCCTTAACTTTGCATGGTCAAAGGATGGCTGATAATGCTATACTATGAGCTTATTCTTACATTTTTGAGTTACAGGTTTTAGTTCTTGAATACACAGCAGTGAGTAAAAATGAGCATTCAATTATATTATATTGCTGTGAGTGTGCAGTATCCTAGTCTTTTTCGTTGATTTCGATTATAAAGGGATCTGTTGTACATATGGTGATTTGATAACCTTAGCATACGATAAACTAGGAGTGATATTTTACTCTTTATCAACAGGGATAGCAGCCGATGTTGATGGCAAGCAACACCGTTCTTAAAGTAAAAATCCAAAATATAATTTCAAAATTACATCTTAACCTTTCTCTAATTTTGCAGGCATTTTGTAAAACATCGGCTGGAAAGAGAGAATCACGGCTATTACTTAGCCACTCGGTAGTTCTTTGGATATTGCTGCATGTGTTCACAGAAAAATTAATCCATATATACTGAATTTAAATAATTCATAAATTGTTAGCATTAATACCAAAGGTGGCATTTGCAGACTTTTAAGAGGATGCTTAAATATCTTTCCTCAATACTTGACAAAATTTCCTGTGGAGCAACTTCCAAAGAAATCCTAACGTGATGCATCAAAATCCTGAATTAAGGCTCAAACACAAATTGTAACAGTTACAATGGAATAAAAAGACAAACTATTTCTAGTCAAAAGGTCATCTTTGATACGAATTTGAATTTGAATTTACATTGTATATATGTTAAAATTCATCCTGCATTTGAAACACAATATAACTTTATTTTGTTCTGTTCTCAAAGAAATTTTCTTAGCTATTATGAATACAATATTTCTAAGTATAAAAACAATTCAACCATCATTCCCTGACAAGGAGCACTGTTTTTTTCCCTAAGGATAATAATTGATTTCTAATATAAATGTCAATACCTATGATGATACTTGTTTCAGTTTTTAGGAAGATAAATCTTTTCTGCTTCAACTAACTCTTGGTCGTTTTGCAAAGCAAATATATCTTTAACAGTTGCAATCTGAAAAAGAGCAAACAATGATCAATAAAAGTGATAATATTAGCTATGAGTTCAATTAAAGTTATGTCTCATGGCTTTGCAGGGTTACTTGGCAGTGAAAGTAATAAACCCTTCAAGTATTATCAAAATAAGGCCCACAGTTTACGGCTTTTATTTAAATGACCATATTTGAGCTGCAATGCCTCAATATAGCTACTGGTTTGCATGACATGAATGTAATAGTATAGAATTAATACCAAACATCTTTTGAAAAGCTGAGGATATTTTGCTGCAGCTTATAAAGGGTGGAATATAAATGAGAGCAGCTCTCTTTCTAGCCAGATCCTGCTTAGTATTCCTGTTACCTTGAAGCTTAGGGTGATAATGAAGAATAATACTTATGGGGGCTATTGGTGATTCTAAGTTGGACAATATTGTTGTTGGTTGAGCTTCTGATATCTCCTTTATGTATTACGTGCACAATCAGGTTCTCATCAGTTTTTGTGTCCAACATTTAAACTAAGTATCTCTGTATGGTGTTGTAGGTGAGGCTTATAATAAAGCAGTGATGGACACTTGGTCATAAATTGGGGGCAAGCCTATTGTTTTTAAAGGATTATATTCCATTTCACCATTGTTATAGAACAAGATACCATTGTCTTTCAAAATATTGGGGGCAACAGCCCCTCGGCCCCCTAGGTGTCTGCTACTGTAATCAAGGTTGGCTTACATTATTCATGAATCCAATTTGCTGCAGCTTATAATCAAGGATGGTTTATTATCAAATAAAAATGGTAGATTTGTTCAGTCTTACAGAACAGAAAAGCACTATGATTTCTATAGGTATAATTTCTATATCCCAGGGAGGAAAAGTTCTAAGTTGCAGCTCTGAGTTTCACACTAATGCAATTATCAGCCAACAGTTGCATGCACACCAAAGTGTGTACAGCTCTGCCTATATGGCACCAATCACTTCATGACAGGCCAATAAACAGTAACTTTTATTTCTGTATCCTATTCCTTAATGCTCCACATAAAACTGCAAACAGATACATGAATACTCCTCAGCACGAATGCCTCTGAGAAACCTTAAAACTTACATTTGGCTCAACATTGACCAATGACTGTTCTTTGAAGATTGTGTTTGTTGTGTTTTGCATGGCAGTTATAGCAGATCTCACATTGTGATTTGCCCAAATAATTGTTGACACTTTCCAGTCTCTAAATGTATCTGTTGGTGTTTTGTAATACTTGGTTGGCACAATTATCACTGGGCACTGCAAAAGAATTCCAAAGATATCAAGAAAGTCTAAAACATGTCACATGATAATCATAATATATCAAGAAAAAACATCTAGAAAATATGGCTGATATTTAAGCGATAATCATACTCTCTAAAAGGCTCTTGCCATGAAATTGAACTGCTAAAATGCAAATGAATTTCAGATGGAGCACACCACTTACCCATATTGCCCATATTAATCATACTGGCATATCAAGGATGTAAACAACAGATGCCTATTATTCTATATTTTTTCTACGTAGATAGCACCTGAAAATATATTTTAGGACAATGAAAGGCTTTTGCATATTGAGCATTTCTTGTCCACTCCATCAATGTGACTATACCTATATACCTATGATTTTCTATGCCTGAAACTATGGCAACTTTCTCACCTAAACTGAAAGTTTTGTCATGGTAGGGACTTGTATCTCAAATATTTGGATCATAACCATAGAAAAAATACGGAAATTGGATTTCAAGGTACTTTTAGCCAGATTTTGAAGTGCAAGCTACCATGAGACAGAAAACAACTGTGTTACAAATCACACAGAGAAATGCTGAATGTAGCATTAACAGCAACAGGTGCAAGGATATGCTTCAGAAAGGAGATGTTGGTGCAAGGATATGCTTCAGAAAGGAGATGTTAACAATGACCAATTGATGGGTTCAAACTTGCAACAAGACGGCTCTTTGCATCAATTTCTAAGAGCATACCTCGCAAATGATGTCATGTACTGTATTCCTTTAAAGACAAGGGCATGTAGATGTTTCTGAGCAATTATTTACCTTGTTGTTCCATGCTTTCATGAAGGCCTCAATTTCAGAAGAGTCACTTCTCTTGCTATGCATCAATATGGCATCAGCCCCTGCTTCTCTATAGGCATCGGCTCGTTTCAATGCTTCATCCAAGCCCCAACCAGCAATGAATGCCTCTACTCTAGCTACAATGCAGAAATCAGGGTCTCTCTGGTGATCTAAAAAGAGGTAGATAGATATCAATAATGGAGCTCCATAGCAAAGCATTTTCCATAACAAATACAAAAATTATCACCCAATACAATCATAATCCATGATTTGATAAATTATTATGTAAATCAGAGCCGTATTTGTTATGATGAGAAAATAAACAAGGATACCTTTGCAGGCCTTGATCTTCAGGGCAAACTCTTCTACATCAGCCAATGGTTGGGCTCTTCCATCTAAAAGTGAGTTTGTTTTAGGAAACAACTTATCTTCCATACAGGCTCCTGCAACACCTCTTTCTTCTAACTTTCGTACCAGTCTGCGAGCATTATTAAAATTTCCAAAGCCAGTATCAGCATCCAAAAGTATAGGGATATCTGTAGCATCACTCATGTATTCAAGAACATCTAAAACTTGTGTCCAAGAAGCTTCATTGCTGTCTCTAACTCCTAATGATGCTGATATTGATAATCCACTGCCCCAAATGCCTTTGAAACCTAAAGTTAAAAGAAAATGATGTCATTGCTATTTTAGTTGCAAGGTCTAGCACCTGTCACTGAGAAAGGAGCTTTGAGCTGTTTATTTGTAGAATTGATATACATATTGAAATAAGCACATAAATATTGTATATAAATATACATTAACTATCAATCAATGATAAATGTGCTATAACCAATGGATACCTAAATGATAACATTGCTATTTTAGGTGCAAGGTTTATCAAGGTTTAACTATCAACCAATGATAAATGTGCTATAACCAATGGATACCTAAATGATGTCATTGCTATTTTAGGTGCAAGGTTTATCAACGTTTAACTATCAACCAATGATAAATGTGCTGTGACCAATGGATACCTAAATGATGTCATTGCTATTTTAGGTGCACAGGTTTAGCAAGGTTTAACTATCAACCAATGATAAATGTGCTATAACCAATGGATACCTAAATAATTTCATTGCTAATTTAGGTGCAAAGTTAGCACCCTTAAAAGTGTTACTGAGAACAGGAGCTTTGAGCTGTCTGTAGAAATGTAGAAATGATATACTTTTTGAAAAAATTTACAAACTTTACCATAACTATTTACAAATGATAAAGATATCAATCATACCAACAAATTATCAAAATACCAGGCTAAAAAATAACAACCTGCATTTTGTACAATTTTCGCTGCAAGGCCATTGTGGGCTTCCATCAGAAACTCAAGTTCAGATGAATTCAACATTTTCTTCAACTGGGTGGTTTTCTGAAAATGAAATCAACTGAAATATATATTAAGAATACATCTTTTCACAACTTCGATTCATTTTTATGAATTCATATGATCATCCTTGAAACATTTTAAAAAACAGATGTAGAAAACACACTAGAAAAAACATCTGTGCAAAATAAAGTTCAAAACTTCACAGTTACAACTGAGACACAAGTTAATTCAGTTTTACCTTAAAATATCACATCAGACATAAAGGTAGTTTTTTCTTCATTTCATTATCATTAAATCAAATATCTGTAAAAAAACCAATAAGTTGCTATCATGAATTTTGCGTTTGACTTCAACAAATGTATCACAAAACTTGAATTATTACCCTTGGAGAATCCGAGCTTGCAAAACATTTCTGGGCCAATATGTTCCCTGTGGAAAATCAACAAAAGATTCACTAAAAGGTTAAGGAGATCATTAGTAAACTTTATATGGCGCAGCAGCCACGAAAACAACTAACACCTCTCAGTTTAATGTAATAAAACAAATTTATAACTGTAATTTGATATTTGAAGATTAACCGCAAACATGCTTGAAAGTTCTGTTGACCCCCATTCAATATTTTCTACATGCAACTACAGTTCTTGAATCAAAATCATTCTTCCAAGATCATTCTTCCAAGAGGGCAAAAAAGTTTGTAATAAAAATAATTGTAAGCTTGAAGTTGTTTCCTTCGAAAAAACTGTCTAGGTCAACGCCTACTCTCATTTACTTTGTTAGGCTTGAATGGCCTATACTTTAACATTTCCATTTGTGTATAAAGATACAGTACCTGCATATAAACTCTGTGATTTTGATAGGAAGCTTCTTGTGACAACCCTTAGCGCCATGTTGCTATCCTGAAGCAGACTGTAATGCAGTGTTTGCGTGGCAAGATTCTCAATGTACTAAAATGCTACTATGCAAATAAGGGGCAAGCAACGGTGATCACGGTCGCAGCTACTTCGCCCCTGTTCGTGTGAGATCGGTTTGAAGGCGCCCTGCCAACGTCCCGCTCTTTTCTCCACTCGACCCCGTCCGTCGGTGGGAGTCTGGGATTTTGCTTCTTTTCTCCCTCTGTCTTGGTTTTCCTGGTCGAAAATCCTCAAAACAAACTTTTTTTCGGCGGAAGTTGCCTTGCTTGCGGACCTGATTGCCTCTCCAGAGAAAAGGTTACATCGGGTCGTTAAGCGTGTTAGGCTTTGTCAGCGAGGTCGTTAACCGCCACCTCTTTGTGCGGAGGGCAATTATCTCCGCAGAGTTGCTCTGCCAAGGCTCTGCTAATCACCGTCGATTTTTTTGGCACGAAAACGGTGCTGCGTCACGGCTCGCTTCTCCCTTCTGGATGGAAGTTTCGATTCGAAATTTTGGGAATCAAAACCGTTCGAATGCGACACCTTTCTCCCAAAAACTCGAGACCGTACGAGCAAAAGTTATGATTGTCATGATTTTGCCCTGTACTGTAATGTACAGTACACCACTGTACGAATCCTTTGTGTTGGGGCTCTGGCTCGACCGTGATTGGTCGAAAGTTTGATCGTTATAAGTACTAAGAATGCGATCTCATTGTTTAAACTAGACGCTCATGCTTATCATGTTCGAATTTAGCTGTATCACTACTTTTTACATCACGTGTCCCTTCGTTTTGCCATCTTTGTTTACTTGGTGAAATCGAAAAAATAAATGTCAAACCCTCGAAAAACTTCTTCCCGATTTTTTTCAAAGGAGCGTTGGATTTAAATGAAAATCACACAGAAAACGAAAAATTAAGCTAACCAATTCCTGTACGAGTGGGGGTACGGGCCCCGCCATCCCCCATCATTGCAACAAAGAATTGACCGCTCAATAAAATCAACAAGAATTTCTTATCCACATGCACTTCACTGAGCATTCCAAACATACGATTGAAGTTAACACGGACGTAAAAATGCCGAAATTTTCGAAAATGAAACTTTACAAGAAAGTTTGTTTTGGTTGCGGACGATTCAGGATGTTTCCCTTCCTAATCAAACTATAGCATTGATGCGAGATCATTAAGTGGCAACCTGATTGTCAGTGCGGAACGTTAGCGATCATTAACCTTTCCTTCTGCAAAGCTCCGCGGTGAAAAACCAACTTTTTCGATTTGCTAAACTTGCTGCGTCATAGCTTGCCCCGCCGTTGTTTTACGCAGTATAAGTCGGTTGACAGCATTTTTATGATGGAAAAAACTTTCTTAGTCGTTTCGAAAACAAATTGGAAGCTTATCTTTACAATTTCATTTTGTTTGATTGCGAAGGATGCAGGACCTTTCCCTTCTTGATCAAACTATACAAATGAGGCGCGATCATTAAGCGTCAACCTGATTGTCAGTGCGGGTCGTTAGCGATACTTAGGTACCCATTAACCGTTCTTTCTTGAAAGAACCACTGTGGAAAGACAACTTTTCTGATTTGCTAAACTTGCTGCGTCATAGCTTGCCCCGGCGTTGTTTTAGGCATAAAAAATGACTAGACTTCATTTTCATGAAGCAAAAATTGCCTTTAGTCATTTCGAAAACAAACTGAAAGCTTATCTTTAAAAAAATTTCTCCGTGACATTGGATGATGATTATGTTTACTTTGATACGTAAGGGCTATTCCTTCTATTCACGGTCGCTTTTGAGAAGAAGGGCGATATCCACTCATAGAAAGGCCCTTAATTCAAGCCAAAGGGGCCATAAGCTTGGTGGCCCTCCTATGACTGCCCCGTATGCAGTGCAATTATCATAGACCAGTTTGGAATGGCTTCGAAATTGCTTTTTTGCCAAGTTGATTAATTAGTTTTGCTTAACTCACGTACCAATAATCCGTACAGTAACGTGGCTCCAACATTAAAGAGGATCATTTAGCCATGCGGACAACACTCTCGAGTTAAATCGTCCACTATCGACTGCAATGTGAAGGCAAGCTATAGAACAGCGGGGCAAATCACTTCGGCCCCACTGGCTTATAATCTACACTTATTGGCAGTTTTAAGAGCATTTTACGTTAGAAAGGATATACCATCAAAAAAGTGCCACTTGAATTCGAAATTCCATTCCAATTGAACTTTTTCAACGAAAATAAACCCCAATCATGCGAATTTATTTACCTTTGAACAAATAGGAAGGGGTTATAGAAATTTTATCCTTTAATCATCAAATCGTCATTTACCAAAAGTTGCGTGGTGAGAGGTTTCAAAACCAACCCTTTTTTTAAAATGCCCTCCGATATTGTTCACCTGATGCCAAACGAGGACCCCAAAACATGAAATTAGCGCCCTTACGAAAAATTACTACTGTTAATCCAATTAAGGCGCGGTTAAAACTTATGAGGCGGAAATATAAAATTTTGTCTTCTCGAATAGGGAATTGCCATTGAGTGACATTTTCTAAACTAGCCACCAATTTCCAAAACTACTTCAAAGGGCCCTTCCAAAGAAGCATAATGGGGACTTGACTAATCGAAATTCTGCCTCCTATATTATTAAATTCGAAGTTACTAAAGCATATATCTTAAAGTTTTATTAAACAATAAGGGATTCGCAAAATTACCAACAATAAAGAACCCTGATAATCACTGATCCAATTAAAATTAAAAAAGCTTTTATAAAGATAAAGAATTATTTTTTAATTCAGCATAAAACAAAGAAATATTGCGGATATTCCCTACATTTAAAAAAGGACAAACCGTGGTATTCTCAGTAATAAACCACCCTCTCCAAAAAGTCTCTCAAAATTTATGGGCACTTGGCAAACGACAAAGCAATCCTTCACATCGACTCGCACTTCGTTAAATTAGCTCCAGATATCTGGGCACTTGGCACATACACAGCCATTATATCTATTATTGCTAATTATACATGAGGGAACAATGCTACTCAGGCCCTTGCAGTGCATGACATCACGTCCAGATATCTGGGCACTTGGCACATACACAGCCATTATATCTATTATTGCTAATTATACATGAAGGAACAATGCTACTCAGGCCCTTGCAGTGCATGACATCAGGTCCAGATATCTGGGCACTTGGCACATACACAGCCATTATATCTATTATTGCTAATTATACATGAGGAAACAATGCTACTCAGTCCCTTGCAGTGAATGACCTTAGGTCCAGATATCTGGGCACTTGGCACAGACAAAGCCGTTACATTTATTATTGCTAATTATACATGAGGGAACAATGCTACCCAGGTCTTTGCAGTGAATGACATTAGGTCTAGATATCTGGGCTCTTGGCACATACACAGCCATTATATCTATAATTGCTAATTATACATGAGGGAACAATGCTACTCAGGCCCTTGCAGTGCATGACATCAGGTCCAGATATCTGGGCTCTTGGCTCACAAGAGACATGTCAATCATATTTGCTGATAAACAACGTCTCCATTACAGTTATTTGACAAATTAATTTATTCATTGAGGCTTGGAGGATTCACCTACATTTATAGTCAGTACAGTAACAAGGCTCCCACATTAAACCAAATAATTTGGCTACGCTGACGAAGCATAGGAATTTAGATGGATTTCATATATCCATTATCGAGTAGATTTCTTAGGCTAAGGCTTAGATGCATCAAATAACACCTGCGCGGTGCATACGGTCCACACGAAACTCCAATTTTTTTATATTTAAAGCAATGACTGCATTAGACCTTACTCATACTTTTGAATCAAAAGGGTCCAAGGCCTTTTTTGATACAATTTTTTAAACTAACCAGAAACAACAAACAATACTGCCCAGACCCTTCCAGCGAAAGAGTTCTAATTCTTAATTACAATTTATCACATAAAATATGTCACAACTTCCATCACTTTATGGAAATATATTATAATCCTCCTAAAAGAGTTTATTTAATGTCATTGTTATTTATTATTATAAAATAGAAATAAACTAGCCTTTCTTAGCGACCCCGCCAAAGCGGGGTCTTGCTTGGGTGGACCGCCGGCCCGCGACACACCGAGCCAGTGGACCGCCGCCCCGCGGCACGCCGAGCCAGTGGACCGCCCCCCGCAACACACCGAGCCAGTGACCCGCAAGCCCTCCCCAACCCGAGCTGCAAATTAGCAAAGAACGAACTAACGCCATCCCAAACACACAAAACCCCCCTCGCACAAAACCCCAACACACACGACCTGCCCCCCGCTGAGGCGTGCCCCCAACAGAGGCGTGGCTGCCGCCCAAAAGAGGCTCCCACCAAAAAGAGGCTGTGGCGTGCTCCCCCGCAGAGGCTGAGAGAACCACGCCTTTCATGAAGCAAAAATTGCCTTTAGTCATTTCGAAAACAAACTGAAAGCTTATCTTTAAAAAAATTTCTCCGTGACATTGGATGATGATTATGTTTACTTTGATACGTAAGGGCTATTCCTTCTATTCACGGTCGCTTTTGAGAAGAAGGGCGATATCCACTCATAGAAAGGCCCTTAATTCAAGCCAAAGGGGCCATAAGCTTGGTGGCCCTCCTATGACTGCCCCGTATGCAGTGCAATTATCATAGACCAGTTTGGAATGGCTTCGAAATTGCTTTTTTGCCAAGTTGATTAATTAGTTTTGCTTAACTCACGTACCAATAATCCGTACAGTAACGTGGCTCCAACATTAAAGAGGATCATTTAGCCATGCGGACAACACTCTCGAGTTAAATCGTCCACTATCGACTGCAATGTGAAGGCAAGCTATAGAACAGCTGGGCAAATCACTTCGGGCCCACTAGCTTATAATCTACACTTATTGGCAGTTTTAAGAGCATTTTACGTTAGAAATGATATACCATGAAAAACGTACCACTTGAATTCGAAATTCCATTCCAATTGAACTTTTTCAACGAAAATAAACCCCAATTATGCGAATTTATTTACCTTTGAACAAATAGGAAGGGGTTATAGAAATTTTATCCTTTAATCATAAAATCGTCATTTACCAAAAGTTGCGTGGTGAGAGGTTTCAAAACCAACCCTTTTTTAAAATGCCCTCCGATATTGTTCACCTGATGCCAAACGAGGACCCCGAAACATGAAATTAGCGCCCTTACGAAAAATTACTACTGTTAATCCAATTAAGGCGCGGTTAAAACTTATGAGGCGGAAATATAAAATTTTGTCTTCTCGAATAGGGAATTGCCATTGAGTGACATTTTCTAAACTAGCCACCAATTTCCAAAACTACTTCAAAGGGCCCTTCCAAAGAAGCATAATGGGGACCTGACTAACCGAAATCCTATATTATTAAATTCGAAGTTACTAAAGCATATATCTTAAAGTTTTATTAAACAATAAGGGATTCGCAAAATTACCAACAATAAAGAACCCTGATAATCACTGATCCAATTAAAATTAAAAAAGCTTTTATAAAGATAAAGAATTATTTTTTAATTCACCATAAAACAAAGAAATATTGCGGATATTCCCTACATTTAAAAAAGGACAAACCGTGGTATTCTCAGTAATAAACCACCCTCTCTAAAAAGTCTCTCAAAATTTATGGCCACTTGGCAAACGACAAAGCAATCCTTCACATCGACTCGCACTTCGTTAAATTAGCTCCAGATATCTGGGCACTTGGCACAGACAAAGCCGTTACATTTATTATTGCTAATTATACATGAGGGAACAATGCTACCCAGGCCCTTGCAGTGCATGACATCAGGTCCAGATATCTGGGCACTTGGCACATACACAGCCATTATATCTATTATTG